CAGTTTAAGGTATAGGTTTATGAAGATGCCTTCACCTTAAATAAGAGGGTATAGTAATTCTTTGTTGGTGTTATATACCTTAGCATGCATTAAGCCACTCTTGTAAAAGCAGTTCTTATTACCAAGCTTAATAGTAGCTAAACCAGCATTAGTACTAGTAAATAAAAAGAATGTTAGCACAGTACGCCAACCACTGCCATAGCAAAAGAAATCACTCTAGTTATTATTACACCGTACTTTACGTAGGGTAGTTATACTAGCAGTCATTAACCCTGTTTAGATGCCTAGGTCCCAGTAGAACCAACGCTCATTAATAAAGTCTATATTCTAGTGGTGGGAGATATAGCTTTCAAGCTATAAGAGATATGCATTATATATTAGATATCCCCTAAGCTAACTAGTTTTAAGATTATAGCATAACACGATGAGATAGGGGTCCTAGAATGCATTATCTAGTATATTAGTCCCTAGAATGTGCACAGAAGATGCTAGTAAGGTGATTTTATCCCATAGTGGGCCAAGTATTAACTAACTAACGGGACGGCGTATATTAACCCAATTAGAGTTTATACTTAACATTTTGGACCTACTCCGTTTAATATAAGAGTTAGATTTCACGTGTTAGAAGCTAGTGGGATAATGGCCTTAAGTTATAACATCGCTAACTAAATATAGTGTAGGAATAATCACGTAGTTAATCCAAGATCCTAGGGCTATATTATTAATGTGTTAGGACTGTGCAGTTATAGTAAGGCCTTATACGTTCACGTATTGGTTAGGGAAATTCGGCCAGAAGATATGGCATCGATAAGGTCTAGTAAGACAGAACAGAACATTCTAGTGATGTAAGAGGTTAACAGGGGAGAATAATATATGCTGGTTACTATTAAATCCTTCTATAAACCTAGGTAGAAAGGAGAGCGAAATGTCTTCTCTAAAAACTATAAGGCTTATAGGTGCAAAGATAATGCTATCACAATTAAAATATTATAATAGAGTCTGGGGTCCAGTTTCCTAAAGGTAGGCCTGTTCTAATAGATCTAAGCTAAGACATAGATAATCAAGGTTAGAGTTATTAGAAACCCTAGTAAGAGCAGGTACCCATAATTGTGATAGAGAGTAATTAGTAGCTTTATAGTATGTAAGAGCTTTAGGAAGTATAAGGGGTTAAGGATTAAGATTAACTAAAGGGATTAAAGGTAGAATAGTATGGTTTAGCCATATTATTATCTCCTTAAGTGTATGGCCATATTCCCATAGGGATGCACTACAGCGGCATGAAACTAAGATATAGTTAGATATGGCACTTAAAAGTGTTTAGTTATATAGTAGATTATCTTCTCTTAGAGGAATATTGGGTAATATGGTTAATATGTAAAATTTGGGATGGTGTGGTGTATATGTTTCAGCATTATATAGTTCGTTATTTGGTGGAGTAGCTAGTGGGCAGGACTAGGTACTAAGTAGTAGTAAATGTGTGTGTATAGACATAATATTATTAGTAGGGCCTATAGCCTATAAGCACGTGTCTATAATATAGATAGCCACTATAAGGGAAGGGGGAAAGTCCCTAGTGTTACTAGTAATAAGTAGTAAGTAGAGCTTACACTCCACTAAAAATAGAGACTAGCCCCTTCCCTATACTATATCCACTAAGATAGATAGTATAGGGAAAAGTACTTACTAAAGTTAGGTAAACTATTTAGGGTAAACCTTAGTAATACTTATAGTATATCTGTGTTTAACTAATCTTCTAGATATATTTTAGGGCTAACTAGTGGTGGCACTAGGTCGTCTCTGTTATTAGTGATAGATAGGTTAAGCATCCCAAATAACTTAGAGTAATCTAGGGAGTTATTATTCAGTATATTATTAGGAGAATTTATAAGGGTTTTAGCAGTACTAGCTACTATAGGCTTAGCTACTATAGGTGCTGTTTTAATCCCTTAAGCAAGCCATATGCAATTAAGGGGTATAGGTTGTTATTATAAGAAAGCTAGTGTAGATAGTTATAGTATATTTAGATATAGTTGTTATATATTTGATTAGATAATGCGTTAGTACGTAGGTGGTAGTATCTAATGCATTAGTTAGATTAGTATAGGCCATTGTAATGTATACGGCTGTGTGGATGTGTATATAGAGGGGATGTATAGAGCGAGTAGTTAAAAGGTATTTACCTATATTATTAAAGGGGTAGTATTCTGTATTATAGTAGTTAGTTTAATAGGTGGTGTATACTATAGTAAGGGTATTAGCTTAGGAACTAGTTCCTGCAAAGCATTGTTAACTAGTTAAGTATAAATATTAAAGGATGGGTGTCTTTGCGTATTTGGGGTGTGTGTAGCGCAAGATAGCGCAAGCTTTAGATCTGCAGTCCTCTATAGGTTTTGTATATTAGGCTGTTGTGGAGAGGCTGCATAGAACTGGCGTCTTTAGGCCTATACCTTTTAATTAGACTTCCGCTTTGCCTACTTTCTCTCTTCTTCGCTTCGTTCCATGGCGGGTAATAGGTTTTAATAGAGTCTAGAGTGTTGTATATATAGCTTTTTAATATAGCTACTTAGGAATAGAAGCTGTTAGCTGCATATCCTACATTATAAAGCCACTTGGCACAGCTTAGTTAGCCGTCGCGGGCCCCATTAGATGGAGAGGGCACGGTTTAGTTAGCCAATAGGCCCCATTAGATAGAGAGGGCATGGTTCAGTCAGCCAATAGGCCCTATTAGATAGAGAGGGCACGGTTTAGTTAGCCAATAGGCCCTATTAGATGGAGAGGGTATAGTTCAGTTAGCTAATAGGCCCTATTAGATGGAGAGGGCACGGTTTAGTTAGCCAATAGGCCCTATTGGATAGACTTTTTTATTAGTCTTAGCACTAGTCCTTTCTAGCAGTAGGGCATGAGGGCGAGTCCCCATTTAAAGAGAATTTTGACTATGTTAGATACCTAGAGCTAGACAATAGGCTCTACTACTAATCCTACTCTACCTCTATCTCTTCTATTACACTATCTACGTTATCTATTATCTCTATATCTAAATCTTTACCTAATACTTCTTCCCTTTCTTCTTTATCTTCCTCTATCGCTCCCCCTACTACTTTAACTAATACTACCCACGCCTTATACTACTACTTACTAAATTAGTACTCTAGGCTCTTCTATATATACGCTTACTACGTCTACTAAAAAAACATTAATATCTACTTCTATAGCTAGGCATAGTTACTAACTAACTTCTTATCTATATATAGCTATAATGGCTAGAACTACGTCTAGTGCTTCTTAGTGCAGATTACTTCTAACTATATAAATATTTCTATGTAGTAGATAATAGACACCTAGCTAAACTATGCTAATCTATCTATAGCTTTCTATATAGCTACTATAATAGGCTCTTTTTTTAGCTTTAGGCTCTTTAACACTTACTAATAACGTAGGCTACTCTATACCTACTAAATATAGTATCTATCTAGTCTACTTAAGCTATAGGTTTACCTTATTCTATACCCTATTCTAGATTATTATCTCCGCCCACTTCTATATATTAGCCCACGCCTTATCTATATTCCTACTAACCTATACCTACCCTGTCTCGCCGTCTATGGGTTTAGGTGTGGATTCGGGTTAGTAGACTTTAAAATACTACGAACTAGCGCCCTAGATAAATAACCGCTAGTAATAGATGGCTTTATAACCCTACTTATTACATAATTATATCCCCTTCTACGCTATTTAACTTGGCTAACTGCACTTTATTACTATAGACTAGTTATAAATTATTTACTAATAGTTCTTTATAGCATAGATAGTTTAAAATACCTAATAGTATTAATCTAGGTCTAACTAGCACATTAACCCGTCTGTGTATACTAGTAACTAGCTAATAGGCTTAATAATTTAATAGGGTACCTCTAGCTTACTTATATACTAGATTATACTAGCCTAGCTACTAAGCTTATCTACTACTAACCTAGCTTACTTACTACTAACCTAGTGGACGTACTGTAAATGGCTTCTTACCTAGCTAAGTAAAATACTATGCCTGCATTCCTTATAGATTACTAATGAAAATTTAGGTAAATGCTTAAAATACTTACCTATAACGCTGCTGTCTACCATAATTATAGATTTAATACTACTATAGGCAGCTATAGGTGGCTAGGGCAACTACTAATAATAGGTTCCTATAATAGGTTATAGGCACTGTAATGGGTTATGGGCTTTATAATAGCTTACTAAGCTTTATAATAGTTATGGGTTGCTATAACGTATTACTATAATAGAATACTGCGTGGGTTACTATAATAGGTTACTATATAGGTTATGGGCGCTGTAATAGGTAACTAGCTGTGTTCTAGGGGATCTCTAGTAATAGTAATTTAATACACGCTACTATAACTACCTACGCCCTATCTATTATATTATATGGCTGCCCTAATTCCTAGAATCCTTTGCAACTTAACGCATTATTACTATGTTAGTTATTATCTTAGAACTGGCTCTGGTATCTAATTATCGCCTTATTAACCTTACCCCTAACCCTAACGCGCAACCCTAACGTATATAACTACATGGTTTCTAAGGCTGCAAATTTGCTAGGACGTATAACGCAATGCGCTGAATCTTTAACCTAAATTTGGGCCAAATTGGCCTGCGGGAACCTAATTCTAGTTAGCTTCGAACGAATATTCCAGTGAGCCCCCCGTACTGGAAACTACGCAGGAGAATCGGGCTAGCGCGAATATTCTAGCCCTAACAAACCAACGACCGAAATTCTAGTCAGCCCTCACTGGAATTGAGGCCCTGGGATAGTGTATTTGGGATGATTACTAGCGCTCAAGCTGCTTCAGCGCCTGCTGCCTCGTCCTACGTTGCGTCTTTTGGTTTCCCATCTTCGGTGTTTCCTTCGTACTACTACTTCCCTGCCAAGCCAACCCAAGAGCCTCAACCAGCCCTCTACGACCCTGTATTGAACATGTGAGGTTGCCCTTCAATTTAACATGGTGAATACTGCTGACTTGCAAAGTACATTCCCCTACAACTTAACCAACCCCGACACCATCCCAGACGAGGATGAAGATCCCATCTACCTGCCACAGCCGAACACCAAGCTCAACGGTACTCAGGCCCAGGCTTACCTGAACGCTGTCATCGCCAATGTCACAAACGTGATAAACTCTGCCCCTTCCGGAGCATCCAACTGCACCATCTGCAAGAGCGCTCTTGCTGCCGCGAAACCTGCAGCGCGTGCTGTACCATCTCTTGTCCCCGATGCTATGGTAAATCTCTGCAAAACTTCTAAACTTCATAGCAATGCGACCTGCGAGGAGGACTTCCTGGCCACCACCTTCGGTGCCATCTGGACTCAAGTTTTGGCCTATGCGGATGTCAAGGGCTTGGATGGCAATTACATCTGCCAAAGTATCGGATCATTCTGTCCTCGGCCCACGACGTCGCCATTGAATGCCACTTCATACTTCTCAAAGACCAAGCCTGCGGATGCCGAATCTCGGGTGCCCAAAGCAAGCGGAAGGCGAGTCAAGGTCCTCCACATGTCTGACTTCCACCTCGATCCACGATACAAGGTCGGCGCCGAGGCTTCTTGCGCTTCATCGCTTTGCTGCCGTGCAAACAACCCTAATCCAACATCCAATGGCACCATTACCCTGCCAGCTGCCTTATATGGTTCTTTCCAGTGCGATACGCCGTATGATCTTGGCACCGCTGCTTTGCAGGCCGTTGGGCCGTTGACGGGTACCTCCAAGGGTGGCGAACACCTAGCCTGGACCGTGTACACCGGTGATCTGGTGCCCCATGACCCACAATCACAATTGTCCCGCGCTTTGACCGAGTACTCTGAAGTCAGTGTCTACGGCATGATAAAGCAATACGTGACTGGTCCTGTCTTCGCCGCTTTGGGTAATCACGATTCCAACCCGGAAGCAATCGATGCGCCACACAATCTGCCGGGTCGCCTGGGTCAGCAGCAGAGCTGGAACTATCACCACGTCGCTGATCTGTGGAAGAACGATGGATGGATTGATCTGGGTGCTGCCAACCAAGCCCGGACGCATTACGGTGGGTACTCTATCAAGACCCCTCAAGGTCTTCGCATTATCACATGGAACACCGACTTTTGGTATCGAAGCAACTTCCTCAACTACATCAACACCACCAATCCTGATGCTTCGGGGACGTTAAAGTGGATGATCTCCGAGCTGCAATATGCTGAGGATCACAACGAGCTGGTATGGATTGTCGGCCACGTCTTGAGTGGCTGGGATGGTACAAACCCAGTAAGTAGAGCTAGCATTTTGTTTTTGCCTCCTGTCCAACCAAAATAACCATGAATAAGTTGCCAAACCCCACCAATCTGTTCTATCAGATTGTCGAGCGATACTCGCCGCATGTTATCGCCAACGTCTTCTTCGGCCACACTCACGAGGATCAATTCATGATTTACTACGCCAACAACGGTACCAACCAATCTGCAGGCAACGCCCTCACAACCGGCTGGATCGGCCCGAGCGTCACACCGCTCACCAACTTGAACTCTGGCTTCCGCCTCTACGAAGTTGACACGGGTGACTTCAACATCTACGAAGCCTACACATACTACTCCAACGTCTCAACCTTCCCCAGCTTGGACTCCACAGGTCCTACCTACGAATACGAATACTCCACGCGCGACATCTACGGCGCACAAGCTAATTGGTCCACAACCGCTCCTCTCAACGCCACCTTCTGGCACAAAGTCACCGAAGCCATGGAGAAAAACATCACGCTTGTCACACTCCAGAACGAGTTCCAGGGCAAACTGTCGTCCAAGAGTCCGAACTGCACAAATACCGCGTGAGCATAGGCAATCTGTGATCCGCACAATGTCGCCTGCTGACTTGTCTTTAGTTGCCAGAAGGCGAAGATTTGCTACATGCGAAGCGGCAGCGTTGCACTGGGCCAGCAGTGTCCTCAAGGGTAGGTAAAAGTCTATCCACCAACGAGAATAGCAACTGATATCAACGTGATAGATATGGTTCGGTGCAAAGCCCCTTCTCTCCAAGTTCGTAGCCGTATGAGGTCTGTTCAGGTTCCCTCCAGCCCGTTGTAAGTGGTGGGTCAGGTGCCCATGTCCCACAGATACGTATAGAGGGCGATTGTAATGAACCAGCGGTTTAAAAGACATGTACACAAACTCCTCATGACTGCTCTAGCTGCGGTTGCCAGGGTTCAACAAGGGCTTGCAGCTTATGTAGTAAGCTTAAACACCTGCCTCGACCATACAGACTGTCTCCAGTCGAGATGTTGCGCAAGCTTTGACCACAATTCACTTCTTCTACTGCATATGAAAATCCGTCTACACAAGCGTTGGTCATGATTTCGCTGGTCGAACTGAAGGTAAAACTATGCACCTTCTTTCACTTGCTCACCAGTATCTAGCTCCGTGCACCATCTTCCGTCTGATCCTGCGGCACGTTACTCAGGCTTAACACCAAGTCCAATATGCACATTCGGAAACGTCAACAATCTTGGAACCTTTTCTGCAGGCAACGGCTTTCCATCTGCACCGTACCTGAGCCCCGGTGTAAATTTTTTGTGACTCTCAAGGCGCGAGCCAGCCTCTAATGCTTGGTAGCCGTCTGCAGTGAGTGATCTGACTTTGCAGCGTTCGATCTCTATCTAATTAGGTCTAGTAGTAGCGACCGGACAGTCTATCTGGGTTCACATAGTGCAAGCCCACAAAGCTGATAGAACCCAGGTAGCTGTCGCGTTGCGGAAACCTTGTCGTGCTCGAAATACTAAGAACGTTTTCTTTGGCTGGTAGAAGACGTGTGCGCAGTCCAAGGTGTTTTTGAATTATTCCAATCCGCCTTGAAATCTCATAAGATTTATGCCACATCTCGTGTCTTCGCCCTCCATAGTCCCGATACTGTTGCACCATTGTAATTCGCGCTCTGACCCACTCTGGGAAAAATAGTGTCGCATGATCCATCGCGAGTAGACCATCAACTGTGGTCCAAATGTGCCTACATCCAACCTGTGGCAATACTCAACTGACTGGCAAAGCAGGCGGGCCCGCTTATCAGCCTCGTGCCGCACGCTGCCGAAACCATCATCCAAGTCAACGGGACGAAAAGACAAGACCAGTGCTTCGCCCACTTGCTGACCCAACCGTTGTAGTACGGTGTAGATGTGTAGCTGGAAGGCCCAGGATATGACAAGGTGGGCCGCAGCCTGCAGAGAGCAAAACCTAAGAGCGAACGGAAACAGCTTAGACTCATGGCAGTCATCCGAGTGATTTCGAAGCTTTGATAGTACGGCCATATAAAGCGGTATTGAACTCGCCTCGCAAAGCCCCGCTTGCCAGGCGTAAATGGTCCTCAAGATAGTCCACAACGCACTGAATGCCGCTTGGACATTGGCGTCACCGGATCGGTTTGGCGAAAGTACATTAGTAGCTGACTCAATGCAATGAGGTAAATCGCATACAGTGTCCATGAGCTGATCTAGGGGATCGAGGTTTGTCTCGCCAGGCATCAGGCCAGCCCACTGTGAAGCGCTCAAAGAACCCTGTTGTCTTGAAGTGAGTTGCGAGAGAACCTAATAAAGGACATCAGCCTCCACGTTGGTACGCCTTCGAGTTCACCTACACTGATAACACGTAATCTGGACCATAGTTTGAGACCATTCGTCGTTGAGATAGCTGGGAATTCTTTCTTTAGCCGTAGCATATCTGCGATACCCTGAACATGAACTCGCAGGCCACTATCCTTCGGGAAGAGAAAGAGCTCGCATGTCGATAAAACCACGACTGACGCGAGGATGTAATCCAATCTAGCCTCTTCCCTATACATCAAGGCGGTTGAGAGATATCCGAGTGTGGTGTTATATCTTTCTACTCCTTCATCATGAGAGACACACCCAGTGTTCGTGATGTACAGTTGGATTGTACAGAACGTGATGAGCGCGTTGTCAAGCACCGGGCAAAGATCCTTCAGCTCACATGCAGCCCCGAACCAGGTATGCGGATCGACGTGACCTGGATTGCTATCGGCGACTTGGGACTGTGGTAAATACGTTTTCTGTAATAACCTGAAGGCCCTCTGGCGAAACAGGAAAGGCGACGCCGCAGATTCTTTTGCGAGCGCGATTAGGCCGTCGAGCTCGTGTTGGAGCGATCGGTTGTCCGGAGGTTTCGCCCTGCTGCGCCGGGATCTGGCGAGCACCACAGGCGCCGACACGGACGGATCCGCGATAGTCTTGTTTACGAAGTGAGTTTGCTGGTCGTAGCCAGAACACTGTATGCGAGCCCTGGCGCAGCGTGTACAGCCTGGGCGCTCGAATCCACACTTTACGCGTCGTCTTTTGCAGTCGATGCAAGCCTTGGATTTACCGGCGACACCAACCATGCCTCCCAATGACCCGGCGTGATGGAAATCGATGTGCGACACTCCTGTGTATGTGGGGGATGGGTGAGGGTCGCCTGAATGTGAACCTGCACGCTAAGAAACCTTTTCTTTCCCAATGCGGCAGCATCTTTCGAGCAACCATTCCCAATATGGTATCATCCTTCGAGCAACACTACAGGGCTACGTTAGCGGCCGCTAATCTCGAGAGATGCCTCCGCGTTGGGAACAGTTGATGACTCCATACGATCATACATAAGATGAGCATTCCTCGAGTTTCTTCTTTCATTTCACTCATGCCTTCAACACCCGAGCCACAGATGGAGTCCAACTCGAAAGAAACTCTCGACTCCGCTAGTGGCAGCCTGCCACTACAAGTCTCAATGGCAGCCGAGCCAAGTCCAACGCCTGTCTCCGAAAAGACTGCGCAGGCATCAGCTGGACCAGATCCGAAAGCCTTTCCCGACGGTGGTTTGGAGGCATGGCTTGTTGTAATGGGCGGCTTTTGCGCCGTTTTTGCAAGCTTTGGTTGGATCAACTGTAATTTCTCCAAACCCTCTCATCATCTCACATTCAAAGCTGAACCAGTACGCAGGTGTTGGAGTCTTCCAAGACTACTATAAGTCAACTCTGCTTCCGAACTACTCGTCCAGCCAAGTCGCTTGGATACCTTCTACCGAATCCTTCATGATGTTCTTTTGCGTGCGTTATGTCATCGTGGGATCATTTCAATCATCAACTGAACAAGATCATAGGGACCAGTGGTTGGTAGATTCACGGATCACTACGGCCCGCGAGTCCCCATTGTGATCGGGTCGTTCTTGCATATATTCGGCCTGATGATGGTTTCCATTTCAAAGGAATACTACCAGGTCTTTCTCTCCCAATCGATCGTCAGCGCGATTGGTTGTAGCTTTCTCTTCTATCCTTGTGAGTAACAAATCTGACACCTTATGCTCGATACTAACACGATGTTGCAGCGGTTACAGCCGTCTCGTCATGGTTTTTACGACATCGTGCACTCGCTATAGGCATCGTGACATCCGGTTCCAGCATCGGAGGCATCGTACTCCCAATCATGGTCCATCGCCTCGTGGACCATATTGGATTTGGATGGACGATTCGAGCAGTGGCCTTCCTACTCCTGGGCATGGTCTCCGTCGCTATCCTCGCACTCAAATCGCGCTTTCCACCGTTGAAACAACCACTTGTTCTCAAGGACTTCATCACACCTTACGCAGAAGCACCTTTTCTACTGTTGGCAATTGGCACCTGGTTCATATATATCGGCGGCTTTATTCCCTTTACGTTCATTATCGTGCAGGCCAAAGCTCAAGGCATGTCGACGAGTCTCGCGAGCTACTTGGTGTCCATCCTCAACGCTGCCTCGACCTTCGGACGGATCGTTCCAGCGCACTTCGGAGATGTTTTTGGTGTCTTCAACATCATGATACTCCTCACTGGTTTCAGTGCAGCCACGTGCTTAGCTCTGTGGTTACCAAGCACGGTAATGGCCTCAGGACACACGAACGCATTGATCATCGTATTCGCGATATTTTACGGCTTCGCCTCAGGTTGTGTCTTCTCCATCGTTCCCGCCCTCATTGCGAGGATTTCGCCAGATGTCCGAAAGCTTGGTGTACGTGTTGGAAGCTTGTATGCTGTTTCCGCCACTGGTGTTCTCATCGGGAGTCCTATTGCAGGCGTTATTGCTGCCGGGCATGGGAATGGGCTTCTTGGATTAACGCTTTTCGCGGGCCTTTTCCTCATCGCTGGCACCATTCTTGTCGTATTCTCGAGGGTTAAGCAGACTGGACTGAGACTTATGGTGAAGGTGTGAAATGCGTTGAACATACCAGGCATCTTCTTTTCTTAAGGTGGCTGTATTAAGGTCAAGTACTTATGGGTGTAACAGTTTTAATTTCGTTTTAGATTGTACTATAATAGAGGTCTCGTATTAATTAGGGTTACCTATTGTATTAATTATAGGCGCAACTATAATAATTATAGCCACTTACTAGCGTAAGGCCGATTCTATAAGCATAATATTACTAATAAAGTAGAGACCTTATAGTATAACCTATAGGTAAAGGGGTAAAAATATTAGTGTTAGTAAACATATATATTATAAGGTGAAAAAAATCGGGTTTATAGATAATATTAACTAGGCTAGTAAACCCATTTATATATAGTAGGTTTAAAAGCTAGTAGAGGAAGCTAGGACCACTTAAGTGTTTCCATAAGAAACCCAAATCGACCTAATATACATTCACGACTTTCTTGGCACTAACCGTACTCTTAGATCGCTACCAGGCTGATTACTCATTAGCCCAATAACTGGATTTCCTTCCTTTGCTGTTGGGAAGGGCTGTGTCCCATCAACAGAAATGCGTAACCGATTGAAAGCTGTAGCAATGAAACTCACGACCGCCTGTTTGGCCACAAACCTACCAGGGCACATAGTTGCGCCTCCACCGAACGGTCGCCAGCTTGCGCTCTTCAAGAGTGCTGGATTGTCGTAGAAGCGCCTGGGATTGAACTCATTGATGCGGTCGCCGAATACCGTCTCGTCGAAGTGCAGCTGCCGGTAAGGTACCATGACCTTATTTCCCTTGCGGAGCTTGAAGCCTCCGACGATGCTGTCCTCAGTGATATACCGGACAGAAGAGGACGCTGCTGACATCCGCAACGTCTCGTTCCATATGCTGTTCGTCAAAGGACAGCTGTCGTTCAGGTAATCGATGTTTGGTGTTTTGCTACCACCCGTGAAGGCCTTTTCTGTCTCTTGCATAACGAGATGTATCATCTCGGGGTGAAAGAGCATGTACGACAACATCCAGAAGCAGCCACGCCGGGTGTTAGTGTTGATTCCCCAGTATATGGTCTGCATCAGAATGGAGATGTCTTTGGTAGCCAGATCAAGATCACGCATCTCGTTTTCCATCGCCTTGGTAAACCAAGCATCCCCGGTGCGATCGGTCATCGGAGTCTCGAAGTACTTGCGCAAAGCTTCTGTTACACGTGCCTTGGCGGCGTGCATCTTGCTGCTAAGCACTTTCAGATACTGATAGAGGATTTGCCAGCTGAGGTCGTCAAACTCCAGAAACGCCCACGAGATATCCGGGACGATGTTCTCCAGGAAATCTCCAAAGTAGGCTCGCTGCCCACCACGGATAAAGAAATCTGAAACCCATGTCATGAGTGGAACAGATATCGAACCGTCTGGATTCGACGTCGCATATGGACGTTCTGCTTTGATCGCCTCGAGGCTCAAATAGCGATCGAAATAAGCATTGAACCGTGCTCCTAGGTAAGCTAAGTCCTTCCTGGGGTATAGCTGGTGGACGTGTAGCTCCCTCGCTAGGACCGCTAGAGGCTTTCCTTTGGGGTTGGGAAACCGGCTCCTTGTGGGGTCTTGGGGTGCGTACATCTTGCTTACAACGACTTCTGAGCATCCCGTTGTGCGCATCATGTGCTGCACAAAACCCTCAAACGAGAAGGTTTTAGTGTTGCGGTATGCCTCTGCCACATCTTTACCTCGCGTGAGGACGTAGACTGTGTTCCCAAGCACGGTGACAGCGAACGGCTCGCGCGTGTTTCGGAAGTAATTGCGGCCTCGGATGAGAAGGGCTTGAGAGTTTTGGGAAAAGGACCAAAGGTGGCCCACGAAGGGAAACCAGTATGGGAGCTCTCTGGGTTCGTCAGGGAAGCTCGCGGTCTAATAGTGAACCGCCATATGCGCCACACTATTATGGCCACGGCGGAGGCACAAAATGGAGCCCATAATAGGTAGGGGACATGACTGGCACCGTACGACACTGGTAGAAGTAATGTATCCATGACGAGGACAAACGAAGTTGGTCGAGCACGGAACTGACTCCTTTGCCTAGAATCGATACTCTCAAATATATTGATTACAGGATTCGATGCTCACCAGAAGTAGAGACATATTATGACCTGCGGGCAGATGACGTTTGGGCTGAGAGAAAACGCCTTTACTAGGGGTCTCCTTGGCGAGCTGCGTATTGATTGTTGGGGCCGGAATAAGTGACATAGGTACGCAGGATTCGATAGCTTTGGTTTGGTTTTCGGGCTATCCTCAGCTGTTCGGGTTAATCTATATCTTAGTGATGCCCCGCTACGCCCACCCAGAAAGAACGCCATTCTTCACTGTTCACCCTTGCAGCCGGTCGCTCTCACGCATCTAGATAAAGAGGTCAAATTTATATTTCGACCGACTTGCTCGACTCACCGCATGCTGTCGCAATGGTCGAGACCGTCTCAACGAAAACACTCCTGTGACAAAACCGCACAAATCACGCTGCAATCCATCAACACTGCGCTTAGCGACACAGAACCACCAGCGCGTGCAGCATATCTGACTTGACGCAACAACTATGAGAGATCGCCAAGCAGCATCGAACAGCTAGCCGTCAAGTCTAGTACCATCATTGGTGGAGTCGGAGTCGGAGTCTGTGCCTATCCGAGGGGCGACGCACACAGTAGATACTAGGCGCTCACTTTAACGCTAGATATGAACAGATGATTCATTGGAGAAACAAAATGCTGCACTAAATCCTCTCTAGCCAGGTTAATAAATCTGAAAGCATTGAGTGCTTCTGTTGTAACCCTGCAATCGCATCAAGCATAGCACCACAGTGGGTCTCCCCAGCAGACCTGATCAACGTTACTGATGCATCCTCCGAAGTTGCTAAAGATGCTTGCTTCGCTGCAACCGTGTTAGCGAAAGCAACAATGTCATCTAAGAATAATTCATCGTCGCCTACGCTAATGACAGCTTTCTCTACAACCCTGTCATGACCGCAGAATACACCGGTCCAGAAGGTACTGTTATCTTGAGCACGTGGTATTGTCGCTCCGAGCATAACAGCCCACACTTCGTCCGTCCTCGGATTCCATTTCTTCTTGGCTGCTACCATGGTCTTTACATCTATCGTGTCTTTCTTAGCATTAGACTTGTAGCTGCTGCCATGGAATCTGTCTCCGACCCAGGGGCTTATCAGAACTGCCCCGCCAAACCTGCTCGTCAAGTCGAGGGGATCGGCGTATGGGCTCGTACAGTGCAAGTGGGCGAGCACGCCCAAGACCAGATTTGCGCCTGCCGAGTCGCCAACAAGAATAACATCAGAAGCTGCCATTCCTGCGCCGCCGGCAGTCGAAGACCGGAGGAGGTACCTAAGCGCTTCGATACCTTGCAGGAGTTATCCCGGATATTGTAGCCCAGGTGCGAGTCCGTATTCCAATACAGCCAACGTTGAAGCTTTGGCAGCAGCCGCCAGCTTGAGAGCGAATGGTATGTGTGAAGGCCCGAAAGCAGGATTGACGTAGCCACCGCCGTGGAAATACAAGATGACACGTGGACCAGGGATTCTTGTCAGAAGCATGTGTAAAGTTGTGGTTGGTACGGTTGTAGCGTTTATGTCGCCGTTATTTCTGTGTATCGGTATGTTGACGGACTGCAGTGCGATCTTTTTATTCTCGCAAAACTTGCGCATCGCATCACCCGTCGAAGGTTGCGTATCAGAGTAGTCAGATATGAGAGGGCCCATAGTAAGAGCACTCGCCCGGCTGAGCGATGCCACAATGGTCCTTTTGAGCGATCGACGAGGCCCAGATGTGAGTGTCACCATGGTCACGTATTTGATTGCTCTGAAGACTGTGTAGACAACTAATTAGCTGTGCACAGGATCCTGGGATTTGAATCTTACTCATGATCGGGATGTATGCGAACAGCTTCAACTTCACCGTTACTGGCATGACTTTCGTAGACTCTGCCATGATTGAGAGTACTGTGGAAAATAGGCAAGTAGTAGATCTTGTTTTCCTATGGTACGCGAAATTTCATGAGAGCGAGTTCATTTCTCTCTTATTTACCCCCTTACTGAGGATCTTATGGTTGTTCTCTTGGTCCAAGCGTCTGTGTTGTAACAGTCGTCCGGCTCTCGGATACAATTGGTTCCGCACATACGAGGGGATCGGCCACAGCAACAACAGCAATCGTTTTCGGAGTCATGCCTGCAGTCGTACCGTCGAATGTTCGGCAGCTATACCCAAATGTATTCAATTAAAATTAAGAAGAGGGCGTCGTAGCTTGCCCCTTGGAGGCCACGTAAACGGTCTAATACAGGGCCGATCTTTTCCGACGGCTCACGAAAGCCGCTCCGCGTACCCAGACGTCACTAAACCTGTCCCCTGCCGCGTCGACCGCTAGTAGAGACTTGCGTGATTCGTTAAAGATTGGCCTATGACAGGCCCGTCTTACTGATATTTCCAATCTTGAGCCACATGTCGCTAGTGATTTTGAGACCTCTCTGCTCCGCTTCTTCCTCGTGCGGCGCACACAGATCCCTGCGCATATGCCAGTGTGCGCATGAAATAGCATGTATAAGGTTTGAATCACCCTCCACAGTGCATAGTCAACCACAGTTCGATCTCCTCAAATACTTTCAAACCACCCAATGGATGAGCCCCCTGGTTTCGACTGCTGCATTCGGTCTCGCAACACCATGCCCGATCATGTCCGAACGAGTCGTGGCAATGATACCGAATCCACCCACCTCGTTCACGCAGCAGTAGTATGTTCCTCTGGTAACCTGTTGCACTCAGTTGGCAATCCGTTCCGAACAACACTGCTCCGCTCCGCTGCCAAGCCCGCTCAAACAGTTGCTGTGCTTGAAGCCTGTAATGGATCTTTCTCATTTTCTTCTGAGGGTCTTGCACTCATGAGCGCGTCGCACACGCACCCTGAGATGGTTGGCGGAGAGAGACGGTTTTGCACGGATTTGATGAGCGCATACGGAGACTTACTTGTTGGAAAGCTGGGCGCTGATGGCTGTTACGGAATGGGCATTAGGGAGTCCGAGTACACAAGAAGGCTAGCCGTGCCCTGTGGTGGGGTCGGGATCGCGGTGAAGATCGAGGATGGAAACATCGACATCCTGTACGCAGCAGTCATGGAGATATTAGCACAGTTGGAGATTGGAAAGGCGGAGGCGAGAAATAAGCTACAAAGATGGCATACCCGCCGATCTTCAACACGATGGGCGTCATAACAGGAGTGGTTTCGCACTCCTTTACTCTTAAGAACGCTGTATAGACTAGAACAGGGAAAATTTTACATGTCGAAGGACCTCCGCTAAGGATATCTCGAAGACCTGGACGCGTAACTGGCGAAAGCAAGCAGGCTAGCGAGAAGGGACGAGTGACTTGTATCTGTCAAGTGAAATAGTGATGAAGTCGTTGACGAAAGCTGGCATGGTTCAAAAGCTACTGCAGCCATCACCCTCTAGGTACCAGAACGTGCTCACACGGGCTCGGAGCTACTTTGAGTTTCGGGTTTCGCACGTCGCGCAACAGGATTTCACCGACAGCGGCCGCCCTTTCGGTGTACTCTCATGTCCTCTTCGGGAACAGCGGTTGTTGTTATGCCGACGACCGTACTGCGCACGACATTACGAACGACTCTGCTTTTTTTCAGGCACTTTTTATCACGTACCAAGGAAAATCTATGACCGTTCCCACAGTTCCCAATATCTCCCCTTCTTCTCGCACAGTTCATTGTGTTGGCCTCTCTCCACAATCTCGCCTTCATGTAACACCAGAATCATATCCGCATCCACGATAGTGCTCAATCGATGCGCGATCACGATGACAATCCTCCCCTTTCTCAACTTTCGAAGCGCAATCTTAACCTTCGATTCTGTTACTGTGTCGACAGCACTCGTCGCCTCGTCTAGTAACACAATCGGGGCATCCTTTAACAGCGCGCGCGCTATCGCAAGTCTTTGCGCTTCGCCACCAGACAGCTTAACACCACGCTCGCCAACTTGTGTGTTATAACCATCCGGATAGCGCATGATAGTGTCGTGCATTGCCGCTGCCTCGCAGGCTTCATGTACCTCTTTGTCGGTTGCTGTACTGCGGGCGTAGCGGACGTTCTCCAAAATCGAGGTGTTAAAAAACATTGGAGTCTGAGGCACAACGCTTACAGCGTCACGAAGTGAGCTGAGTGTGATATCGCGAATATCCTGGCCCGAAATTGTTATCCTGCCGGCTGTAACGTCGTGTAATCGCAACAGCAACTTCAGGATTGAGGACTTGCCCGCGCCAGTCTGACCAACAAGCGCAACTGTTTGGCTGGGCGGGGCAGTGTATGAGATGTTGCGAAGTGCGCAGCGGCCCTCCTCGTACGAGAAGGATACCTGGTCGAATTGAACCTTGCTTTCGCGAACCGCGAGTGGATAAGCGTCAGTGGCCTCTACAACGGAAGGTTGAGTCTTCAGAAGCAAGAGCAGCCGTTCAGCATCGACGAAGTCACCAACTAGCCATCGTACATGGTTTGTTAGGAATTTCAGAGGATAGATGATGGAATCCCAGTACGTGAGGAAGAAGACAAAGTCTCCCGGCCGCGCCTTTCCCGCAGCTATGAGTTGAAGGACCAAATAAGCAAGTGAGAAGAACGTGACTGGCACTATAAGCTCCACGAGAGCTTTGACAACCGCTTGACGCGCCTCGTAGCGCGTCTTTGCCATCATGTGTTCAGCAACTGCGCTCGAAAATGACCAAGCCTCGCGCTGGAACTGGTTGAAATAAGTTACGGTCTGCCATCCCTGGACGGCTTGATGCATCTTTCGCGTTTCCAAACGTTCCGCTCGTGTCAGATTTCTTCGGTCGCCAGTCGTCAGTCGCGACGATGACGTTTCTGCGGCAAGGTATACAATGGATGCACCAAGCAGGACCATAGCCACAGAGGAGTCGAACCTTTGATAAAAGATAACACAAGCAACGATAACGTCGATCACGGTGGGGGCGATATCGATGACTATCGTTTCGACAACGTTGCCAAGTGCTTCGCCTTGCTCAATAGCCTTCATGACTTCGGCCACGTCTCGGGTTGAATGGAAATCGATGGATTGGGCCATAACATGGTTAAAAGCAGCATTCGTAAGCTTTTTGTACGAGAACTGCTTGATAGGTATTTTCGACAGGTCCTGGAGGAAGCCTATGCCCGACTCGCCGTGAATGATATCAAGCGCGAAGTAGATGAGTAACTCCCGGATGGGCGCAGCTCCAGATGCAACTCCATCAGCGACGAGACCGAGCGTGTGTGGAATAGCAACTTGGAGAATGCGCTCCAGGAGAAGGGTGATGATGCAAACGATCAAGCATGATAATACTTTGATGTCTCCGCGAGGTATCACGTAGGGTAGGAAAATGGTGAAGTCCTTCAGATACCCAAGCCAGCCTCCAGTTTCACGAAGGCGTTCGTTCCGGGCATCCTTCACTTCTTGGTTGTCGCCATCACTCTCGTCATCGCTGTCGGTGCTGCATTCGTCTGCCTTCAGATTTGGGTGATCGATCTCGGTAGTTGAAAGGAGTGCTGCCTCGAGGAGGGGATTGGTCTCTCCTGTGCCGTCTCCCGGCGATCTCCAAATATGGGACAACATGGTTGCCACTACGAAATTGGCTGTTGTGCTCAAGGTGGTCTGCCACTCTCGCGTTAAATAAGTATTATCAAGGGGCCATGTTGGGATAAGCGTGGCACATCGTTCAGCTTGGTCTCTTTCAGAGACTTCTTTTCACGTGCTGTTAGGCAACGTCAGCTTGGTGACTCAAGACAAATTATTACCCCCACACTAAGTCATACCTCATATGAGCAGTGAGCATCCAGGGTTACAGGATTGGCGTATAGTCACATCGCGAATTTTTGCTAGTCCTTGCCTTCTAACGACTACATCGGTCAAACCAAGGGATGCTACTCTTGCCGCGTTTGCGCGCAAATGACCATGACTCATTAATGCACCGCCATTGGGCTGGTGTGCGCGGGTCCCGGGATTATCAATGACTCAATCGTTTTGCCGAGCGCCGAATCGGCCCCAATTCGGCTGATTGGTTTCTCAACTGTGTGGCTGAGGTTCGAAAGGGCTAGCTGAGGTTCGAAAGGGCTTGATGAAGTTCGAAAGGGCTTGATGAAGTTCGAAAGGGCTTGCTGATGCTGAAGAAAGCAGAAGTTGAGTGTAAGAGCGATGATTTGTTCGGGCCCGTTGTAGCCGCTATATAGGGCTAGCACCGGCGATTGCGCCTGCCGAGCACGTGAGGAAGCGCCTTCTAAGGTTCCAGGGTTCCGTCCAACAGCTTATCTGTACCACAGGACTTATATCTCTCTACAACTTGCCAGTGGTATCTCTGTTGCAGTGTACTTCTGTATGCGGAAGACGGTCTGATGTTACAAGTATCCAACGTGCATGTCGAACCCTCCATGTGACCGGCCTGTACTGTCCGTTGCAGCGACGCCAAGATGTTTCTCTTCGAGGTCTTTGCCAACGTCGTCGGACTTGGTGTGCCAATATTATAGGTGCGATGCGCACTCTCTTCTGTTCATATCGTGCCGTCAGGTTCAACACCATCTACCGAGCATGCAACAGCATCCGCTCATGTCTGGCTTTCTTCTGCGTAGAGAACCGTGTTGGTAGTCTTCTTTCTAGTCCGGTATAGAATGCGCAATGCGTCCCATGGAAAGGACTGAGACGTCTCCTCAGCATGTTTTCCCAAGCAGAAATAGCTACGTCACTGGAGGGCAGCTCATAATACGGCTGTTATTGCCAGACTCGCTGCACTGGTTCGTCGAACGAAGTGTGAGACAACACATGTCGAAGTCGCTCTGAGAAGCGCCTCTGCGCCCGAAGAAACTGTTGGAATGCTCACTCCATATGAACAGGCCCACGACAATCGTTTTGCCGCTTACGAAAGTTCAAGCGCCAAAATAACCACTGTCAGAACGCCGTCTGGGTCTCCCCCGTCCGAACCACATAGTCAGGAGAAACGAGCCGCGGCGTTGCGAATTCACAACCGCTTTTGGCCCAACTCAAGATAAATGTCTGTCCTCTATCGAACAGACAGGCCTTTCGCCATCATGCACGAGCTCGTAGTACGCTGCAGTCTGGTAGTTATCTTCGGCTGTGGGTGCAGTGCCGCAACTCCTATCGGTGGCCGGCTTGGATGCTATGGGGAGCGAATACAAGTGCGTACGTCTCGGATGATCATCATGTCCTTCTTGCAAGCCCGCCAATGGCGCAACAAGTTCATCCAGCAATATTTGTTATATTTGCCATACTGTGGTAAAAGAGATACTTAATTTCAAGGCATGCTACCGTGGCCGCTCAGTATACGAAGGCACTCGCCTTAAGAATCGAAAAAGCCTGCGAGAACGTCTGTAGTGCGATTCGTTCAGTCGTCGACAATGACTTTGAGGTTTGATGTTTTGGTTCATTCAAGACATATTCGTGAGAGCGTCCTTAAGGGCACATCGTCCGAAACCATGTCTAGTAGCCGACCTTGACATTAGCGCGAATCCATAGACTAGAATTGCGGCTAGTTGAATTCTAACGATTCTAGATCAATCTCTTCCTTCCGACGTCGGAACATCAATCTGTTCTCTGGATTGACGACCATCGACACTCCGTGCACAACAGGTTTGATACTGGCAGTGGCAGGCGATAGCTTCCAATCATACTTAAGCAGAAGATGACAGAGTGCGATCTTAACCTCGTTGGCAGCGAAGAAACGACCGGGGCATGCGTGCATACCGTGTCCGAAGGAGAGGTGCTCAGGGCTTGTAGCGACTAGCTGTGCCTTGCTCGCAAAATCTGCCCGCTCTCGTAGATGCAAGAACCGGTAAATATCAAACTTCTCCGGTTCTGGGTAGATGGTCGGGTCCAGCATGCTCGTAGCGTCCACCATAACGCGATCACCTTTGTGGATGGTGATGTTGTTAGATAACTCTACGGTCTGGGTCGCAAGTCGGCGCATTCCCGCTACGTTCCAACGTCAGCTATGGTAAGCATCCATACAGATAGACGTGAATAACTTACTCAAGCCATTTGGTTTGATCCGCTGAGCTTCTTTGATAGCACTGTCGAGCAACTTCATGTTAAACAGTGCGCTCTTCTTCCAACCCTCAACTCGGAGAACATTGATGATCTCATCGCGCAAAGGTGCAATCAGTTCAGGCTCGTTAGATAATAGGAGCAAGGTCTGACAAAGCAAGTCCGTCGTCGTGTGGATCGCAGCGAACGACAGCAATAGTTGGAAGGCAGCTGGGTCATAGGGGCGGCCTTGGCTCTCGCTCTCAACCCAGTCAATGGCATCGTTATAAGCTGGAACATTTTCTCCTTTGGATCTGGCTTCGGCCTTGAGCTCTCGGCGGCGTTCGATGACAGGTGTGATAATCTCTTTCGCTAGGTTGTACTCTCGACTGACAAGGGCGAAGTCTTTGGAGAACCAACGTAAAAGAAATCTTAGAGGATACGGGACTATTGTCATCTTCGTCGCTGACTTGAAAGCGTCCACGGTGTAGTCCTTTGTTATCTTCAGCCAATCTTCATTACGGCATAGCGCGTCTCCAAGAAAAACACGGGATGAGATCCTTGCGACTAGATCCAATAGAGAATCCTTAATGCGCACATCCTTCCAATCTGAAGATCTTTAGCTGTGATGGTCACTGTTGTTGTAGCCTTTTGATGGAGACTCATACCTGGCGAGTTACCAAAGATTGTTTCTACTGCAAATGTAGTTTCAGAGGAGAGAGGTTGAGTAACTGTATCTGCACATCACATATTAGCGTTGCTTACGACCGCGCTCGATACAAAGTCTTACTCAGTGTTCTGGTGAGCTGCTTCCTAATCACTGTTTGCGCAAGCCGGTCATCGTGGGCAAACAGACCGAAAGGTTCGAAGCCGGGGTTGTGTCCATGGAAATCCTACCAAAAGGTTATTTCTATAATTGAGAAGTCTGTCCTTGATTCACCTACCGTCAATATGGCTTTTGAGAAACTCAGCTTTTCCTCGTTGCGCATCAATTGTACATGGGAAGGCGGAAGTACAAGGAGTTCACCCAGTTCGTTTATCATCCTGAATGGCTCTCCGGCATACTTCTTCTTGGCCTGCATGAGTATTTCCACACCATTGCGGAGAAAGTCAATTTGTTTGAAAAGTCGAAGTTGAAATAGATGAGGAGGATTTGCGAGCGGATGTTTGGTTTTCTGATAGACTAATCCGAACCACGTTACGGATAAACATATGAGTACCACTGTAGCAGCTAGGGGTAACCACTGCTTGAGTGCGTCAGAATCGGATGCATAGAGAGACTTGTAATCGGTCGACGATAGATTGAAAGCCATTGTGGAGGCGTGGTTGCGGGTCTGTCAGGCAGCAGAAAACGGAAGAAAAGGCACTTTATATACATTAGGAACGATTTTGGAGCGTCTAAAGAGTTATCGGTCAACGTACTGCTTTAGTCTGTCTTCCCTGGCATCTGTCATGTACGGTAGACACGCTAGCAATGCCCGACTCTCCGTTCCTCCTTCAACAATCACGATCATCATATACTTTATATTAGAAGAACAGTGCAGCCCTGCATGCACATTTGTTGGAGTTATTGGTATGTCAAGGGATAGCGTATAACGCGACATGCGCGTTTGGGGCAGTGCATGTGGGAGGCTCGGCCCGGCAGGATCTGCAACATCAGCGAATGCCATTGGCATGTACAGAACGCGTCACCAGATTTCAGAGCCGCCCATGCACCAGGCCCCAGTCTGCTCCGATCCTCCGATCCTCCGCCCTGGGCTCCGTTATGTTCTTCCTAGATGGTCTGGCAAGTCGCTAACCCGCACCTCGGAAAGGACTGGACAATCTTCATAGACCGAGGCAACTATTGATGGAGACCCTTGTCAAACAGGCGCGTCAGAGAGGCGCAGTGTCACTTGGCAGGGAAGAGCATCTCTGTTTTGGCCGAGCAGCATTCTAGAGACATTCCGGGAGCCACGATACCACCGAGTGCCTTTTCTATCACTACGTATATTACCAGTACGCCAGCATTAGGGAATAACACGTCAACGACCTTTTTTACTCCGACCATGGCCAAGTGCAAAGAACATCCGTTAGACGTATCAGGTGCGTATGTCTCACAGATCTCCATGTCATTGCTTGCTCAACTATGTTCTAGTCGAAGAAGAAGCTTTGGTAGGCAATCTTAAAGTCCATGGGCTTTTGATTTGCATTGCGACAGCAAGTACGATAGTGGCGTGTACACTCTCGTTCTACTTAATATGGCGTCATCTCACAAACTATACTTGGCCGAAGTTGCAAAGACAGTGAGACGGTCCACAAACCTAAAACAGGCATGTTATTGACATTCTGCAGAACTATTCGCATCTTATTCATGGTGCCAGTGTACACAATTGCTTGCTTGCTCTGCATACCTTTCTACAAGGACAACGTGTACATTGCGAGTGTGTACGAATTCTACGAGTCGCTTGTCATTGCATCGTTCTACTTGCTGTTGTGTCAATGTCTGAGCTCGGATACGCACGATCTTAGGCGCGCTTTCGAATTCCTCGAACCAAAGCCGTGGATACATCCAATAGGATTTTTCAGGGTCTACGTATGGCGCCGAAAATCCGGTCATACCGTCGATGGACTCAGGTGGTTTCGAGTAAGTGTGGTTTCCAGCAGCTTTGGTTTTCCTACGTCCACTCAACACCTACCCGATCTGGCACAAACTTACCTGTTGATTACAGATAATATCATTCGCAATTTTCCAGTTCTGCGTCGTGAAGTTCTTCGGAGCGCTCACAAAATGTATCACCGAGGCTGCGGGGGTGTATTGCGAAGACTCGAACAGTGCAACTCATGCGAAAATATGGGTGAGTTAGAATAGTCAGATTATGAGATGGCACAAGGGACAATGTACTAAGGACCGCTTATGTGACAGGTCATGGTTATCGAGATCGTTTCGCTGGTCACGGCAATGATATGCCTTCTACAATTCTACGCGCAAACCAAGGAAGAACTATCAGGGCACCAACCACTACTCAAGTTTCTTGCGATTAAGACCGTTGTCATTTTATTTTATGTGCAAACAGTAAGCCTTTTCTGGTTCTGAGACAACTATGCCGTTAACGAATAGCTACAGTTTACTTTCAATATCCTCACAGGAAAGGATGGCCCTCTGCAGCCTAATTCCAAGATCTCCTATCCCTCATTGGCAGTCGGCATACCCAACACTTTGTTATGCTTCGAGATGGCAGTAATATCTGGAGTGCATCTTCGAGCATACCCCTATCGTCCGTTTCGGGACGCCAGTATTGAACCGAAAGAACAAAGTCACATACCGACAGGCGTGGATCTGGAGACTCTCAGCCCTCAGAGTGAAGGCGAAGTGAATACAGAAATCACGAACGCGAGTCCTCCATGTACAACATTTGTACCATGCAGACTCAGCTTCAAACAAGCCATCATCCATGCCGCAAGGCTCAGCGACATTTGGAAAGGTGTCGCCGAAGGATCTCGGTGGATTGTCGCCCCAAAAGTCACTGATAACTGTTCAGAAGAGGTCGGTCTATACGCTCAAATAAGTAAAGTACGTACAGTCAGAGAGGCAGTACAACTTGTCAAGCATAATGAATCTTCATCTAGAGTGTAAGTTTTAGGATATCTGTTCCTTTTGTTATATGCACCCACATGTAATTACTGTGACTTGGTCGGAGTGATCAGCAGCTTTGGCGCACTGATCTAGATCTGATTAGTAGTATATAGGATCGCAAGCAACCCTCTTGATACCTCGTTTAATCTATTGTTCGTTTTTCTCTAACCTTCTTGTTGATTCGTCATCTCAACCTTCCATACCATCAAGCCCATGATTTCACTCACGTGATTAATCGCCCCCAGGTTTACTCCATGTCCTTTCTACCAATATTCCTGCCCGAGAATCCGTCCTATGCCCTTGTAGACTAGCTACACGGACGAATTTAACAACGCATTTTGATGGGGTGGCCGAATAGGTGGTGTTACTAAACTAGAAAGTGGAACACATTTATGCTGATTCTCGGAATGGCACGCATCCGGTCTCCGTGCCAAGGTTCAGTGGCAGCGGTGTGACACAAAAATCAATCATTCCTTTGTTAAAGCGTCAAAAGGGAATCTGTTGTGTTTTGTTTGTGCATTATTAGTCGTTGTATTCCTGGTAGCAACTTGTTGCATGCAGGTAGAGCATCTGGCCAGGCGGTCGGTGGCATAAGAAACCTAAGAAGGTAAGCCTCGACGAGCCCTTGTAAACTCTGGAATATATCCAGGCTGAGGTGGTCAACCAAATACTTAACGCGAAGAGTGATGGACCCGCATCCTCTTTTGCTGCATTCGTATACAAGTATTTTAGCGGCTGTATCTTAGTCTCCGCTTAAGATGTAACTCGGTCTATTGTGCTGTCGCACAGCCATCGACTAGCCACTTCGCGGATGTACATGCACCTACATCAACTGTAAGGAACGCAAGCAAACGGCCGACGACCTCAAGCGATCTTATCTTACAAGGGGTCTTGATGCCTGTGACGGACGATTAGCGGCGGAACAGGTGAAGCAAACCGAGGATTCGATACAGGAGGATGATCAATCTCAGGGATGCCTTCGCCCCGGAAACAGCTACTAACCACTTGTTGTGATGCGGGCACCAGATAATATGCACAAGTCGCAAGTCTGCAGATCGCGGAAGATCCGATTCCGCTTTCCGAAATTCAACAATGCCTTTTGCCCTTGCCGATTGTGCAGGCTTCGCAAGGGACCATTAGTATGTGGGGACGGCGCATACGGTAGATACGGTAGATACGGTGGTTCCGGCAGAGTGATCGACAGTATCCGATGGTGAATTGTACATCGACCCTCCATCAAACTCAGCTCAGATGCCTGGAATACTTGTTTTCGGCAGCAGCTTGTGGGGTATCTACAAGCGGGGATTCAGTTATTACTTCAACGACCAATGCTTTACCAAGTTCTTGAGAGGTATATATAACCCTAGTGCTTTGCAGAATCAACTGGGCTGTAAGTAATAATTCAACTGCTTGTTTTCAACCCTTCAGATTCCTGAAGCATCGTAAAGCCCGAACTTTCGCATATCAAAGAGGATCCAGACACAATCTTCGTTCATATCTCCTATCATCCCGACCAAAATGGCTATCTTCTCGGCCTTTCCATCTGCTGGAATTCACGAACTTAGCCCTAGATCTGGAATTGCGGTTGGTGTAATCCTGATCTGGCTGCTTCATCGACTCGTCACCTATTCCCAATCACCAACCCGCGTCCAAGCGCCATTGCTATTCTCTCAGCTCGATCCCAAGTCCAGAGCAAGAAAGTGGTTGCACGAATGCAGCGATGTCATGATCTTCGGCTACAAGCTGTTCAAACATCAAAACATCCCCCTGTTTCGTGCCACAATGGAAGATGGCAAAGAATTAGTCATCATGAATGACCGATTGCTGAAAGAACTCAAGTCGCTTCCAGACGACATTCTTAGCGCCGAAGTTGGAATAAATCAAGACATGTTGTACAAGTACTCACATGTCAAAGTGGTTGATCCCGTCGGTCAAAATGCTATCCGCTCTGACCTCACGCCCGGCCTGCCGCGCCTGATGCCCACTATCGCGTCTGAAGCAAGAGCTGCCATCAACGCACACTTTCCACACGATGCAGAGAGTTGGGTGCCAGTAGTTGTCTTTCCTGTGGTTCTGGACTCCGTCGCCCAGGTTTCAGCCCGTTTATTCGTGGGCGCCGAGCTCTGTCGAGATCCGCGGTGGTTAAAGTGTTCTCAAACAGCCGCAATAGCAGCCTTCGCCACAATATCCGCCATGAAACGATTTCCAGCGTGGCTCCGTCCGATGGCCCAGTATTTCGTGCCCGAAAAAGTGCAGTTGGAGAAGGCTCGCGCGGAAGCAATCCGAATTCTTAGGGAAGATTCTGCGCACAAAGTGACCAAGAGCTCCGGAGAAGGGAAAGAAGATTATCTTGTCACGTGGATCGAAAAGAAGAATGCAGCGTGGGCAAAGGACTTCGTCGCGCAGGCAAATCTGCAACTCGAGCTGTCCGTCGCCGCCATTCACACTACCACCATGGCTCTTACTCATGTATTGTACGATTTAGCCACCCACCCTGAGTACATCGAAATCTTGAGGGATGAGGTCAAGGCAGCGTTGTCGAAAACCGGTGGGGTCTATAACAAAGATTGCATTGCGAGCATGGCCAAGACCGATAGCTTCATGAAGGAGTCGCAACGACTTCACCCGCCTGCACTCACCACTTTCAAGCGCCGTGTCATGAGGGACTTCACCTTGTCGGATGGTACACATTTACCGAAGGGCACTTCTATTGAAGTGGACGCTTCGGCCCGCTACCATGACCTAGACTCCTTCGAAGACCCTGATCAATTTGACGGTATGCGATTCCTGCGCATCAGTGAGCAGACGCAGCAGAAGAGTGCTCACCAATACGTCGCATCTAATCAAGACTATGTCTTCTGGGGGCAAGGAAAACACGCCTGTCCAGGTCAGTCCTGCATCATCATGTTTGGGTACGAGGCGACTAAATTTACTAGGACGTTTCTTCGCTGCGAACGAAATCAAGACCCTGCTTGCAATGTTTATTTTGGACTATAACGTAAAACTTCCGCCAGGCGTGGAAAGACCCGCAGATATTCACATCGGAACTTTTGTAAGCGATTCCAAGGTCCTTTAGTATAGCTACTGATTTAGTCCAAGATAAACCCAAACCCGGCGGCGGAAATTCTAGTAAAGCGAGCTTGATTCTATTTATTGCGGTAGAAGAAAGAAATTAAGCGATTCTCTGTGCGCGCTAGGAACTGTTTCTCTGGAGAAGGTTTTCGTAATAGGCGTTGCCAGGTCTAGTCTGTTAGACGAAGTTCTTCAGAGGACTTTGTACAACGCTGGGGAGCTTGACGCCGTTACGATCAACAGAGTTGTCCAAATTGCATATACACATTTCACTGAGCGTCACTACGTTCGTTTCAGTGATCAGAAAGCTATTCAGATCCACCGAGGTGCACACGGGCAGGTTCCAGATGAGCGGCGAGTCAATTTTGCTGGTAGACTTGAACATGCGTGGCGATGCCTTGGACGTCTGTGACCTCTCTGTTTCCTACTCCAACTTGGTGATTGGGTATGGGACTAATGAGTGTATCTATCGGATCGAAATCGTCCCATGTAGCTTCGACTTCACCAACCTGGCGTGCGCCGATGGGATTCGACATTGTTACCATCACCTGTGCACTACTCGTTCTAAGACGGTAGGTGAAGCATGCCAGGCGTCATCCAGTCGATATGAAGCTTGCTGTTGTCGCATAGTATTTGTCTTCATTTCCTCGCAAGTACATGGCTTCGATGAAAGAAGTCGCGGAGTTCACGGGCTTCCAAAACTGTGGACCCCGATTGCGGAAGTGGGGGCTGGCGTTCATCCTCCAGTTGAACGAAGCTACCACTTGCTGCTGCGCAATTTTTCGACGAGAGTAGGAGCGACGAATGATGCAAAGAGCCCCCACCCTTTGTAGCAACAAACACTAGCAACGGCATATCACAACAAGGGCCATGCATCACGGGTGGGATTACTTTCCTAAGGCGCAGTTCCTACGGTCTGCGCACCGCGCCAGCCATTATCATTCTTGATGCTGGAACATCCGCATCCTGCTCAGCAATGCGAGCACACACGTGTTGCCACGTTGGGTGAGAAGTATCCAAGAAGAGCGACTTTGAAGAATGGAGGCTTTAATGTACGGCTAGCGCACCCGCTACGGCTCTAAATTTTGGCCTACGACTGAAGATCACCTATTTTGCCTAAAGCCACCACCAATGACGGCTACTCTTCTTTGCTAGCCCGAAGTTGACGCGAACCCCTCCACAGGATCCCTGCTCGTTCCCCATAGATCACAACGGTTTGCGGCTCCAGTATACTCGGCATTTGCGAGTCACGCTAAGTATCCGATGTTTCTGCAACTAACGAACTTTTCTTACGCTTTTGTCGGTGGTTTTGGTGTCAAACGCGTGGTCGTGTCGTCATACTGAACATTTATTTCCCCACACCCCGCTTCCGGTGTTAACGGGGTATTAGCTTCATTGTCCGGCAATTGTGGTTGAAAAGCGAAGTATAAGGGTATCTGGGTCAAGTGAGCACTCGCACATCCTGCACCTTGCATTGGGATATTGATTGGATCATGACAGTCCATCGTGGTCCCCTTCTTGCAGCCCTCTTTGCGAGTGGTGCTTACGCGCTGTTCCCTGATTGTGTTAACGGGCCTTTAAAGAATAACACTATCTGCGATGTCTCCGCATGTACGCTGTCAACAACCATGTTTCGAATGCATTGAAACGTTTGCTGATCACATCTACAGCACCGGCCGAAAGAGCCAGGGCACTCGTCTCGCTCTACACGCTAGAAGAAAAGATCAATGCTACCGGTAGTACAGCCCCAGGGGTTCCGCGCCTTGGTATACCGCCTTATGAATGGTGGTCTGAGGGACTTCATGGCATCGCCGGGCCATTCACAAATTTCTCCGAGGAGGGCGATTACAGCTACTCGACATCTTTTCCGCAACCTATTTTGATGGGTGCAGCATTTGACGACCAACTCATTACCGATGTGGCTACTGTTATTGCGACGGAAGCCAGGGCTTTCAACAACGCAAACAGGACTGGCTTAGACTTCTGGACACCGAACATCAACCCGTTCAGAGACCCGCGATGGGGCAGAGGACAAGGCAAGCTATAATGTTGAATTAACGATTTGGCTCAACTGACGATTCGTTGTAGAAACGCCTGGCGAAGATCCCTACCATCTTTCCTCCTACGTCCATGCTCTGATCAAAGGTCTACAAGGTGATGCAAGTGACCCATACAAACGAGTGGTCGCCACATGTAAACACTATGCAGGTACGTCTATAGCATTTGTGGCATCGCACGTCTAGGCGCTGACATTATATCTAGGCTATGACATTGAAAGTTGGAACGGGAATCTGCGTTACCAATTCGATGCGCAGATATCTCAGCAGGATCTTGTTGAATACTATCTGCCACCATTCCAGAGCTGCGCCCGTGACTCCAACGTCGGAGCCTTTATGTGCTCTTACAGTAAGATGAATGTCTTCTAACTGTTAGAACGATGCTGAGACGAAATAGACTCGGTCAATGGAGTACCAACCTGCGCAGATCCTTACCTCCTGCAGACCATCCTGCGAGAGCACTGGGGATGGACGAATGAGGAACAGTGGGTGACAAGTGACTGCGATGCTGTACAAAACATATATCTGCCCCATGAATGGGCCTCCACTAGAGAGCAAGCTGCTGCTGACGCTCTCATTGCTGGTACAGACGTAAACTGTGGTACTTACATGCCCAATCACCTACCGGCTGCGTTTGCTCAAGGTATTGTCAACGAGACTGTACTCGACCAAGCTCTGACCCGTCAGTACTCATCTTTGGTCCGGTTGGGGTGAGTCATCTTGCGAATACATATGAGGCAGTGCTGATGAAGCTTGAAGCTACTTTGACCCGCCCGAGAACCAACCGTATCGCCAGCTTGGCTTTGAGGCTGTTGCAACCAACGCCTCACAAAAGCTTGCTTACAAGGCCGCTGTTGAGGGCATAGTGCTGCTCAAGAACGATGGACTTTTACCGCTCTCACTCGATTCTTCCACTTCGCTTGGCCTCTTCGGCGGCTGGGCAAATGCGACGGAAGATTTACTCGGAAACTATGCCGGTGTATCAACCTATCTCCACAGTCCGCTATGGGCTGCCCAGCAGCTCAACGTGACAGTCAACTATGCAACAGGACCTGGTGGACAAGGCGATCCAACCACTGGTGGGTGGCTTTCTGTATGGCCAGCTGCGAGTGCTAGCGATGTGATCATCTATGTTGGTGGCATTAACAATGATGTCGAAGAAGAAGGAATGGACCGTGGTTCGATCGCATGGACGGGCGCGCAGCTTGACGTCATCGGGCAACTTGCTCAGCAGGGCAAGCCGATGGTAGTCGTGCAGATGGGAGGAGGCCAGATTGATTCATCGCCCATCGTAAACAATCCTAATATATCGGCTTTGCTTTGGGGTGGATACCCAGGGCAAGACGGAGGCGTTGCTATCATTGACATCATCACTGGCAAGGCTGCACCAGCAGGTCGTCTACCGACAACGCAATATCCAGCTTCCTTCATCAACGAGGTTCCGATGACCGACATGTCACTAAGACCCGGTCGCAACAACCCTGGGCGCACGTACAAATGGTACAATGGCACCGCTGTGTTCGAGTTTGGGAGCGGATTGCATTATACCAACTTCTCCGCCTCCATGACGTCCAATGTATCGGCAGGGTTTGACATTGCCGAATTGATGGCCACTTGTCACAGCTCGAACGTAACGTACCCAGACCTGTGTCCCTTTGGCGCACCAGTTCAGATCGAAGTCACCAACATGGGCAACACTACTTCAGACTACGTCACGCTGGGCTATCTCGCTGGCACATTCGGCCCTGCACCACATCCAAAGAAATCGCTTGTGGCCTATCAGCGCTTGTTCGCACTCAGTGCTGGCTCTTCGGCTACTGCCAGTCTCAATCTTACGCTCGGATCCTTAGCGCGAGTAGATGATAAAGGCAACAAAATCCTATACCCTGGCGACTACAGTCTGCTCATTGACAATCAGCCTCTGACCTCCTTTAATTTCACCTTGACCGGAGATCAGGTGATGTTGGATGAGTGGCCGCAGCCACCCGCAAACCGGACCGGACAAGGTGTGAGCGGGTTTGAGGATTACTTTGTGGGAGGTTACGGAAGCGATCAGAAGCCTGTCTCTACATGATCAAACTGACCAATACATCGTCCAGTTCTACACAAGTACCTCGCTGCGAGTGATTCTCATGTAGTCAGACAGCACATACTGCCACAAGGCCTCTGCTGTACCGTTCTCTTTGAAAGCTTTCAATAACCCCTCCACTTTAGGTGTTGCACTTTCCCCTTTAGCATCTACAGAGTAGACTCCACTGCCATTCCGCCCATCTATGCCCCTAGCTACATGAATTGGCGTCGTCGAAGAAACACCCGAAGTCTCCCCATAATTCTTCTGAACTGCATATCTGGCACTGGTAGCCGCAAATAGATGACGTTCCCCACACTCATTCGGTGACGTATTGATCAGCGGAGCAAGAAATCCGGTAATCGTAACCATGATTCTTAATCGTAAAGTAGGTTCCATATCACGCATGATGCCGCTCTTCACAACACCCGGACATGTGTGTACGAAGCCGACATCGGGAGCCCGCTGTGCTACTTTGCTGAGAAGTAGAGTGAGGCACGAGGCGAAATGATCGCGCCACTCGAGTAGAGGAAGGCCGATCCCGGGTATATTTCCTGTGACGATAGGTCCTTCGTAGGAGGCGGCTCCCACACTGACGACGCGGCGCAGCTGGCGAGCGTTCTGTATGAGAGGGAGCAGGTTCAGGATTAAGCGGGTTCGGCCGTGGAGAGCGAGTGCGGGGACTAAAGGCAGACCTTCAGACGTTTCTTCGTGAATCTTAGTACCGTGGTTCGAGGAGTAAACATTTTTGGAAATACCTTTGGTGAAGCCCATCGATCCCTGACTTTGGAACAAGATATTGATTGCGCTCTCTTTGCTCCTGATTTGGCGGCACACATCGTCGATATTCTGCAGCAGACTCACATCCACTGCGATGAATTCGAATCTTCCCTCACTGTTCATCCGTTGACACTCGTGGATGATCCGGTCGGCCGCCTCCTTGGATCGTCCAACAACATACGCACGTGGCTTGGAAACATACTTCGCAAATGCTTTCACAGTGTATTCGCCAACTCCACTGGTACCTCCTATGAAAACGGCGACAAGTCCATCAGGGAAGGATGATGCAATACGTTTGTTCGATGCGATGGCTTCGTTTAGAGTGACCATGTTGCGCCTGTGACTGCTTGGGAGGCTTGCAGGTGCAGCGCATTGAGAGCAGCATAGCTCATTTGATAGCCTTCAAGCATTGCTCCTCCAGGCACCGTACTTTACGTTGGCAGCCTTACCTTTAAAGAAAGCACGGTACTAGGCATCGGTGATCTTAAGGCTCATGCAATACGCTCGACGCACTTCCAAAAGGAGCTAAGCCTCTTGGAGCGATACGAGACCAATTGGGAAAACGCGTTGCGGAGATAGGAGATAACGTTCACCTTCACAAGTGTTTCGCCAACCCTACCTAAAAGGAACATACGAGCTTCTCTGATGCATGCCTCTGACACAATCAAGTCAATGTCTGAAGTCCAAGAAAGTAGGGCAAACCCTACACAGCATATGCAAAGCTTTACAAGCACCTTCATCCTTGCGCCAACATCTGCCTCCAATCATGTCCTCTGTGAGATACCAGAGATCCTAGCGAAGGATGCGCACCGGAAGCGACGCTCGCACTCTAAGACAAATAATGGATGTGAGGCTTGCAAGAGGCGCCACGTCAAAGTTAGCACAATATGCACCCTTCCTTGAGCACCCGATGATGACTGTAACAGTGTAACGGAGCCGTTCCCTGCACGAACTGTACTCAGCGACGAGAGAAATGCAAACCACATCCTCGACATGAACTCAGCAGCCGAAAGCTGCGTCACAGCCAAGTTTCCAACCACTCCAGAAGCGCGCCACAATACCCTCATTCTCCCCTCGTAACTCCCCTGCTACCTACGTCGCTCGACAAAACACACACGAACCTCACCAATCTCTACCTCTTCCACCATTTCCAAGTCCATACACAGCACACGCTATTACTTCCCAGCCCCGTCTGGGCTACCGCAACTAACCTGTCCTTTTCCTTTCCCTTTCTTATGCACGCTGTCCTTTGCATCTCAGCGCGGCATCTTGCCTACCTCTGCCCAGAACGCACAGCCTACTATGCCAATCTCGCATCCACACACCTACACCGCACACTGTCCGGATTCCGCTCTGCGCTTCTTTCCGTCGGACTAGCCTCGAAGAAGAAGGAAGATATCGATGTCTTCATATCAACAGCGCTGTTGCTGCAATTCGAGCTATGGGCCGATGTGAGTTATCTCGATAACGGAGACGGAGATGAAGCAAGCTATAAACCCAGCAAAGACGCGATATTCGCATACAGCGCGAGCTTGAAAAACACTCTCCTGGGATATTTCGAGCCGAGCGACGTACAGCGGTCGAGTGTGATGACGCATCTAGTTAATGATGGGACGCTTTCCGATGTCATCCCATTCGATCCATGCACCACAATTTACGTGCAGAATTTCTTCCTGCGGAGAGGGAGAGTAACGAGGGATATGGTTCTACCTTCTCCTCTCTCGCCAGAGGATCTGGCCGAGGGGATTCGCGGGCAAGGAGAGGCTGTCCCTACGCGGGACGGTGCATATACGCCTATCATCTCCGCACTCACCCCCCTCCTCATCTACCTCTCTTCATCATACATGCCGCTGCAAAATGCCTCCATGTCATCTTCCATGTCATCTTCCATGTCAACGTCCACGAAGATTGCCCGGCACATCCTGTGCTTTCCGATCCTCTGCCGTGGCGCTTTCGCAGGCAAGATCGCAGCTAGTGATCCCTGCGCGCTGCTCATACTGTATCACTTCTTCCGCGCGGCGCGGATGCTACTAGATGGTGACGAGTTCTGGTGGGCGAAGAGGCGGGCTGCGGCTGTGGAGCGGGGGTTGGGAAAGTGGCTTGGTAGGGACTATGGAGAAGAATGAGAGGCTGGATATGCGGGGGGTATGCTTGCGTAAGGAGTATTTAGGCCGCTCGATATCTTTGACTAAGGTTACTTGAGCCATATATAGGTGCTCAACTAAGCTGTTGTTGAACGACGCATTGGACTGGTATGGAATTCGCAAGAGACATAGGTCACACCAAGCAAGTATTCGTCAAAGGCGAGTTGAAAAAGTACACGGTTTAATTGAACCAAGAAAGTATGATATATACAAGAAGATAGTTCTCCGTCACCGTCCATGTGATGACTGTTGTACAAGTCCATTAGCGATCACCAGAATGACACCGCTTAGACGCACTGCGAGTAGAAGTCGTTCATGGCAGTGCAGGTAGAGCCGCTCTCGCAGCTTGTAGCGCCAGTGTATGTCTTACCACCGCACTGGCCGTACTTCTTGACACTTCCGGCAGAGCCAGTGGAGCCAGGAGCAGAGGGAGAAGTGCCATTGGTGGGAGCGGCAATGACTGAGGTCTTGAAACCGCTGGGAGCAGCAAAGCTGGGGATGGCAGTGTTGTTACCGCCAGGGGCAGCAGTTGCGTAGCCAGTGGCGCTGGCGACCGGGGCGCTTGAGATGGCAGCGGCGCTCGAGGCGGGAGCGGCTACGCTGGAGATAGCGGCAACGTTCGAAGCGAGGCTCACGCTTGTGGACACAGGAGCAACGCTCGAGGCAGCGGCAGCAGAAGTCGCAGGCGTGGTGACGTTGGAAGGCTTGGACGAGACTGGGGTGGTGGAACCCGAGCCATCGCAGCTGGCGACTGGGCCACCGGGGGCAGTGTAGTTGGTGGGGTCGAAGCCGTTGTAGACGTTGGGGATGTAGATGTCAGCGTCCTCAGCGTTGTATGCGCCAGGGAGCTCGATGGTGGGACCGCAAGCACCGTCACTGCCGGTACCAGTGATCTTGAGCTGAGCACAGCCAATGTAGAACTGGGCTCCACCGACAGTCTGCGCACCGTGAAGCGCAAGCATTTCCGAGCGGAGAAGGTACTCGCCACTGGGCAGGCCAGTGGGAAGCTTGAATTCGTGCGTCATGTTGGCGGCGCCCATGATTTCGTTGGCCCACTTGCCGTCAACGTAGTCAAGTTCGTCGATCTTGAACCACGAACCAACGCCGGTGGCAGCCTTCGCGCTGTCAACGGGGCCGAAGAGCATGTGGGTAATAGGTCCAGGGTGTCCGGACTGATCCCACTGAACCTTGATGGTGTCGCCCTCGGCGGCAGCTACGGTGTCAGCAACACCAGTCTGTCCGTCGACATTGCAGGCCATGTCTTCGCTTGTGACATCGGTCACAGGGCTGTTGGAAGGCGGCATCCGAACGCCGACCTGGTAGCCGGGAGTCACGTCATTGACCCAGAACTGGTGGAAGTTCTGGTGAGCGGAGACAGCCGCAATGAGCGAAGAAGCGAGGAGGGTCTTGGAGAACATTTTGTAAAGCAAGTAAGTGATCCCGGATCACGGTAAACGAATGAAAGTGGTTGAAAAGAGCGAAGGTGGATGAAAAAAGAATGTCAGCCGTGTAGGACTTGCCTGTGAGGATGGAAGGGAAGACGGAGGAATGAAAACTCTTATACTGTGCCATGGCGGCGTGATCTTCGGCTTTCATGATCGCCAACCCTCGAATTCAATGAGTTCCAAGCAATTCCAAGCGTACCCAAACCGCGCGCAAGAGGTTGATGGAGGGGGCCAGGGGATCCGTGAACGTGGGATGACAGCCGCTGCACCATCCGCGACGTGGTCTAGTGGTTGCCCTATCAAGCGTAGTCGCGAGCCTCATAGTGGGTAGTCCGTCCAGCTTTGGTGAGGTGGCGGCTATAGAACCACCCGATTATGCGGGTGGAGTCTGAGGGCGACAAGCGAGATTACCAGTTCATGTTCCATCGTTTCGAAACTGGATGAGAGATGTCCCACCAATCGGCCATCGCATCGCATCGCGTAGCTTTGTTTCACGCAAATGTTCGAAACGCAGCGGCAAGAACATCGAATTATTGAAAAAGAGGTGAAGAGGTGGGAACGACTTCTGATGTTGAGGAGCAGGTGGGGCGCACCTTCGTGATGACATACGAACAGAGGGTAAGGGAAAAAGCCACTCCCACACAACAGAATGCGTCGAATAATCTCCAAGAACATACTCGACGGACCAGCTCATCTTGCTTTATTATCGACGAGCCGCATGGGCGCCACCAAACCTCTGCTGTGGCTCCACAGCCGTTGTAAACGCTGCCTCGCTCGCATTCGGCCACGACCCGTCGCCATCTCGCTTGCTCCGAACTCATCTCTTATCTTTCCAGGTCAAGCCCGACGAAGACCGCGTTTGCATTCATGCCGGCGGAAACTAGTCTCTTAATATGCCGAGAGAGGGGACAGCCTCTGTGTTCGTGGTAGCACACAGCACGCGTGCTTAACACCGGAATCCTCTTCGGAAGGGCACGAAAGTCCTGCCGCGCTTTACGGTGAGATCGTCCTTTGGATGTTTGACTTCATGTACACCTCCCGGATGTGTGGGGGTAACAATAAACCAGTGTGTCTCTATAGCTCCCGGAGTGACCTCTTGGGACATGCACCCAGCAATCGGATGCGGCGAAGTGCGATACCTTTGCAGGATTTTGGTCTGGACTGAGCTGAACGTACTCTTCCCCGCGACCGTTGCGTTTAATCCAACCGTGTTTGAAGCAGTCGAATTGAGGTGGACAGCTCACAGAGAGGTCCTGAAAGCCACTTGACTGCATCTTCAGAATCTTGGAGCCGTCCTGCCTGAGGCCGCAAAGTTGTTTGACGAGTGGCACCATCACAAAGCGAAAGCATGCTCCTGTCGCTCCGGGGCTTCCAGGAAGTGAGACTATGGGCATCTCGCCATGAGGCGTGGGCAAAGTTGCTAACAGAACCGGATGGCCAGGCTCAATCGCGACGCTATCGAACCGTATGCGAGCGCCCAACGCCTTGAGCGCCGACGTAGAATCCTGAGAAACAGCACCAGCAGTGACTACCGCATCGTATACGCCACGGTCGGGTTTTTGCAAGAGCGCTTCACACACCCGATCTACACTGCCCTCCAAGACACCTTTGAAATCAGCATGTGTGCCAAGCTCTCGTAAGGCTGCAATGAGGAAGTAAATGCTGGGACCCGTCGTTTGCAATTCCACGTTCGACCAGATCGCAATCCTCAAGTTCCTTCGAACGGATATCGCAGTAATACCTGCGGACGCCAGCGCCATAACATGTCGAGGCTGGATCTTTGCTCCCTTTTCCAGCAGTGTCTCGCCGTTTTGGATGTCCGAACCGGCCGCTCTTATGTTCGCATTCTTTGGAACGGGCTCTACCACCGTTATCATCCTTTGCGAGCCGAAAGCTGTGGGCACAACGTCCTCATTCTTCACGCAGGCATCCAATCCATCGCTCGTCATGCCGTTCTGAAATCGCGTTCCCGTCCTGATTTCGAAGCACGATGGTATTCCACTAGCACTAGAGGGAGACCTGTCCGGTGGCTTGTCTCTGGCTAGGATAGTTCCTTCCACTATGAACGTAACAGGTCGTTTTTTCGTGGCTTTTGCAGTCGCGGCCGAGGATATGGCATATCCGTCCACAGTTGAGGCATCGAATAGCGGCGTCGCAGCCGGGCTCACGTGGTCTTCTCCTGCAATGCGACCCACGGCATCTTCCAAGGATACAACCTCAATATCTTTTTCATCTTCTCGGCCAACTCTTTCCACTGCGACTTGTTTGATGATACCGAGCGCTTCGCTATACCGTATCGCCATCGCTTCCAAGGATGCAATCTTTGGATTTTTTGGTTTTCACGAGGCATGGCGGAGCAAAATCTGCACACCTCGGATGCGGATCCGAGGTGCACAGACCGTTATCGTAAGTTATCGGAGCGCTTCAAGTGAGACATCTCATATTAACTTGAGCTCTGGTCACGATGATGTGGGAATGTTTCACTCCGCTTTTCGCAATAGCGTGTGCGCTGTTCCGAATAGCGCAAAAATTCCCGCAATGCCGCCCAACCGCCAATAGCCTCTTTGCCATCACCTACGTCACTCCACGGAACGCAATGCCCTACAGAGACGCGTTGAGCCACGCCTGGGTATGGATGCGCCATGGAGGAACACCACCAGCCCAAGGGTTGCATAGGAACTACATGTAGCACGTGGTCGTGCCGATGAACATTCCACACGATTGCGTGACCCTCAGGAACCACAGGCCTCATGCAGTCAAAGATATATCCAGCTTGGAACAAGGCATAGTTAATAACCGCAAGCAAGGCGGCTATCGTGGCTTTGCGCTGTCTCAAGGTGGTCAGAGACTACATGCGCATGGAATCTATCCCATCAAGCAGAAACTGAATGGTCGCACCTAATCTTCAATTACTGCTCGACTAACACTACAACTACTTGCTAGGTCCAGTTTCGGTTAGCGTGGCCAAAACAGGAATGCTCTACCCCTCATTCGTGCTACCGGTTCTTCGTACCATCCCTACGGTCTTCATCTATTTAAACATGTTCAGGGTCTTCTTCGTATACGTTCGGCCTTGGTACGGTCGGTCCTCGTCTGTCGACCATCGCATCGCTCTCATGATGCCGATTGCCAAGCTACAATAATCTGCAAAAGGCGAAGACTAATCATCTATCCACGGACATCACGGTTGGTCCCAGGTATACAGGGGAGCTACCATTGGAGTACAGGCCACATTCGCTACATATCGATAGCTTACACATCATCTACATATTACTATACTGCACTTGGCGCAACGTCTGGAAGAGCTTGGCGATGCTTTCTTCACGCAGAGAGGAGTTTGAGAGTAATTAAGAAAGCAGTGATAGACCTAGGCAGGCGCTGTCGATAATGATAGTAGACAGCACCGGCAGATGCTCGCCCTGCTCATCCCGATTGAGACTCCGGTGTACCCACATCTTATATGCCATCGTCTTCCAATCCACTTATTCTAGTCATTGCGAAGTGCTCCCAAAATACACGACATCTGGTAGCGCCACCTTCACCATCCCCGCACAATGCGTTTCCTCGTCCAGGTTGCGGCCATATTGGCCAGCGCCTCCTTATTAGCAGCGCAAGACACCTACGACTATATCGTCATAGGCTCTGGTCCCGGCGGCGGTCCTCTTGCGTCCAACCTCGCGCGCGCAAATTACTCGGTGCTCCTCCTTGAAGCTGGCGACCAGTCCACGGCCGGCAACGCGGAGTACCCGCCGCAGCTCACGTGGGACTTCTTCGTGAAGCACTACGCAGACGAGAAGAAGAATATGATGAATAAGCATTTAACGTGGAAGACCAAAGAGGGACGGTATTGGGTCGCGGCTGGAGATGCGACACCGCCCGCTGGAAGCACCTTTTTGGGCGTATACTATCCGCGTGGGAGTAGCTTGGGCGGCAGCTCAATGATAAACAAGATGTGCACGTATAGGCCCTCTTCGTCTCTCCTCTTTCTTATGTCAATGCTGATCATTTCCAAGCTGGCTGCCGCCGAACAGCGACTGGAACTACATTCAGAATCTCACTGGCGACACTTCGTGGAAGTAAGTACCAAAATGCTAAATCACAGTATCTATCCTAATTGCTGTAGCTCGGACAATATGCGCAGCATTTTCCAGCGTATCGAGAAGAACAATTACATGACCAAAGGAACCGCAGGCCATGGGTTCGAGGGCTATTTCCAAACCAACATGAACACGCCGGCAAGCCTGGGGCAGCCCGCTCTAGGCATCATGCAAGCCATCGCGCAGAACTTCTCACTCTCCACGTCACAGGCAGATATAGTTGCGAGAATGAGCTCGGATGCAAACTATCTTGACCCGCAGCGCGAGTGGACGACGGGAATCTGGGGCTTGCCTATGCATCAGAAGGCCACGGGTGATCGATACAGCTCGCGCGACTACATCCAAGATACGATCCAGAAAAAGTTCCCCTTGACGCTGAGTATCAACAGTCTTGCTACAAGGGTACTATTTGCGAACGGGACGGCCTGCGGTGGCCAGCCAAGAGCGACAGGCGTCGAATACCTCCAGGGAACATCAATATACAAGGCCGACGCTCGCTTTTCCTCGTCCAACAAAGGCAAATTCAGAACCGCCACCGCACGCAAAGAAGTTATCATCTCGGGCGGAACCTTCAACACGCCACAGATCCTCATGCTCAGCGGCATCGGGCCCAGAGAGCAGCTCGCGCAATTCAACATCACCGTAGTCGTCGACGCCCAAGGCGTAGGAAGAAATCTCCAAGACAATCAAGAAATGCCAATCATTGGCCAATACTCCGGCTCCAGCGCCGGTTTCTCCCAACCCATCATCATGATGAAAACCCCGCACTCCCCAGATGGCGAGCGCGACATGTTCCTCATGCAAGGCGAATTCGCGTTCCGCGGGTTCTGGCCTGCGAATCAGACTAATACCGCATTACCTCAAGACGCACCCAAGACGTACGGCATCAGCATGGTGAAGGGTAAGCCGCAGAATAAGAAGGGGTTCGTGAAGTTACTGTCGGGAGATCCGACGGATATGCCCGAGATCAACTTCATGCTGTTTGAGGAGGGGAAAGAAGTTGATATGGGCGCAATGAAGGATACAGTTGCGTGGGCGAGGAAGATGTATGCTGGTGCGAAGGGGGTTAGTGTGCAGGCGAAGGAGCCGCCGTGTCCTGAGGGGCCGGATGAGAATGGGTACTGTGGGAAGGCGGATGAAGACTGGAGTAAGTCTTGAATTCATACTATCTTCTCAATTCTGTGTCGTGCAATTGCTAATGGTTGAGCACAGTTACCGGACAAACCTTTGGGCATCACCCTACGTCTACAGCGGCGATTGGCAAAGACGGGGATCCGCAGGCTGTGCTGGATAGCAGATTCAGAGTCCGAGGTGTCAAGGGCTTGAGGGTTGTGGATGCGTCTGCTTTTCCGAGGACGCCCGGTGTGTTTCCGGTTGTAAGTACGTTCATGATTAGCGAGAAGGCGAGCGATGTCATGAAGGAGGATGCGAAGAAGGATATTTGCGCGGCTTAGGTAACCGAGCTTGAGATTCTAAGCAGATCAACCTGATACACAGACACGGCGATGCGAGATACCTGTTTACTTCTAGCGTGTTGAATTGTGTGAAACCATACAGTGGTGGCGGCGTGTATCCGGACCGTCGTGACGCGTGAACAGAAACGGCAAGCGCTAAGCCATTTGGGGGTTACTGCCTGGTTATCGTGCGAGACCTTGGCCTGCGTTCCCCTATCTCCACAGTCTAACACCTCGATTTTAAATGGCTTCCATCGTGTCAATGCGTTAGGCAGGTAGGAAACACTCATTAATGTGTAAGCAAAAGAGAGCCTGGCGAGCAATACGTACCTATGGTAGGCCTCCTCCTAGTTGCTGATACGTATCCATCCTTACGTGCGCGACTTCCATTCTTGTTCTCATCAACCACGGCAATGGAAAGAAAAATCTACATGCCAGACCCACAAGCTGGACCACCGTACCCGGGTCTCGGTCTCCCACTTCGCGTCGAGCCAGATCATGGCCAACTCTCCTACCCCATTGGCGCTCACGGCAGCTGCTCCGGTGCTCATAGCGATTGTTTACCAGTTCGAGAACTTGCAATGATGCACATCATGGACCGTCTCACTGACAAACCGAATTGGAGGAAGAAGGTCTGGGATGAGGAGATTGTGAACAAGTGGCGTGAGGAAGCGAAAATCATTCCGGACATTAAGTGGTGGAATATTGCTACGAAGGGCAAAGGCCGATTTGAGGAACAACCACAGGAAGAAGACGAAATTGAGAGTTATCATCCCTATCAGTTCCATAGATGTCAATTGGAAGGTGTCGTGAACGATAATACCTTCGATTGTGTAAGTTGCGCTCCAAATTGTAGGAAACACTTCCGTGACATGTAGCTAAAACAGGGCAGAGCATCAAGGAACTCCGAAGCAAAGCAAGCTATTTCGATAAAACCGGTATCGTAGTTACGATGGATGCGTGCGCATCTGTTGCGAAGTCCGATAGCCTGATTCCATCTGAACTCCACGACGAACTATGCGAAGCATCTCGCAAATTAATAGCTGACCAGTCGCACGCCCCGGATTGGCACCCCAACTCGAAAGACATGGTCCTAGACCTAGTGCACCCATCAATGTACCCTTTGATCTATGGGCGCAGCAAAGTGTTCAGGGAAGAGCTTGTTGGTATCGATGATGCAGTCTCTAAATGGTCTGGCAAGGGCGACGTCATTGCAAAAGACAAACGGACATATGATGAAGAGCGAGATGAGCACAACTACCGTATCGGTGGCAGCATTCATCCGAAGTACTGGAATGACACGTATCAGTGGCTTCCAGCGAATCTGTCATTCCAAGACGATGGTGCGGTGAAATTCACCAGCTACATCAACAACCTTCATCCTCAGAAATATGGTGGGATGTATCATACTATCGAAAAGCTGATCGAGACTGCACTTCCTCTTTGGGACCAGTGCCTCAACCCTGATGTTCTCACGAATGTGGATCGGGAGCATGAAGACTACGCTGGTGGCGCAGGTAGGCTTAGTTCTCGATTTGCATATCCCGATGAAGACACCGCTGAGTGAGTTTGTCCTCGGAAAATAATTAGCAAGGGTCGCTGCCCGGTGCTATAAAGTGACGATATTCCAGAAAATTGGATTCCATCTGATCCACAGGAACTCGCCCACATCAAGGTGAACTGGGACGAAGTTCGTTTGCGGGACTTCCCGACCCGGCACGCAGATGACGACAATGAGTTAAAGTGGATATTGCTCAGAAAAGCTCGCATGCCTGAAGCTGAGTATAAAGACGTCGAGCACGCGCCAAAGGAGGGCACGCGACTTTTTGACAAATTCCGCGACATAGGCCTTCAAGTCATTGTCAAGATGGTATCTATCGAACTTACGCCAGAGAAACCGGACTTCCCCGCTGGTGGGTGGCATGTGCGTCACAGGTATCCAGTGGAAGGGCTTGACTGATGTTCTGCTAGGTCGAAGGGCAGATGAACGAACACATCTGCGCAACTGCGCTTTACTATCTCGACTCCGAAAATGTTACAACGAGCAGCCTCTCGTTCCGCATGCAGACTGATGCATACATGACTGATGAATACAGTGTCGGCCAGCAGGCGTACTCTTGGCTGGAGCAGATTTGGGGCACTGAGCTCAGTTATCAAGGAGCTTGCTTGCAAAATTATGGTAGCGTAGAAACGCACCACGGAAGACTACTGGCTTTCCCAAACGTATTGTAAGCATTCCAGTGAAGGAAAAGAGCTGTTACTAAAATTCGTCAGCCAACATCGCGTCTCGCCCTTCTCTTTGGCAGATAAGACTCGGCCAGGTCATCGTCGTTTTATCGCGCTCTGGCTTGTCGACCCTCACCAGCGCATCATCTCCACGGCCAACGTTCCGCCTCAGCAGCAAGACTGGTGGCTCAGTTCAGTCTCCGGTGACGACATGGAGTCCCGCGACACAGCCCCAGGCCAGGTACCAGCCGAAGTCTTGTCTCTTATGGAGAAGATGTCACTCGATTCTCCTTCGTTGGCTAAGGAGGGCAAACTTCCGCCTGAGCTTATGGAGATGGCATGGGAGCACTTCAAGACCTCCGAAGATAAGGTTTTGTTGAGCGAAGAAGAGGCGAAGGAGCATAGGGTGAAGCTGATGAAGATGAGGACAGCGTTCGTGGATCATAGCGAGGAGATGTGGCATAAGCACACTTACAGTTTCTGTGAGCATTGATTTGAACGTCTGTCGTCAATTCAGGTATCTATCAAGAACACAGTATAGGCGATGTCTTCTTATAGCCTTTGGTATGGTAAAAACAGAGGAGTCGAGCTTGTGTGAGCTCAAAATTACAACGTTATACTGGATAAAATACTACGAGATCAACTCGCTTCCCAACCGGGCCGCCTCCTCGAGGCCCATTGGTTCCTTAAATGACTATTTCCAGTTCTTTTGAACGTCAGCATTCTCTGAAGCTTGCTCAGACTGCGTAACGTAGATGTCAGACTTCACATTGATCCCTCCACGGTCTCCTTGTCCATCAGAAGTGTGCACACCGCTCCTTTGGATGCTGTGTAGGAGGTATTCGTCGCGACCCGGCCGCTGCTTGCTGTCATTGAATCCACTTGAACCTGCATATTTCTGCCCAGTCGAGACGATAGTTGTCGATAACGATGGAAAGTACCTTTGAACAAAGGGTTTGAGGCGAGCCACTGCCATTGCGTTAGATGGTTGCGCAAGTACAGACACGAGATGGGTAATGACTTACAGCTGGCACCTAGGATCCCAATGTTCAACTCAATAGCCGACCACACCCCAACTCTAGCTTGACACCACGTAATGTCCGGATTGTCTTGGATGTCGTTCACAAACGCGATCCTGCCAATTGATGCGACGACACAGAATGAGCCCAAAGTCATCAGTATTCCTACTGAGACCTTCTGGCGCGTTGGCATCTGGAGTTGGTGGACCAAAGGAATTGGCAGGCCAATGACTAATACATCTGAAATGATGTTCAAGGCAGCATGGGCAGTACCAGCGTGCGTGAGGCACACAACGCTCCCATGGAGCGGATCGCAGGGTCCGGTTACCAGCACCGTCAGTACGATGGTGTATACAACAATGCAGGCACCGGTAATCCAGGCGCTTCTTTTTCCCCACTTCGCATGATAAACCTGATGGATCAATGTCAAAACCGATAGCTTCGTCAACGTAGGCGTCCAGAAATAAGTCACCGACATGGCGACGAGTTGCTATACAGACCGTTCTCGTCAGTCGCAAGTGCAGAAATTGGTAACGGCGGAGAGACACGTACATGAAGATATCCCGGAAGCTCTGTCGCCTCGACATTCCATAAGTGTTTCCCGTAGCCGTATTTGATAGCTAGCTCCGGTTATGACTCGTTCCATTGCGATACGACGTTCTCGATATCACAGGAGGTATACTCACCAATTAAAGTGCAAGCGATCGAGCCGGCACCTACGCCCCAAGATGCGACCAGGAAGACTAGAATTGAACAGTATCAGTCGCGTACACAATGGAAGCAAAAAGGGCATCTTACAATCGCCAATGTCAGTCCTTCTGTTGATGAAGGCTGAGGTATAGATTCGGAGGCTCAAAAACACTGTTGCAATGGCGTATGTTGAGATGTTGGCAACAATAAGTGCGATTTGTACGGAACTGTATCCACCACCAAAGTTTGCCATTTCGCCCTCCGGGGCCGGCATAGCACCTTGTGGTGGTGTGTCTCCCATTGTGATCAACTTGGGAATACAAAAGCGGAATTGATGTTTCTGAAAGAAGCCTGCGAAGAGATCAGACCTCGGGACTCTCTTGCAAAGGGCGGTGCTGCTCAAGGTTTGGTTTGATAGTGTGAGCACTGTGGCAGCGAACTGAATGTTCGCGAGGCTGTGATCATAAAGGCTTATTTCCGCTGGGATGGGATTCCCAACTACCCCTTGTAAGGGTTGCCAAGCCGGGAACGCAAGTTAGTGGCTTGGGGCAGAAGTTGGGGTTTAGGGTGAGCTCAGACAGGCCAGACACGGGTGAGCATCAAGGGCTTGGCTAAATCCTTCAGTTACGCGGCGAATTATCACTAAGCTGGACATGCAGGGGAGCAGTGTTGCGCCGCAGCCGGGTGGATACGAGATAAATGCCAACGGTGCGACCCGTGAAACTACCCTTCATGATTGGAACGTTGTACATCAACGATCTGCACCTCGAACATCCCAATTTCTCAGCATAGACTAGGCCAAGAACATGTGCAGGTCAGGTTTATGCGGCACAGGTACAACTTCCCCAAGTTCTTATCCATTCGCTAAGTTCCTGCCGCATTGACTGCTGCTCAGGTTCGCGCGTCTCAAGGCCTGATCCTCATTCTAATCTTGAACAACTGCCGCCTTTTACCCAGAAAACTCGCTAGCCGAGATGCCCGTGCGAGCTGTTTGTTGAATTGCGAAGCATTGGCGACGCGCACGCGGTAGCTGCTCGCCTAAGTACGCCTGGTGGCCAGCAACTCTCTTCCACCGCTGCTTACGTTCTTCGTGGACGGTTAAGCGCCTCTCAGTGTCCTCTGTACAAAACAATATGGCGTCACTTGAGCAGATGTCGGCCATGGCCGGTGAACCTGATCTGGTCATTCCGCTGAACTACTTCGATAACAACACCATGTTCACGAGTATCACCATGCACGCAATCATGGTCTACGACGAGGTGCTAGATCCCGACAAGCTTCGTTCAAGTCTTTCCCAACTGATAGGACGGGAAACATGGCAAAAACTGGGTGCAAGATTGGAAAAGGGAGTAAGTCTATCAGCCATTCAATCTCGAGAATACCTACAAGCGGATGCTGACGCGCGACAGCAAAACGGACCTGAATATCGTGTCCCACGGAAATTCTCCACCGCCCGCCCGGCGGTCGCGTATACACATGTTTTGCATGACATGGCAAAAGCAGACCACCCCGCCGCTTCTCGCATACCCAGCTCGAAGTCAGCACCCTTAGAACGTCCTGCGCTCGTAGGAAATCCTGAAGATTGGAGCGAACTATGCTGTGGCGCTGACTCGCCGAAAACGATTTCAGACTATGTGGGCTCGGATCGGCCCGTCACTGGTCTCCGCGTAGTGTCATTCAAAGATGCCACCATTGTCAACATTCACTGGCTCCATCTCGCGGCCGATGCCATGGCCCTCAAGGCTATACTGGACAACTGGGTGTTGGTTCTTCAAGGGCGCGAAGCGGAGATTCCGCTCCAGCTTGGTTTCGACGAGGACCCGCTGCGCGAGCTGGGACTTCACCCCACAGAGGCGTACGAACTCGCAGGTTCTGAGCTGTCAAAGTGGGGTACATTGTCGTATGCGCTGAGAAATGGCTACAGTATCGCTTTAGGAAAGAAAGAAAACCGGACGGTCTGTATTCCAGCCGCCTTCTTGGAAAAGCTTCGTAAAACCGCACTCCAGGAGCTGAGAGATGAGGGCGCAAAAGATCCATTCCTGACTGATAACGACGTCATCACAGCCTGGTTCTCGCGTCTTGCCTTCTCCCACTTGCCTCCTGAAAAGCCTGTGACCATTATGCAAGCCATGTCTATGCGGCGCGCACTCGAGCGGGACCTCTTACCTCCAGGCAGGCCCTTCGTCTCCAACTGCCACAGCTTCACGAGTGTCCTGGGAACTAAAAAGGAGATTGATCAGTCGTTGGGACGTTTGGCAGGAGACATCCGGCGGGGCATCAACAAGCACGGCACACGCGAGCAGGTGGAAGCGTTTTGCAGTATGGTCCGGAGTAATGCGTGGCCATTGGGTCCCATGCCTATATTCTTTGGCCGAGCGAACATGCACCACATAGGATTTTCGAATTGGAAAAAGGTCAAGGCAAACTTGACAGATCTCTCGGCGGCATGTGTCACCAAGAGAGACATCCCTCTATACCCATCTTTTGTTTCGCAAATCCAGGGCGGCATCGCTTATCCAGATGGCTTCATCATTACCGGGCAGGACACTGAGGGTAATTATTGGCTCGAGGGATACCGGCCCGGCGGGCTGTGGGCGCACGTAGAGAAGTTGCTAAAGGCCGACATCTAGTTGTGATGGTAGTGTTTATCAGGGACTCGTCGCAATGGCGACCCTGCGCCTAATAGTTGCACCTAATGTATATATTCATGTAATCAACGTGCAGTCGCTCTATAAAAGGGCTTTCCTACAGAGTCCAGCATTTCTCATCAGCTGTGCAGAAATGGTTACAGCGGGGCACGATGAAGCTCCCACTGTCCGGTTGAGTGTTAGGGGCAGACGTGTCCTGGCATGCGTGGCCAGACCCACCGATATTAGATCTGGCATACCCAATGTGCCCGAGATATTCCCTATAGCGGTGACTGATACGAGCAAGGAGTCGGCGACCAAGTTACAGGTGGCAGCCGTTGGGCTGGACACCCGAGGGTGCGAATCCTTCGCTAGCCTTCTGGAGTAGTGATTTCAATGCTGCGGCTGGCTCGAGTCATTCATCTGCTCACTGATCCTCTTTCCATTGGTTCAATTCTCGTACCTTGCTTTGTTCTTTATCCTCCCATGTCGTTGCCGAGACGCTCGGCAGAGATCTCGTGGAGGGCCGCGAGGCGCGCACGGCGGGAAGCGATGACTATGCCAACAGCAGCATGCCGATCGCAACCCGCAGAGCACTGCCTGATCTCGTGACATTATGACCTCCAGGAGAACCAAGTGCGGAAATCTCGATGAACACGCAAGGATTCCCCCCATGCGGTGTGGTGCATCGTATGCATTAGCGGTGTTGGCATCTGTCCCTCTTAGCGCAGACAGCGCATCGACGCAAAACCTACCTAGTTACGAACTTTCCACATGGCCTTACTTCGTACGCGCAATCTCAGTGCATTAGCCAACGTCTCCCTTTGTTTGTACTGGTTATTTCTTTCGAGAAAAGGTCGCCCCCGTCGCACTCTTCAAGGATCCATCCTCATAAAGTGGCCAAGATCTCGTGCATCCTAGGCTGATTTGAGTCGTATGATGAAGTAATTAAATGTCTTGTTAGACTCTCACCTTAAAGAGTGCTAGTGGCTAGTCATAGGCTCAAAAGAGTACACGAGTGTCTTTGCAACAAATTATGGAGAATATGCCTATATGCATTCGATGGAAAGCGACTTTGATAAAGGCAAATGCAGTGAACTTGACCCATTGTTACCCAGTGTCTACATACATTGACGTTCAAGGAAGCTCAACGTATTATGACTTGGCCACCGTCTTGGACCACGGTGAACCTCGAGTAAATGGTATAGACACACTGTATAAATTGTGTAACAGTCGTCATTGGCGGCTAAAGTATTGAGGTTTCTGGTTTCATTTGATAAATATACAACGCGACATCTGAACGGCTCTTGTGTAGGGTATCCCGAGATGCATCTACTCTAGATTTCATCCAATATTGCCTGAGTGAACATCATGATGTTGAGAATGCACACGACTCCCTCCACCACCCATTCCAAACACAGTCTAGTGTAGCACGGCGTAACGGGTCTGCAGCGACTGCCGTGCTCGCGCGGCTCCGCCTCGGTCGTAATCGCTGGCGGGACGGATCGTCTCGCACGAGCGTCGAGTTGCAAGTCTCCCAAGGTTGCCAAGGCCTGCCTCAAAAGAATCGAGTGAACCCGAAATGACACCTTATCCTGCCCAATTGAAGGTACGCAGGCACATCTTCAAGCCCAAGGCGACGATCTTTCCCTTTGACTGCAACCTGTTCAGCCCTCGGTTCTGCGGCGAACACGGGCCACGCTGCTAGCCCAACGGCGAGTAGTCTTATTAGCTACTTCGAGCATGGCGTAGGTCATGTGACTGCAAAAACCTGCGTTCCGCTCATGCATACGTGGTTCAACATGCAGATGTTGGCACCATACGGCGGGTTATCTATCAATACTAACGCAGTGATGGTGGCACTATTGACCTCAAAGCATAGTTTGACATCAGCTATTGGCTCTTCGAAAGAGGACACCGCTGGTATTCACATTCCGGGCTGCTTCCGATGCATCTGGACCCTATCTTGTTGACGGTACAGTCGGCTAGCACGTACGTACGGCCGGGACCTGATTTCCCTCCTGCCTAACTAGTCTGCTTGGCAAAAACCGTATCTCTGGTCCTCCCATTAGACTGGGCCTTGCCGTCGTTCGTCGTCCACATATGCAGCCATGCAGCTTCACAGTGCCCTAGGGTACGGTACCTCGAAATGGCAGATTTTGAAGGAAGATGCACGTCGTAATTGACAGGCTGGTTGCAAGAGGGAAGTCCGAATGGCTCAAGAGCTCCGTGGACACGTCATCTAAGCATTGAATCTGCACTGAATCTTGACTCTTCCACAATACGGAACTATAGGTCCGACTACATCATTTACCAGTTGTGTATCGTGATCTGCGAATGTGCGGTCAAGTAGGAGGATACCAACCATATGCTACCTCCAGGCACGATTGGCTAAGGTCCGGAAAATAGCTTGTGCTAAGACATCCATGGCTCTTAGGCCCCAGATCTGGTATGGCAATTACCCGCCATCAAGACATGATTCGTAAACGACGTGGAAGGATTCGAAGGATTTCAACGCACTCGGTCTGATTTTTCCTGTTTGATTCCAAGCCCGACCACTGTGATGCTACGATCAGCGCGACACTTCAGCCTCGTAAAGGCAAGGCCTGTCAGCTATGACGACAATTGAACACTTTTCGACACAGCATGAGGTTCAACAACGCATATCTTGGTGGCTTGAGCGCAGGAGTGACGACACCGAGGTTGGAGCGTCACGAGAGGGCCGTCCGCGGCGCTCAATATATTTCCAGCAGTCCGTTCAACGAAATTTGCAGCTATAACATTCCATATGAACGATATTCAGACTTTCAACATGAACAAGAACCAAACTTTCAACAAAGGCGACCTCATGTCCCCTAAGACAGGGTACCCAGTATCCGATATACCAACTCCTCCAGAGTCGGAGGCTGCAAGCATCCACGAAACTGAGGAGCATCATGATGAAGAACAGGGCTCGTTCGTTCGGGTTCCAGATTGTTTCGGTTCCATCATGGCTCCGAAACCCGCCGTCAACCCCAACTATTTCGCAGCTAAAGCCAGAGGGGATCGTTGGATTGCGAAGTATGTGATTCAGATGGTGGGCGGATTATCGGAACCGCTCTGCCTGCAACGCGAATTATACTAACATGAACATTCTGCGCAGACACATGGGTTTTGACAAGAAAACAGCAGCGAAGAATGCACAAGCTGATCTATGCTATCTTGCGTCCATATGGTCGGCAACAGCGTCAGAAGACCGTCTCGTCATGATGTTGGACTGGAACAATTGGGTCAGTGCTCTTTGCTCTCTATTAAGTTTCTCACGAAGACTGACCGTGCCCTTAGGTATTCTTCTTTGACGACGGTATGTTACTCGGAGCCCATCTCTTTTCCGAAGTCTTTCCGTCTGCTCTGTCTGTACTAATCCCGGGTGTTTGAGCAGAATTTGACGAAGGACGCTTTAAGACGGACGTTCCCGCTGCAGCGGAGGAAGTGAAGCAGACCTTGGCCATCATGGAAGGGAGTGCACCCCGGTATAGCCCAGAGTCGGATCGCGTGCGGTATATCTTTCAGACGTGCTGCGATAGAATCAAGGCTACATCCAGTGAAGGTATGATTCATTCGATTTGGCTCTCGGTTCCCGCAAGCTAGACTCGCTTGTTCAGTATAGCGTCATGGCCACGATGCTAACTCTTCAACAAATATAGAGATGCAACAGCGATGGATAGATCAGCATAAGCGATACTTCGAGCAACTCGTCGTACAGGTTGATCTGGAGGCCAGAGGTGCGAGTCTCACATGCGATGTGGATGCGTACTTCGACCTACGGAGAGGCACGATTGGTGTGTACCCGGCCATCACACTCGCCGAGTGGGCCGGTGACATCAAAGTACCACAGAAAGCTTACGACCACCCAAGCTTGCAGAAATGCATGCAAGTTGCAGCCGATCTGGTTATACTGTAAGTGAAATGCCATCATACACCTCTGTGAAGAGATCGTACTAAAGTATCTCAGGGTCAACGATGTGCTTTCCTACCGTAAAGACCTCGATCTGGGTGTTGATTTCAACTTGATCACCCTCCTTATGAACAAGGATTGTTCCGGCGTTCAACAAGCCATGGACAAGATTGGGGACATGATCGAAGACTGCTACCGCCAGTGGTTCCTGGCTTTGGCGGACTTGCCGTCCTATGGCGAGGAAGTTGATCGCGAGGTTATGAAGTTCGTGGAGGTTTGTAGGGCAATGGCTCACGGGAACTTATATTGGAGGTAAGGATTTTATCCCGGCGAGTCGATGCATGTTGTGATGATCTCGCTAATGTACCCGACAGCTTTCAAACTGGTCGCTTCTTGGGCAATGAGGGCCATGACGTCCACGAGACAGGCCTTATGGAGCTTCCGCCTACATTCGACCGAGCGAATGAGGATGAGCCCATGGCCACGCCAGTCCCGTTACAGTCACACTCAGCGGCTCAGCCGTGTGCCGATGTCATGCATGCATATGGAGAAAAGGATTATTTCGTTTGATAGATGTTCCAGCAAGTAAATCGTACATCACTTCAGCTACTTTGAGCGTCAGTATTTCGTGGATAGAATATAGGAAGGATTCGCCAATAATCCCAACACATTGATAGCCAAATCCTGAGGAGTCCCGTCTTGCCTAGAGTGGTTGGTGTAACGGGCCGCCTTCCGTTCACGGGCTCCCGGCCCCTGACGATCAGCCTAAAACATGAAACCGCAGCGAGGTCATTGCTCAAAAGTGATGCTCCGAAGGATCTATAATTTTGCTCTCGTAATGTGTTGGCTAACCACATTCGGCCTAGAGATCAACGTTGGTCACTCTTTTCGATGTCTTGCACGTACTTCATGTTGATTGGGGCCACTGCTCACCGCCATACGCTACTACAGCAAGGATCTCCAACACGCACAGTATGGCTCGGTAGGAACATTTCCTGCTAGGTATTTTCGAACGCCATTGTCACCACATATTCCAAGATTCTGATCCTGCGATGACAAAATTGTGCATCTCGCCTCGGGAGTTTATTACCCCATGTTCGTCCGTCAGTCACAATACTTTCTCTCATAAGCCGCACAAGTGATCGGTATTCTTCTTATGCTTTTTGAAAACGTCTTCATCTGCCCACTTCAATATTTTATGCCTCATTTCTACGCTTACCAACATGTTTGACACGCTATTCTTATCCTTGTTGATTTCTGGGATCTTGTACTACATCGTCAGCGCACTTTACTATGTAACACTGCACCCGCTTGCCTCATTACCGGGCCCTGTACCTTGTGCAATTAGTCGCATTCCTTATTGGTATGTCTCGTTCCGTGGCGTCGACGTACCTTGGATGAAGAGGCTACACGACAAGTATGGACCTGTGGTAAGGTTTGGTCCGACAGACCTCAGCTACGCTTCGGCGGAGGGATGGCAGGAAATTCACGGCGCGAAAGTTCAAGAGAAGGCTGTAGAATTCTCCCCCCAACCCGTCAATGGTGTGTGATCTCCCGATTACTCCTTATCCAACACTGAAATTGATAGGTGTGGCACCTTTCTTGACGGCTACTCATGAGAACCATACTCGAATGCGTCGCCTGTTTTCTCCAGCTTTCTCGGCTCGATCGCTCAAAGCTCAAGAACCTCTCTTCCAAAGATATGCAGATCTTCTGAAGTACAAGGTTTCGGAAGTGGGTCAGGACGGCAAGAAGCCCATCGATATTGGAGAGCTACTGAACTTTACTACCTTCGACGTCATGGCTGAGCTCACTTTCGGTCAGAACTTGAGAATGCTGGCGAAGACTGAGTACAGCCCATGGGTGGCATCTATTGTCGGTTCTCTCAAGATGTTACCTCTGGTGGCCATGATCAACTACTACCCATTGCTGCGAATCATCCTTTTCGAACGATTCCAACCAAAGGTTATTGCTGAGCAGAGGAAAGCGCACTGTGCGTTTTCGGAAGAGCTTGTGAACAGGCGACTGAAAGTGGGATCAGATAAGCCTGATGTGTGGAACCTCGTCCTAGACGATAAGAGCAAAGGCCCAGGCAAAGGCCTCACGCTGGAGGAGATGCATTCCAACTCTGAAGTGTTTATGTTGGCCGGTTCAGAAACGACTGGTAAGTTTTCATCAAATGACTGAAGCGCACAAATATGTGACTGACTTGGAACGCATCTGCGCAGCCACTCTTCTGAGCGGAGCCATATACTACTTGCTGAAAAACCCTCGCAAATTCGACACCCTTGTTGAGGAGGTCAGAGGTTCATTCAGTAGCGGCGACAAGATGACTCTTGAGAACCTGGGTAGCCTGAAATACCTGAACGCATGTACGTAACACACTTGCTTCACAGCACAATGAGTGACCACGTGCTGACTGCATGCTGCTATTAGGTCTCAAAGAAGCGCTCCGCATCTATCCTCCAGTGCCGATAGGTAGTCCCCGTATAACACAACAGGGTGGTCAGATGATCCTTGGGAAATGGATCCCCCCAGATACACGGGTTTCCGTTCACCACTGGTCAACTTATCACTCAGAGTCTAACTTTACCGATCCCCACAGCTACGTCCCCGAGCGATGGCTGGGGACGGACCCCAAGTACGCTGCCGACTCATTTAACGCTCATCAGCCATTCGGATATGGGTATCGAAACTGCATTGGGCAAAACATGGCAATGCACGAGATGAGATTGATCATGGCCACCCTGCTTTTGACATTCGATCTGGAGCTCTGCGAAGAAAGTAAGAACTGGGAAGATCAAAAATCCTTTGCGCTATGGATCAAGGACCCGCTGATGGTGCGGGCAACTCCGCGAGTTGGAGAGAAAGCTGAAGAATAATAGCCTGTCTTGATAGTCTATTCAGACTCTTAAAATACTACTGATGACCGAAAACATGAATATGATGTACCACGCCTGCGCGCCCCATAAGGAACCAATGAGTTTGGAAAAGCCAGATAAGATACATTCATGATCAGCGAGTCTTCCATGAAGACACAGTCAATTTCCTGCGTGACATATACCTAAGCGAACGGAACGCCTAGTATTTAGTGGTGTATGGGCATATCAATAGACATAAGGATTACCAGGAGCCGAACGACGCATAATACCCCACGATCGACACCTCACGGAACCATGTGGCACAATTTAATTTCAAGAGACTTGGTGTCCTTCCCAAAGGGTCGCCTATAGAAGCGAGCTCCCTCTTATCCTGGGGTAACATAGGATACCCAAACTTTGGATCGAGCGTGCGTATCCTTGTAAGTCACGTGCATCTCAATCTCGGTAACGCGCGTCGCGCTTTTTTGCTGGCCAATCTATCCTGCGCTTTATCTCACCGCCAAATCCAGCGGACCTTGACAAAGCTTCGATATGAGCAGTTCAGTTCAGTTGACACTCTTTGTGACTTTCCACGTCCACCCAGATCGAATCGAGGAATGGAAGAATGCGCACCGACCTATCTGGGCCGCTTGTGCTGCGGAGCCCGAATGCCTCTACTTTGATGTTTTCCATGACCCTGATAATCCGGGTCGATTTCGGTTGGTGGAGGTCTGGGATGCTGATCGAGAGTGGTTCGAGAAGCATCAACTCACCAAGCCATACTACGCTATATTGTGGGCAAAATCGAGACCAACTTGGACTCAAGAATTTGAGATTGAATATATGGAGCGCCTTCGGGAGGGCATGAGCTACAAGGACAAATTTCTGGATGGAGGATCCTCTGGCTCTACAACATAGATGGGCCATGTCAGACGTCTCTACTTTCTATCCAGCGTTGATCCGGCGGCAGCATTAGTTGTGCCCAATTGTCGATATGTCAGAGCCTTCAGAGTTGGTTTCGGCGTTCGTGTTGAACGAAGCGTGGGTTTGCGAGGATTGGGTCTCTGAAAATGACGTCATCGCCAAAGTTCTGTCACAACAACCACTATCAGTGTGCAATCAACAATGTTGACGAGAGAATGGTTAACAATGTGGACAACGCGCCTTCTTTACTTCAACCTCTATGCGATGACAGCGCCGCTGTGTTTACTTAGATACTCGCGCTTTAAAGCTGTGTTGCAGCTCAACACATGACTCCAGCAGGCGCTGAACGAGCTCGCAGTGAAGGAGACTGTCACCCGCCACATAAAGGCACTGCAAGACTTGACTCGCACTTCCTACGAAAAATTGATCGCAACCCACGAGCGAATCATGCTACAAAACATCTAGTCTGGTCCTCTGCAGAGATGATTCTACTACAGACCAGTTGTACCGTCGCTAACATGACCAAGCGGATAATCCAAAGTTATACCAAAGAAAGGATCATTTCAGCTGTACTACAGAAATTATGACGAGAACTGATAAGATCTTAGATTCAACCTCTTCTCGTAGTCCAAGATCAGTCATCCAAAGCCTCAGCTCGGACAGCTATTGAGGAATCAATTAGGCACTTTTCTTCTTCTTTCCCGTACTTGTTGCAGGACTATCACGACTAGAACGCGTGTTCCACTCCATGTAATGACGATAGCACATACTCAATAAAGGCTATTTACAAAGACTAGCTGGGTTCCTGGGAATAAGATTTTCCACTAAGACTATCGGGATGAACATGCCGACCATCTCTACGTATTTTTCACCGACTGGTTCTTAGGAAACTGCCGAACTGTGACATCTCGTTACATGCTAGCTTATGCAGGAACACAAGTCGCGCCGGAACGGACAGAGGGTTGTTGAGTTCACGATTCGTCCCCGCCTCACTTGACAATGGCGCTAAACCACATCTGGCCTGATCACGATGTCGCAATACAAACCTGCCCGCACGTATTGCGTGTTGTGGGGCTTACGAGTAACCGACATGACGACGGTGGAAGATTTTCAAAATATAAAGCTTTGCGAAGGGTAAGGGAAAAAACATGGTTCGCAAACAGTGCCTCGGGCTCCTGGAATTAGGCGATGTTTGTATCCATCCTTCTGTCCCGCTTCTCCTTGCTTTCGCTGACTTTAGCTGGCATTGTAAGCTGTGGCTCTAGCTATAGGAATGGCAAGCCAAACTTCGTCTTCATCATCACGGATGATCAGGACCTGCACCTTGGTTCGCTTGATTACATGCCTTTGGTAAAGAAGCATCTTGGAAAGCAAGGTACTTTCTACAAGCAACACTATTGCACTATCTCCATTTGCTGTCCCTCGCGCGTCAGCCTACTCACGGGCAAGGCTGCTCACAACACCAACGTGACTGACGTGAGCCCACCGTATGGTAAATGCGTTTTTGTACGTTGGCTTGGGTTCAATATCTAACGGTATTAGGCGGGTACACGAAGTTCATCTCACAAGGATTGAACGATAAATATCTTCCAGTATGGCTGCAAGAGGCTGGATACGATACCCACTACACTGGCAAACTCATGAACGGCCACTCGACTTCGACCTGGAACAAACCTCTGCCTGCCGGCTGGAACAGTACCAAATGTGCGTCCTTCTCTACTTTGTGTACTCATCTCTGTCTTCTGATCACCTCCAGTCCTGGTCGATCCTGGTACCTACATCTACTGGAACGCAACATTTCAAGAGAATCAATCACCTCCAGCACCGGCTCCAGGTCAATACAACACAGATCTCGTGAAAGAACAAGGCCTGGCTTTTATTGACGCCGTTTCCAAAACCGATAGGCCTTTCTTCGTTGGTATTGCACCAATCGGTCCCCACGCTGAATTTACCGGCTCCAGGCCTTTCACGAAGCCGGTCGGCGCAACAAGACACCAGAAGCTCTTCCTGGATGCTAAAGCGCCCAGAACTAGCAATTGGAATCCTGACGAAGTATGAGATCCGAAATTCTGCATGGAAGAAAGAACAGTTTCTAACGCTCTATCCAGCCAAGTGGGGCCAGCTGGATCTCCAAACTAAAGAAATTGAACGATACAGTCATCGACTTTCACGATGAGTGGCACGTCGGCCGTCTGCAATCATTGCAATCTGTCGATGAACTCATTGACGAAGTTTTCCAACGTCTGGAGCACTACAATCTTCTGGATAACACATACGTGATTTTCACCTCCGACAACGGTTATCAGTAAGTCTCCGTGTACAAACTAAACACATTTCGTCCGCCAAGCGAAAACCTATGATACGAGAAGAGAACTTCCCCTAGTTCAGCTGAGATACGAGGCAATGTAATGACCCCACTCCCTTGAGACATACACTGACTTTTGACTTTCGCATTTGGCAGTATCGGCCAGCACAGGCTCCAACCCGGAAAGACCTGCGCTTTCGAAGAAGACATCAATGTGCCGTTCTACGTGCGCGGCCCCAATGTCCCTAAGGGCAAGGCGGTCGATGTAGTCACTACGCATACGGACATAGTGCCTACGCTCTTCGAGCTTGCTGGTATCGATCAACGCAGCGACTTTGATGGTCAGCCGATTCCGGTAACGAGCAAGGCGATTGCTCAGCAAGCAAAGAACAAGAAACGCGATCACGTCAATGTTGAGTTTTGGGGTGAGGGCGGCGACGAGGGCAAATACGGGCTCGATGCACCAAACAACACATATAAGGCAGTGCGTATCATCGGTGAACGCTATAACCTCTTATACACTGTTTGGTGTACAAATGAGCATGAGCTATACGATATGACCAAAGATCCCGGCCAACTCAACAACCTGGTCACTCCCTCCAAACGGCGTACCCTTGTTCTCAAACAGCCCATCTCCAAACTCCAAGCCCGACTCGACGCCCTTCTACTCGTGCTCAAGACCTGCAAAGCCTCTTCCTGCACCGACCCCTGGTCTGTCATCCATCCCGAGGGCGACGTTGTGAACCTGGAAGACGCACTGGCTTCCAAGTACGATGGGTTCTATGCTAAGCAGCCGAAAGTCTCGTTCTCGAAGTGTGAATTGGGACAGATTCTGAGCTCGGAGGGGCCGCAGACGGGCAACTCGTATCAAGGGGGAGAGCTTTGGCCGCACTGGGTGTAATTAGAAAAGATTCCTCCTCTCCCATAGAGGCTTCATGAACCAAAATTTTGTTCGAGCTATGCGCCACACCTCTTCTTAGCGTTCGCTTCCCATACGCACCGCTCATCGTTCCTTCTGCATCCACATCACAGCCCAAGCACTTCCCCCCTCATCACCCACATCCACCCTAACCCTATCCCATCAATTCCATACGCCATGAAGATCTGCGCCCATGTTACACTCCCGAATACCACCTTCTCTACAGCATAATGGAACAATGGGACCGCCAAGCTCGCCATACACGCATCATACCATCCCTTTTCGCCCCAAGAATACCATGCTCCGAAGCGCAGTATCATGCATAAGAAGAACCACGCGCCCAGGGAGCGGGCTGCCAAGGGAGTGAATTGTGGGCGGTGGGATGTGGTGTAGTTGTTGCGGATATTGGTGGGGGAGAAGTTGAGCGAGAGGTAGCCGAAGAGGCCGATGAGCGCTGTCTGCGCAAATTTATAAGTCGGTCGGAACATGATTAACAGGTGCGAGAGAGACTTACGAAGAGAACATAGTAACGGAGGTATATGTGTTTGTCATCTGTAACCTCAGCCATTGTTTCGATGTGTACGGACATCGGTTCTGATAACGGAGAACAGGTCGTTACCGAAGATATTCGAAGTCGTGGAAATTGGCTTCTAATGGCGCATTATTTATAATTGAGGTATATACCAAGATGGCCCTAGCCGAAAAGAGGTAGAGGCCAACAAGTATCTCACGTCAGCTAACCTTGACGTGTCCAATGGGGTTTGTCGTAGAAAGATCTTAAAATCTTCTAGTATGGATTTCGATAGGTGTCCATCATACAGGATTATGTTGAAACCCTGGACCCCTCGCTTAAACTGCACATGGCAACGTATTAGTCAAATGCGCCCAGTAGGCGAGTTCCGACTTCCAACAACTTCTGATCTTTGTACTCGAACCTTAGCACATCAAGATCCTCCTCCCTAGTAACAAGTACTCTTGCACTTCTCACGTCGTTTCTACTCAATAACGTCTCATAAACATTTGCAAAATGAGAAGCTTTCTGGACGCCATGCGCCTCCGCTTCAGCATCAACCTCGACGCGCATGAAAAGGTAAACCTCGTTAAAGCGGATATTCGTTTCCTTGTTCTGACGAGCTGCAGAAGTAGACATAGAGTAGAGGGCGCCTTGAGCCATCCCAGCTCCGGGGCGAGCCCCGATGTCGCCTTGCCCTCCAGTGCAGATGGTCCATGTGCTGTTCGGGTGGTTCTGGGCGAGGAGGTAGGGGATCGTGGCGCGGTACGCGTCTAGTTTTTTTTAGGTCAGGTAGTTAGTAGGGGGCAAGGCGAGCTTACAGAAGTTCGGGTAGAAGGTGAAGGTCATATTTTCCAAGAACTTATTGTCGTCAAGGTCGTAAAGAGATTCCGCGTCATAAGGCCCGCCCACTAGGTGTTTTCATAAATGCGTATTCCGTGAGGAAAAGTTTCTTGTCTATAGCTTACCGCAAGAGTAGACATGCTGGAAGGCAGGGAGCCTCCCGGCCTTGACCTGGTCTACTACACACTGAACCCCGGTGGGTGATGTGACATCTGCCTCAACTGTAGTGATGCGCTCCTTAGAACCCAGATTTCTGAAGAGCTTTTCCGCAGATCTCGCGTTCCGGACGATAGCTAGCACGCTAAGTCCGGCTTTGAGAGCACCTTGAGCAGCTGAAGTCCCGATGTGGCCGGTTGATCCAACGATGAGGACGGTTTCTGTGGCCATGGTTCTTGTGGTGATGTTCTTATTGATCTTCTCGGAAGAATTTACTTATCTGCAGGCCCTCTTCAGCTGCCGAAAGATACGCATTATATGTACAATGGACGGAAGTTGTCGCGACGCGAGCTTGACCGAAACGCCGAAATGCCGAAGCACCGAGGAGTTTCAATTACCTTGGAATGTGGAGCGCTCTGTCTTCGTTCTCTCATAAAGACCAATAGAATTTATGGCAATTGAGTCCCAAACCCGGGTCGCCGTGTTGTTACGGCTTAGTCGGTGGAACGCTGATTCAATTCTGTATCTTTGGCCAAAGCTTGTTACACACCTGTTGCACACCTGTGGCAGATACTGGCCGTACAATTTCGTGCCTCTCGACTTCTGAAGGACAAGACTAGTGCCAACCCAAAGGCAAAGCGTCTTATGGAGAATCATCATCACAGTAACAGGAAGGCTAGGGTAACCACTTGCAGAAGGGCAGGCTACGATCCACGACCCTACCGATCAGGATGAGAAGCGGCATGCACCCGACCAAGGGTGGACTACAAACCTCCCAGGCCTCGAGCAAACACATCCCGCTCTCCGCTCGCCCCTCCCTCGTGAAGTATTGCCAAGCAACAGAATAATTGACATTTCCAGTATATGCTAGCGCAGATCTTGGCGAGATTAGCAACACAATCGATCCAGATGCCGTGGTGTGTGGTCATCACGCGGCATTTGTAATCTTCCCCACTAGTATAGTAGATTCGTCGCGTATTATTAGCGGCTTCCAGAAAAGACCCCAAACATCACAAAGGTTGATTTTGCCTGCTCTGGCCAATTCCTCTCGTTCTAAGGTGCGCACTTGGCAGCGACACTCAGGGCGGACAATTGGTCGGCGACACCTCCTAGCTGAACCTCGAAGACATTCGGTGATTCCATCAGTCCAGATCTTTCCAATTAGAAGCCAGCCCGAGTATCATTTGTGACGAGGTATCATCCCTGAACACCTTCAGCAAGGATCATTGGCAACCCCGCTTCCACGTATGCACCTGACATACGGGTAGCATGTACAGTCAAATTCTAAAGTTCGAAAAAGGAATGTCATCCAATGGACCATCACGAGCCAGCGTGCTGTCCTTGACATACAAGAACTTGGTGTTGAGGTGGTTCGGCGAGATATAAGACCAACCTGGTTCAATTAGCGAAATGGATTTTGACACGTCGTACTGGTTTTGAGCGTTTCAAAGCCCAGAGGACAAGGTGTATCGAAAAGATAGATTATGTATCAGGAACAGGACCCTGACCATGCCTAGTAGCGACTTCAAGGGAGAAGGTAGCGCTACTTCACCCACTCCAGAATGATACTGTCCCAGAGTATGCCGCGCCATTGAGTGTACCGATCAACTGTAAAACTCAACGCATTCTGCCCGTTGTACAGACCTGAGCTCGGAAGCTCATACTGCAAGAATCGCCATTCTCCACTAGTTGTGCCGGAGCGGTAAAGTGCCGGATCACTTGTCTGCGTGTCCTTATTTATCGTACCGATTGTTGTGTTGCCATTCAAGTATATGGTAAGTCCAGTGCTCTGGGAGTAGCCAGCCAGAGACACAGAGAGCAGCGCGGTGGCATTCGTGCTTGGGCGCGTGGTGTTGAAGAGGACATCCCACGAGCCGAGCTTGGAAGATGCATAGTACCAGTCCGAAGTCTTCGAGGCACCGATCACATAAGTTAGGTTCGCGGGACTCTTCTCGGTCAGCCCGTGCTGCCTTGGGGCGCCACCATTCGTGAAGCCCAGTGCTTTCTTGTCGAAATCGCCGATCTGAAAAACGCGAATGCGATCCTGCGGAACTTCCCAAGTCAGTGTGCGCAGATTTTCGGTCTTGCCCTTCGTAATCCTGATACTGCTAGTTGTGAAATTTGTGTAGACATCGCCCAGTGCTCCGCCATTTGACCATGCGTAGAGTCCATATTCGCCAGTCCGCACATAGTCTAGTGAAAACTTGCCGGAAGCGTCTGCATATGTGGTGTAGTAGTAGTTGGAGCCCTGAACCAGCGGACGAGTTGATGTGTTCGTATCGCCGAGGAAGATGGCGGCACCTGCAGCTGGGCGGCCGTCGGAAAGAATGAGTTTGCCTTTTAAATTGCCACGAGAATGATACGAATCATCCTGAATGAAGGGATATGGCCATGTCTTCCGCTCTTTCTCGGCTCGCTTGTGTGCATCCACCACAGACCCATCATTCTAGTATATTGTTAGAAGCAAGGCAAACAGATGATGATTTGGTCGACTCACAAGATACCAAAGCCACGGACCCCAGATTTTGCCTACGGGCTGAGGCACAGCATTACCAATTCTGAAGTGGGAAGTATCTTGCACAACATTGAGTTGGACAGCGTCCCCTTTGGATGACTCGCGATGCACCTGATTTCTTGGTCTTAGTTATCACAATATAAGATAACTTGATCTGGGATACTCCGTCGCCGCCTCCGCTGTTCACAAATGTATGTATGGGGTCTGCAGAATATGGTACTTACAGTCAGAGTTTGACTCAACTGATTTCCAGGTTGATATTCATATGACGGGTGAATGTACCATGAGCCAGTCTTGTCGCCATATACGCCGATAAAGTCCCTCTCGCGCACGTAATTCGAGAAGTCGTACTTAGTGATGTACCTGGTGCTAGTCAGATACAGTAGCAAGTGACGGTCTATTACATACGATCCATTAGCGATCTGGAAGGTTTCGTCTTGCACCTCTGTCGCATTCGTATATAGAGAGAAGTCCGGAAGCGGCGCATCTTTGGTCGTAGTGTAGCCATTCGTGAACCGTGCCGGATCAAGACGCCACAGAGTACGGAAGACGGAGATATCTGGGAGCGCTTTGTTGACAAAGTATTGATAGGCACCGGCGAGATCGGGATAGATGACCCAGTGAAGGTCTCCGTACGTGGATGAAAAGCTAATGTCAATATATTTCGATGTATTCGAGACAATCTTGGCAGCTGTATACTGGAGATTAGACTCGCCATCTACGAATGTCAGTGATTGTATAGTCAGAGATGCATGAAAAAGCTCCACCATATCCCGCATAATGACCTGGTGCGCTTTTGACAGCATCTGAGCCTTGGTATTGCAGATTTGTGGCGTAGATCTGGCCTTGTGTTAGGTTCCATATGTCGTTGCCAAAGATCCATGACGTTGAGCTGATCTGCTGCAGAAAAGGCCCCTTGGCAGAAGCTGGGCTGGCTGCAGCGACTAAGCCGACAAGTAGATGAGCTTTCATGTTGGCGTGGTTGTTTCGACTTATCACTCAGTCTTCCTTTGCGATCATGCGTCTTCATTTATGTCTGCAAACAGCGAGCACGCAATTTTGTTCCACTAATACGAGCATCTTTAAAACATGCACAGTTACCTGTATGGGTATTACAGATCAAAGCTTGTTCGAAAGAAGCTGCTCGCTACGCTTATCAGTGCGTTCGCATGCAAGCGTCGCGTAGCCCGTCCATCGTTACCATCGCGAAGAGCATTGACTAGATAAATGTTCCAGCGTAACAGAAGCGAGTGCACGTTGTGTCGATGTGTGGGGATGGCGCTATTCCCTGTTGGGCCTCGCATTCTTGTTAACCACGACACCAGGCCCCAGCGAAGTCCTGATCAACACGCTTTTCAATGTACTTTCGTATTTTATGGAGAGGGAAACTCCTACAGTCTTCTAAATATCAGACCGATCACTATCTCTTCTGTGTTTGATTGAAAATCTTTGATAGGTGGGAAATCGGGGTAAATGCGACCGAGTACCCGCATCTCGCTCGGCGGTACCTTGCAGATCGTCTTTGCGTAGTGGATGACGTTTTCCGCCCAAATAATTGCACGATCACGAAGGTACGAGATCAGATGTCAATTTTCAAGATAGTAAAATTAAATCAAATAGTAGGTTCCCGAGGTTCTGTCACCAACACCTGCATGTCGCTTCGCCAATAACCACTCGTCAATAGCCACACGCCCGCAGTCATCATGCGTTGGGCAATCTTTAGCATCATCCTGGGACTCGCAGCAACTTCCAAGGGTGAAACGTTACTGTACCGCAATACTTTTAACGACACCTCAGCACTCCATGGATGGGTCGCCGAAGGTCCGGTTAACGCCACTGTGTCAAACAACACCCTCACGCTCGCGGGAGCCGGCGGTCCAGACGACTACTTTGTATATTGGTTACCTGAAGTATTCCCCGATCGGATTCGCATCGCATGGGAATTTCAACCTATCCAGGAGCCCGGACTAGCCATGTTCTTCTTCGGCGCAACATCCGTCGACGGCGGAAGTATCTTCGACCCATCACTAAAACCACGCAACGGTTCATATCCACAATATCATTCTAGCGACATCCGCCTCCTTCATGCTTCCTACTTCCGCCGCCGTTGGCCTGAAGAGCGCAACTTCCATGTCGCGAATTTGCGAAAGAGTCCAGGTTTTCATCTAGTGGCACAGGGCGCAGATCCAATCCCATCAGTCGAGGATGTGCAAGGAGCGTACTATAAGATTGAGGTTGTCAAAGATAAGCGCGAAGTCACTTTCAAAGTAAACGATCTACTGCTGTTTTCTTTCGACGACACAAAGTCAGATACTGGACCCGTGGTCAGGGGCCGGAGGATTGCGCTGCGCGGCATGCAGCCGCTGATAGCGAACTACCGCAACCTTGAAGTGTGGAAGCTATGAATGCGGAAGTCTTGTATGCTATGTGTCATGTCGGAACTGTATGCCGGTCTCGACAAACTATCATCTACTGTTTTCCAATCCTGCTGCGAGCAGTGCTACGGTGCAGTGGCGAAGTGTGCGTGATGGCATTCCCAAGTTCCGGCTGACATCCATGTGTGAGGCTAAACAAGCCTGTAGTTGCATGGCAAACGAATGGAAAACGTGCAGAGCAGTTCTACTACAGTAATTCCAAATGTCATTTGCGTTATCCTCCAACCAAAGCAAGCTACAACACGTGCGCAAAGTCTCTCCATATCTACTGACAAAGTTATCCCATATGGATAGCCAAGCCACCCAATCACTTCACAGCTCCAAACCAGACCTTCCCCCTTTCAATTCTTAACATGAATATACCTAAACTTCCCCTTAGGCACGGTCCTCGTACCATACTTCTCCGGGTTATTCCAATTATACTCCTCAACCGTCACCGTCTTCTTCCCCACCTTGGTAACCCAAGCAACATGGCCAGCAGAGCCAGCATCCGTCTGAGCCACACTTCCCACCTTCGGAGTGTTGTTGACTTTGACGCCAGCCTTCTCAGCCGCCTCGTTCCACGACTTCGCATCGTGCCAGCCTTCACCTTTGTAGTGGTTGGTGAAGTCCACGCCTGCTTTGTTGAGGCGGTATGCGACGAAGCTCGTGCATGAGCCTGTGAGGGAGGCGTTAGTAGGGAGGCGCTGTGTAAAGGATTGTATAGATCCCTTCCTCGATTCGATTTAAGTGGTATCAAGAAATAGTCGTGAACATACATCTATAGAACTTCCATGGATCGACGCCATTGTTGCCATTGCATTTTCCGGAGTAAGGGTAGTCGTTGGCCCTCGCGACAAGTTCACTTCGGGGCGAGAAGTCTTCGTCCGTAGGCAGGGCGCACGTGGCGGCGGCGATCGCGCCCAATATAACGGTCAATGAGAACTTCATGGTGGCGAGCGTACTTGCAGAGACAGCTGGGTTGTAGAGAAAGAATTGTAGCTTGAGATTGCTGATCAACGTCAGAACAATCTATAGGGTCTTTTATATATTGTTGAAGACGACATTAGGCATGGTAATACGACCAGAATGCGAAAGATGCGAACGGACCTGAGATGTGGTACTTTGTGAACACGGATAAAGTTAGGAACATTGCTCGTATTGGTCTGACTGGCCTGGCCCCCACGCTGGGGATTCTACAATAGCTGGATTCGTACAGCCTCGTATTCAGCGCGGCGACCCGTAGCTGAACATCAGTGTCGCATTGAGCATCCGACGCAGGACTATTTTCGTACTGGAACTGCCCTTTTGTGGACCCCGCAGAAACAATTTTGATCCATTGTTCAGCTTTGCATGGGTTTTTTAGCAACAGGCCGAGGGAATTGCAGAACTAGGCTGAGTGTTTAGTGATGTAAGCTCGTTATTTACGATATCTTCATCTCCACGACACTTTTCTTCAAAGCCATTCCAACCATTGGTTCCACGCAACAAATACATCCCCATCTACAGCCACCCACCAAAGCCAGTCTTTCAATGCCCTAATGCCCCTCCCCAGCCCCACAAGCGTAATCCTCCTCCTCACCACCCTCCAATCCCCACCTCCTCCTCGTTCCCTCCCTCCCTCACCACCCACCACTGCAACGAACACCCCTAAGCACAATCTCCTTCCCCCTCACTAGCCCCCTTATCGGGTCATCTTGCCCGGCCACAACGCGCAGCGTCCACTCCCACGCACAGAAGGATTTCGTGCCGTGCACGCCATGCGTTTCCATGCGCAAGGAGGAAGTGGTGGCGTAGGTTTGGTGGAGGAAGGACGTGAATTGTCGGAGTGTGAGGTCCGTGGCATGCCAGGCTGTAGAAGTAAGAGGGGAGGAGGTGATGAGGGGGGGAATGGAGAAGGTAGACGAACCGTGGTCTGAGAAGGAGAGGTCGGGAGCATAGAAGGAGAGGATGCGGGGGACGTCGGCGGACTCGAAGGCGGACGTGAGGTGGGATTGGCGGGCTAGGAGGAAGGAGGATAGAGAGTTAGAAGACATTCTTTAGATGACAGAAGTAATCTTCCGATATGAACGGAGTTTGAGAAGAGACGTTGGAAAAGAAAGCCGTGGTGGAGGGCTCTCGTGCAGGAGTGGAATGTTTATGTATCTCCTCTCTACAGGGGTTTAGGACTGCTCGAGTAGGTCTCGTGTGCTGTTCTTTGTTGCTAGATAGCTGATCGTTCATTCGGACTAGCTTCGTAGTGGATTGCTTGATGCGGTATTGCAAGAGCGTGACTAATTCGGCTGCTGACGTTGGATGTGTAGATCTTGGGTAGCTTTCAAGAAGCAAAATGCCCAATAATGAGCACAAAGAATGCAACACACATTTTGATTCGCTCTTAGGCCATGCTGAATATCCAACTACACATGACTGATTTTTGAGGCAAGCGCCGTGTACCCACCTATTGAAGCGCTTTCCACAGACCTGGTCGGCAAGAGCGTGGCCGCCGATGGGGGAGTCACGGCCCAGGGCGTATATAGGTACCTCACCTGCCCTCGATCCTGCGTCCCACATACAATATAACTTGTTCCTACGACGCTGTCCTCAACACCACGGATGTTTACAGACGACAAGTTCCGGTTCCGGACTTCGAAACCGAGATCTGTCGCCTCGAGGAGTGGCTCACCTACGTGCTCCAGCTCTGTGAGGTCGCAAGGAGGATGTGGCGAGGGCTATGACGATGCACGTTCGCTCTTCAGTATTGATTGTCTGCTCATGCCGATACAATTGCCTACCTCGGATCGACAGCGACCGAGTGCGCCACACGTTGCACCGCCACGCACCGCCACACAACGCCACGGACTCTTGCGATCGACCAACCTTCCCACTGCAACCTCCGCATGCCGATCTCGTGCAACACCAGCACGTTGCACGCCGTTTTTCGTTTCTCCATCCAGCGCCTTGTAACGCCGTTTCCGTTGTCACAAGATACCTAGGCTACCGGGCCTGCGTTGCAAGCCCGAAGCTCGCGCACCATGTCAGCCTCGCGATTCGAGGGCGTCCCGTCGCAAAGGACGATCCAAATCCCTTCCTTTCACAGGTAGCCGCGGAGGCGTTCTTAATGTTTGTCGCGTGTCTTAATTGATCTCCATGGCGGCGCGCTATTGGCTCGACTCGGGGTCGCAGTCGGTACGGGGCACCCGTTTGAGCGGCTCGGCTTGTCGACAAAAGCCGGTTTCTGGTGTATCGTATTTATCCAGCTTGTCGATGCAAACGCGACGTGGGTCCCTGCCTGAGGTATCTCCTCGCTGCAGGAACCGGAATTGATGGGGGAGTCCAGGACCTTTGGCGCTGCGGCGTGGATCTACGAGGGGCGCCTCGGTTCCTGAAACTCACAACACCGTCGCGGGCCCTCACGACGGAGGATAGCAGGGGTATTTTTGGCCATGACCTCACCGTGACCGGGATTGTCATGGCATGATCGACGTGCTTGCGGAGGGGCGCGTGAGTGGCATCGCTTGTGGGTGAACCGCGACACGGGCAAGGTCCAGCAAACCGACACAGGAACGGCAGGTGCTAAAGTCCATGCTTTTTGCCTTGTTGGGCTGCGCTCATCGTGCATGCTTCCTCATCGTGCACACGGCGCCTTGCTGGCTTCTTTCACTACACTTTGAACTGCTCGAACGCGAGCTCACCTTCACTTGCTGTCGCGTGCAAGAGCCAGGGTCAGGTCCGCTTCTATGGCCTAGGTTCGGTACAACTTCAAACACACCACAACTTTCAATGATCTCGAGGATATGACAATGGCGGTCACCAAGCATTTGCGCACCGCTGCCGTTGTACTGGCCGTGCTGCAAGTCGTCGTTGCGCAGGATTGCTGTAGGTTCTTCGACGTTCAATCAATACTGGGAGAGCTCCATTGACAACGTTAGACTACCCTAATGGAGATAAAGCACCAGATACCGAGAAGCCATGCTCGTCTGCAGAAGGCACCGCCTGCTGCCCACAGACATGGGAGTGCATGGACAACGGTCTTTGCTACCTCCCAGCCGACAAGCTATACGGACGCTACAGCTGTACGGACAAGGACTGGAAGTCCTCAGGCTGTCCGTCAAACATGTGCACATATGGTATGCTTCCATGGCGCACAGCATCTAGAGCATCCAATTGACGTTTCACAGATATGACGCCCGCTGGTGCTGAGGGTATAACGCAATGCTCGAATCACGACAACAAGTGGTGCTGCGACGGCGACAGAACCGCCGTAGATTGCTGCCAGGAGAAGCCCGAGCCGCGACCCTTCTTCGCACTCCAAGACCCCGTCGCCTATGGAACCGCAGGAGGAAAAACGGGATCAAGCGCACCCAATCTGGCATCAATCACGGGCAAAGCCATTGCCAGCGGAGACGACTCGTCCTCAACAGCAGCCTCAAACTCCGCTTCGGCAACCAGCGACTCTTCTTCCTCCGACAGCAGCGCCTCCTCAACACCCGCAAGCACACCATCAACATCCCTCTCCACCACCGTCTCCTCAGGCACCGCCGGCCCTACCACTATCGTAACCACCATCGTCCAATCCGCTGCCTCCTCGACCCCCACTGCCTCACCCTCCGCAACCCCAAGCAAGAAATCCAACATCGGCCTCATCGTCGGCTGCGCCGTCGGCGTCCCCCTCGCCCTCGCCCTAGTAGGCATCCTCTTCTGGCTCCTTCGCAAACGCTCCCACCAAAAGAACGCAACAGCGCATCCTTACACCTCCTCGACCGACGCCTTCACGCCCACCCCCGCAACGCCCGAGTTCGCCGGCGGCGCGAAATTGCATAAACCAAATAGCGCAGCGAAGTACGCCAGTACAGCGCCGGGCGTCCCCGAGCTAGGCGGCGGGCAGGGCGTCGGCCCAGAAAGGCCCGTCAGCATGATACCGGGGAAGGCGGAGATGGATTCAGGCGGGGGATTTGCGCCTGGAACGGTACCCCTTGCGCCGCATCTTGTGGGCGTTGGTGGTGGGAATACGGCTCACAGCCACGGAGGCGGACAACATACGCCGCAGAGTAGCTGGGGGAGCGCGCCGCCTGGGTATTCGCCTGGGCAGAGTCACGCGCCGTTAGCACCGGCGGGGAATGTGGACCCCATGGCGGGACAGTATCAAGCGTACCGGCCGGGCGTGAACCGCGTGCCTGAGATGGCGGAGCTGCCGAGTGTAAGGACGCCGCCTGAGGCTGTGGAGATGGGGGTTCCGACTCCGCATGCTGTGGGCGGGGGCGCGGGTGCAAGGGCGGAGTATCCTGGCATGGCGGAGGCAGCGCGTCGGTAGATAGTCGAGCGCTCGGCGTTTGGAGTTGGCATGGACTGAGCGCAGACTTGCCCAAGAGGGAGGCACAGTGTGAATATTGGAGGACGATACCATTTCATTTCATGTACTACTACCTTACGCTACACAGGCAACACTGTAGCACAGCACGTAAAGGCTAATGAAGAAACGACGCTTCTAATTAATCACCTTTACCTTTCCACCGATGTCCTCCCTGTCCTCACTGCAATACCTCCTTCCCAGTGTAGTGTCAGCTAGCCGCCAGGAAAAGTTGCAGCCCTGGTTGCCCTTCAAAGCTGAGTGAACAAACCAAAGAGACTATCTACCGCTGGTCATACACTCGCAGTGTATAAGCTTTGCTGTCCTAGACCTATATCACAAAGCCTACGTTCAGTACATATATACATACATGCGGTGAAGTATACCATGTACATGAACGCACCTCACCTGACCCCTTGCTGCGACGAAAGTCCACACGACAACGCAACGCCTACGTTCACTATATGCATACGTGCGGTGAAGTATATGTACGTCCCGTCCCATGCACCTACTGCACTGATGCTGTTCCACGATCGATAACCTCTTCCTTGCTTCTCCGTCGTGTCTTCCTCGCAACGGACTGCATGCGTCTACTGCTCTTAGTGCCCTGGTGCTGCGACGGAGGGATATTCAATGTATATATGTACGCTCGGTATCCAATGTGCATGTGGATGCGCGCGACGTTGGCCTCGCAGCGGAGCCGCACCCAGTGATACGGATGTCTTGCGCTCCCTGAGGCTGGAGCTTCCGTCTTATCGGGCCAAGACCGCTCGCTCCAGCTCTTGTTCAAAGACTGGGTATCCACAGTTTCCCTCAGGTAAAGTCCCCCGGACTCGGGCTGTCCCCCAACGCCGGTGAATCCGGCTCCGTAGCAGGCATAACCTGCGGCACCAAGCCCTTCATCATGTGCACGAGGTCGACTGCCTTGAAGGGCTTCTGCATGACGTCGTCCTATGCTTGTCAGTCGCACGCTCGACGTGGAGCTTGATAAATACTCACCGCACCCGCCGCAAGCGCCGTATTAATCTGCTCCTGCCGCACATTCGCCGTAACAGCAATAACAGGCAATCTCGCCGCCGCCCTCGTCTCGCTTGCCCGCCCCAGCATGCCCTCTCCCTCAGCCTCGCGCTTGCGAATCGCCCGCGTAGCTTCCAGCCCGTTCAAAACAGGCATCTCCAAATCCATCAGCACGACATCAAACGCCCTCTTCTCGAGCAGCTCGAGCGCCTCGAGCCCGTGGTTCGCTACGGCGATCGTGCACCCCGCCTTCCTAAGCTGCTTCCCAAGAACCTGCTGATTAATGACGTTATCCTCCACCAGCAGGACGTGCAATTTGGTCGGCGCCCCGGCCTTCCCTCCACTCTCGCTATACAGCTCGCCGAGCGTCTGCGGCCTATGCTCCACACGTCTCGTCTTGACGTAGAAGCCGAACGTCGAGCCCTCACCTGCGACGGAGGAGACGCCTATTTCGCCGCCCTGCTTCTCGGTGAGTTCCTTGCTGATGAAAAGCCCGAGCCCGCTGCCGCCGTACTTGACGTGCGTCTTCATGTTGGCCTGGCGGAAGCGTTCGAAGATTGTGTGGATTTCTGCGCCTTTGAGGCCGATGCCTGAGTCTTGGACTGAGAAGGTGAGGTAGAGATCTTCGAGGTGGCCCCAGTCGGGGGAGGCGGTTGGGTCGGAGTAGTCTTTTGCTTTTGAGGCCCAGAAAGTGTTTTTTGCGAACATGGACCGGGGTGAGGATTTGCTTGCGCCGAAGCGGACCAGGATGGTTGGCTCCTGGGAGGTCTTGACGAACTTGATGGCGTTGGTTAGGAGGTTGATGAAGATCTGCGTGACGCGCGAGGGGTCGAGGAACACATGGTCGATGCTCAATGTTTCTAGAGAGGGGTCGGGAGTGACGCTGTAACGGATATTGTTCGACTTGAGCTCTGCCTGGAAGATACTCGAGATTGAGCTGACCAGCTTGGCAGGCCGTGTGGCGGTCGGTGTGATGGAGAGCAGCATGGAATCTAGTTTGCTGAGTGTGAGTACATCGTCGATGATTCTCTTCTGGTGGTTCGCGCATTGCATGATGATGTTGGCCGAGGCCACGTTGTCGTTCAGCGTCTCAAGCAGCAGGGCTGGTAGATCGGCGACTTTGGCGTGACACTCTTCGACTCCGGTGGAGATGCTGTCTGCACAATGCACGATTGCACTAAGAGGGTTCCGCATCTCATGGGAAACGACATCGATGAACGCTTCTTGTTGTCTTTTCGCTTCTCGCGCTTCGGCTGCCAGACGCGCCTGGAAAGTTTCGGCCCACTTGAGTCTTGAGATATCGGTAGTGCAAGCCATGATTGATCTGACTGTCTCTCCCTCGCGATAAGGGAATGCTAGAACCTGAATCTGGGCGGGCTCTGCATCGCCATTGGGTGCAGTGAAAAGCCGCTTCAGTCGCAATTCTATACTGATATGATTGACGCCCGAACTCAGGGTCGTCCAAGCGTCTTGGGCTCTAGGTAAATCTTCCTCGATGTAAACGTCCCAGAATTTGAAGAAGCCAACATGCTCTTCTGCTGTCATTCCGGACAAAGTATAGTATTGGTCGTTCGCCCAGATAATGCTGCCGTCAAGTCCCATGTGGATCATGCCAACCGAAGCATGTTCGACCAAGTGGCGCAGCTTCATATCACTAAAGGCCAGGTCGTCCTCGAGCTTTCGCTGTCGCTCTCTTGTTTTCGCGGCGCTGACGGCGAGGTTCATGATACTTGATACTGTACGGCCAACGTCTTTCAAAAATTGTAGACCAGCATCATCAAAGGGTCGGCACGGGTTTGTCCCAACAATCAAGTAGCCAGATACCCGTGACCCAGTGTTGATGGGTAAGATGCCAATCGTTTTGGATGGCGAACCGAATCCAGCCCATGACACAGAATCGAAGCGCTCATCGTAGTCAATGGTCAGGATCTCAGCCCCAGCACGGCGGCATTCTGGTATGAGACCTTCGTCGCTATCGATGTCCTGGTTGTCCACTTTCAGCTTGTGCTCTTCCGGAAGGCCATACTGTCCCCGAAGCCGCAAAACGTGTGATGGCGAATCGTCACCGTCCACCTCGTACAACATAGCAAGAGGCAGATCGTTGGCGTCGGTGGTGAGCGTCTCAAGGATGTGGCTGCAGGCGGTGTCGGGGTCGAAGTCGGCCTGCGAAGCCAGTCGGTTGAGCAGCATGGTTCGACGGTCGGACAGGCGTTGGCTCGTAACCTCGAAGAGCGAGTTGTAGTACCCTTGGGGTTGGTTGGTGGGACCATTGCCGATTGGGACAAAATTGCCGTTGAAGAATGCTCTATCGTTGTTAGAACAGAGCTAAAGTGTAAGGAACCGAGACTTGAACTCACTCTTCTCGCCACCCTTTCCGCTCGACCATGAGAGCATGCTCGGGCGAGTAGTCAAGCCCCACGCCGGAATCGCGGCACTTGTCGAAGAAGGGCTTGATGCTCGGCCACAGATCTGGGTAGCAGTCCCAGAAGGAAGATGCCATCCTGTAAGGATTAGCGAAGGTCCCTGGGCACATGGGCACAAGGACGGGCTCACAGCTTGGGGTGGACGGCTGCTGCGAGAGGCGCATACGCTTCGTTGTATATGGCCGTGTACGAGTCGCCCCTGGCTTGTTAGCATCTGCGGTGACCAAAACATGCTGGGGCGCCGTACCACCAGATGCAGGCTGCGCGCGAATCGGCGAAGACCATGCGCGTGAAGACACGCAGCGTCTCGTCCCAGGTGTTTGGCGGGCCCAGTGCGCTCTTCGCCCAATTGGCCCCGCGGAAGAAGCGCACATGGTCGGTATCGGGGAGGTCGAGTGTCCAGTCGCGATCGACCTGTTGCAGCGCGAGCATGGGGTCGCCGTCGTCGGGAGGAGGGGTGTTGGGGTCGGGCATGCGGGCGTTGGGCGGCAGGCCCATCTGGAAAGCGTTCATGGAGGAAGCACCGCCGCCGCCCGCATGTGCCTGTCAAGCCAGGTAGGTAGTGCGGGTGAGGCTAGCATTGCGTCCACCGCGATCTGTAACGCCGTGTCTAGGGCTGCATCGAGATCGGACGCTAGGGCGGACCTGCGCCTTGGCTGAGATTAGCGAGACACGGCCTCGACCCAGAACAAGAGACAGCCGAAACTTTCCGACCATCCCACCATCGCATTTGTCTTGCCCATACTGCTGCGGCTGGAGCTAGTCCACGTTACGCTGGGTTCGCTTCCAGGCTCTCCATGGACTGCATATGCTTGGCGGTCGTCCGGCTTAGCGCACACGACATCGACACCTACACCTGCAAACCTCGGGCATCATGGTCAACATGCGTGCAGTTCATACAGTCCAAGGCCGAGAGAGACGCCGGCTTGGCACTGCTTCCGCTCGTCTTTCCCATCCACAAGCGGACCTGCTGTTTCCGTCTGCAACACCGTCTCGAGACTGCCACGAGACTGCCGCGAGACTGCCACGAGACTTGTCTAGAAGGCTCACTCACAGCGACGAAATACCACATCGCATTACCACTGCAGCTGGCGCTTCGAGCGGAAGGCGACGTGCTTCTGCCTGCCCCAATCGCACCTGCCCAACCGCACAGCAGGGTCAAATTCGCAACGAAGAACAGAAACAGTCCCCGGTGATGACTCAAGCCCCCTCCACCATTGCTTCCAGGCCCCGTCTGGCAGACCCTATCTCCTTCAAGTTGCGTGGGAGCAGAGCAAGAGAATCCACCAACATCGAGGCCAGGTGAGCGAAAACGTTTCGGTCTAACTTCTCCTCGTGACGTTTCTGAACGATGCCTCTGCACACTAATTGCACAAGTGTGACAACGTGGCGTGGAAACGCATACAGTGTTACAAACGGTATCTCCATCGGCTCTCTTGGTATCAGCGAAGCAACCTCAGTATCAAGGTGCCCTTGCGTTGGTATACGGTAGACATTGTCCATGCCGAACTTGAGAACAGCGAACGATTCGTGCTCGACCTCGTCTCGAACTTCAAGGAGCTGCTCCAGGAGATCCGAACGTTTCGCCACTTCGAGCGCGTCAAGGAGGACCATGACGCCTACGCAGTATCGCAGGGTAACTTCGAACCAACATAACCGGACCGCCTGGCCGAGGAATTGTATTCGTCTCTCACACAGACCGAGCAAAGGGCGAATCGAATTCCTGAATATGCTGACCGTATCCTGCAGCGAGTTCCATACCCATAGGACGGTGCCTTCGTCAACTCCTTCACGAAGCGCCTCCTTCAAGGACGTGACATTCTTCCACATAAGCACTTGGCTGACGGACGCCGCTCCGATGATCCGGGATGCATTCTCATCGTTAATGTCGAAACCATTCGTGAGCCAGCGCTCTGTGCTGGGTGTAAATGATCCAACAAGAAATGCTCTAGCCAGGCGCCACGCAGGCTCTGAACAGGCGCCGTTGAGACCCGAGGTCAAAGATGTGCGCATGTCACTGCTCAGCGAGTCTGACGTGTCCCAAATCACTGCGGCCCAGTAGGCTCTACTTTCGAGATCTAAGAACGCTTGAGTGACGTTCGCTTGAGCCTTTTTAACTGTAACCACAAATGAGCGCATGCTATTCACCAATGGGACGGCCTACCTGGATCGCACCGCTGCCGCAGCTTCTGGATGTGCATCAAAGCCACGTGCATACATACTGACCCACTAATACCACTAAGCTCTTCCTCTTCACCTATACCCGCTGGCACGGGCGTTTGTGCGAACAGGTACAATGCGAGCACCGATCGGTACGAGACCCGGCTTAGCAGCATGAGCATATCAGATCTTGAGGCTCGCCAACTGTTCGTCACGATTTCGTCATCTTCGACTGCTTGCAAGCTCGACATAAACCAGCGTGTGGTGAAAGCTAGGATCGCACGATCTAGGCATCTCGCAACCAAGTCATCCATCGCAGGCGCTATGAGGCCATCTGCATCCATGGGTACTGATGTTGGCGCCCCTTCGCATTTGTGTTCCACGTCAAGCCTTTTCGCCAGCGTCAATAAGGAAACGTTGAGTTCGCTGTGTAGATCATCCCTGTTCGATTTTAGATAAAATGTCGCTTCCCTCTGTTGGCACGTTGACTTTACACAAATGGACAGCCATGTCTGCCAAGCAGCACGCCAAAACCCGCCTCAAAACCGTGACGGAAGATGTTCTTCGCCCACAGAATCAACTCGTCCTCAGAGAACCCCGATTGCACGGTCCGAGCTTCCGAGTGGTTTGTCCTTTCTGGGTTGGTTTCCGATTCTGTCGATGACGATATGTGCGACACACCTTCGCTGGCAGGAACTGGACAGGAGATCTGCGTACTGAAATGCTCGGGCACTTGTCGTCTCCTTTGGCTACGCTGCTCACTTATTACATGTGCAAGCGGTTGCTGCAGTGGCGATGCGCGAGCATCCTGAGATTCCAGCCGACTCTCGCGGGACGAGTCGCTTTCGGTCTGTGGCAGATTCGACACTTTCGTTTTCGCATGCTTCATCCACTGCACTCATAAGCAATTTTGATATGATAAAACAACAGTCTACAAGTGCGCTTGAGGACCACGATTTCTGATCCGCATGCAGATCCTATCGCATATCTCCAACAGTACAAACAAGATCAAAGAAAATCGAACTTACTTCGAAAGTACAGGTCTGCTTCTTTCGATTGCATCGCGAGCACGATCCGACTCGGTCTGATCCACCTGAATGGTGCGCAGTCTTGGAGGCGTCACAAGCTACGCGAGAAAGGCGACAGCCATCGCAGCTGGAAAATTGAGTGCGTTTCGGAACCGACTGTCGAGGCATTTCCTGTGCTTCACTCACGGAGAACAAAGAGCTACATCACTATCGACATCGGATCCGAGGGAGCAGTGAGCGTATTGGTAAGCAGCCGTGTGTAGCCCCACTTTTCTATGCACTATCCACCTCTTACATCAGTCCTTGCACCAACGCCCTCAGTTCCTCCTCGCTCATCTCCTGGATACCAAAAAGCTCGTTATCCGAATGCCCCGAATAATCACACCCATACTCCGGATCCGAACACCCCACAATCGGACTCAGCACAAACTGTGCGTGGAAATCCCCCTTGGCCACCGCTACCTCAATCTCCCCTAACACCTCATCCGTTCCTTTCGTCGTGAAGCTCCACTCCCTCCCGTCTTTCTCCTTCGCATACCCAATAAGCTGCTTCTGCGTCACAACCGCAGACTGCACATACACAACCCTATCCCTCGTCTCCTCCCTCCTCTCAACCACCCCCACCACCGCCTTCGCTATATCCCCCAACAACGTCGCACTGAACCTCACATCCCCGCCATTGTACAACGTCGCCTTCCTCCCCTTAACATCCATCAAAAACGTCGTAGTCTCCAGCGCCCAATCAAGAAACCACCCGTTCGCGACCGCCGTCCAGCTAAACCCCCCCTTACTCTCCCTAACCTTCTCATTCAAATACTTCTGCGTCGCAACCTTAGGCGCAATAACAGGAAGCAGCATAGCCTTCTCGTTCATGCTGTCGAGCCCGAATTCAGCGGGTATGAAGCGCTTCACGCCGGCCTGCACCGCGGCGTCGATGAGCGGGTTCTGAGAGCCCAGGGCGCTGGCTGCTACGCACGAGACGACGACGTCGATGCCTGAGAGGAAGGGCAGCATGCTTGCGGGAGAAGCGAAGTCTACTTCTGCGATGGTGAGGCTGGGGTGCGGGGCGAGCTTGGCGGTAGAGCGGGAGCCGGTGCGGGTGAGGACTGTGACGGTGTGGGAGGCGGAGAGGAGGGCGGCGAGGATGACGGGGCCGAGGGTGCCGGTTGCGCCGGCGAGGGCGATGCGCGATGGGGGCATTGTAGTAATAAACAACGACTTAAGGATAGGTGGTGAAAGATGAGGGGGTATGCTGTGTAGATGGAAGGAGGGGAGGGTGTGTTTATATACCCGCTTACATTACAGCAGATCACGCTTTAAAACGTGAGCCTCGCAGCTGTCGGTTCCGTTTGCGAGAGCGAGCAGAGGCGTCCATAGGTCGGATCCGAGGATCCGACTTCGCAGGACGTTACGTGTGGTCCGATACTCGTACCGCATCCTTCCTACACTCGGTTCCGACACGATTTACACGTCTCGGATCCGGTTCTCACCCACGCTTGACGAAACGAGGCTCACGGAACGGAACCGCATTTCGACCTGGTGGGACGCATAGCGTGACTGATTAATTGTACACATCGACCACGCATCTGCCAATTCTTTCACAGCTGGACCTCGGTTCCGCGTTTCGCATCCGACATCGAAGTGACATGGGTACGATTATTACCCACTGCACAGACTAGCGTCCCACGACGCTTCCCAGGCGGGTTGGTAGTAGTATTAGCTAACTTCGGAGCTCGGGTTGTATTGTGCTTTCTGGCTGGCGAGGTAGGGTAGAGACATCCACAGCTCCCCCGCCATGCGATATCTTGCTAGCACTACTTCTGACATACAGGCAGCAGTCTCGCCCATACGCGAAGGGAACAGCAATCGATGCAGCCTCAGACAGCTGCGAGAGCTGCGTGCATGTGTGCTCTGCGAGTAAGAAAAAGATTCGATGGAAGGGAAGAGAAGGTGTTTGTTTGTAGATGCCTGCGTTGGCAATGGTTGTCATGTCTTTTGACTATGGCATTGCCAAATGTTCCAATCTCTCCCGATTCATTCTCGATGTGAATATTCTCCATCGGCTCAAGAGCCATCAGGTTACTTCGCTCGATACCCTATGTCACTATCTGAATGAGGGAATATCTGACTTGGACAAGGGGACTGCCAGGGTTTTATTAGATAGTGATGTTGGGGAAGGTATAGCACACACAGACTTGAGAGGGGGCAAGTTTATTGTGTTAATGCTACGTAGTTCTTGGACATGGGTACTAATCACTCGATGCATTTTCCGGTAGCATTTTCCGGTGTAGCGTCGTCAGTGGCATTGTATCCCATAAGTACAGTTCCGTCCGCGTGGATACAGCGTTGCTTGTACTTTTGACACGCGCTGTATCGCGCCTTGTGATAGCATAGCCGATTCTTACGCTTACGTGTAACACTTCGGGATATCCTTAAGCTCTATGGAAATACGTGGTATCCTGTTCCTTTGGTATTATGAGCCTATTTGATCAGCTGCTGTTCGTCGGCTTTCATACAAGCTCTGTTCGTGATTTCGGTATGGTTATTCCTTAATCGAGCGCAGCTAGAACGTTTACGCTGCAGTCGCAAATCTACATGGCTCCATCATAGCGTCTTTTTTGACCGCACATGCATGCTCTCACGTTCAGAACAGTACGCGGTCCAGAGCATCTACCTTTGCGACGATTATATACATACAGTCTATTTCGCACAGACGGGAGCAGTTGGCAGATGGTCTCTGCTATTTTGTTTCGTGGTGCAGTGGTTTAGCCCCACACTAGTGTTCGCGTAACCCTTTCTTTCACACTTTACCCACAGTGAGGCCAAAAAGCAACGCCACAACACCACTCCAGGCTCGTAAGAAGCGCAAGAACTACGACAAATGCATCGGCCGGGAGTCGCACCCAGGGCTATGTTGGATGGCCTAGACTCAAAGATGTATAGGAAGGTTGCCAAAAAGAAAGATGAATGATGATATGCATCGGCCGGGCTGATTAATTGTCAGTGAATGCATTTTTAAGATAGGACTTGACCAGACTCACAATCGAACCCGGGGCTAGCCGAAACTGATTGGCAACGGCTAATTTTACCACTAAACCACCGATGCTATTGGTGAATTGATGCACACATACTTTTGAAGCCAATATATATCAGCACGAGATCATAACTGCTCGAGATCGCGCGACCATGAAGCGAATCCGAAGAATAACAATTGCCCCTCTTATAATACTACGGCAGGGTTAGCCTCTGGAGAAGAATGAATCTGCGCGCAATAGGAGGCATGGGTCCTGAAGAAATTCCTGCTATCACGATAGGGTTCTAGCGCGTCAATCATGCGCCTTGCTGCAGCAATGTCGACGTCCGCTGAAGCAAATAGCAATGGACACAGCAACAATGGGACGATTGATTTTTCTAAGGCTATCCTTTGTTGTAATGCCGATAGCTCCTGCCGGTCTACAACATAGAGTGTATCACGGCTAATGACCTCCGACTCCTAGGGCTGTTGCGCAGTAATAAGCCTGACATCTACGCGTTCCACCAATGAGCCGTCCTCAATGTACCGAATGACAATCAATTTGGAGGACTATTTTTATCCTTATCAGTCTGTAATTGGCCGTCGGCTATTTACTTTGACCTCCACGACATGACTATATGAAAGCCACCATGCGATGGAGGCTGGGTGTCATCATTCTAACTCACGATTATTGTCTACGTTTTCGGTCAAGATGCTATCGGTGGTGGCATTGAGCCTCATCCTAGGCGTCGCCGACATCGTCTCTGCCCATGGATGGATTGATCTATGGACCATCTCCGGCCAAAATTATTCCGGATTCAATCCAGCAGTAGCGCCCTGGGTTCCCGATCAAGATACCATCGCCTGGCCAGCCTGGAACACTGACACAGGGCCTGTATACAGTAGCAACGTCAACAGTCCGGATATTATATGCTCAATCAACGCCACGAATGCAAAGGCCTACGGCACCCCGATTGCAGCGGGAAGCACCGTGGACCTTCACTGGACGACCTGGCCAGATTCCCACCACGGACCCATCTTCTCCTACCTAGCCGCTTGCAACGGAGATTGCACCAAGGTCAAAAAAGAGCAGCTCGAGTGGTTCAAGATCGCCGAGCTAGGCCAACTTTCTTACGGAAATGGCAGTGGCAAGGTGGGGATGTGGGCGGACGACAAACTGCGTGCAGCGGAGGGTTTCTGGTCAGTCACCATTCCACCATTCATCAAGGCCGGAAACTACGTCTTCCGCAATGAAATTTTGGCTCTACACTCGGCCTACGATGTCGGTGCTGCGCAGTTCTACCCGCAGTGCGTGAATGTCCAGATCACTGGTGACGGCGATGCTACACCTTCGGGCGTTGTGGGAACTTTACTGTACAGTGCTGATGATCCCGGGGTACACTATAATATCTACAATGATGAATCGAAGCCGGTGTATCCGATGCCTGGTCCGAAATTGTGTAAGTGCAGCCAACGGGGTATGCTATCTTTTGGCGGAGTACACTGCGGGAACTAACTCCTGGCGTCACGCCTTAGTGGTAAATAACACCTTCGAAGATCGTTCTTTCTAGAGATTTCCAATGCCTCTCGCAAGTTCACTTCGCAAGGTCAGTGCCGGTGCGGGTCGGCCATCCCCCCTGCATGTGGTGGCGGATTGCCACCTCCAACGACGCCGCCACGGTGACAGATCACCTCTGGGATACCACTCCTCAAAGTACCCTTCAAGTATCTTTTCGTAGCAGTACCAGCAATTTAGAGTACAATTTTAAAACATACAATTGGAAAGGTATCGCCATGATACTATCTGTCTCCCGCGCAACTTTCCCTACGATGAATTCCATGCTAGTCGGCTAAACTAGCCATGATCAGCCATCCAAGCTTAAACCGCCGATGTCTACTTGCTCTGCCTTCCACCTAGCAAGCGCCGTTACGGAAGACGTGTAATGCGGACCACTAGCGCCTAGAACACAGTGGCAAACCCGCACACATTCGCTCATAACTTTAACAGCTTCCGCATCAAGACCCTGACCTTTACACATAAAGCCAAGATCGGTCACCGATCTCACGTAGGCGTGCATCAATGGCGTAAATGCATTAGGAGCACAGTATTTGGTTGGTCTCGGCGAACATCTTCACCACAGCATAATCGTTGGTGTCGCGCTGTATGCGACTCGGCCCGACTTGGTTTGCTATGGCACGATGTGATCCAGTACATTTGACGCACATTGCAACTTGAGCCCGGTGAATATGTTGATTGATTGCAAGAAGCAGCTATCAACATCTCCGCGGGATCTGCGTAAGCAATGTCAGGAATGGTGCGCTGAAAGATGCTGAGGCCGAGATTGGCTCGCCGGTTAGGATTGAAGTGACTTTATGTATTCCCAAATAGCTTCAGTGGCGGCCAACTGTGTATGTATCTGCGAGGGAGACTACAGCTGATGGCAGATCACACGATGAAGGTGGGGATAAGGGCTTTGGGAGGTTGATAACGGGGAAGTGAGGGACGGCGCCGATTTCCATGCAGCCTAGTAAGTCCGTGCTACAATTTTCAAGATCAATGAGCGGATGTCATGGGTAAGTTGGAGAAAAGCATCACTAACCTATAAATCTTGTGTTGTATTAGTCGTGACAGCATCCCAATGCCACCTCTGAGTTCGACTATTCTCTTTACGCCATCCATATGCACACTCCAAGCGCCATGGTTTCCTTGGAAGTACTGTGAACCCATCAACCTCAACGACTTTACACTCTCCTTTGATAGATGGCTCACCTCAGCTTTTGCCATGAATAGTATGGCAGTGATCGTAGCATCTGAAGTAGCCCCTTCGCCCGGCAAGCGGTCATTAATCAATCTTATAGATTCTAGCATGTGCTTCCTCTGCACTGTCATATCATGCAACCCGAAGAGAGCCGACATGCATAAGAGGGCATGGAAAAGCGCGGCATCAGTCATGATTAGCGGGAACCATGCCGAATCAATGACTTTGCTTTCCGTGGGAAGCATGGCGCCGGCATCTACTCAGTCGAATTTCAGTTTAGCTTTATCCATAACTATGAACATGCATTGGGAGTGAAGGGAAGAAACTTCTACGCACAGTCATGTATCAGTTTGAGCATATAGGGCTCTGTTTGAATGGGAAAGGTAAGAAGATAGGATGGAGGGGCTTGAGGCGAACTTTCCACGGACCGGGAGTCTTGGGAGAGGCACAAGCTTTTGGGGGACTTCACTTCTAGCTTGGAGCAGTCACCTGATTTTCGACGGAGGACATCCTGCATCACATGAGTCTTGACCAGTGTGCGGGATTCTTCGTCCCCTTTGCCCGGGCGAGAGATGTTGACGAAGGCGAATGTCTTCCTAGATGCCGCCGCGGACGGCTTTCTAGGCTTCTTGGCATGCTTCTGCCGTGGATGTCGTGGCTTGCTATCGAAGATCATGACCACTGGCTGGATCTTGCGACTGACCCTGGCCTCAGGGAGTCGGCCTCGATCAGCGTCAGCTGAGAGCGTTGACGATTCTGATGGCATGTCTGCGGTGCTGAAGGAGTAGATGACAAACCCGATGGTATGTACGGGTTATGTCTTCGCGGAACAATCCATTCACGAGAGCAATGGATTTCTTTGTCTCGTCACCGGACATTGCGGACAGCAGGAGGTCGTTGCTTCAGCTCGCTTGGGAGGCGTGACATCCCTTGCGCTTGACCGGACAAGGCTAGTCTGCTTCACGATCCACTTTCCTAAAAGGGCTACTCGGGCGATATTCACGCCGGCTCAATGCAGCAATGCAACAAGGACGTGGATGAGGAATGCGGCTTTCTGGTCAGGCCAATGAGACAGGGTCACTTCCATATGAATTCAGTAGTTTTACGAAGCCGAACTTACCCTCAACCTTACTAAACAGTCTCGAAATTTCGTTGCGAGACCTTCGTACAAGGATTCATGACTTCCTGTAGGTAGGCCGAGACATTCGCCTATCCAAGTCTATTCATTACTGGATCCTGTGAACAGGCTGTCCTGGTTGTGGAAGCAAACCAGTCTTGGTTATCTCCGATCTGTCCGGAAGCAATGGTATAAGACGCGGCATTTTCAAACAGCTCTGGGTTGTTCATTCCTTCTACACTTTGAATTATCGAGCATCATGTCATCCTTCAGTCCAGAAGCCATATCAGATCTATCTGGTAAAGTAATCTTCATCACCGGAGGTGAGTCGTTCTTGCTACTGAAGATTTTGGGCTCGACTTGATGAGCGGGTACTGACATTTCATGAAAATATAGGAAATGCAGGCTTGGGAAAGGAAGCAGCCCTGCAACTTGCCAAACACAACCCTTCCCGGATCCTGATCGGCTCACGCAGCGAGGAAAAAGCTCGCACTGCAATCGCTGAGATCGTCGATTCAGTGCCAGGAGCGCAACTGACACCCATTCAAATGGACCTTGCATCTTTGGCATCCGTCAAAGAGGCCGCAAACAAGGTTCTCGCGACAACCGCCCGTCTCGATGTCCTGATGAACAATGCAGGCATCATGGCTGTGCCGCCTGCAACCACGGTCGACGGCTACGAGATACAGTTCGGCACGAACCACATGGGCCACGCGCTCCTCACGAAATTGCTCCTGCCACTCCTCCTAAAGACTGCCGAGCAGCCCCGCTCAGACGTCCGTATAGTCACCCTTACATCGCACTCGCACACTCGAGCCCCTGAAGGCGGCATCGACTTCTCAAGGTTGCATTGCGCTGACCCCAGGTCCTCACCCTTGACCAAGTACGGGGTGTCGAAGCTGGCGAACATTCTGCACGTTAAGCAGCTTGCGAAACGTTATCCGAGTATCAAAACAGTGGCTATACATCCAGGCATGGTGAATACCAATCTCAGCACGACTATGAGACAGAGTTTTATTCTGGCCCGGATACTCATGCCCATCGTATCTTACTTCTCGGCCGCAGGCATCGAAAAGGGCGTCTTGAACCAGCTGTGGGGGACGACCAGCGCTGAGGCAGAGAGTGGGCAGTACTATGAGCCCGTGGGTGTTGGCGGTAATGGATCGCCGCCTACTGAGGATGTGGAGCTGGCTGAGAAGCTGTGGGCGTGGACTGAGGAGGAGATGGCGGGCTGGGAAATGCAAGCTAAATTGTAAATTAATCGATGAGCTAAACTTACGGCCAACGTCAAGGACGCGATGGGCGTGAGCACCAACGTCTGTTTCCCGTCCTTCACTTCCCCGAATCGCACATTTATCACTTGTTTACTCACATTCCAATCTTGACCCAGCGAAATCTCAACTTGTGTCGCGATTTGCAGCTCTCCATTCTTCTTCTCGGAGCCCTTACACTTCCCACAGCAGGCCGAGAGCGCCATCATTCAGTGCCATTTGACCGATCGTAATAACAAAGTAATACTGCACCCCGTATGCCCACTCCAGCAAAGGTGAAACGTTCGGGCGTGGTTTTAAGCTTCTTGTACAGACGATATAAGAATAAGTGAGACCTTTAAAATTAAGTCTCACGTTATGTTTCACGGCGGACTAACCTACCCAGTCCGCTGATGAGGTATATGTCACGAATTTATTCCATTGCTAACCGACGTACCCGCCAATAGCAGCCAAAGATATACGGAAGATTTATTCCAGTAAGACTCTCGTTTAGTGAATTTTAAGACGTCAGTAATGCATGCGAAGACTGCTGCATATATCTGAAAGCAATGCTGGCCACATACTATTACTGTACACTAAGATGCATCTAGGTTCCACTATGGTGTCATAATCTTGCTCAGAAAGATCCGTATTACTGATTTGTGCGCGCGTTAAGCAGTGTCATCTCCTTGAGCAGTTGCGCAGGTGTCCTGTCCTCATAGTCCTTCACATCAGAGCGCGCCCCACTTTGCTCCAGTAAATCCATGGCCTCGTCTTCGCATCTTGAGGCGGCGAAATGCATAGGCGTCCACTCGTTCCACTCATAGTCAACCTCATTCAAGTCTGCGCTATGCTGTATCAGGACGCGCATAGTATCAAGGCGACCAAATGCTGCAGCGGTATGTAGCGCAGAAGTACAAGCGATAGGGGCACCGTGTTCCAGCAGCATCTCGATCATGCGTGGATATTGAGACATCGCGGCGCGAGACATTAGAGACGAGTCGTAGGTACCAAGTTTCTTAGGCTGCTGAACAGGATGTAGTGGATCCGCCCCATACTTGAGTAGCACCTCGACCACGTTGGTTCGTTTTAGCCTCACGGCCTCGTAAAGCGCCAGCGCACCGTGGTGGCAGTGGAAGTGGACGATTTCCGGGTCTGCAGACGCGAGTGCCTCCCATACCCAGGCGTACTCATTGGCAATCATCTTATTCATTGTCTCTTTCGCTATGAATTCGGATCTTAGGACGCCTTGGCGGTTTGAGAAGGCCATTAATGTGGACAACACAGCAGCATGGCGGTTCTGAACCGCTAATCTGAAAGCGCGATCGACGTTTCCGATTCCACGTGCCGACACCTTGCGTGCATCATCCGGGCCTTCACGTGGACGGCTCTCTTTATAGATGGTGGGTGGAAAATCGAGCATTATCTTGATCCATTTTGGTTGCGATAGCAAGCTTTGTAACGTCGCGGCGTCGCCAGACGAGCTTGCTTCCAGGAGTGGACGGGCGACGTCCTCACCTATCAGTACATCATCTACACCTCTGGTCGAGATGAAAGAGCCTGGCAGTACCAAATCCGCCTTGGTCATACCCGGGCCTATTTCCATCATAGCTATATCGTGGTGGTGGCGATGGTAGTGATCGTGCTGATGGTGGTGGCGACGGATGGTGATGGACCACGTGGTAGATCTGATGATAGTGGTGGGAACCAAGATCCGTGAGAGTTTTCCAAACTTTAAGTAAGGTTGCTCCGTTCCCCTCCCGCAGAAGAATTGCCACGTGGCGGCTACTCGCGTGTCTCGGGCTAGGCTATCACGTGACTACCCAGGTGGAGTGGCAGGTGTCAGCTGTTTCGTGCTTTACGCCCGGAATCCTGCTTACAACCTGTCTGCTTCGCCCAGTACGCCCGGGCGGACTTCTGCACTTGATGCTGCACGTAGGAATACTCTGGAACCTGTCTGCTTCGCCCAATACGCCTGGGCGGACTTCCGCACCTGGTGCTGCACATAGGATTACTCTGGCTAGGTTATAGTCCGTTGATTGTGGAACAGTCCCTCTGCGAGACGAATCGTTCTTGTTACGGAGATTTTCAAAGAAGACTACGACGCATCCGTTAATCCAATCATGGCACATCAGTCTCGCAACACTAACGTTTCCTAGTATGGGAACCGATACCTATTCACCTTGTTTTGATTACCCTGTGTAATGGCATTCAAAAGGAAGTCAAATACCTCAGCTATTGCCTCTTAGTATACTACTCTCTACCATTCGCTTTCTGCCACTCGTTTATCAACATTCTTTTTCGACCATTTGTTTTCCGTCATTCTTTTGTCACTGGTCGCTTTCGACCGTTATCTTTTCTTCATTTCACACGAGGAGATCGCAAGTCTACAGCAGAATCATCTTAGAGAATGGCGCGTCCTTATAGGTTCGGCTGGACGGGCCTAGTAGCAAGCTTCCTGCTTCTTCTCTCGCTGTTCAACTTTGCAGCTACGTCGCCTCTACTGGACGACCACATCAATAACACCTTAGTCGTACGCGCCGGCGCCAAACCCGATTTTGAAGAAGCACTACCGACCATCACCAAGGCGCAGTATGTGGCGTATCTCAAGAAGCACTTCAAGAGAACCGAAAAGTACCTATTCTACTCTGGTGGAGCAGACAAAAAACAAATCCCACGATTTCTGAGAACGAGCCCCGGATATTTCTTCTATGGCAATATGATAACTGCACCTAAATGGAAAGATCGCTCAAAGCCCCCTCCCAATCACCCATGGTACAAAGAGTTCAAGGTAGACAAGGTAGACGACGACGGCGAAGAGGCTTCCAAGGCCCTGGCAGAAGTCGCCACGGGGACGATCCTGGTCTTCGGAGCTGTAGATTACAAAAACTTTGAGAATTCCTATTTCACGTCAAAAGAAGTCGAAATACTTCATGAAGGAATCAAGAGCGGCAGAATCACCGCGATTCATCACATGGCCAAGAGTGCGAGGAATAAAGATGAAATCATAGCCATCGAAGACGGGGACGGGAAAATTGTTTTTCAACCTGGCATGGAAGGCACTGAGAACGCTTCTATCAACTGCGACGGCACCAGCGCCGACAGCGACCATCCGAGCGACAGCGACAGCGCCACAAAACGTGCTCTCGGAAAATATGGAGTCTGTGGTCCGCCAAAGATCCCTAGCAAGAGGTCTCCTCAAGAGTGCGACGGTAAACCAGGCAACGGAAAGCGCGCTATGGGCTCCAAGAAGCAGAGCGCTGCTTGCCCGTTGAAAAAACCCACATGCACCGCGGTAATGAAGAAGGCTGGCAAGTGCACTACCACCAAGAAGTGCACCGCAGCAATGGAGAGGGCTGGCAAGTGCGGTACCGCTAAGAAGTGCACCGCAGCAATGAAGAAGGCCGGCAAGTGCGGCACCAAGAAGAGCGCCAAGAAGACTCCCAAACACCCTATCAAAAAGAGGCCTGCCACACACCGCAAGAAGACCACCAAGAAACGACCTTCCCGAGCCAAGAAAGCTTCCAGGAAAGGTAGCGGTCGGGGCAGGCACTAAGTACACGCTACCGAACGCGCATGCTATCGGGTTGGTGACAGGGGATCCGGAGGAGGCTCAGGTGGCGGGGAGCAGAAGGCGTAGATGGGTATCGGGTGGGGATACTACACCAAGTATCCAGGTGAGTGGAATGGTATACAAGTGGAGGTTTAAAACATTTGTAGCACAGTGGCCGCTACACCAAGCTAGACTATCTATAAACTTCCATAGATTTTGTCCGAAATCGACCTTGTCTTGCATATCTTGGGCATCGCCTGGGGTGTTACGTGAGAAGATCTCCACATACAACTCACAGTGTTCTATTCTACTTCCAAGCGATCGGCTATGAGCACTCTAACACGTTGGTGTAATATTGTCTATGCCTATCATTGAACAGCCTACCCCACATATCACCTACCACGAGCCCGGAATCAACAGACCATCTTCAAAGATAATGCAGTTGTAGGCAGGAAAGTCGTCAGCTGTGCCACCTTGACCGTAGCTATAGTCGACCGTAAGATTCATTCCCACCTTCTGAAGCGAGCCAACCCCGCAGACAGTGCCCGTCTCACACGTCTATCAAGCCGCCATTATCTAATCTGAAATGTTGTTTTATCTCGGCTCGCAAACGATCCCCAGGCTTCAGCAATCTCTTGCCTTATCTTGTGGTGCCTCCAAGGGGTTGACATGTGCTGATGGACCGTTCAATGGACAATGTTATTCCAGCAGCGGCTTCTGTGGTACCACAGATGGACACTGTAAAGCTGGATGGTAAGCTATGTTCCCAATCTATGAGCGTGTTTCAAGCCAACAATCTTATAGCCATACAGGTTATGGTACCTGTAAGTAGGTCATAGTAACAGTGGGTTGAAGAGAACTATATTATACATAATCTTAATGTTTTAGAGAGTGCGGGCATGGTGTACTAGACCAAGTATCACAGATCCCAAATCTTGTCCTTCTCTACATAGCTGAGCTTGCGCCTCGGATGCACTTTAGTGTGGTCATAATTGGGTACTGGGCTTATTCATATACTGATTCCTGTTTCGCCGCCTCATGCATCCTCATATCTGACGATATCTACCTCCTTACATACTATTCCACAAGTGCAGCACCTTGTGGAGACACCCGTCAAAATGCGCCAGTTTCCGCATCCCTCACATCGCACAGCGAGCTTATCCCTTCCTTTCTTGCTCGCGTTGAACCGCAACTCATCGTCATACCAACTGAACAGCCCTGCCCAGCGATTTATATACTTGCCGCTCTGCTTGGCCCGAGCCATCATCTCCTCCGAAAGCTGCAGCACTTCCTCCACTCGCGCCTCCTCAGGTGGTCCGTCGTCCAAGCGGTTCCCCAGAAGCCGAATGACCTCTTTTGCAAACATGGTGTACTCTGGATGCTGGGAGCCCCATTCCCACGTGGTCACGAACTCTGCGACCCGGTCGACGGACACAAATTCGGAAGATCTGCGCCACAAGGCATTCCCTGTTCCAGACATATACTGCCAAAGTGGGCCCAAGGGTCCAGTCCGGGGCGATTGCATGAGTACGTAGTTGTATTTGTTCATACGGTTTAGATTGGCCACTCTTTCCGAGCAGAACTTGTTGTATTGATCCAAAGTCTTCTCCTTCTCCAGTCTACCTCTAGACAGAAGGTAAGGCGTCTTTTCGGCCAGGAAAACACTGGTAGCCATGTTGCAGTTGATCCCTGGGGAATAAAGCGGGTTCGTGAATCCAGCCGCATCGCCGATAGCTGCCCACGCCATACCGTCGCCGTCGTCGCCAGTCTTATTCGCGATACCGGACAAGATAGGTGTGCTGTAAGTGAGTTGCTTGCGGATGAACCATGTCGAGTTCGTCCCATACAAATCCTTGACGAGTCGGTGGCGATCCATGTATGCTTGCATACGCGGGTACTTGGATGTGATCCAATTAAATTTTCTTTCTGCTTCACAACCACCATACCTTTGTAACTCCTCCGAAGAAGGGTAGACAACATCGCTGCGAAGCGCGAACCCGATGCTCGTGACCCAGCGGACCTTGCAATTGAACCTCTGAGCTACCTCCTCCATCGATGGGTACGAGTCCGAAGGTGTATTGGCCTGGTTGAGGTCTAATAGATAATTGATCATAGCCGTAAGATTCGGGATTGAGCTACCCTCCCATGTGGGAAGCCGAATGAGCCACGCCCAGCTGTAATACATACATTAGCTTACAGCCATGAGAACAGATGAGCTCTTTTCCTCAAAATCCACCATTCAAAACCACTGCTCAGGTATGTGGAGATAGAACTTACCCTTCAGCAATGCAAATATGGTTCGTATGGCAACTCTCGTAGTTATCAAACGGCAGATCAGATTCGTCGCCCGTCATTTCAAAGTACGCCCAGAAAGAGTCTGTGTTGAATCCCTCGAACCGCTCCGACTTACTCTTTTTCGACGCAAAGCGACGGAATCGGCCGGTTGCATCTACCAAAAGCTTGGTCTGTATATCTACACCATTTGTCAATTTCACATGTCCAGCCTTAGGCTCGGTACGGCAAGGCGAGGCTTCGAGATTCGACGGAGGAACCGCAGACGAGCTTATTGGTTTGTCCGGGTCACTCGAACGTGATGTTTCGCGTACTTTTGCAAGCCGCGGCAAGACCGGGTCACTACTTATCGGCGTCCCAGGGACGTCGACGCCCGTACCATGAAGGACCTTCACCCCCAGCCGCTGTGCGTAGAGCGTCAACAGCAGCTCGCTGATTTTGCGCTCGATCTGCAACGTAGCTACAAAATCACCACTAGGGCCATTCGCACAAAACGACGTGACTCCGTCCCAGGAGCCGTCTGGAGGGAGGTAGTAAAAGGCGAGGCCATCCTTTGCACCGAATAACCGCCACAAGACTGAAGTGCTAATGCCGACTGATCTGAGCCAGACACCGAAGGTCGTAAGTGTCGATTCGCCAATCTTGTAGCCTGGCGAGGGAAGTCGCTCGAGCACAGTGATTGAGGGTACGTGGAGAGTCGGGTCGCTTGCAAAAAGAGACTGGGAGCGGAGGCGAAGATGTATAGCGTAAATGAGCGAGTGGATGCCACCACCTACAACCACAACATCCGATGATGATGGCACACCCGGTTGGATATTTTGCGCATTCAGAAAATCGGCATCAAAGAGGGGCTGCGCAGTCGCAGGCACCTCGAGTGGCCGTGGCGAGGAACGAAGTCCGTATTTTTGCCAGAAGTACGATGAGAGGCCGCCGTAAGGAGCTGCCCATGGATCTTTGGAAGGCTGCTTGTATTCTTTGCGGAGAAGGCTCTCGGCCGATGAGAGTCGGGGTGCTTCCATTATAACTCAAGTGTTCATCGGTTGGCAAACTATAAAGTGGAAAAAGAGATCCCACAGAGCGACGGGGTGCTCTTCGATTCATAGTCACTATTTTAGATTAAAGCAGCGAGATATGCCAGGATAAAGATCGGTATCTGATGCTACATCACCAATGAGAGTGTCTCGCACGTCGTATCGTACGATAGCAGGGCGCAAGCACATGCACATGAGCATTTACAGTAGTGCTAGGAGGGATTAGAATCCTGCGTGCCCAGCACATTTGCTTGTGCTTGAGATCGAAAGCGACCATAGGACTGGGGTCTCCGAATTCTCGGGTCGTAGGCGCCAAGCGATAGGTTTCGAACGGTGAGGATGGCATTCTGGCTTTTCGATGGGACCAATCACCCTGGAACGTAATCCTGCCAAACGACGCTTACGCGCTCCGGTAACCTACATCTATGTGCCCTTAATATTCAAAGCCTATGATTGGACCTGGATGGGCAGTATGGTAGACTGTAGGTCCTCCGTATTGGATATTGCTTGTGTCGGCGACCTAAGCCTAATTCTGATGATAGTGCTCGATAGTGCTTGACTTTGAAGTAACAGATTGCGGGGTATCAGACGGAGCATAAGCCATTAGTGGGCTTAGCTTCAATCCTTGCCTTGTGGGGTCATAACGAGTTGTCAGCACTAAATCTAAAGCAGCATCCCACACTGAAAGTGCTAATTGAATGGAGCGAATTATCCAAACCGCAAAATGTTTCTAAACCACACAGCGATCACAAAGCACTACAGACCGTTCGTGAACCAAATTACTATCGGAGTTTCTGAAGCCTCAAACCGAGTACAAAGTTGCTCCGTCAGCAAATTAGACCAAAGTATGTCAAAGTTATTCATTCAAGCAGTAATGCGATGCAGATGCGTTATAGTATTGCCAATAGAATATGGTATGTATTCAGGTGTGCCTTATCATGAAAGGGCTAGCACTAAGGGATAGTATGGAGAGGAACCCAAGCGACGCTGCAACAAAGAAAACCGTCCCGTCAACTGAAGAAGCACCCTGTACACTACCGAGGATCAAAGGTCCAAGAACACTCCCCAGCGTTTCCATCAGGGCCAGACCCGCCAGAGCCTTGACTTTTGCCTCAACCTCATGTAATGCAGCATAGTATGCTTTAACGTAAGAAGGAGTAGGTAATCCGATCGCAAGAAAAATCGTTATGCAGTACATGTGCCAAGCTCTATAAACAAAGGCAAGCGTTAACAACGATAGAGATTGTATAGCAAGGGATACCAACGCCAAGACTAAGTTCCGCAATCTCGTGGTCTTTGTTTTGCCCTGCGCGGGTTCTACATACTTGATGTACACTAACAATCGGGGTACGATTAACGAGGTAGTAAAAATGTAAAGAGCTGCTACGGAGTGGGCAACTGAGATGATAATTCCATTTTCCTTACTAGTGAATTGGAATCGAACCGATGCGTACACTATTAGTGCACTGAAAATGTACGATTGGATGGTATTGTAAAACAAAAGACTTAGTCCAACTGAAAGATGGCGTGGGTTTTTTCGGAAGACTTCTAAAGGCACTAGGATGGTGCTTAGCCACCTCTGTGTTGGATTTTGAGCTTGATTCTGGGTAGATCGACACCCGTCATTGTTGATGCTGCCGCTGTGGTTTTGCTCAAGTGGATGACCCTGTACGCAGAGTTGGAGGTATGAGATAGTAACACCGAAAAGACCGAGGGCAATCAAGAAGCTGGTGATGAAGCTCTTGAATAAACCAGCAACAAACGGGCTGACGGATATTCCGATCATATAAAAGCCGAGCGAGTATCCAATGAGACTAGATGCTTGAACCTCGTGACATTCCGTATATATGGCGTTGAGTGTGAAGTGGAGGAGATTGTCGGATGCCAATCCTTCAAACAGTCTCCCAGACAAGGCAACATAAATATTATTCGCAAAAACTGTGGTTGAAGCTTAGCTCAATTTCGCAGATCATACAAGGAGATCTTACCACCCAATAGCAGCATAACCACACTCATAGAACGGCATACAATCCAGATCATCAGACCACGTTTGCGATTAGTGATGGCCAACCGCTGCAAGACTCCGAACGCAGAAATTCCAACGATATTAGCAACCCCAGTTGTAACAGCAACAAGGCCAGCAAATTTGCTAGATTCGTCACCTTTGCAACTCTTGGGATCTTGACAAAGAAGCGAAGCATAAGCAAAGTACGATGTTGCAGCGGTGCATGCCATAGCGAGTGCCGCGAAAAGTGCAACAGGAAGGACTTGCACAGCTGCCGAATCTTTCTCAGCCAGTAGACCATCTCTAACGCTAGTCGCACTAGCGCCCGTGGCTAGAAGCGCGGTAGTCTCGTTGTTGTATTGAGGTTCTGACGCGTCCATCTTTTGGCGGAATAGTGAAGTGATTCCGTTTTACTGACAATACTCATTGGAAAATTAGTGGAATGGTACAGTATGTGGCGCCAGGGGCCCGAAACTGGTGTTGAGGGATCGGGCGCCGAAGGCGCGTCTAGGGCTTTTCGACCAATCATCGAGCCTCCCAACCATTAAACACTCCTTGCCTCGTCTCATCCGCAATACGCCAGACTATAGAAAACCTCAAAGCATAGCAATATTGATGAATCGCTCAGAAAGTATGGAGTCTCTCCTACATGAGCTGAACGCTTCCCTGGAGTCGGCGGTTCGACGCCTGAATGGAGACGAAAAGTTGGCCCTGCAGGAATCCCTCCATAACACGGAGGCTCTCCCGAACAAAACTACATTGGCTCTAGCTGGCCAGACTTTGGACCTTGTAGCTGAGGTACAACACCTTCTCGAGCCAGGACATCTCATTCTTGCAGACCATTACTTAGGTATTGTGCCCCACTGATCATGACACGACTTCACTGATTACGAAAGGGTACATGAGTACAAAAGCATTGTGTGCTGCAGTGGAATTGAACATTCCCGATATCCTACGGCAAGAGCCAAAGACATTGCCCGCACTCGCAAAAGAATGCAAAGCACGAGCCGACCGCTTAGGACAGATCATGCGCACGCTTTTCAACAACGGAGTATTTTCGTACAACAAGCAGGACAAAACATACCAAAACAACCACGTATCTACGTTACTTCTCTCTGACCATTGGACACAATGGCGCAATTGGGTAGAACTATACGGAAACGAGTTTTACGACATGGCCCGCGGGATTCCTGCTGCATGTGGAGCCGGAATTTCCCGCTCACCGGCCCAAGTCAACTACGACACAGATGACAGCATGTTCAAATATTTCACAGACCAAGGGTGGATACAGAAGTTTCATAAGACCTTGAGTGGAGGCGCTATTGCGCAGGCACCAGGAATCTTAGAGGATTATCCGTGGGAAGAGGTAGCTCATGGTACCGTTATTGATATTGGTGGTGGAGGTGGCGGACTCATTGCCTTGCTCCTTCGAAAGTTCAGAACAATGACCGGTGCGATTCTCGAAGCTCCCAGGGTTATTGAGCAGGCGCGGGCAAATTTCCACACCCCTGACGGTCAATTTGAGGATGTGGGTGGCCAGATACCAGGAGAGAACCTACTCACAGGTGATTTCTTTGTGAGCATCCCATCTTTCGAAGTCTATACACTGAAATGGTGTCTCCATGATTGGGACGACAATAAGGCTGCCATTATCTTGAAAAACATCCGCAAGTCGATTAAGAGAAGTTCCAAAAGTCGTCTTATTGTTTTGGAATCTGTCCTGGAGGATGGTCATACTGGTAGACTGTCGAGATATGCTGACATGAACATGATGGTGGCTGTGGGCGGCAAAGAAAGAGATGAATCACAGTGGAGGACGTTAGGCGAAGAATCGGGTTGGAAGCTGAGAAAGGTCTACCCCCTACGCAATGCATGGCCATACGCAATCGAATTTGTTCCAGTCTGGTTCGAGGGGGAAGCACCACCTGCGGAAAAGGAAATTCCCTCAGTAGAACCTGGGAGCGTGGTGGCTGAAATGCGATTCCTTGAACCATGGGAAAACAAAAGTGGAAACCCTTACATGAGAATCAGTCCAGATCCCGGATACGATCGGAGCAATTTCCAATGGCAAGACTATGCTGTTAAGATATACGATGCGAGGCCAACAAGGAACCAGTTCGTCCTGGATACCCACGGCTTCGCTTTTCATGATGACGATATCCTACAAGAAACCATAGATGCACTGCGAGGCAACAATAAGGAGACCGTCAGAGACCTCTACTATCCACACATCGAAGATTTTGTCAAGAGAATCACCGGCGCTCCTAGAGTAATCATCTTCGATCACACATTGCGAAAACGCAGACTCGAACTCGCTAAAACAGAGAACAACGACAACAAGGAGCAACCTGCAACCATGGTGAGTCGTCTCACTTGAGACGAAGGTATACTAACAACGCCCAGGTTCATTGCGATCAATCCCCGAAGGGGGCTTTGAGAAGACTGAAGATGAACATTGAACCTTGGGAGAACGTTGATGACCTGTTACAGGGTCGTGTTCAGATGTTGAAGTATTAAGCTATCCTCACACTTACTTACACTAGGCTAATACCTACCTAGTGTGTGGCGGCCTCTAAATGGACCTGTGCAAGACTGGCCGCTGGCGACTATGGACTACCAAACCACTCGAATTCATGATATGCATGCGTGCGATCTCCTCAAAGGAGCCAATGAGGAACGTGGACAAACGGCGACATTTACTCACTCAGATCAGCAGAAGTGGTACTATCTCGACAAACAACGAACAAGTGAAGTCACAGTGATAAAAATCTGGGATAGTTTAAGCAACGGAGTCAGCAAATGTGCGTTTGAGCTGGAAGTCATCTGCGGAAAATATGCTAATAATGATAGTCTGCGCACATGCAGCTTTTAACCATGTCGATACACCCCTTAATGCCGAGCCGAGAGAAAGTGTCGAGGTCAGATGTTTAGTCATACACAGCCCAACGCCTTAGATCTACCAGCATCCTAGTACCGATTCAGGTTCCGGCGACAGTGGTGTGTAGGAAAGCCATCTGAGGTGTTACTTTTACAGACGTACTAGAATTTAGCTCGTTTTCCCTAGCCTCCGCTGTGACCCTGATGTTTGTGTTCCAACACGTGACCTCGTTTTACGCCCACCGGTCCCCGAAATTCGTAACCTGTTCCAACCAATCACGACATGAGCGTTCGCGTATAATCATATATCACAGGGTTGTCACTTGAGATTAGGTAGGGTTCAGACACTCTGGTTCTCCAGGTTGAACGGACACACCATGACCGAAAACGGAGACAATGTTTTTTCCCACACAGTCGATGTGCTGATCATCGGCGGTAGCTACGCTGGCCTTTCGGCAGCCCTTACTCTTTATAGGGCATTACATACGTGTATCATCTTCGATAACAACACACCACGAAACCACTACTCAACTCCTATGCGACTAACATCCACGTGGGAGAATCGTTCCCCGGGAGACATGCTCGATGCATCGCGCACCGAATTACTAGAAGCCGGCTTCACGAAATTCGTTTACAATGGGATAAAAAAGATAGAAAAGCTGGACGATGGACGTTTTCGGCTTTCCGATGATGCAGGAAAACATTGGTTAGGGCGCAAGGTTCTGTTTGCAACGGGAGCCCAGGATGTTTTTCCGAACGTGGAAGGATACCAAAGCTTGTATGCGAAATTGATGTAAGTAGCGAATTCAAAGCCAGCTCGTCTTCTAAAACGCCTCTGCTAATTGTACCTTCGTAGCTTCCACTGCATGTTTCAGTTCGGCTTTGAACTCCGAGGTTCCGCTTCAGCTGGCTTGCTGGCCGTAGATGGACTTGCAAATGCATTTCAGGCGACGATACTGGCTCAAGATGGCCACAAGTTTGTGGATAAGATGACTATTTACACCAATGCGAACTCAGACCTCGCTACACAGCTCTCATCTGCAATCACTACACCAGGTTTCGCAATCGACGACCGAAAGATCGAACGTCTTAGTTCAAACGATTCCTTTGCAGAGATTGTGCTTCATTTCGAAGATGGGTCCTCCTCCACCGAGGCTTTTTTGGTTCACCGCCCACTGACGAAGGTCGATACAAAGCTCATTGATCAGATTGGCGTTCAACTATCAAAGATGGGGGTTATAGACGCCGCCCCACCGTTCTGCAAGACGAACGTTCCAGGAGTCTTTGCAGCGGGAGATTGCGCGAGTTTCGCAAAGAGCACCCCTACCGCTCTATCTATGGGGGCATATGCAGGGTGTGGGATTGCAAGGGAGCTCCCAAAGAGTCCGTAACTCCAGTACAACTATAGATACAATCTGGAAAAAGTTGGTTTCAAATTATGAAAACAGTCTGAATATACCAAAATCCCATCTTGGATGCCCAATCCGACATGTTTAAGTTGCAGCGGAGATCTTCACCCTCTTGACGGGCTGATCCACCTCTATTGGTGGCGATGCCGAGCGTTTCGATGAGATACCCAGCGAATCTTTTCTCTCGTACCTTCTCATATTTTCAACTACCCGTCTAATTCTTTGGATTGCCTTCTCCAAATCGGTATCCTTGACTGAGAAGCCTACTCTCATCCAACCTTTCTCCTTCTCTGGCCCGTGATATGCTTTCCCAGGAGATACTAACACACCTGCGCCTTTCAATAGCCCAACCACGTCGGACTCCTCATCCCAGGACGTCGCTTTTGTTGCCATCTTTGCGAAAACATACAGTCCAGCGTTGCAGGGGATGTATGGAATTTGGTTCTCTTTAAAGAAGGACGTCAGTTTCTGGTAAGCGATGGAAAGCCTTTGCGAATTGAGCGCAATGAGCGAGGGAAGCTTTGGTGATGTGAGAAGATTGGTGACGAAGATCGTAGAGAGCGCAGAGATCTGGGTGTTGGCTGCCAGCGCTAATGCAACAGCCATTTCTTCGTTGAACTGTGTAACAGTGCATCCCTAATGGATTTTATTAGTATCATAGCTCGTGTCTGGAACAAGAGTATTTCAGTACCATTCTGAAACCGCTCTGACCGAAGTCTTTGCTCGTACTCCAGATCACATGTACGCGCGATTTGTCTGCTCCAAGTTTGTCTAGATCTAAGGATAAAGCAGAAACAAACTCGCGAGGTTCAGCAAGGTCCGGAGCATCGAAGCTAGTCAGCGCATAGACTTCGTCAGAGATGAAATGGATGCCGTGTCTCTTGCAAAACTGGATGCAGCCTTCCAACACAGCTCTCGGGTAGTAGAGACCAAGAGGATTGTGAGGGTTGCATATCATGAGCGCCTTGATGGGGTACTTGGCTGATATGTATGCCTCTTCTAACGACGGAAGCAATTCGTCAGTAAAGTTCGATTGGAATGAAGGAAGGTCCACTGCGACAGGATTGACGGATGATCGAACACGCATCCCGAAATCGAAACCATTCCAATAAGGACCAGGTACCAGAATCCCATCGCCAGGGTCGCAAATGTTGTACAACAATGCGTCTATGCAGGCCATTGCACCAGGAGCGGTGGACAGGTGGGACGGAAGTACCGTAACATGTGGGTTGAAATATCTGTTGAAGAAAGACGCATACGCATCCAGAAGATCTGGGTCGCCAGAGAAGCCACGTGGATACGAAAAATGCTACATAATGTTGTTAGTCAGGATGATCGCTGTGTAGGCAATGGGGGAGACTACTTACTTGCGCCTCAAGCTGTTGCGTGATAGCATCTCTGCACAGTTCAATCAACTCTGGTCGAATAAGCCAGTTTTCAGCGGTAGAAAGATCGATGTTTGTGTTGTGTTTTATGCTCCGTTGCTCAACAGCCCCTTTGATTTTGGGCATGATTGCTTCAATGTTTGACCATCCCCGACTAGATAGACTCAGACCCGTGGGAGATTGCATGGCTACTTTCGAAAAAGAAAGACTGATCCACAAACCTTGAAGACGTTTTGGAATGTTTTGTTGTTGAAGAGATCATCATTATCGGCAAAATTGGTAGTGGCGCAGCTGACCGAAACAGCCAATCAGAAGAGAAGCGTCGTTCGACCACACCTCGGACCCCGATTCGGCAACACAACCATGGAAGTGTGAATACGCCTATCTCCGTTCCAGAAACAGTTCATGAAAGGGATCCATCTGTCAAGCTGTAGAAGCTCGCAGACCTGACGCCCAACTCCTTTCTTGATTGCATTGCAATGGCACTGCTTCAGCCCTTAGTGATCTTGTATTACAGCTACCCCTTAGCTTTGTATCTAGTTCTGTCTTGCTCACTTCTCGTCAACCATTACCTTCATAACAAAGCCTACATTTCGAATGTCTACCACAAAAAGAGGAACCTTGTCCGTGTGATCTGGTGGATGCAGCTATTTCTGGCCATTTGCTTCTCTGCAAGCGTAGGCGCTGCAATTCCAGGTTTTGTCTCGTCTTTGGGGCAGGAAGACGATCATAAGTTAAGTCAGGCTAGCCTAGTGAGTCTTTTGTTATGAATGCGCATTGTATGACTCCTTATCATCTTAGATCTCACACGTCGCTATCCTCTTGTATTACGTCGCCGGTCTGCTCCCAGATCCCGAGGATTCTTTCCAACCGACAACATCGAATTTCCATGCCTGGGCAACTGCGGTCATTCTTGAAATTATCATATCGGTCTTTGAAAAGAAGCCTCGCGGAGAAACCATAGACGTCATCAAATGGATATTCCGGGTCAGTAGACTGTTTGTTCTATCGTGTATGTGCATCATCTACGTCTTACCGAACAACAACAACTATGAAGATGATGGAGAGAATGAGAGCCTTCTGCAAGGACCATCTCGTGCCACATATGGCTCTGCAGGCAATGACACCAGTAACGGAAAGCATTTGAAGTCGTCCACGGCTGGAAAAGGGAGCTGGTTGGATTATTCAATAGGTTTTCGAGTGCTATTTCCGCATATATGGTTTGTGTATTCATTTTCCAAATTCATTCAGAACTAATTAATTGAGTAGGCCATCTGGAGACCTGAAACAACAGATGTACCTCCTAGTATGTTTTTGCTTGATGCTTTCTCAGAGAGTTGTCAATATTCTAGTTCCTTATCAACTGGAAATCTTGGTTTCATCGTTAGGGACGGGGAAGATGCCTTATCAGGCCATTGCACTGTACATCCTGTTCCGCGGTCTGCAAGGCCAAGAGGGTGTACTGGGGTCTATACGCGCCATTATTTGGATCCCCGTTCGCCAGAATCTCTTCAAGAGACTGACTTGCGCAGCGTTTGAGCACATCATGACATTATCTCTCGATTTTCATCTTAGTAAACGCATTGGAGAAGTCATGAGTGCTCTTAGTAAAGGAAGTGCACTGAACACGTTCCTAGATAGTTTTGCGTTCCAGCTGTTCCCTATGGTTTTCGACCTTGGAGTTGCATCATTATACTTTCTCATTCGGTACGATGCATTTTACTCTCTAATTCTGATTGGAGTCATGTGGAGCTATATCTACATGACCATATACATGGCGCAATGGAGAGCAAAGGCGCGTCGCGAAATGAGCACTAAGGACCGTGAAATGGACGCAGCAAAGTAAGTCAATCCAGGCTTCATCGCCATTGCTTCTTGGAGAAAGACCTCTGACAGTGAAATAGGATGGATACAATGATGTCTTATGAGACTGTGCACCACAACGGAGCACTGGACCAAGAGTCTGCAAAATTCGCAGGTCACGTCGAAACCTACCAAAAAGCCGAATTTTCCGTTCTTTTCTCTCTAAGCTTACTTAACATCACGCAAAACACTATCCTTGCATTCGGCATCCTGTTAGTTGTCTTGTTATCCTCCTTTCAAATTGTCAATAGTCAACAAACGGTTGCCATGTTTGTCAGCATACTAGCCTATTTCACACAGCTCCAAGCGCCGCTTCAGTTCTTTGGAAGCTTCTACAATCAAGTTCAGAACAATCTCATTGACGCCGAGAGAATGCTGGCTTTGGTAAGATAGATTTTCGTCAAGCTCTGTGCAACAGACGCTGATACAGAGCCATTAGTTCAACGATAAACCTACTGTAACTGAAGCTCAGAATGCCAAGGAAATCATGCGGTGCGACGGCAGAATAACCTTCTCAAACGTGTCTTTCGCATATCACCAGCGGAAGCCAGCAATCAACAATGTTTCGTTCACGGTAGAGCCTGGAACAAAGACGGCCATTATCGGCGAAAGCGGTAGCGGGAAATCAACCTGTCTTAAGCTCCTTTTCAGGTTCTACGACGTATCTAGTGGAAGTATACAGGTAGATGGGCATGACATCCGCAGTCTCAAAATGCTGAGCTACCGAAGACACATTGCGGTGGTTCCGCAAGAGACAATCCTATTCAACGCTAGTATACTCTACAATTTACAATATGCGAAACCAGATGCGGCATTGGAGGAGATTTACGAAGCATGTAAAGCTGCAAGTATCCATGATCGAATAACCGAATTCCCTGAAGGCTACGATACCAAAGTTGGTGAAAGAGGACTAAGACTATCCGGTGGAGAGAGGCAAAGGGTGAGCAACCCCAATATTCTTTGACCAGCATTACTGAGTCATGATAGATTGCTATTGCGCGTGCACTACTCAAAGACCCCCAAATGATATTACTTGATGAGGCAACTGCATCACTAGACTCTCACACTGAAAAACAGATTCAGGGTGCGCTTGAATATGCCACCAATGGCAGAACAACGATGACAATCGCCCACCGACTCTCTACCATAACTGATGCCGACCAGATTCTTGTCTTTCATCATGGGGAAATTGTAGAGCGAGGGACGCATGAAGAGCTGATACGCAAGCATGGTAGATATTACGATATGTGGGAAAAGCAGACAAAGAAGCAGGATGCGAACAAGGCTCAGGATGACAAAACTTCCTTATAGTGCGAGATGAGGGCTCTCATTAGAAGAATAGTCTTCTATACTTTATGTCTGACCGAGTGCGTCATCATACAATCTAAAGCTGTTTACAAACCGTCGCCCCGACCAAACATCGGTGCCATGAGGAAATCGTGAAATGCCCACATAAGCCACATGACTAATCTGACTAGGGTTATAACAAATGGGGCAGTATTTCCATCCTTCTGAATATTCCTCTTTGTCAATGATTCCATTGCTGTCATCACAGGTCCCCAAAGTGCGACAAAGATTGATGCACCGAGTCTTGTCCACTCTGAATCTGCAGGCCTGTAATATGGAATTTCGGAGAGATATTTCTGATATGATGTGGGCAACTCTGCTTCTTTTGCGCCTTCTCTCAAGATGTCCTGAATCGTGGTTAGAGTGATAGAGGCTCCTTGTTTGATTGTCTAAATATTTTGAAGGATTTCGGATGCACTCTCACCATGTAACGCTTGCTAGGGTGCGGCATTGGCCGCCGAGATAATGCAGTACGCAATGTCCTGAGCACGACACGCGGACCGACTGTTTCTTCCGATTCCTTATCCAAGGGCTCTCCTGCAAGGCAGACGGCGGTGTAAGCAATACCTCCGCCTTCCGACGCCAACACTTGACGATACTGGTCCGCAGTGATGAGATAAGCGACCCCAAGAACACCTGGTGTAGTGCAACTTTCTAAGTCAACGGTTCGTTCTACGGAGATAGAACTAAATGAAGGTTCTGAATACGGTAGTCCCGGAATTTCCATGATGAGTTTCCAGCCTGGTACGCGGACTCGAGCAGACGAGAGGGGGACGATACCTCGGCCGCCGGTGAATTTGGACGAACTCATGTTCGACCCATATGCGAAATACCACAGTGTTTCGGACTTTTCGCACATGTTGAATAGATTGGATGCGAGGTTTCATCGACGAAATAATTGCCATGTAACGGCGTTGGTGTTCGTGTGGCATTAGTACGTTCAAAGACACATAAACTTCGGTAGCCGATTGCCATAGAGGCATAGCTCCACGCGTCAAGTGCGCAAAAGATACTCCTGAATTATGAAAGTGACATCCGTCATTGGATCTGGTTTTCAGTCACCCTACATGCATGAGGCCATTCCACGCGCAACATCCTTATCAATGACAGTGTAAACCTCAAACAATGTCACCAGCTATCATACTGTCCGAAATTTCTAGGGTGTTGGACACTCCAATATCTTTGTTAGATCTGAATGCGAGTTTCATTCACAACGGGGGCGATTCACTGTCCTCAATTCAACTGCAGGCCGGGTTGAGGAAACATGGAATCCGAATATCGTTCGAATCAATATTCGCCGCTAGTGCCCTGCAAGTGCTTGCCGACAAGGCACCTGTCTACACGCCACGAGACATCAAACATGCAATCGCTCAGACCCAGCGTGCAGGGCTCAAAAGAGTCCATCTCGATACGGACGACCTATCAGTAAAACGCATACGCAGAGACAGTGTTGCATTGTTGGCTACCGAAGAGCAACAGCCGTGCGCGAAATGTCCAATGACGGAGATGCAATTATCCCTTGTTCGCTCTACGCAAATGAATCCTGGTCGCAACGTCATTTCATACTACGAGGAACATAAGCCAGAAGCTGTACCTGCAGTCAAGTTGGCATGGAAAGCGATTATGAACACAGAACCAATTTTCAACTTGTCCTTCGAAGTGGGAGAGACAGAAGGCCATATGTATGAAGGTGGTCCGGGTCGCTTCGCTTGGGAGGAGATAAATGTCTACGACGAAGGATGTTACCTACGAATGTTGAAAGCGGAGCCACAACATGCGAAGATTACTGAAGCCCAAGTAAGAGTCGTTACCTTGCAATCATCCAAGGTCAGAAGTAAAAGCACCATAATCTATAGCTTCCACCATGCTCTGATTGATGGAGTCTCATTTAGCCTTCTTCTCTCTAAAGTGAAGAAGTGCTTAAGAGGCGAAACATACACACCAGGTCCTTCGTACACGTCGTTCGCTCTACAGCTGAAGCTACTGCAAGAGCGCGAGCACGAGTCCGCTGTGCAATTTTGGAGGACGCAAAAAAAGAAGTATCCTTCTGCAACAACGCGATTACTTCTTCCCGGTCGCCCAGACGGCATACAACGAGAAACGAAAGGTCTTGAACAGGTCGAAGTCGAATCGTCCCCAGAACAGCTTGTCCAGCATGCTAGAAAATTAGGCGTAACAGTTGCGTCGCTCTACTATGCCGCATGGGGTCTTGTACTTTCGAGGTATACTGATTCCGATCAGGTATGCTTTGGTGCAGTTTTATCTGGGCGTACGTTACCGATTGAAGGTGTAGAGACCGTAATCGGACCGACTATCAACACTTTGCCTTTCTCCCTTCGGTTATCTCATCACAATCTAATTAGAGAGTATATCAGCGAAACTTTCGCTGAACTGCTGGGGTTGACGACCTATCAATGGAGCACACCGAATCACGGCTTCGTGCGAAACTTCGACTCAGCAGTTAATGTTCGATTCCACGGGCCTAACTCCACTCTCGGCTCCCTCTCTGACTCCGTCGGATGCCCGTATGGTGTGGTATACTCGGATATTCCAATTCACATTGAAGTCGGAGATTGCGGTAAAATTACCATGAGTTATCACGCCGATAGCTTCGCAAGACACCATATGGCATGTCTAGGCGCAAGCTTTGCAACTGCTTTGAAGGCTATTATGAACCCCGACTCCACCCTCAATCTATGTCTGAAGTCATTCATTACGACGGATCAACTTAGCGAGCTCGGAAAGCTTGGGAATTGGGCCTCGAAACGTTCGACGCATGCTCACAGTAGGGATACTCTGGTGTCTCTCTTCTCAAGATCCGCAGAGTCTAATCCTGCCGAAACGGCCATCGAGTGGCGGTCAGGGACTATGACCTACTCTGAGCTCCACGAGCAGTCCTCCCATCTCGCGAAGTCCCTAGCAGTACATGTTGTACCAGGTGATGTTGTATGTGTAGATGCTGATCGATCGATCAGCTGGATCGTTGCGATCTATGCTGTTCTTAAAGCTGGCGCAACCTACTTTCCCCTCGAAAAAAACGTACCCGACATTATCCGAGATACCAACTACAAATCGGCGGGTGCTAAACTATTCCTTACTGCACGACCAGCAACGAAGTCAAGAATGCCAGCGTCGTGCAACCTTTGCCTTTCAGTGGAAGAGCTGTTACTAGAGAACAATACTTCAGACTTGTCAACCAAAACTCCTCATCCGAAGTCCAACGCGTACATTTGTTTCACGTCGGGATCTACTGGAAACCCCAAAGGAGTGCTGTGCCGTCACGACGGATTAGTTGCATTTCAAAATGATTTCAGCGTACGACTCTGCTCTCGATCTGGCTGGAGAATAGCCCAATTTATGTCGCCCGCTTTCGATGGAAGTATTCATGAGATATTCTCAACCTTGAGCTACGGGGCAACATTGGTACTCCAGGATGAATCACAACCACTCGACCATTTGAAGAAGGCGGACTCCGTAATCCTCACTCCTTCAGTCGCCCAGATCCTCGAGCCGTCAGACTATCCAAACTTGAAGGCTGTATACCTTGTTGGAGAGGCCGTTCCACAAAGCGTATGTGATATCTGGGCAGAACACAAACAGCTCTTCAACATGTACGGCCCGACCGAGGCTACCTGCGGTGCAACAATCAAGCGATTAAAAGTAGGAGAACCTGTCAGTCTAGGTTCAGCGACTCCTTCGTCAAGGATCTATATCCTCGATAGCAAGCAAAGCATTGTTCCTCCTGGTGTTATCGGAGAAATCTATCTGGCTGGTGTGCAAGTCGCACATGGCTATGTGGGGCGTCCTCGAGAGACCTCAACCCGATTCTTTCCCGATTCTGTCTGCCCAGAACATTTCGGAGAATTCATGTACAAAACAGGAGACCGAGCCTACTGGAGCGACAGTGGGGAGTTGATGCTTCTTGGCCGCAATGACCGGCAGATCAAGTTACGTGGCTTTCGGATAGACCTTGATGATCTGGGGATCCGTATCGAAAGAGCGCATGAAGATTGCACCGGAGCTGCTGTCGCTGTAAATGACGATGAACTGGTTGCCTTTGTTCAGCCTGCGAGTTTGAACATGCAGTCCTTCAGAGCAAGCCTTAGTCAGCACATACCTCCGTATGCGCTTCCCCGTCGCATCAAGGCTGTAAAAGCTTTTCCAATGACTCCCGCAGGAAAGCTAGACTACAGATACATTTCGAACTCGGACATCATTGACGAGCCACGGAATGGTCAAAGCATTGCTACCTCCGAAAAGATGGTTCTAGCGTGCCTGCGAGAGGTCCTTGGCATGACAATGGACGCTGAAACCCATCTCGATTCCAATGTCGACGATGTCTGTGCTACTTCTATTGTTCTGATCTCCCTCGCCCATCGCCTGTCGCAGAGTTTCAAGCGGAAGATCTCGGTTCGTTTGATCTTGGGCTCACCGTCATTTCGCGACCTGGCTAGTGCTCTAGCAGCCTTGCAGCACCCGAACGACATTGCGACACAGACCAGTCTTGGAGATCATGGGGTTTCCCCCATAGAAAAGGATTGGTGGTACAAGTATCAAGTCAACTCAACTACGTCGCCCTTCAATGTTTCCTACTCGTGTGATTTCCCCAGGACGATGGAGCAACAGCGGCTTGTCTCAGCTTGGGATACCATCTTGAGCCGGCATCGCATTCTCAGCTCTCGATACACCAATGGAATCTCAAGATCATACAGTGAGGTTCCACCTACCGTAAAACAAGTCCAGCATATCGATATACCGAAGGAAGTCAATGACCCATTCGATCTTAAAGTCGACGACCTGATCCGCGTCTTACTATCGCCAACCAAGATGCTTGTCGTTGTCAGCCACATCATCTGCGACCTCACGACCCTCAGAAAAGTACTTCAAGAGGTGGCAGATGTATATCATGGAATAACGCTAGCACCTGTGGCAAAAGCATATTCACATCATGCATGGTCGGTGCCAGCTCCACTTGAAAACTTGTCATTTTGGCGCAATTATCTTTCCAACCCATCATTGTCAGATTTTTCCGTTGGTAAAAACACGCCCAGAAAGCAATGGGGCGGCTCATCATACGTCTGTGAAATTCCACAAAGCCTTTACAATTCCCTCCTTCGCTTCTCATCTGCTAGAAAGGTCACGATGCATCAATTGGCATTAGCATCGGTGGCCCTGGCGTTGCAACACAAAGAAACACTTTGCGACATCACCATAGGGGCTCCGTATCTGAATCGAAATTCCGAAGACGATCTCGAAGTAGTAGGTCTTTTCTTGGAGCCTTTACCCATCCGGATTCAGTATCCCCAAGTGGAAAACAACTTGTCCGACTCTGAACATTCGGACTCTTCCCTAGGAACGGAATTAAAGCAACTTTCATTCATCAAGTCGGTTCAACGCTCCAGCAGGGCCGCGCTTTCTCATGCAGTTCCGTGGGACCAGCTACTTTCACATCTGGGCATCAAACCTGATTATCCAAATCATCCACTGTTTGACGCCATGGTTACATTCCACGATCTTGACCACGACCTGGGACTTCCTATTGACGGCGTCACATCAGACGACACTTGGGCGGAAGGTTCGAAGTTCAAGATTATGGCAGAGTTCACTGCAAGTAGGAAAGGCTGTCTGAAGCTGAGGCTCGAATACAGCGATGAGTGTTTTTCTTGCGAGGATGTTAGGCATATGCAGAGGTTGATCGTAGCGGCACTTGGTGGTTTAATGGAAGGTAAAGATTATGATGAGATTGTGAGAGTGTTGAGGTCTGTGCAAATTTCTCAGAAGGAAAGTTAATCACATTGTTCTAGCGGGATTTTTGACAGTGGTATCATGCCGTGGAATTTGGACCGTTTGATAGACAATATACTGTTCGTGCCTTTCCAAAAGAGACAAATGATACGTAGGTCTTGATTTGAACTCGCTTTCATTTATGGTATCTGATATGCCAGTCAAACATCAGTATCTTCAAAGTTGTTACGAGAGAGCGGTCCATTCAGACTATGCTTGAATAACACATTGGAGTCCCACCATTGTTTTGTATCAGGCATTCATTCAACATTCAGAGTAAACTTTCGACTGCGATTTTGCGATGCAGGATCGTGTGGTGCAGAATAGCGGCCGCTCAGCCAATCAGACCCCACCACTCTAACATTTATGCTATTGGCTAGCAGCAGCCATGTTCTTCGGGCGCCGAGTAGTTTTCTTCGGGGCCCGAAAGAATGTAAACCTGCCGAAGCAAGCTGGAAACAACAAAACAAGCCGAGGCCTTTCGGGCAGCGAAGCATGCTGAAGCAAGCCGAGGGCAACGAGGGACCCTTTGGACCGCCGCCCGAGTATACGTACTTCATGCGGACCCCGATTCAGGTACTTGTTCACCCGCATCAAGCATTGCGAGCATAGCATAATGGACAAGCCGAGGCACCCGAACGCATCCCGCGCACCGATGAATCGCGTTCGGCACGAACACACTGAGCGCTGCGAATACATTCGTCGCGCCGAAGAACCAACTAGACTTCGCGCCCCGATCAACTTATATTCAGTCTGCACACTGAGCGCTGCGAGTACACTGGGCACGCCCAAAAGTCCGACCAGACACCGCGCACCGAGCGGATCCAAAACGCAACCCTTGAAATGCGAGCTCATGTAAACTAATGCCTATTCCGTGAAGCCCAAGCGTGCCGAACAACAATGATGGTGCCGGCTAACGAACATCTATCGTTTGCGCGCCGTCCCTTGAAATGCGCCCTGTTGCACTTTCATCTACCAGAAATGTAGCAGTGCTGATGCGAACCCGTATAGATGCAAAGCTGCCGGACGCCGGTACGGCTTCTAGACTTCAGCAACGATGCCATGTTGATCACGTGAACAAAGTGCAACCTTGGAACTTCTAGAACAGTTAACATTTGTACGTTGTGAAATTGGTGACTCAATAATCGCAAGGATGGGTGATTTACTCTTCACTGCTGCAACCGTGGCTCGATATGGCGTGGAAATCTCTTTTTATGCATCCATTGCCCTCATCGTCCCTATAATCTCTATATACGTTCTCCACAAGCTCGAAAGAAGACGCCGCCTTAATATCCCCGGAATACCAGCAGTCCAAAGCCCCAAGTCGAGTGATTGCCGCCAAGTACTCAATGACGCAAATCAAAAAGTACACAAACCAACCTCCTCCATCAATAGGTCTGGTGATTGACACGAAAAACAGTATCCAAACCAGCCTTACATCGTTCCCTTCCAAGACCCCACCGTCATTATCCCAGCATATTGCATCGAGGAACTCAAAAACCTCCCTGACTCCCAGCTCTCCACCAATGGTAGCATGTACGACCGCTTCGCGATCCGCTGGACAGGCAGCGGATGGGTAGACAAAGAGCTAGCGCACAGCATCAAATATGACCTCCCCACTGAAGTCGATGACTTTTTCCCCACCATCCAAGATGAAATACAACACGCTAGCAACGAGTCCCTGCCTGATTCCCAAACCTGGACCTCGCGACCACCACAAGAAGTTCTCGTGAACATCGTCGGACCCGTGATTGGTCGTCTGATGGTTGGCAGTCCGCTGAACAGAGACAAGAAATGGTTGACGTCGTCTATCGACCATGCCATCGCCGTAGTAGTGTACTCGACGTGGCTCCGCCAATTTCCCACCGTCCTCAGGCCTTTCATAGCGCATATTTTGCCTCAGAAGAAAGCCGTGCAGAGATCCAAGAAAGGCATCGCCGAGTCAATTGCTCCTCTTGTCCAAAAGCACTTGGGTGACCCTGTGGAAAGCAAAGCTTCTTCGGAAGAGGAAGAGGAGGGCAGACTTACCAAATGGGTACTCCGACGATACAAGCCCTCCGAGAACCCTCATTTCAGCCCTTCACTAGTCGAAAAAGACCACTACTCTCTCTGTTTCGCAGCCATCCACGGACCAACCTTTCTCCTCGTACAAGCCATAATCGATCTAGCTTCCTACCCTCAATACGTAGCGCCTCTCCGTGCAGAAATTGACCGCGAGCTGGCAGCCGCCCCCTTCGAACAATGGACTCGCAAAACAGTCGCAAGGATGAAATTCGTCGACGCCTTCTGTAAAGAGAGCGCACGTATGAATCCCCAGGGTGTCAGTAAGTCATTCCGAGAATCCCCTTGCACGGTGACTGCAGGCTAAGCATGCGTGAACTTAGTTGGGTGGTTGCGCAAGACGCACAAGCCCATCACGTTGTCAACCGGTCACTGCATTCCTCAAGATACGCTGATAGCAGCGACGAATCCGCGCTACAACGCGCGTGCTACGCCATGGATCAAAGATGCTGACAGATTCTACCCCGAGCGCTGGCTGGAGGATCAGGTAGATGAGGGGCGAGATGCGAACTGGAGATTTGGCTCGGCGACCATTGACTCGCTCATCTTTGGCTACGGCAGGCATGCGTGTCCCGGGAGACCTTTCGGAGTGACGATGGTGAAAGACATCCTCGCGTACATTGTCGGCAAGTGGGACGTTAGGCTCAGTGGGGGCTTGACGGAAAGACCGCAGAACGTGTGTATGGATTTCGTAGTGATGCCGCCCATCGCTCCCATGGGCAATGTGGAAGTCGAATTCAGGTTGAGAAAGTAGTATATCGATCGGGCGATCTTTGCCGTTGTGGTGAAGATCCCATTTCGGTTCCAATCGAAGATTGCTTCTCCGCCTGCAACTTTGGTTTCACTCGGATTCTAGGCACTCCGAGACATGCACGTCGTGCCTCCATCTGGAAGTCGTTAATTATCAAACATTTCTACTTTCGTCTTTACAGGGTTCTGAAGTTCAATATGTGTAGCCCGGTTAGATTACCACTCGTGGAAAACATCCTGGCAAGTGCACTGAGCTTAGACGGCGGGCACTCTTTCGGCCCCCATGCGCGAACCTGCGGGGATGACCTTGCGACCGAACCGCAGCGATGGCCCTTTCGATTGACGGTTCCTGTAGGCCGTCCGGTGACCATTCCTCAATGTGGTCCGCGTTTAAACGCCGACTTCCGGGAGTCAAAGCTCTGCAGCCTGCTCAACGCTTGGGCGACGGGAGGCGTACACCGTGCCATGCACGTCAAGCCACAGCCGTTAGTTATTGCTGGCGGCGGTGATTTGCGCACATCTTTTCCAGCGCTCCACGTCGATAGATTGGCGCACGGCGGAGAGCTACCATAAACGGTGCATGTGCACTGGCTGGCAAGGTTGGACCCCCCTCTTCGCACGAGCCGGTCGCCGAAGGAGACGAGACGTGCGGCGGCAATGTGCGACGGAACAAAGAATTAGATTTTCGCCCCAACAAGCAAGATGTGTTATTGGTGTGGTGGGTGTTGATTTGCAAGAATGCTACGCCCCCCGGTGGTACGCCGTGTGCATCGACGCCTTTAGGCTTTCTGTACCGCTCGTTTGTATTTGTCTAGTCGCACGCCTGCTCTTGGTTCACCCTCGCTTCGAAGTCGTCGCATGAGCTTTAAACTCGTACATACCTCAGACTCGGTACAGTAATGGCCACGCCAGCAACTGCGATTCAGCAGAGCGAGGTTCCAGTCCTTGCTTCGACCTCGCCGCCTTCGCCATTGGACGAAAAAGAGACAGGAGATGGATCCTCAACGCCCGAAAAGATGACTCCAACTGCAGCGCCAGCAACCCCAAAGTCGCTGAAGTTTTGGTCCGTCTTCCTTTCCCTGTGCCTGTTGGGCCTTTCTACCGCCTTGGAAGCTACTATTGTCACTACTGCTCTTCCTACCATTGTTGAGTCTATCGATATGGGGAGCAAGTATGTTTGGGTGGGAAACGCTTTCCTTCTTGCCTCTGCCGTCGTACAGCCTTTTGTCGGCCAACTAGCCGATGTCTTTGGGAGACGATGGCCTCTTCTCCTGCTGACCACTTGCTTCATCCTCGGCAGCGGTATTGCGGGTGGTGCAAAGGGCGCTGGAATGCTGATTGGTGGCCGCACTGTGCAAGGTCTCGGTGCGGGCGGTATATTGGTGCTCTGCGATGTCGTGGTCAGCGACCTGGTACCGTTACAGGAGCGTGCAAAGTTTATGGGACTTGTCAGAATCACGGGTGCTCTTGGCTCTTCCATCGGCCCCATTGTAGGCGGCGCCATCGCTAAGGCCAACTGGAGGTGGTGCTTCTACTTGAACCTCATTACAGGTGGCTTAGCGCTTGTTTACCTTGTTCTTTTTCTGGACCTCAAGCACGAGCCCAAGACTTGGAAGGTGGCTCTCGCCCGCATCGACTTCGTTGGCGCAGCAATTTTCATGGCTTCCGTCACTTCGGTTCTGCTGGGACTCGTCATGGGAGGTGTCGTATTTCCATGGGATTCGGCGAATATCATCGCACCTCTCGTTCTCGGTTTCGTAGGATGGGCCGTCTTTCATTGGTACGAGTCGACTAAGTTTTGCAACGATCCTATGGTCCCTAATCGCCTCTTTGCGAAGCGAACCTCGGCAGCTGGATTCTTCATGGCTTTCGATGGCGCCCTGCTCCTCTACTGGGTCATCTGGTTCTTGCCTGTTTATTTCCAAGGCGTCCTAGGCAACTCACCTCTAGGATCCGGTGTCAATCAGCTTCCACTCAACATGCTCCTGGTACCATCGGGGATCGTGGCGGGAGGCATGATCTCTAAGACGGGAAAATACAAGCCGCAGCATTTCGTAGGATTTGCGCTGGCCTCCATCGGAGTTGGGCTCTTTACATTGCTTGACGCAGGATCGCACAAGGCTGCGTGGGTCTGCTTCCAGATCATTGCTGCCGTCGGTTTGGGTATCATCCTAGTATCCGTCTTGCCGGCCGTCCAGGCAGCGCTCAGTGACGGCGATGTCGCGAGAACAACAGCCACATACGCGTTTGTGCGAAGCTTCGGTGGTATATGGGGCGTAACCATTCCAACCGTCATCTTTAACGGTCGGGTGAACAAGCTCTTACATCGTATCAGCGACAGAGGCATACGAGAGCAACTAGCCAATGGAAATGCATACGGCTTCGCTTCAATGGGTGGCTTGCGGAATGTCAGGCCACCCACTAGGGACGAGGCTCTGGGCGTCTACTCGGATGCTTTAAAGACCGTGTGGCAAGTTGGCATTGCCTTTGCTCTCGCTGGTTTTCTGGCGGTCTTTGCAGTCAAGCAGTACGACATGTCGCGAAAGAACGAAACACAATTTGGACTGAAAGAGGGAACGGAAGACACGACAGTTTCCGCAGAGAAGGGCGAGACGCCAGCTCCAACGCCGTCGTCAACCTTCGCCCCGAAGCAATGCATTCCCCGCACTTCTAGTCTTCTGAATTCCATGATAGGCGATAGCACGATTACTGTCGCGAGGCAGTATATACGCGATCACTTGCCTCCCATCGCTGCCGGTGCAGTCATTCACGACAACGGATGCGGTACCGGTGCCGTTACGCGTGCCGTTCTCGAAACTTACCCGGAGTTGGTCTCGTCTTCACCCGAAACCACCATCTACGCAACCGATATTAACCCAGCTTTTATAGCAGACTTTGAGAAGCAGGTGACATCACGAGGGTGGGATTCTGCGGTGAAGACAGAGGTCATGCCAGCCGAAGAGCTCTCGCTACCTCCGTCTACCGTAACACACTCATTCACGAACTTCCTCATCTTTGGCGCCAGGGACCCACCAAAGGCGGCCGCCGAAGTCTTGCGCTCGCTTGCTCCTGGGGGGGTGGCGGTGATGACAACCTGGGCAACGCTGCCACATGCCAAGGCCTTGGACCGTGTGCGCGCGAGACTGTACGGCGAAGCCCACCCGCACATCAAGCCTGAATGGTATGAGGCGTCGCATGTCGAGAACATACTTAAAGACTCTGGGTTCGCAAAGGTCACGGCTTTCAAGGTGGAGTCGGGAATGGAGCACGAGAGCATGGATGCTTGGACGCAGCTGGCATGGAGCTGGATGGGCCAACCACAGGGAGGCTGGACAGAGCAGAATGAGCGCGACTGGGATGCACATAGGAGCTTGTACGGAGATGAATGTGTGAAGGAGGGATTTCAGGTGGGCGAGGCTGGGCGCGTTCGTGTGCCCATGGTTGCCAATGTTGTAGTAGCCTGGAAAGGAGAGCAGTGAACAGGAATAGGGATATTTGGCTTCTAGTTGGGCAGTAATGGTTGGTAGCGATAAGTTATTTTAGTATATTAGGTTACAGAGCGTATACGCAACTACGTCTTCGGTGATAAGGTGTTGGGAGCGAGGGAGGCAGTCATGCAGCCAGTGGTGGTAGAACTTCTTTTCGTAATCATCCATGGCTGCAATAGATGGTGCTTCTTGCTTACAGTGTCGGCGCCCGAAATGCGCGAGTTCCTCTCCATCCCACCATGTCACGTGTATGGGTCTGTACCGGGGTCACCTGGTTTGGGGGCTTAGCCTGCCGCCTGGCGCAACGCCGCCCGCGCCGCCCACGCCGCCTTTCATCCCCGCCGCAGCCTAACCACTTCGGGTCCCGCACCCTTCACATAAAGCCTTCTCAGTTTGTTTGTTTGCTCCATCTTCTCTTTTCAATCTCTCTATCCCTATTCAATCATCTTCAGATTCGTCTATATCCCATCATGGCTTCAGAATACGAGATCTTGCTCTTCGGCGGCGGCCCTGCCGGCTTGAGCGCAGCAGCCTCGATTGTGCGTCAAGACCACAAGACGGTGCTGTTTGATTCCGGAAAGTACCGCAACTCGCTGAGCAAACACATGCACACTATGCCTAGCTGGGACCATCAGGATCCCCAAGCGTTCCGTGAGAAATCCGTCAAGGACTTCGAGCGTTACGGATCCATCACCGTGGAGAAGGTGGAGATTGAGACTCTCAAGCAGCGAGAGGATGGACTCTTCGAAGCCACAGGCGGCGGCAGGACATGGACGGGCAAGAAGGTGATCCTAGCCACTGGGGTTGAGGACATCTACCCGAACATTCCTGGTTATGCCGAGTGCTGGGTTTCGGGCATGTAAGTCTCATTTTCGCTACAATACGCGCGATTTCTACGGCGCTCACAATCATCACAGCTTCCACTGCCTATACTGCCACGGATGGGAGGAGAAGGGCAACCCTTCGGCGGGCATGTTGGCTGAGGGTGACACTGGTGCAGTGGTTCCAGCCTTGCACTTTGCTCGCCAAGCGCTACGCATGGTCGATAATGTCACACTCTACACGAACGGAAACGAGCAGCTGGCCGGTGAATTGAAGGCCGCTCTCGATGCGGCCCCGGCTCCCATGACTGTGAACTCGAAAAAGATCACCAAGCTCGTCAAAGCTCCCGAGCGGGCCCGTATTACGCTGCACTTTGACGACGGAACAAGCATCACGGAAGCCTTTCTGGCACACAAGCCGAAGACGAAGCTTCGCGGCGACCTGGCCCAGCAGCTTGGTTGCGCGCTATCGCCTATGCAGACGGTAGTCGTCAACCCCCCCTTCAATCAGACTAGCATCAAGGGTGTCTTTGCTGCAGGCGACTGTTCTAGCCCGATGCAGACAATCACCGGTGCCCTTAATTCGGGAACATGCACGGGAGGCGGCGCACCATTACAGATCCAGGCCGAGACGTACAAGCAGCGCGCTATATTCTAGTCCACGTGGACTAGCAAACGCACCAAAACGTGCGGAATGGAGTTTTCCCCTTTTCTTCTATATACCTTCGGTGCTTCCTTGCCTCTCTGTGTAGAATACCGTTCTCCAGGTAGTACTAAACATAGCTGTGCAATCTAAATTCTTGCTTCATTAATGTGAACTGCCTCGTCAACATCACTCATGCGTATCACCGCAATTGGTTGGCTGCTTATTGTTACACAAGTCTTACATGCATCCTACCGAGCACCCTGTCGATGCATCGGACTTCGACCATCCAATACCACACGCCACGCAGACCCAACAAGGACATGCTGCGGTATAACACACTAGTGTCTCGAAAAGCCGCACTCTCTACTAAACTGTCGGCCCGCCGTGTCGTAGCCTTGCGGAAGCCGGCGAACCGTCACAACTTCAAGTACCGTCCCACCAACAGCTTCAGCCTCGTTCATCTCACTCTTTTCTATTTGCTTTTTACCCTCTTGACTCGCAATGGCTCCACAGATGCCTTCCCTCCCGCCGGGAACTGACGTGTGGAAGACGCCAGCGGCGCCACAAGCGCCACCGGGCTACATTCAGGACCTCGAGCACCCGGCGACAAACAAGAATATCGGAATCGTCACATTGTCCATTTTCATAGCTATAGCTACCATTTTCGTGTGCATGCGCCTTTATGTGCGCTTCAGGGTGATCAACCACAAGCCGTGGTGGGATGACTGTAAGTACATGAAAGACAAAATACGCTCTCAAAAATTTCAGCTGACTGGTGAAAGTGGTTCTTGTACTCGCACTGGTGAGGCATCTCGTAATTTTGCACTAAAGATGATTTTCTCACATTGAACGTAGCCCCCTCAAATCGCGTACACGGGCATCACCATATGGAGTAAGTAGCTTGAGCGCATCCGTATTGAGGCTTAGCTTACATAGCACAGTGTTGGAGAACGGTATGGGAGGCAGACATATCTGGGATACATCTCTCGGTATCATAATGTTCAAGCTACCATATGTACGGTCTACCCCGAGATCGAGATCGAGCTTTACTCTAACGGCCTGCAGTGGACTACAGTCGTCGCAGCACTTCCCCAGGTAATCACACTCCTTGTGAAAAATGCTCTCCTGCTTCTCTACCTGCGCATATTCAAGCCAAACCGACTGGTCCGCTACGGAATCTTCCTCGGCTTATTCTTAGTCACCACCATGTACACAGCTTGGATGTTCATCTTCATCTTCCAAACCTCCTTTGATAACCAGGTTGGACAACGCCTGTCATACGCGCAAGCTGCGTTTAATATCGCGACCGATGTGTACATCTTTGTACTTCCTATCTCTGGCGTTGCACGCCTGCACATGACGCCAAAGCGCAAGATCGGTGTCATCGCCATCTTCTCGAGCGGCATCGCGTAAGCAGCTCAATCTGAACACTAAACATTGCTAATAACTACAGGGCGATCGTCATGAGCTGCCTCAATCTCTACTGGAAATCACAATACAACGGCGTGAACCCAGACCCGACCTGGAGTGCCACTATCCGCATGACCATAAGGTAAGCCACCCTCAGCTCACACGTCCAACCTCGATATCTCATCATTCCTAGCGTCCTCGAAATCGATGTTGGAATCATTTGCGCCTGCATGCCTCTCTTCGCGACTTTTCTCCCCAAGCGAGCCCGCCTTGTCAGCTGGGGTACCTACATCCGGTCGATGCGCACGCGTCTCATCCGCACGAACAACGCGTCGCAAGGCTCCAAGGCTACGGGCGCGGATTCGCATTACGGCAACGTCTCGGATAGCAGCCTGGTCAACAAGAATGCGACTTATGTGGAGCTTAATGAGCGCAAGTCTAACGCTTCGTCTGCGAAGAATGATAGGAGGAGGGAGTGGTTTGATGCGACGACGTCACTTACGCAGGATACGAATATCGATAGGGCGAGTAAGGATGTTACGCAGCTTGCTCAGCAGATGGCACAGCAGCAGCAGCAGAAGCATTGAGGTTTCTGGATGGAGCTGTGTGCGAAAGGTGCTATCAGGTTTCTGTATCGGATTCTATAATATGGAAGGATCGTATTGTGGTTGAGGGCGATATCTGGGATGCGCACGAGAGCTTTCTAGGCTTCACCCACTGAAGACTGTTGCTGCTTCGGGCCTAGTGTATATTAATTTCAGTGCACATTGTGTAGAATGTATAGTGATTGTATAGAACGTATATTGCCTACCTTCTTGGCGGTGAACTTACACTGATGTCCGCACTTCATCGTATCGTGCAGAGGCGATTTTGGAATGACCATCAGGGTTTGCATTACGATGTATCCTTCAAAAATCACATGCAAGATAATCGTACTGTATCCCGCACACCCCCTACCCATCAGCTAGCAAGTTTCACTCGCAGCCCCAACTCTGCAAATTGAAAGGATTAAGAAACTCCAAATCGAGACAAAACTACTCAACGTGCGTCAAGTACCGGTGCCCGAATTTCCTCCGCGGACTTACATACTTATAGCCAGACCACCACCAAATATCAATCCATGTCGTTGTCCATCCCCATTTGTATCAGGACCCTACAATCGATTACCCTTTTTGCCCCCAATCCCCGACATCCGTAATGGTGGCCGAAGAACCCCATGAGTACATCCTGGGCGGGAGCGCCACAGAATTGGACCGCATCCACGGCTTTCACGACTCAACCGTCGATCACATAGGAAAACTTGTACTTGCCCCTGTCGACTTTGTCGCATCGGGTGGTCGTCGGCTGCGCATACTGGACTCCGGTACTGCGGCTGGTAAGTGGGCACCATGGAAGAAACTTGATTGCCTTGAATTGCAATCCTTTTCCCCATCGAGGTAGTGATTTGGGCGTATGTCTGAGCCTGTACGCATTCACTCATTCACTGACTACGCCTTGCCGCAGGTCGCTGGCTCCAGGATCTACGGGACGAACAGGGCTCCCAGCACGAATATATTGGGACGGACATTACGGAGTCGTTCTTTCCCTCTGCTTCTTCGCAGGCTACGAGGAACCAGGATAGAGAAGAAGGTGGGGATGCAGGAATTGTGTACAAGACGCAAGATGTTACACAGCCGTGGCCAGCGGACTGGGCCGCCTCGTTCGACCTCGTGCATCAGCGCTTCGTTCTAGGTGCAGTGCGCAGCGAGCAGCTCGAAGACGTGGTCGCCAATCTGGTCGCGCTGGTCAAACCTGGAGGCTGGATCCAGCTCATGGAGTCGGATGTCGGTGCGCCGGTTATCGGCGAGAAGGATAACGCCGCAGCCGTGGTATGGGGGCTGCTACGCAAGATTTACCTCACCATGGGCGTTGAGCCGGACGTTGACACGCATCTGTCAGCGTACTTTGCACGTGCGGGCCTGGTGGACGTGAGTGAGCAGAGGATTGTTGTCCCGATTGGGAAGCGCAGGGCGGATGTGGATATGGGTCGTAGGAGCGCTGAGACGGTGGCGCTCACGGCTCAACAGCTGGTTATGGGGGCTAAACGTACGTCAACCCGCTTCTCATCTCACCTCTTCCTCTTTCTCGTGCGTTGTCTCGGCTACACTGCTATATTTTTGCGCCAATAATGATGAAGGCGACGTGAGCTGATTCCATGGGCATGACAGACGTGGGTGTTGCGGAGCTGGATAAGATGGATTTGAACGACCTTCCGAGTAAGGTGCTTCGTGGTCTGGAAGAATATGGAGGGACGTACTCCGTATACGTTATCATGGGTCGGAAACCGTGACTTCTACCGCGGGACATACGAGATTGGCCTGTATTCGAGTTTGGCTCCACGTAAGATGTATTAATTGAGTAATTCTTTGCGACTGCCAAGGTTCTAATCCCAGTTGAGACGGACTTCGAACGCTGCATGCATGACACCCTCATACTGTACCCGCGGAACAAAGACGAGTGAATTTTGTATACTACCGCAAGTATGCAGGTCGGGACGGACTTCGAATGCTGCATGCATGAACGCCTCATTCTAATCCCAGCCGAGACGGGCTTCGACGCTGCATGCATGACCCCCTCACACTGTACACGCATTCTCGGGCTATCCGAACTACCTAGGTAGGTTTGTCTGTAAGCTGTTACCACAACGCTGGACTATATGCAGGAGAATAGCGATGTCTGGCTCGGCGGTGCTTAATCAAAGACGGGAAATATACTACATACCGCAAGTATGCAGGTCTAACTTCCTATGCGGAAACGCGAAAGGGAAACGGAAAAGAGAGCGCGCTCAACAACCTATCGTACGAGTCAAGTGCGAAATGTGTGAAAAGTTCCGACTCAAGCATTTCGAATCTCCCCGCTTCCTTCCTTGGCCGCCATCTCCTTAAGGCGCTGCTCGATATTGCCCAGGCACTTCAGTCGCGAGTCGACGGCGGTCGGATCAGTAGAAGAGCCCCTGGGGCCCAAGCGAGCGAGCACCATGACGCCGGACAAGATCTCGCCGACATGTCGATATTCTCGTGTTATGATGCGCGAGCGCCACGATCGCTGCTCCTCTGAAGTGGGGAGGAATGCGCCAAAGTGAAGGGACGGTCCGGGCCGTGGCTGCGTACCGTATATAATGTCATCGACCGCGTCTAGTTCGTGGTCGGTGGCGCTATTAGAGCCCGCCTCGAGGAGCGCGATTACTTGGAGCATGACGGTCGTGAATAAAATGATGCATCTGTCGCACCGCGACTGTTGTTGTAGCTCGACTAGTTTCTTGAGGTCGTCTACGGCTTTGCTGACGGTGGCTAGGATCAGATCGAGTGCTCGAAGCTCAGAGAAAAGATAGTTTTCAAGTGTGACTAGAATCTGTGTGCACGCAAGAACGCATCGACTGTCTAGTTTGGAAAAGTTCTGCTGGGGTGTTTCCGGTATGGTTCTTCGCCGAGCTGGTGCCATTCGAGAGTATGTCGGGTCTACCTGTGACGTTGGAGTGAGAATGAGTCCCTGTGCATCTGATGTTATTCCTGTAGGCGATGGTATAGATATACTGTCTTGATGATTTTGCTGGCCTGCATGGTCCGTCCTGTGATCCGGAATAAAGGGAAGTAGATCATTGGAGACGCCTAGCCTAAAGCTTGGAGATTGGGCATGTTCTGTTGTCTGCGCTGAAGAGCAGGTGAAGTCTGATGCTGAAGAGGTGTTTTTAGGTGAAGTGACAGTGCTATCTTCAAGCATATCTTCGAAGTTCAAATGATCGTCCAGATTCAGCATATCGTCACTCCACGCCATATCAGATGTCCATGGTTCTGTCCATGGCTGCAAAGTTCTGGCTATGGTTGAGGTGTTCTGGTCATCGCCTGCAGTTGTTGATGGTGCCAATGTCTCTAAGTTTGGCTCATTTGTCTTCTTCCTCCTTCTATTCCCCTGGACTTTACCCACGCGGGATTCGGTATATATGCATTCAGTTCGTAGTGTGCGACAGCGTGTACATCCATCACGCTCTCCACTGCATTTAAGCTGGGAAGTTCTGTCAGTGTTGTGTTAGAAATATAGAAGGGACATCAGATGCAGTTACCTTTACAGTATTGCACTGGTTACAGGCTGAGCGCAGTCTGGGAGGTTTCGGAAGGCTTTTAGACTCATTAGCCAACTGCTTCTGCATGTGGGAAGAATGGTCTGTACTTCTTTTGGACCTGGTTTCTTTGCGTCTGCGACATAATCGGCGACTAATACGTGAACTGACTCGAGTACTTGAGGGAAATTCGAAAACAGGGTGAATGTATGATGATGAAGTGTCGCGCTCGTACAGCCATTGGGAATCTAAAGCGGTTAGAGCGAAGAAGCGGAGAAACGGGACTTAATCGTTGCAGCTACAAGGGCGTTTCTCCGCTGCAGGCCCCGGGCCCTTACCAGCAACAGTTTACGCCACTGCAGTCAGCCGTTGGGGCTGGTTTTGGCAGTTGCTGTGTCACGTCGATGCCGGGTGCGCTTAGCTTGCATGCGTGGATGGCGTCTGATTTGCGGCCGGTGCAACGTCAATCTCATTGGTCATCCGGAGTTCAACAGTACGAAGTAAGGTTAGCGATCGATTTGCCGTGCTGCATCCTGACACCCAAGGGGTACCTGGGTAGGCAGCCAGGTACCACTATGCAGCACATTCCGGGTATACCTACCCACGCTAGTCCCCCTGCTGTATTTGTTCAAGGCAGGTATTGTACGGCTTGGGAGCATCACTGGCGCCGAGGTATGTGTCGCACCTGGACAAATTGTGAGCACTGCTAAGTGGTGCACTGATTGGTTGCCGACTTGGTAGACATGCCGACCGATTAAGTCGAAATAGTATCTGCAGCTGGGCGTGTGGTAAGCCACATAATTAGGAAACCCTTAATCTCATAAGTCCAAAATTGCCCCGATCCGCGTCGTTTTCGTAGAAACCTTCGTGTTCCTCATTCCGGAGTATTATCGTCGCAACGGTTCACAACGAATCTGAGTCTTGGGATGAAGGATCCACGTAGTAGGATTCTTGTCCCAATTCGAAGTATCAGCCAAGCTCAAACAATAATTCTCGATGAGATATGCCAGCGAAGATCGAATTATTAGATCTACGACATATTTCCCGAGACATTGTCGGGGTCCGAATCCAAACCGCCAAAACTGGTAGCGCATTTCGTACTGTTTCTTGTCTGAAAATCGGAAAGGGCGATATTCTTCGCTGTCATGACCCCAATACGGGTTCTTGATGTTCAATGCGTATGTATCGATGATGAAATTTGTTTTCGCTGGTACATGGAAGCCTTGTATTGTTCGGGGGGTGGGTGCTGACTGGGGAACTGTGAAAGCCGCAAGTGGCTTCAGGCGACTTGATTCCAGTATTGAATAGGCCAATAAAGTGGATGGTCTTTTGAGATAGTCTTCTCTGCTGCCAGTCGTGTCCGAGCTTGCTGCACGGCGTAATTCATCTCGAATCTCCTCTTGTGTCTCCTGGTACTTTGCGAGGAAAAGTAGATTCCACGACAATCCACCCATCGTGACGTCCAAATTGGCGAAAAGCATCTCGTCTACCGTTTGGAGCACTTCTTCTTCCCCCAGAGCACCGCGCTTCACTTCAGTGTACATCCTAACAATCGTTGTATCTTCCTGAGCCAGTACACATGCTTCGTACACACTGTTGTTGAAATCCCTCCATTCTTTCTTGAACCGTTGTAGATCTGTTGTAAGCCTGATAGGAAGATGTCGGGCAAAGGAAAATCTCGAAACTCCTCCTTCAATCATCCGGGCCCACAACTCTTCGCGTTGCACTGCCAGGCCTTTTATTTGGCTTCGCAACTGTGGAGTTAATTCTCCATACAAGATGTCGACAAGAATCCAGAATGGGAGGAATTTCAAGTCCTCGACGGGATCTATGAGATGCCGCTTTAGACGGGGTTCCTGGCTGAGCTTCACAAAATACTCATCTGTGATGGTTTGAATCCGCGCAAGATAGGAGGTTGAAATCTTTTGCGTGAAGTGAGCGGCCGTTCCTGCTTTGACCTTTTGATAGGATTCACCGCTGATCAACCCAAGACATTTTCCGAGTAGTTCTCCCATGAGCCATCCGGAGTCGTTGTTCACGGCTTTAATGTGCTTATCGGAATCGAAGAAGAGGTGTTGAATGTCCTCTGGAGCAGTCACGACTCTGGTATCGTCAGCAGAGGTACCCGTATGCGTCTCAACGAGGTGCAGAACTTGCATCTCTGGCGTCGTGCCGCTCCATATCCTATACAATGACCCATACTTCGCTCTCCAGCTTTGACTATTTTTCTCGCCTTCCAGGAACTTCGCGACGTCTCCTTGTCCATTAGGCCATTGGTAAGGAACTGTCGGGATTGGATGACCATCGATCTGTGATGTGATAGGGTACCTCCAGCTCAAATATCGCTATCGCAAAACATGTCAGCTACAGGAAGACTGACATTATTGCCCGGATCGACTTACGTAGATGACGAACGAGATGAACTCTAATGGAATTTTGCGCATGCGACTATGTATGACCATGAAGAACATCGCTGCACAGGGTAGAAGGTAAGTAAGAACCACGCCTACAGTAAAATTCGTTCCTTTGGAAACTGAATACATGATAGCTTTTTGAATGAGTCTCAGCAAGAGTGAAGCACAACTATGCTGGAGATAACCAACCATTGTCAGATTGTAATCACAGCTTTATACCGACTGAGAATTGCTCAAGTCGGCCACCGAAGTCAACTATGTAACGCTACAGCTAAACATTACAGGCTTGCAAGCTTGCTTTGGTCAATGACCGTATTTTGGACCCCTTTCGAGTATCGTTTGCACCGCAGGCCGTTCCGCCATACGTTCGCTCCAGGCTTGGATGTAAGGCCAATCCTTAATGTCAACACCAAGGAACGTGAACATCCAAGGCATGGCAAAGGGGAGATACGAGAGGTCGGCAATGGTGGGGCGATCTGGTAAAGCCACGTAAAGCTGGTTGGGCACTGAGAGGCGCTTGTTCATGATGTCCCATTGCGTTAGCACGTTTGCGTGTAACCTGCCACAAATCAGCTCTCTGTTTGGGTGAGGTGCGTTGGAAATTACTTTTCGACAGCTTTCATGGGTGGCTCAGGCTTCTGCCGATTCGGAAAGCCTTTCAGGAAGTAAAGCCAGTACTTTGCCGTTGCACTGAAAAGTTATTTTCCGTGTTTGTGTGAATGGTTTTGAGGTGTGGTACCCTAAGCCAGCTGTTTCATAGGCTGTCCAAGACATCACAGCAGCCTTTTCCCATGCCGTTCGACCGGTCCATGAACCTTCGCTGTCGAACCTCTCTGCAAGGTATTGCAAACAGGCTGTACTCTCGAAAACGACGATATCTTGGTTCGTTTCTGGATCCCTATCACGCAATGCAGGGACGTAACGTTCGGGATGAATGCTGTAATACCACTCATCTTTGGTATCGATGATAGAGAGGACATGTGGAAACTTTAGCTCTTCGGCAAGAATCAAAGGCTTGATGTAGTTGATGTAGTTGGTTTGATCCGCTTGAATTGCGATTAGCATATGGGATCAATGAAAAGGGATGTTCTCTACCTTTGAGAATGTATATAATGACACGACCATCATATTCGAGATTGCCATCCACCACCTCTCCGGAAGGCTTTGACGAAGACATTGCTGAAGTGATGGTTCCTCTCTGGTCAATGTGGACTTTTTATATTGCTGAGTATCTCAGGTCGCTCGCTATTGTTCGGATGCCGAGGCATGAAGACTAAAGTCATGGCCGGCGCCTTGTGTGCTAACAAGAGCTGAGACTTACTCGATGGTGGTCAAACGGGACGAAGATGTTGTTTTCCCAAATTACCGTTATCCGACTATCAGCGAACACAAAGTGAAAAGAACTAGACCAATATTATCCTAATACCGAGCCCGCAGAACACCGAATATGTCTTTAATCCAAGGGCTCACAACGGAAAAAGGAACCATCAACTCATCACCGAATCTGAAACGTAGGGTCAGATCGGCAGCCCAAGGTATAGATATCCAGAATGACGTAAGAACCCATATCCATCCGACCAACGTCCTCGTTGTTTCCAAACCACTCATCGTCTTGATACCCAATCTTTGAATTGTAATCTTGACGATAGCGTGCGCCAGATCTTCAAGTGATATCGCGAAAGCCTGCCACAAAAAGAATAGAAACATGCCAGTCGTGCGCTCCTCGAACACTATATTGCTGGGAACTGGTGTGATGAGGTTGAGCTGTGCGTGGAATAACGCGGACAGAAGGAATGACAGCCATATTTGCGTCTGCGAGGACCAGACAGTCCCACGCGTGATGTGACATACGTCCACCACATAACCTGTGAAAGTGTTGAAACTCTGCGATTTTGTTAGATGCGTAAACATTGAGACAAAGAGAACTCACCCGTCGAATGAGTTGATGCCAGAATTTGCCCCAGAAGTCACGCACTGTCGTAACTTTAGATATATGTCCAAACATCGGTGGCCAGTCCTTAGGGAATAATCAGCATCGTCGAAGATTCTCGGAACCCTATCGCAACATCGATATATCTACTGACCTCTGGATCGAATAGTTTCAGTGCTACAGTCACCATAGATATCAAGTTGTACTGAAAACTGATCGTATAGTAAGGCAGCGGCCCCCATGCCACGGATTTGACCAGTCTCCAGATCCAGTCGGGGTCTTTGACAGTCAAATATTTACTGTTGACATCCCCGATATTAGTGTATCCAGAACCGGTGTTGCCTACAAAGAACAATTGCATCCATAACTGATTCGCGATATCGGCCATAATGAAACAATATATCGACTTCCAGGCGCGAGAAATAACGAAACGTAGCCTGCCATTTTTCTCCATCGGCGAGAGCTTAGGGACATTCTTTGCCTGGTAGTTCCAATTTGCACCGCGGAGATTGAAGACGATGGCCAGCGCCCAAAGCCACTTGGAGAGCCCGAATCCGACCATTCCTTCCGCCTCCCGAGAGGGGCTAGTCTTTCTCCAAAATAGACTTTCAGGACCCAAGACGCGCTTCCCTCCAGGTCCTTTGGGGTCTCTTGAGGCAAAAAGTTTCTCCAGTGTCGATAGCCATACGGCCCACAGCTGCGAGAACGGCTGCGCGGTTCCGGGATCATTGGTAAAATGGGGGTCAATCTGACAAGAAATCGCGAGGGCAAGGATGATGATCGAAAAAGCCGGGATACGGCCAGGAAATCGAGGACTGGCTAATGCCACAGGTAGTGAAGCTAGTAGAAGTACATGTGGGTAACTCGATCCCGTCGCAGGCGAGTATACCCTATTCGATTGATACAAGCCCGGAGAGTCAGGTACTGAGAATGTCGCATAGGGAGGCATGTTGTTGCGAAAAGGATCAAACGGACTTACAAGTTCAAAACTCAATGACGAAGAAAGAGAATCTGTACAAAAGTAGCAGAGGAAGTACTCAACGAATTCGGCAGGCGGAGAAAGAACATCAACTGCGGCTCTGCGTGTAATTCCGATTGGCTCGCTACAAGTGCACCTCAGACGGTAGAATCCATCAATCTACGCTTATACATCGCATTGCGCAATGTGCACGTTCATGCGCAATAATGGATATTACCCGCTACGCATTGGGTTCAGCAGGCAAACCCGATTGATAGATCAGATCTCGAACACCCTGTAAGCGTAGATCCGTACGCTGAAAATCGCATTTGTTAGAGGAACATGCAGTCGTGCGCTCTGAATTGTGTAGCTTTGATACCAAGTTGATTCGCATTACGATCGTCATCGAGTCGGGCGTGTTCAGTATGATTGGCGAATCAGGCTGCCCGTTCTGAGACGTGCCGGGCGCCGAAACAACAAGCATCTGCTGATACATCTGACCAATCGGACAAAGCCTCCCAAGACCCCACATCAGCTATCATGAAAATAGCTATTGATGCACTGGTGATGTACATCATTCAACGTGCTCTTATCTCATCATTTCTCTTGTTCGCGCACGTGTTACAAATCAGAACTACCAGACTATCCACCAATGGCGATCTTTGACTTGCGTTCCGTGATCTTCGAACAAAGTCCCTGTCTCCTTCTTTTCTTCATAAGCGCACTGGTGTATCTTACTTATCGTCGCTCCCCTTCAGTGTATGACAACTACGAGCAACTAGGCAATCCATGGTGGCTGCCGAACATGTTGGGCAAAGGCCCTCATACTTTGTTCTCCGAGGGTTACAAATCAGTGCGTCCCGACCCGAGCAGGGAACTTCAATGTAGTAATTTGACCATGCTGCAGATAATTGTGCCCTTTGATAAACCATTCGTCGCGAAATGGTGGTCGAAGAAGTACTTGATTCTTCCGACAAGATATCTGCCAGATCTGGCACGAGTAAAATCAGAGAATGCAAGTTTCTTGAAAAACTTCAGCGATGCAAGTAATGAATTGCGAGTTTGAGCAAAGGAATCAATGCTAAGATTTATAGGCTGTCAACCTCCATCATTCAGTCGGTGATCTGTATGAAACAGACCGTATGGGGGATATCATGAGGCAAGGGTTAAATCCCGTGTTAAGTACGTCTGAGACATGAAATGTGTAAGCTTGTACGATAATTGTGCTGATCCAAGCAGATTCTTTGACTCCGCTTATTCAACACGAGATTCATAAGGCCCTAGAAACTGAGATTGGACAACCTAAAGGTACCAGTCCGCATTGTCTTTGACCCGCAGTTCACTAAGACATGGGCAGAATGGAAAACTTTCAAAGCCGTAGACCTCTTCATAATGATATCTCATCGCGTTGTCAATCGGATATTGGCGGGGGAAGAGCTTGCCCGGAACGAAAAGTATATACAACGCTCCCACCAATTCACTGAGTCGGTATTCGTAACCGGTCTGATAGCAGCAGAGCTTCCACTAGGACCATTTAGAAAGCCCGTCGGCTGGCTTATAGCCCAGTACCATCGTTTTGTATTGTATAAAACCTTGCAGATGGTGGAACCAGTAGTCAAGAAAAGAATGGCCGAAGCTAAGAATGGGAAGGATTTACCACAATATGATGACTCAATAGAGTGGGCTATTCGACTCAATACTGACGGGCTGCGCAATAGCCGAATTGTCAGTTTGGATATGCTACATATCCTTCAGGCTGGGACGGGCGCTCCTGGGGCTATGATGTCTGAGATGATGTACCAATTGCTGGTAGAGCCACACTACATTGAAAAGCTAAAAGACGAGATCAGAGAGGCATCCTTGCGCACTTGTGATACAAGGACTATGCTCGATTCGCTTTCGTTGATGGACAGTTTTATCATGGAGACAAATCGCTTGTATCCAATTGGCGGAGGTATGTTCACATCTCTAGACGGTCCACTCACTCCTAAATCCACATGCAGTCACTGCCGCCCGCACTGTTATGCGCGAGCCATGGGTCCTTCACGATGGTACCATGCTGCCCATTGGTACTAGAATTGGTTTCCCGTGTAAAGCTATTCAGTTAGATGCGCGCAATTTTTCCGAACCTCTCAAGTTCGACGGATATCGATTTGTCCGACCGGCTGGAATTGAAAAAGAAGTCAATGGAAAAACGAAGAGCTATTCAGCAGCAACCGCAACACCTACGAATCTATCGTAAGTAATCTAGTGGGATTGTGAAGACTTTCTGTACTAACAGAATACAAGATGGGGCTTCGGAAAACACACATGCCCAGGCCGATTCTACGCAGTTCGTCTGGCGAAGATGGTTTTTGTTGAAATGCTACAGAAATATGAGTTTCGATGGGATGGAAAGCCTCGAGACCATCATCCTCCTAGCTTCGAGGTACAGGGCCAGTTCTTTACCCAATGTGAAAGCTACGATTCAGATTCGTGCGCAAAGAGTTGTAGACTGATTGTGCCATGTCACAAAAGCACATGGACCGCTCTACATCGTCATACCACAGTACAGTCACTTATACACTACTTTATGGAAGAATTATTGATTCTTCTGCATTCAATTGCCCTCAGGTGATGGCCAAGCACGTGCTGCTTACTATGTGAAGTGAGCACGTGCTAATTATGTCACATGACCGTCACGTGCCGCACTTATTCCTTACGGGAGAGAAACTCTGCTAACTCGCCTCCATGTCTCATACATACACCTACCTGGATATCATCTTGTGTAATTAACGCCACAATGGTTGTCGCAAGGTGTCCTCGTAAGGATGATGCCGTAGGATCGGACGAAGACCATTCATGGCAGGGCAGCATCGAACCAGGTCGGCCCTAAACGGCGCATGTCGCGCCGGTCGAATCGGGCGGAAATCATTTCGCTATCTCCGAGTAGTAAGATAGCGTTGGTGGAAATTTTCATAGTATCATTACTCACGCATTGCGTATTTTCCGTGTTACTTGCAACACTCAATTGGTACCACATACTACATATGAGTAGCACATGTCATACCGCTGTATAAACTACCAACAACTTAATAGTTCCTAGCCTCAGGTGTTAAGCTATAGCCGTTTGCCGCTTTTACAGCACACATGTGCACTGCGTATCTCAAGATTAGGCCGCATACATGTGACTTGTTACTGTCGTCTAGAACGCAGCCGCATAACTCGACGTATTGTGTCCGCTTCACACCATCAAGAAATGTACTTTCTACGCCACCTATCTTGCTTGGCCCCGTGATATTCACGTTTGCCAGGAATGTGTGTGAAGTTATATTTCTCTTGTCAATTCTAAAAATAGTACATGTACTACAACTGGGTATTGTCTTTCGCGAATTACTAGGTCACCGTCTAGCGGACAGTACATACGTTGGTTGCGCGGCCTAGAAGACGACCTGACATCTTAAAAGATGATAAACGGAATATATTTCTTCAGTCAGAGAAGCGATCAAGACGCACGAATCCAACGTTTGACCAACCGGTCCTTAGATCCGGCTAGACCTCCGCCGACCCTGGCTCAGTAGGTAGTACATTAGCTCCATTCGCAGCCGGCCCATCCTCAAGCCCCCATATTGCGTGTACCCGACATACTACAATGCTCTCAGTCTTCCAGCTCCAGCAATTGCGGCAATGCAGGGAGCACCTTCGCATCCTTTGGTTTCTTGATTATATCATTCTCCACTAGATCCTCTCTAATTCCCACCCTGTCCTGCCATTCGAGTACCGCGCTATGATCCACGCACTTCCGATTTATTGCAAAGTCCGGAAACGGGTTCTCCTGCGTTTCCATCCAATTGAAGTTCAACATATTCAAGCTAGGCTGGCACGTCAGCGCGTCCAGAAGGATTCCAATGCAGTGCGACCGATGCGCAACCGATAGGGCTGGCATGTTGGACTCGTCGCCCCATCTGGGGTAGAAGTAGTGGGCGTAGTGGCTGTATTTTCGAACAGAGTTGAGGCAGTGGAGGAGGTGTTGAGAGTCGAGTTGTGCGAAGTATTTGGAGGCCCCGTAGCCTGGGAAGGTTAGTTTGGGCACGAATACGAGAGGAGATAGATGCTTGTGAAGCATCGTTTAGCGTTGATCAAGAGAAAAAACTATTTACCCCAGTGTAGAGGGACCTGAACCGCGAAATCAGGGTCTTTTCCCATCTTCCTTATCTCGTCGGCCTCGAGAGTCAGTGAACGGGTCTTGGACATTTTCTCCCACGCAGCGTCGACCTCCTTGGATGGTTCTGCTTTATATATGGTCCAGGGATCATTAAAAAGACTAGCGTTCATTCTCTTGTCGCTGAATGTAATGTTCAGCTTGTCTAACAAAGGAGTGTAAAAGCTGACTTGTCGCAGCGCAGCATTTGCACCTCCTTGGTCCATGGCGAGGTCTTCAGTGTCGCATGCTGGCCGCGCAATTGTTGCTTTTGTACTCAAATAGAGGCAGACTATGCTTGCAGCTAGAAATGCGCTGTTGAGACACAGCATGACCACACTACAGCGCGGCCTACGGGACCTGTGGTACTCAAAGTCGACATCCTAGCCGATACAGTCAGTGTCAGTTTACTGGAGACCTGTAATTGAGATTTTTCGAACATACCTTTAAGTAATCTTCGTCTTTGAGGAGATGAAGCTCCCCAGGCTGCGGTTTCGAAGCCTCAATCATGCTGGAACAAAGTGCGCCAAACAGGAAAGGAAAGAGGCATGAAAAACCTGGCCAAGTTCAACGCATATACTAGACACGGTCAGCAGTTACCAAAATATAAGCTGGCTCTTTCTATCTGTCGGTCAATTCCTATGAACCTGAACGGAAAGTACGCACACTGGAACGGGCACCCCCCAGGGACCGCAGTTCGCACTAGCTGGAAAGAGCTGCTTGACTTCAGCCGCACATCATTCCAAGTTCCGAGAGTGTGTAACATGTACTACATAATGTTTTAGCGGTGTACGTGGTTGTGTGATAATCCAACACTGCACAATTTTTCTGCGAAGTGGCGACCTGAATCTCGCTCTAATCCCATAGAGCACGGGTTTGGCGACCCTTTTTCTTTGTTAGACTACCTGGTACTTTCTCTAAGCGACACGACCAACGCGACTTGATTGGAAATATACGCTCTTCCGACCGGCTTAATGGACGAACATTTCTGCAAGTTGCCCATCCCGATGCCGTTGTGCCGAATCAGTGATAATGCCGGCCCCGAGTTGGTAAACAGCTTGCGCCAGTCGTTGCGACCCTTGCACCAAACCCAAAGTAGCGGTCACCTCTGAAGCTGAGTAAAAGTAGCGGTCACCTTCAAAGCTGAGCAGATTAACACCCGGACCTATACGAACAGAAAGTGGAAGGAGAGCGTTCTGAGCAGTCCTGCAGCTGTGTTGCGTTCTTGGCTTGCAGCATTGAACCGCGCACTGCGTTCTACGAATTCTTGCTTAACAGTGGAGAAAATATATCCTTATTCTCCTTCTTATAAATAGGCGGCGAATTTTTTGACTTTCTTCCACAGCAATATCGCATCTCAACGAAGCCCGCACCCCTCATCAGCGCCCAAGCCGTCTTCACCAGGACACTCATTGTCTTTTTTAGCAAATTCAAAATGCATTCAACGATCCTTATCTCGCTTCTCAGCGCCGTTGTCCTCGCTGCGCCCATCGATTTGCGTATGTCCAACACCCTCTTACACTAAATGACGTTGCAGTTCCTTGAAACTATACACAGACATGCTAACCTTGTCAGGTACAGAAGCTCGCTCCCCCTGTCCCCGAGGCACAAAGCGCACAGAGGCCTACTGTGTCGTGAACAACGTCCCTGGCGAATCCAAAGCCAAGCGCAGCGAAGCGTACAACTCTCTCTTGCTGACCACATCCCCAGAGGTCGACGAAATGAACAAGCATACAGAAGTGTACCCAGCGCTGTTCCAGGCCGTGAAATCTGAGGCCGAACATGGGGATAGCGACATTGAGAAGAGGGACCAGGAAGTGGACCACCATACAGAGGTGTACCCAGCGCTTTTTCAGGCCATTAAATCCGAGGCCGAAAATAGAAACAAAGACATTGAGGAGAGGGGCCAGGAAGTGGACCACAATACGGAGGTGTATCCAGCGCTTTTCCAGGCCGTGAAATCCGAAGCCGGCGACGCCTAGTCCACGAAGCGCAGCAGGGCTTTACAAGTCTCTATACCTCGCCATTAAACCTAAGTCTAAGGATATTACAATGAAAAGTCTCAACAATCGCGCAGAAGCGTATCCTACTTCATTAGGTAGTTGAGTTGGATGGCGCGGGTACTAGTTTGACTACCTAAGTAATGGCGATATCGCGGTGACATCTAGTAGCTTGCTTGGGTTCTTTACGTTGAGACTGAACGACGGTAGTGATAGTACTTGGGGTGAGGATTGGAACACTCGTTTATTTATAGTCAAATTCACACTCTTCTCACCCAAGCCGTGTCTTTATCTTAGCTAAATTACCCAATATTACCCAATATTACCCATGACGCAGGTAATTTTCTCTTCCGCCAGCGTCTTTATCGAAGTACTCCGGGAGAGCTTTTATGTATAGGAAAGACGACCTTTCAGATGTACATCCTGCAAGAAGCCCAGCTGTTAAATAGCTTCCAGAGGCTGACGAGAGAGGGTAGAATACTGAGCGAACACTATTGACCAGATTTGCTTTTGTTGTTGTGCCAATTATCAAGGTCCTAACGTTTTCATTATCGCGTTATAATCTACGAAGGCGCGACTGCTTGCTCGCATTCAACAGATAAAGCACTCGCCTTCCTATTCATTATATTAGGTCAAATTTCCAATCTAACAGATCTGTTCATGGTGCTGTGGGGCGCTTGGAGCATGGGCAGATATACTAGCCTCCAGTCCGGTGGCAAAAAAAGGTATTATAACTCAGCCTCTTCCACGCGTTCCATAACCCATAGAATCTTATCGCACAGTTAGCATCGCCCTAGTAAATGTAGAGTCTTCTATGTGCTTTCAGATCGTAGTATATTCAATATCGTTGTGATTGAATAAGGCGACAAAGCGGCCAGCTATAAGACATATCTGCTACGCAACGGCACGTCTCTTAACGAACAATTTAAAAGTTTTCATCACACGGATTATATGGTATCGAGGTAAACTGGAGCCCGGACATGGAAACAAAACCAAATTGAGGTCACAGTAGAATGTCACTACGGTAATGACTAGCCTAATCTCGCTAGATTAGACGAATAGAGGCGGACTTGCGCACTGCCTATTGCATGTTTCATGAAATGTCGCTCTAATCAGTAAGGCATCTATCGTGAAGTCCGATGCTTTTTTCCTATGCGCGTTCGAAGCCATTGGAGTAAATTGGCAAGAAAAGGTGCGGTGCGAAAAGCACATTACGTGTTTTTCCTTAAGTGGCATTTGGTGCCTGTGACTGGATACATAGGTACAGGATGTACGTATAGTTGCACTGCACCATAGCCTGAACAATGTTGGCACTACTGTGATACTGGGTTAACCGCTAAGTAGGCGCTGCAATCCGTTCTGCTATAGTCCCTTGTTGGGCGAACGTCGATGTTCCCAGGGCGGAGTTTTATGTGGAGGCCTGACGCCACTCGGCGGACCGCGAGCGCGCCTCAAAGTCCGGCTATCTACATACACATCCGAAGCCACGCAAAGTTAAAATAAATACTGTATAAGATCGTGAATATCCCGGATTCCGATCAGAAGTTCTCAATCGCAGTCGGTCATTTCTCTATTCGCTCGTTTAAATCTCATTGTCGATTGTTTATTTGGTCTCCTTGTGATATAGAATCATAGGATTTAATCATGCGCATCGACCTTTCCATTCTTTTCACTGTTGCTCTGGCTGCTACAGGTGCAGCGGCAGCACCACATGCTAAACGCGATGCCGCTAGTGCATACAAGGCGAACTCTGAAGCCGCGCTGGACCGGCTCCAGCAATGGTACAACCCCGAGACTGGCCTTTGGAAGAGCTATGGCCCATCTTGGTGGCAATCCGCGAACGCCATGTTTACACTCCTCGAAATGATGGAAGTTGGGAGCGAAAGAGCGAAAGAGATTGGGAAGACCGTGGTTCCCGGTAGCTTTGACGCAGCGGCAGCCTGGAACATTAAGAACAACCACGCACTCAGGCGGCGTGAGGACAAGAACGGCTTTATCAATGGTTACTATGATGACATGGGGTGGTGGGCTATGGCCTGGATCAAAGCCTACGATGTCACCCGTGATCGTAAGTACCTCGATACTGCAGAGGTACTCTTCGAAGATATGACATCCGGCTGGGGCACAGGCTGCTCTGATGGTGGTCTTTGGTGGGACAAGGGGCATCGAGACATCGCGGATATTTCCAACACACTATTTATCGAAGTAGCTGGCTGGCTCTCCAACCGCGTTGAAGGAAAGAAGGACTTCTATCGCGACTGGGCGGTCAAGTCGTGGAAATGGTTCAAAAACAGCGGCATGTACAAGACAGACGACCACATCGGCAATGGCAGCATCGATAAGAAGACCTGTAAGAGTGGTAAGAACCCACACAGTTTTACGTATACGAATGGAGCGCTGGTATCAGGCTTGGTCGCTCTGGCTCGTGCCACTGGAGAAACGGCTTACATGGACGAGGCACATCTTGTTGCCGCCGAAGTCATCCGAACCATGTCAAAGGATGGTGTTCTTCGAGAGCAAAATATCAACAACGCAAGTCCTGGAGAGGCTGCACCGCAGTTCAAAGGCGTATTCATGCGGGCACTGTCGTCTTTGCAAACGCAGAGCCCTAGACCCGAGTACAAAGCGTTCATGCAGGCGTCTGCTGACAGTATCTGGAACAAGGCTAGAGATGGAGCTGCGGATCTGGATTCCGACTGGAACGGGCCCTTTCACGGACCTGCTAATGCGAGCCCCCAAAGCTCTGCGCTGGACTGCCTTGTAGCCGCGTGGAAACACTCTCGGAAATAGTTGTACTTTCTCTTATGCGGAAGAGATCGCCGAAGTTGATGGCAACGGCTAATTTTACGACTAAACCATCGGTACTATTGGTGATATGTTTAGTTTTAGTATTGTTACTTCATCAATATACCATAATCAGAATATTCAACGATTTGTGTGGAGGAGCCGCTTCTTTAAGTGTCATCCCACAATTCAAGAAGCGCCGTCTTCTTTCGGCATTTTGATCACGTGCTGTTAGACAACGTCTGATTGGACGAACCAAAGGATGTCGACCCCATGCGATGTTGTTGAGATGGGTGACGTCGCGTGGCTCCATTTGTATAGGACAATACCCTTACGGACCACTATAATGCATTCCGATGATCTTCCACTGTTCATTTTTCCATCTGCTTCCACCATCGACGCTTGACTCACAAGAGATATCTCGATTCCGTTATGCCTCGCCAACGATCCGGACCACCCAAAACAAAGGCCCGGTTCGCCACATACTGTCCTTTATCGCTCATAGCAGTAGTTATCTTTCAATGCAAACCTTACGGAGACAATGCTTCTTGCAACCACAACAACAAGGCCATGTTGTGAAACTACTGTACTTCTTGAGTATATAACCGATTTTGACGGCTCAAACAGTCCAGATAGCATGTCCAGATGCCTTTTAACTTGCCGTGACTGGATCAACCCTGCACATATGGGTCATTCGCACTATCTGCGCCAGGGAACGCAGCCAGCGGGCCTGGTGTCCTATCCCTTCCTCCAGTGACGTCGACCTCTGTGTATGCGAGGAAAACTTAAGCGCCACTTATAGATTGCGCCCGGTGCAGTGCATTTGTGGCATGAAATAGTCAGTGGTGTGGACAGCAACCACTTATAGTCTATCTTCTGTAGCCGAAGGCTGGCTAGGCATGACCTGGTTGGCCAAGAATACGGGACACCACAGCTAGCATCTCCGAATCAGTGTTACACCGCGAAAACCATTTGGGAAGGTCACCCAGCCTCGAGCATCGCGATTGGGTGAACGAATTCCAATCATAGACAGAAGTAGCTTACCTATCAAGCGGTACATTAAAGGCGTTCTGAACGCGCGTTCAGCTTCCACTCATGGCTTATCGCCATCATCCTCGACGGAACATGGTGGAGCAAATCAAACGCATATGAGACCCATTCATCTCAATCTTATCCCCAATCATCCAGAAGAATCAACGTTTGCCTTGTTCTTGTATTCGTGCAATCCCAGTTCTTTCGAGCTCCCGACTGTTGTTCTTTTCTCAGCCTTGCAGCAATCGCCACTTTCTAGTCTTTCGGCATGTACCCCTTTTCAGCCTCTTGATCGCCTTTATCATGGCTATGACCTGGTTCCTGAGGTTCTCTCGTCTAGCGGTCACTCTTTAAACACTGAATCTGCAAATCAAAATGAACGTAAGTCATCTTTCCCTTTCATCTGTAGTGACATGTCACATTAATCGTTATACGGGATGATAATAAAACATTCTGCACCCTAACCAGGGTTGCAACAGGAAATACTTCCAAATCTGATTTGCCAAACGATCACGACCACCATAGCGAGGTTAGCGGTCATTCACCTCTCCCTCGCTTGCTATTCACATTCGCAGCAACCTTCATCCCGCTCCTCGTTATTCCCATTCTCCTTTGCGCGTTTATCCTGTCCTCACCATGGAAGGTCGAATTTCCAGGCAACGAACAGGCCGCCCTTCCTGTCAACCGTACCAACACCACCACATACTTCTACACAATGATATCAATGAGCGACGTAGTTTCAGTCAGCTCCTGGACAGCGAATATTGCGCAATTCGCAGCTGCGCCATTTCTGTTTTTGTTTTCCTTCATTGTGGCCTCCAAATTTGTTTACAGGCCAGTTCCCATGGAGGAAGTCCATGTACGAACGCTTCCTATAGACCCAGAGAGAACCTTTGCACGAAAGTTACTCTCAGGGAACCCGGATATCCTGTGGAGGTGGACCAAAGGCTTTTTACTTGACCGAGATCATGCCAGAGGATCCAGAGTGAGGCTCGCGGCTACTGGCGCCCTGATGTCATTCTTGTTAACGTGAGTCGTTGCAAATATCCTAATCTTGGACCGGAGAATTCTAACTAGTCTAACGTAGTGTTCTCGTGCTGGCTGGGGGTATGTCGATCCTGCTGGAAGCAAGTTATGTTCCCGAGCTGATTTTCATAGACAAAACCTTGATCGGCCTTCTCACCAGCGAAACACGAACTTTGTATGACAACGTTATCCCTGGGGCAGAACCTTACGGGAATTCCAGCTTTTTTCTTGATGATAGTTGCGATATGACCACTATCATTCCGGACCCTTACAACCTTCACAACCGAAGCGAAGGCCCACCATGCTCGTTGGACGCAACGACTCACCCCTGGAGCGTCGTCGATCCTCCGAAAACGTACCGGCTGCTTGCAGCTGGCTTTCCCAACATCACAGGGAACTTTACTAGTCTAGACTTTTCGGGGCTTGAGGAACTCTACGAGGAAGGTAAAACCGAAGATCGCATGGTCGCCACTCACTACGACAGCAGGACCAACGCATTACATGCATTCTTCCTCGATATCAGCTCGCTCCAGCAGTTCCAAGATGATGAGGATGCTTCAAGGATGAAGTTATTCAAAACGTCCGACGCCACGAACTTGGGACAGGACTACACAGGAACTACAACATCGGTTGCCACAACGTGCATCTCGGCAACCCAGTCATGTGGCCTGCATAACAATACCAAAGGTACCACTTCGATACGATATAATTGTTCGGCGATATTCTCAGGTTCGCTGGAAAGCATCCCCACAAACGGGATCGACAAGATGAGTGGCTGGAACACATCGTTCTATCGGAACGACAACGGAATCCCGCGTGAGATCTCTGTTGCCTCTCAGTTCAACCCTTTCACATACAACGTCACGGGCCTCATAAACAGCTACGATCTGGCTGATTTGTTGGATTTTCATGACCCGCAAGGCCAAGACGGATCTTTGGTAGATGCTGGCAATTACGACATCGCATTCGCACTCTCTTGCGAGTCTACCGTTTATAACGTCGAATACTCCATGGTGAGCGGAAACATTTATCACTTCAACGCCACCGCGGCGAGTGGACAGGAAGCTGCTGTCATCAAAGCACCGCTGCAGGTCGGCCTTGGCAGCTACGTGCTCTTTCAACAAGCGTCCCTTGGGGTACTCCTCACGAACATAACCGTCCCAGAAGCTATGGGTCTCGCGTTTAGTCAAGTTGGATTAGCGTACGCGGCGGCTGCGTACACTGCCAAGCCCAGTCGGATGATGCGATACCGTATGGATGTACGACTAGCACGAATTCCCAAGGCGCCATATATACTTCTTATTGTCCTCTGTTTTCTGTACGCGGGATTAGTCCTTGTCTTTACAATTGCGGCATGTATGGCGAAAAGGCGGTGTAAGGTTGCTGAGACGCAGGCGCTGCTGATGGATAGGGAACCATCCGAGAATTGTTTCTGTTGATCGGGTTTAATTTTTTGATGACTTGACCGACCATAGCTGTAAGGGTTAACATCTTGACTCCTGCTGCAAGTCTTTGCTTGACGATCTTTGAGTATGATATCGACCCCATTATATCGCCCCGTAGCGGTCTTTAGGAACCAGATCCTTCGTGATGATTGCATTTATGAAATATGTAGATCCATTTCGACCGCCGGAATGTGCATTTATCTGAAAAGTGTTTCGAGGTCTTCTTAATAAGCGAAGTGATTTGTCTTCGGAGCTCACATTATTGCAAGCTTCAAATATGTAAGGAGCCGGATAGTAACATGCTCGCGTTTTGTATTGAGGGTGAGCCTAGTTTCCAAAATGTCGGCCTGCAGGACAGTCAGCCTTTGGCGCACATACGCATTGCCTGTTTGCAGGTGGGTCTAATACTTGATGGCAACGGCTAACTTTATCTACTATACGCCGACGCTGATATTTTTATTTGTTGACAATATCACAAGAAACATCAAGAAAACACAAAACTTTCTACAAACCGCCCATAGGCCTTATGCACCTCGCCTTCATCGTTCTCGTCTTTCTTTACAGAAGATCCAAGATTACGAAGGTTTTGGTATACCTTTCCTTAGTCACTATGATGTTCCTGTTATAATACCGTCACTCGTGCTTTTGTTACGCCAGCCCTTATGCGTCTTAAGAGAATATGTCTAGCCCATTACTACTGGTTCATATGAGCGTGTCGATCATACGGACGTGATTCGCTAAGCTGATGTGTATCCAATAACAATGGCTGACTAGCCACCCGTTGGCTGGATAAAGTAATAATCTAAAGATAGGTGTCATGGTATTTGCTGGGACAGGTTGCCATTACGACTCCTGCAGTCTATCCTCATCCTCATCCTCAGTCTCCGTCTCCGTTATCGCACTGATCAATGTCAAATATCTAACAAGGAATTCATACTAAATATCCGGGAACACAGAAGAAATGGCTTCTCGTTCCATCGACCGCATGGAAGTCGATACAATAACCAGCCAGCGCGAATCCCCAGACCAGGGCCCAGAATCCGCCTCCATACACGATGGTGGTTACGGCTGGGTCATCGTCTTCGCCTGCTTCGTCCAGACGTTCTGGGTGAATGCGTGGACAGGCTCCTGGGGGATCCTCCAGGCCGCCCTCCTCGCACAGAGCACTATGCGCGACGTTCCAACCAGCACGCTGTCCTTTGTAGGGTCGGTGGGCTTGTCACTGACTGTGGCCCTGGGGCTCGCCTGCGTCTGGCTGGCCGGCGTCATCGGGGCGCGGTGGAGCACTCTGCTGGGCATCTCATTGTTTAGCGCCAGCACGCTAGTCGGCAGCTTCACTGTTCGCAACGTCGGCGGCCTGTTCGTGTCGGGCACGCTGTACGGCCTTGGCGGAAGCCTCATGTACACCATGTCCAACAGTCTGCCGGTCCAGTGGTTCCACATCCGGCTCGGAACCGCGAACGGTCTCGTCAAGCTCGGAGGCGGCATTGGCGCCACCGTCATGGCCCTCATCGTGCAGCTGCTCATTGACAAGGTCGGCGTCGCCTGGACGTTCCGTACCATGGCATTGGCTTCCCTGGCTACGGGCGTTCCTGCCGCGCTGCTGATCAAGGAGAGGGAGCCGTCCTCTCCCTCTATAAACGCATCGCTCTTTCGGAACTTGACCTTCTTCCTTCTATTCATCGCTGGCTTCATCGGCATCTTTGCCCTCTATATCCCCTCCTTCTTCCTGCCTACTGTCGCGACCTCGATCGGCTTGTCCCCCACCACTGCTGCCGCCGTCATGGCCTGCTACAACGCCTGCATGGCCGTGGGCCGTCTCAGCTCTGGTATTGCTTGTGACCAGCTAGGACCGACCAACATGCTACTTGCAACCATGGCTCTCAACGCCATCACCATGTTAGCCATCTGGTCTGTCGCTTCCACCTTCGCGGTGCTAACGGTCTTCGCCGCCCTGAACGGAATCGCTAACGGAGCCTTCTTCGTCACGATGCCCACCGCCATCGGGAGGCTCCTTGGCCCCCACGCCGCGCCCGCCGGCATTGGCATGGCTGTCACAGGCTGGACTGTCGGCGACCTGCTGGGAAATCCGATCGCAGGTTTCTTGATCACAGCCACGCACGCGGACCGGGGAAGCTCCATTGTTCTGTATCGGCCAGCAATCTTCTACGCGGGTGGGACAGCGGCCGTCTCGACCGCTCTCGTACTATTAGCTCGCCTGAAAATGGACGCCAACCTCATCAAGAAATTCTGATCTTGTCGTCTTGTTGGTCGTCATCTAAAAGTATTCGGCTGCTGGAAGATAGCTCTGATATCTTTACACAGGACTTCGACGGCATGGAGAAAATGACTGGTTGATCAAGCATCAAGGCTAGGTAGGATAACAACCTACTTTAGATGTACAAGAGCCAACATGAATTTCTCTTTGATATGCAGCTACCTAAGCGTTAAATGAGCGACTAGGTTTGGATCTAATATCGACAAGCGTTTCGTCAATAAGTTGCACCTCCTCACCCGCAATTACGAACCTCTCTCGAGTGCTCTTCTTCCCCTCAGGACGAGCCATTTAAGCCTTGGGCCTGGCATCATACAGCTGGCCAACCCGCTTGTTATGCAGCTCCAGGGCAGTCAGGCTAGGGAAGCGCTGCGGCGTCTCGGAGGTGATGAATCGGGGCATGGGCCCGACGTCGGCGTGGCGGTCCGCTTTGGCGAAGAGGGCGATGGTGAAGCGCTCGGGCATAACGCCATCCTCCCTGTCCTTGAGGGATAGGGGGGCTACAACGTGGTGGACGGCTGCTCTGAGGTGACCGTTGGTCTTGTGCACAAGGGTGTCGCCGATGTAGACACCGACCTCTGTGGGGTCAGCCGTGGGTGTGACGGGCAGCCAGCCGCCGTTGGCGCGGTCCTCGACCTCGAGCCCGCCAGTGGCATCCTGGAAGAGCAAAGTTATGAAGCCGAAGTCGGTGTGTGGATGGCAGCGCTTGATCTTGCCCGCTTTGAGCTTCTCGACCGGCAGGGGTGGGTAGTGCTGGATGCGCAGCTCGTCGACGCGCGACTCCATGCACGACGTGAACGTTCCGACAGGCACGTCTAGGCCGAGTTCAATGGCTGTCAAGACATCGCGCGCCAGCCTCATGCAATCCGGGAGGAAAGTGCCCTCCATCCAGTCGTGGAAACCAGGGATACTTACGTCCGACGGCCAGGGCGTCGGGTACTCGTCACCATCGCGGGTGTAGTCAAAGTGTTCCTATCATTGGATCAATGTGGTCAGCCTTCCTATTCATGTTGTTGAATTGAGCTGCGTGGTGCTTTGTATCGAAAGTGGACGTGGAGATCTGCTCACCTTGGCATCAATGAGTTCTTGATCCACGTCATCATCCTCACAGATTTGGAACTCTCCCTTCTGGTCCCTCTTATTGACCTTGGAAGTTGCCTCCGAGCCAACGTGGCTGTATCCTCGCTGCGGGTTGGCATCCCGGACGTTGGCAGTAGCGACCTTTTCGGCCTCGGAAAGCTTGAAGAACTTGTCACTCTGTTCTCGAATATCAACTTCGTTCGACAGTCGAAACCAGCTCTATTACCAATTCGTAGGCCTTCTTTATCGCTGTAGAAAACTACATATCAGCCGAGAGATAAACGCATTACATGGTAGGACAGAAGGAGACGTACTCTCTCCAGTAATCCCATGGTTTATCAGTCTTGTAGCACCATGCTTCTTGAATTCCTCAGTGACGCGATTGGCGAGCTCTCTACGCTCTTGCTCTGTACTTTTTCGGAAAGCAGAAAAGTCGATGGCAGGAATAGACATCTTGGAAAACCGGCCGTAAGTGGCGGACGGTGTACTAGTCTTGGGATAAGAGTTGGTCCTGTATTGTCAACTGAGAAGTTGGAAACTGCTTTGCCAGAGAAGAAGGCCTAACACGGAGTGATGGTGCCCTTTTATGTTCGAGAAGAAAGCCATCATTTCGGAGCGTAGAGGACCCCAAAACTTTACGCCTTTCTTCTTTAAACGTATGATTCGCGGGTAGAGGCGAACAAGAGAGTTTCTTGACTCGGGTAAGTATCGTTACCTTCCAATGGTTCTTGAAGAACTCTAGGTTAGCATTACCCTGATTCCTTCCATTGGTCACCCTTATCGCGACCATACCGATCTCTTCGTGTGCTTGGCCTCTCTGTTCTCAAGGACACGCACGCGGCCACATCTCTTCCATTCATGGCTTCGATTTCCAAAATCCGGTCAATCCGTCAATATAGTTCAGACCCTCGTGTTGCATTACTTGGCAGTTCCTGCGGAGGCTGATTGGTGGCAATAGGCATATGATACAGTCAGACGCAACTGCCTGGGAGCGGCGGAACGCTCCGTATGACTTACAGCGAGAAGGCGGTGAAGAGCAGGGCATTCGTTTCCAGTCGCTTAATAGGGCGACTGCTTATACTTACGTACAATATTCTGCGATCATTATATCGGAATGTTCTGCGACTTGACATGTGGAGTACTCGTCCGCAGAGAAAGGCTAAAGGCTGGCTTTTCATCGTCCAATTAATAATGCAGAGCAGAGGTTGGCCATTGGACCCTTTTTCGTCTCAGCCCTCCTCTCTGGATTTCGACTTGAGGTCCACGCTGATGACTAGGCAGGCGAAACCACTAAAGCCAATACTGTTGCGCGCTTGGCACTTCGCTTTGTGCTACCCCAGCTAGGCATCCTACAGGATGTGAGTGCATAAAGTCCCCTATGTACGTCAGCGCGTATCGGTACTAGTCCTCCCAAGCTTTAAGCAACAATATTGAATTAGCAAATTTGACAGCGTAAGAAAAAGGGCAGGGTAAGCGTATTCATACGAGTAATAATTATGGATCCTGAATATTGGCATAAGCAAGGGCTGCCGTCAAATAAATTTACTTATAGCCATTGCGAAGCACGACCGAACATCCGTCCGAACTGCTTTGTGGAGCTGATTCGAAGGCAGCCGCTAAGTGGGCTTCAAGGGAGTTCAAACGTACTGTCAATGTATCAATCTGCAGTCGTGGGATAAGCAGAAGTTTTGCTTACCTGAACAACTCTGGTGACAAGAAAGTATCAAAAGTCCAATAACTCTGGGGACTGGCCGGCAACTTTGGAGCTCAAACTCGACGAGTACGAGTGCCACCTCGACAGCAACACTCCAAACGATTCTCTTCTGGGTGATCAAGCTCGGTGATAATCACTCAAAGGACGTACAATCCCGAAGTTGGATAAGCCTAGAATAAATACATACGAATAAACCACTCATCAACGCGCTCCACCTCCACACCACCCCACATCGCTCACCACCTACTCCTCCACACATTCCCAACTCTCAACCGCCTTCGGATCGCCCACCCCCTTATACACATTCCTCTTAGGATACTTGCAATGCGCCCTCTTATAATCCACGCCCGCACTCTTCGTCCCATTAACCCAGTGCGTCCCCGTGATCGTCTCCGGCGCATTCCCGTTCTCAACCCACTCCACCACAGCCATAAGCACATTCTCGCTCGGATCCAAGCTCTGATACGACTCAAGCTGCTGCCCGATGACGCTCGCACCGTCACCGCCGGTGCAATGCGCTGTGCCCGAGATGCGGAAAAAGCGGTAGAACTCGTCGAGCTCGGCGGGCGTCTTGCCCATTGTCGAGGACACGTGCTCGTAGTACCTGGGTGAGTTCTCCGACGTTATAATGCCGTCCATCTGGCCGTGGTAGTGCAAAATTTTCGCGCCGCGGGCTTGCACGGCGGACAAGTCGCCCTTCCAGGTGTTGATGTCGGAGGGGTTCTTGATGGCTGCGTTGATGTAATCGGTGTCGTTGATGGTGAGGGGGTTCCACGCGGGGTCGTTGTAGATTGCGTATTTGAAGAATTCGACGTTGTAGATGAAGGGTTGGCCGTTGTAGACTGCGAAGGCGGCGACGGCTTCGGAGCCGGGCTGCATGCGGGGGTAGACGAGGGACCCGTCGGATAGGGTGAGAGGGGAGAACACTTTCTGGACGGTGTTGACTTGGATGGGAGTCAGGCAGGATGAGGAGTTCGTGCTATTGCTGCCGCAAAGAAGGCTGGATGCGTTGTAGTTGCAGATCGAGGCGTCTTCCAAAATGCCGTCTGCGTAGCCATCGAGCAGATCGCACTGCTTCATGATGTCCTCGTGGACCACGGTCCACATCGCGGTGGGCACGAATGTCGCGGAATCAGGCGGACCAGTCACGTTGTAGAAATGTCCGCTCCAAGAGGTCAGGTTGTTAAAGGCGAGAGCTGGGGCTCCTGCAACAATTCCATCAAAGTCCTCGGGGAAATCCTGGGCTGATTTGAAGCCTTGTCGTCCGCCTGTTGAGCATCCGAGATAGTACGATTTCTTGTGTGGTGAACCGTAGAATTGCTTTGTGATTTCCTTGCCCACTACAACATTGGTATGAATCCTGCTGTTGGTCAGTATGCGTTAACTTCAAGTAGATGGCCTGACTTACGAGCGATAAGCAAAATCTGCTACCACTTCCGGCTGGTTGTAGAAAGCACCGCCACTTGTGCCATTGTGTCCGTTGTTCGCACCAACGGATGCAAAGCCTAAGCTTGTGGTGTAGGCCATATCCGGGTATCCGATACATCCCGCCAGGCCTCCATTTCCAGTCGAGAGGAAGCGACCGCTGAAGTTTGAACTGAATTCATTGTCAGCAGGTCCCTTCTATGTCTCGTGAACTAGTAAGAATAACTTACGGCAACCACGCTTCCATATTGATACCCGAGCTGTTTGAGGTAGATACATATAGCGCGATGCGACACAAGTCTACAGACACCGCCTGGTACGGAGCACCGCACGTTGCATTCCTATCGGGTATGGATAGGTTTTGCCCAGCAGCAACAAACTGCGAGAAATAGACCGTTGCGTTCTCGAGTGCAAGCTTCGAGGCGATGGACGCGCAGCTTGACTGGAAGTCATTTGTACCATATTGTCTCGGAAGGATGGGATCGGCGAGTGCAACGCCCACAGGGAGGAGCAATTGAGCCCAGCGATTGACGATCATCTTTGCAAAGGCAGCGAGTGCGATACGGCAACTGTTGAAGTGTGGAGGCAGTCCCATCGTTTTATCTCCTCTCCCACGAGGTCAATGCACCATGACGCGAGCACCTGCATATAGCGCATCTCGGTGCATTTCGAAAGATTAGTTGTTTACCCCGGAGATCTAATGTAAATCCTGGAGTGAAACAGGGTGAAGTGGAGCGGAAGCGGACTAGTCCCTGGAGCTAGTGCTTGTTTGGCAGATTTTCCGGGTGAACCGCGGAACGGTGCCTGGCCCGGTGCTTTCCCCACGTTTTCGGCTCGAGCGACGGCAATTCCACGATAAACGGTTCGAGATGTGTAGGAGGAAGATACCAAAATGACACAAACGCTCTTTCAAACTGTGTGAACATAGCGGGCTTCAAATTGTGATAGTCGCAATGTTCGCATGGTCCACATGTGATGACACCAGACCTCGGGACGCCGGATTCGGGTTCTGGCATGTTTCATACGAATGATACGACTAGTCCTCTTTGAGCATTCACAACATACACATGCTCGAGATGCTTACGACGATATGAAAGAGCTCAGGGTGAAAATCAAGGATACATCTATGCCGCGAACTATATGGAAGACGGCAATTGCGAAGATAGCGGTCGTGGAAGAACACTACCCCGTCCAACCTACCCTACCTGCATGTCGAAAGGGAGACAAATAAAGTGGGTAAATGTTTACCCGGGCTAACTTACTTCAGACATTTTCTACGCTACGGTCGATACCCCTTCCACGGTAGCCCTTACCAGGGACTAGATGCATTGCATGGGTCAACATTGAGAATTGCTTTATAGTGGTTATGGTCGGCGAGCCATGAGACTATCCTCATCACGGAATAAGGTTAAAAGTCAGCTAAAGCGGATCTCCATCCCATACATTATATGCCAGTCTTTGCTCAGTTATTCTACCAAATGCGTCAAAATGTGCAGAGGTCTCGCTAAAGTATCCCAATGCGATGTGCATACCGGGATACATGCAGCCAAGCTTCAGCCTGATCGTTTCGCCCCGCCCGACTAGGCTGAACATTGATATGGAAACCACACTTCATTCCTACTTCGACACTACGGAGATATTCTGTGCCATTCGTTCCAGCTGTGCCTGAGGAATACTTGCCCCATGAAAACCACAGGATAGATATTCGCCATCCATTCCCAAACACCGTGCCTTCCATAATCGATGCGCACCGCATGCCCAGCGTCATCCACTCGAGCTCTTCGAAATCGTCTTCCTCGAAGAAAGAGCGGGCTGTGGGTTTCCACGAAGATCCTGTCGCTGCGGTGTCACGACCTCTCAATGCTGCAGAAAGTTGGGCGGCGCATTACTTCGAGATGCACGCTCAGCAGTGTCCGCATTGTCAAGATCCTTACGAGGTTCATCGCAACCATGAGCAGCTATGCGAGCAAGGTCACCGCTTAGCTCAAGACGTGGCTTCATATATGTATCAAAGAGCGGATGGGGTAGCATATAGTACACAGGAAGAAGACAACAAACTGGTTCGGCTCGAGATACCGGCGGGATATCAGCAGGTTCGCAGACTGCTAAAGGCTATTGAACGCAGTCTCCGTCATCGAAGCCGGACTCCGTTTGTTGCAATGGATAGGACGTACTACGTTGCCGCCCGGACGCCTCAAAGCGCACGTTCGGTCAAAGAAGAACAAGTTGCGTCGAAGCCACGACCACGGCCTGGCGAAGTCGTCGACTGGCCCAAGGCCGATGGTCCATCGTCCAAAATCCCGGCCGAGATGAGTGCTATTAGATCTAAACGGGGCAGTCTCTATGAGCGAGACCTCGCGGCCCAGCGCCATAGTGCGAAACGGTTTAAAGTGGAGGTTGGAGAACCGTCGTCGCAAGAAGAGGTGGAGTCAGAACGTCCATCATTGCCAGACTTGCGTGGGTTTCGAAGCGACACCGATCTTTCTCTTGTAGGAGATACTACCACTGCCAAGTCCTTTCACGACGATGAAACACGCTTGAAAGTCGACCAGCCTCTCGAAATTGAAGCACAGCCCAGCACTGGCTGATTTAAGGAAATTGCCACACCAAATGCTTTGATAGACTTCGATGAAAATGATTCATCATCATCAAGTAGTGATTCTGGTATCTACCAATCCGACGAAGATAGGTCATGGGATCCATTGAAAAGCTTCTCTGGAGCGGAGGATAAATCCTCTGTGGCATCCTCTGATGAAGGTTCTATCTTTTCGATTGCATCGCTGGCGTCCTCGGCGACGGATCTCTCGAAGGCGAGTGGGTACTCCGCAACACAGATAGCGACTGCGACTCGAGAGGTACTGCTCATATTACGAGACGACGAGGTATTGCAGCCACTATATAAAACAGCCATTGAAGGCGATATCGGTCCTGATCGATTTGTGAACAACTTTCGGCGACTCCTCAAATTATATGCAGAAGACCTGAAGGAAGAGGCTCGTGATCGAATCGAATTCCTAGCTGCTCGACTTGTTGCGGTCAAGGCGAGACACCTCGCGGAGTCCATTTTGGAGAAGTTTTGGAACAGCGCAGTGGCGCCAACATTAGCACCACTTGATTCGAAGTCGAAGGCAATTTTTGCAAAAGAAGATAGCTCTGATGAAGAAGGCGAGGATGAAGTGGAAGACGACGGTATATTTCAAGATCTCGTCATCGCCCAAGATTTCCTTGTTGAAAGTAATGCTTTCGACGATCTTCGATCCCGATTTCGGGAATTCATACACTCGCCAAAAGCATCCACAAAGAAACCAACGGCCAAGGGTAAAGAGCGAGCTTTGGATGAAGAAGACGATAGCTATTCAGGGAAGACAACTAGAGAAAGTTTTGTTGCTGCATTCTCCGGCTTTCTGGGTCAAGACGAGCCGGGAGATCTCGCCGTTGCGCGGTTCACCAAAGCTTTTGCACATGACCCCGAGCTGCACGAACTTCATAAGGCTGCATTGGCCGAGCTTGAGAAGGAGCTTCTTGTCACCAAATACTCCCGTATCCTGGTATTGTACTTCAAAGACCTCAGTGAGGAAGCGGAGCGTGAGACGGATCGAGCAATTATCCAGGAGTTCCGGAAACGATCGAACATCAAGATCATTGTCAACGCTACTTTTCACAATATTATTTTAGATATTGTCGAGGTGAATGAGCGAGCACTGTTACAAAGAGATTCCAGCTCCTTGACAAGTCGGCTCGCCGAACAGCAACAGCGAGTTCACAATCACACCGAGCTACGCAACAGTCCCGATAGCGAGCATGTAGGTAGTGTAGGAGGAAGCCAAAAAGATCAAAGTAAACATCAGGAAGTGGTGCAGCGTCTGGACTACAATTTCCTGCAACGGGGCGTTGCGTTCCGTAAGATGGCACTGAAGATCAGATTATTATCTTTACCGACCTCGCTTCGCGAGATTGTTGAGACAGTGCCCAAGAGCACCATCAAACTATCCTCGGTGCACAATACGTCCGTTCTCAACAAACTGAAGGGATTTGCAGAAGATCATATAGTACTCGAGTGGGACTGGTGGCCAGTGGGTCCTCGAGTGCCCAACCCGCGGCCTGGGACGCGGCGTCTGGAATGGGAAGTAAGTATCTGCTATCGTTACAACACGGTTATAAATTTGCTGAAATTGTGCAGTATTGTGGACAGCCTCTATACCGCATCGTATCTGAAGCACACGCAAATGTTCTTCAGGAAGCTCTAGACAAAATGCCTGATCATCCACCACATTGTCACTGTTGCCATTGCAATCCAGAGGCGCAGGAAAGCGCCCATCCTCTTTTGCATAGCGCAATCGCGGACCCCCTCCCAAACGAATTGCAGCAGATCGAAGCATCTAGGGCGCGTGGGACTGCGCATGCCAAAACCAAGAAGCAGAACGTGAAGCTATTTTCGCCTGCAGACTGGAAGATGCCTTGGAATTCGTTGTCATTTACAATGCCTGGGAATTTTCACGTCATCTCGTCATTGCGCAAGAAATCACCGGGCAATTCGTCCGCTAGATCAAAGCCATCGAAAGCTAGTGCGCGATACACTCCTGGAAGCTCATCGACCGCAACACCAAGCGCTGGGAGTCGAAAGCAAAACGCCGCTTTTGTGCGTAGCGGGTCGAACAATAATATCCCACCGCAAATCCAAGGCCAAACACCAAACAACCCTCCAGATCCCGTCCCAGTAACATCCACCTGGATACTCTTTGGTATCCAGGGTAGCCGCTGGTCCCTAGAGCTAGAACAAATCACTGTTTCTGGCCTCATCAACGACCCCACGTTTTTCCGAGAGCTTAAAGCCCGATATAAGAAGCACCGCGGCTGGCTTAGAATGCTTCTGTCGCCATTCCGCTTCCGGTCTTGTAGATTTGTTAAAGTCAGCCCAACCTTCCTTTTATTGCTCCTCTGTATACCCACTCAGGTTAGTTCTAATACAGGATCACAGTTCGAGAAATTTGACGCCAACCGTGTCATCTCCCAAGGCGATGATCTTCCCGACTACCACGGCTTCAAGCACGATTACGACTACGCGCCCCGCCCGGGCAAAAACCCACTCATAAACCCCAAAACTTTCGCTATATGCCTGAAGGCGTGTGACCCTCAATTCTGCATCTTCTCATGGCTCAGCCCATGGCACGATTGCATCAGGCTACCCCACCGGTCTGACAGAGTCCGTTGCATACCAAAGAAGAGAAGCAGATTCGATGTGGACTCTGATGATGTGGGAATCTTCGCATGGGGCCTTGAGGCTGATTATGCCTTGTCTTTTGCGTTCCTCGCGGTGTATCATATAGTGCCAGTGCTTGCGGCGCTAGGCTTCTGGGCATATTGGCTTGCGACGCATCCTGGGGACTGGCAAAATTCGTCGGTCCCGATATTGACTGTGTTGGCACTGTTTGCGGCATTCTGGGGGCCTTTTGGGAGGCAGTTTCGAGCGTCTTGAGCGCGTGATACTGCAATAGCAGCTGCAACGACATGCTAATAATATGGTTTCTGGGTGTCATCATGCCGGAGTAGAAGCAAATGCCACTGAATGTGGATTATTCTATCAGAAATATTAGAAGTCCTTTTCCATGACACTGTCAAACCACGCTGTTCTACTCAAGTCGTGTGCTACCCACTACCAAAACCAGACTTGATACCACGACCCTATATGTCCCTCCCCTGCCATCCTCGCAGCGCAATCTCATCCTGACACCCACCGCGTCCACGCAACACATAATCTAGCTGGACCTCTAGCCACGTACACACAAGCCGTATTACTACAAGCATTACTCTTCCTTCCCTGTCCCCGTCTTCCCACACACCTCTATACTACACAGCTTTTCGGTGAACATGTACGGAGGAAGTGCAAGACTAAAAGCGAAGACGAAAACACACTCGCAGCCAAGATTAAACTCCTCCCCTTAACATAGATAAAGGTAATTAAACTTCTCACTCACCATTCCGCTCGTCAGTAAGACGCGTCTTCGCCTGTTGTTCGATACGAGAACAGAAGATAGATGGATGCACGTGAGTGTGTGTATGGGATGGATGCAGTCGCGATGCTATGTATAAGCAAGAATAGTAGGAAATAAGTGCACCAACTGAACGGGCTTTGAGAATTTCGCTAAGATATCTGGAGTTAAACAGCACATATGAGGTTCACGAAGACAGGAGAGAGACAAGGTGTATGATTTCTTTCGTGAGTAGTGTACATAATCGAAGCTTGATGTGATCGTATTTTTTTTTTGGAAGAAAGAGAAGAAGAAAGGCTCGGTTGGAAACGGAGGCTGCGTGCCTCGAACCGTGTGATAAAGTGTACCCATGAACTCAAACAAGAACAAAGGAAGTTGGGAGAGAATGTTAACAGAGTCCACGGGTTCGGAAACCACCGAGGTACAGAAGGGGGAAACCATTTTTCTGTACTGAAAATTCCTACGTTTGTGGTCATGCCGTGTATTGTGTGATTCAGTGGACAGAATGTCCCCCCGTAGTCAACGCAGACGTAAAGAAGAGAAGCCCAGGCGTGGGGACCGAGACTCTTCAAGGCAAGGCCTGATACGCCGCGCATGATTGAAAGTGTGTGCTTTCAATTCTCAGTGGCGAGGACTGTGTTGGAAATCAACCTTCCTCTGCTCAGTCTCGTACTTCCATTGATTCCAATAATCCACGGGTTGGCTTCCTACGAAGAAAATGACGCATTTGTCCAGAGCGCTCTGGTCAATGTCATTACAGCCCCATTCATCGAGCTCCTCGGCTTCGGCCTCAAGATTATAGCATATACACTGCTCGATTGCTTCTTCTTCGTGTAAGGAACGTGTCCCGATATTGTAGATCACTGTCGGCGTGAGGTAGCAGATCCATGTATAGGGAAAAGCGCGTAGCGGACGGCAGCAGCCAAAACGACAGTACGCATTGGTCCAGTCCATTTCGACATATTGCACGGATAGGTTCGATGATGACCGTTGCAACTTTAGCAGTTCGCAGGATGTCGCAATTCCGTCCCCATACATTTCTGCGATCATTTTGTTGTGCGTCACCTCGAAGCGCTGTGTCTGTGTCATGGTGTCGTAATCGTGGTGGTCTGCATTCCTCCAGCCATACGCATCGTAACTCATGCTTTCGTTCTCGTTATCTAAGGTCTTCGCGCTGTCTACGGCGATGCTCAGATTGCGCACATAGCTTAAGCCTCGTCTAGAGAATAGAGACCTGCTGTTGAGCTTGTTCTCACAACAAACAAAGGGAGAATATAGCTGCCATCGAAGTGGAAGAACAAACAGGTTCTTGGATAGATAGACTTTCTCTGCTTCGGCGTGAACCGTCTTGCACGTTCGTAAGATGGCAAGGTACGGTTCACGAAAATATTTCTTGTCCTCGAAACGGACGGTATTTTGTGCCTCGAGGTAACCTGTATCCTTGTAGTAGACCTTGCCAACGACCAGAAGCTCGTCATAGACGAGGCACCGCAGTTCCGCGGGCAAGTCAAAGAAACGGAAAGGGGCGGCGTTGTCTTGCATATCCTCAACATCCGTTGACTTGAGGCGACCTTGCGAGACGCTGGCTATCTGGTCCGCAATTGCTTGCGTCTCGTCGGTTTTGACACGCTGCTCCTGCTCGGCGGGCCTTTGTTCCGGACCAGACACCTTGGTTGCGGAAGACCCCATGTCGAGGCTGCACGGTGGCCTGCAGGCTTGCGGTTTGTGTTGTTGAAGAGTAGGTACGGCGTGAGCTGGGTTCGAGTCGCGCCGCACACACTAGAAACGTAGGGAATGACGAATCAATTGCTGTTCTAGTCAGCTCGAGGAAGTCAACTTCAAGGCTCGCACTCACAGCCGTGGCGCGCGATGCCGCTGGAACTAGCAAGACGCCTTTCCAAGCTCTCCGCGACGTCACGAGCTCTCCTTTCGACTCGCGTCCTGCAGCAGCATAAGTAAACTAACCCTACAATCACGCTGTAAACCTCTCACCCGTTAAACACTTACTAAATCACTGTATTTCCGCGGCGCTTTTCCCACGCTCGTAGTGTGGTGTGTACAAGTATGGCGCGACAGTGGCGTGGTGGTTCTAAGTGAGAGACGGAAAGTGCGAACCTCACGAGCTGTTGTTTTGATATCTGGAGAGTCCTGCAGCAGCGTGAGTAATCCAACCCTACGACCAGCCTTCTGATCTCTCATCTAGTTGAACGCTCGCCGTGGAGCTGTCTTCTGCAGCGCTGGGAGAACGTTCGTGGTGTTAAGGTCTTAAAGTTTAACGCGACTGCGGCGAGGTGAATCTATAATTGAGAGACGCAAAACGGAAACCGCGACCCAAGCTTTCCACCTGCCTCGCAAACAACGTGGACACATCACTCAACCCACCATCTCACACTATAAGTCAGAAAATTCTCATTCCCATTTAGAATAGAAGTAGCAGTATGGTATAACACCCTCATGAACAACGTCCCTCCCCTCCCCTTCCCCAGGCCATTTCCCTCGCCCCACCCCTTCAATACAGGCTCGCACCTCAAAAAAAAAAAAAAAAAGGGTCAACATGAGAATGAAACGCCCACGCCCGAACCAAGCGAATGGGGGAAAGCGCGCCCGTAGACACGAAAACACAGCTGTATAGAAGAGTTCGAACCGAACCGAAAAACGCACGCAATATCGACCGACGCCTATGATGTAGCATGGCGCACAATCCAGTGTAGTACTAAGTAGTGTATGATATGAGACGATCCCTCGCTCGCCGTACCATGGTAAAGCAAACGTTAAAGCAAAGCAGAGCAAAGGACATAGACCGAGCGCAAGCACAAGCAGCCAATCCCTGCGCCAGAATTAAGACTTTCCCAATACCAAATCGTGTAGATGTCGCCACCGGCCCATGCTCCGTAGGTAGGAAAGTTGAATGAGAGAAGTTGGAAAAAGACGGGTATATGAACGTTTTTGTTGGGGGTGGACAGGGAGCCGGCCGCAATACTCCGGTGGCTAGTTTCGCGGGAAGGGTTTAGCCATGGTTATGACTGTCCTTGAGAGTCCGCGAAATAAACCGGAAATGACTCGGCTCCTGTACAGAAAGTGGTATAGCTCGAGCAAGCTGTGGATACTGTTGCCAATGAACATCAAGGGGTGCTGCGAGACAACTAGTTAGCCTCAGCTTCCAATCCGTCCCCGAAACCAAAGTCAGTGCCTAACGAGAAACTAGTAGAATCATCGCCAACATGCAGGAACGAATCGAAGTCGAAGTTCTCCAGAGCACCCGGGTCATCGAATCCAAGACCGAGGTTGTCGAAGGAAGGCTGGCAAAGTGATTAGCAGGGAACATTAAGTGCACGTTGAGAGAACTTACATCTTCTGACAGCTGGCCAAAGGCTCCGGCGCCATTGTTGTCCATGGGCGGCGGTTGTTGCTGGACAGGTTGCTGAGGCTGAGCGGCCTGTTGAGGCTGCTGCTGTCCGTTCGGGCCACCAAACGATGATTTGGGATGTACCGGTGTGATCGGAGCGGTCGGAGTCGCCGGTTCTTCGCCACCGGAAGCTGCTGGAGTCGCACCTGTTGCCCCTTTCTTATTTGCGGGCTTCTAACATCAATATCAACGATGCTCAGAGGGGGAGATTTATCGTGCAACTTTACCTTATTGTCCTTGGTGTTCTTCTTCTTAGGGTTTGCTTTGTTGGTTTGCGACGGCGTTGGAGGTGCAGCAGGCTGAGAAGGTGATGGCTCCGTACGTGGCTGATCACCAGTGGGTGCTGGAGGAGGTGGCATCTGCTGGCGATTCTGCTGAGGGTTGGCGCCCATTGGACCCATTTGCTGCTGTCCGGGCATCATTCCGGGTTGACCTTGTGGTCCGCGCCAACCTGCACCATTTTGCATGGCAGCCATTTGATTCCTTTGCATCATCTGCATTTGCTCTGGTGTTACCTGCTGTCCGTTGACGAATTGAGGATGCGAACTCGGGGGCCTCATCATCTGTGGGTTCATTCCATTTGGATAGTTGAATTGCGGAGGCATGCCCGGAGGCATTTGATTAGGATCAAATGCTACACCAGGCGCAGGGGAACCACGCTGTTGCATTGCACCCTCAGGCATTGGCGACCCGGGAAGACCTTGCGGGCCCATACGTGGGGTAGCACCCTTCTTCATTTGATCACTGGGATTAGGCGAGGGCCCGGCTCTGCTACCCTGGGGGGACATCGAAGGAGGGAAGCCGGCGCCAACAGGACCCTGTGCGTGGGGGCCGGACATGCTGTCCTGCTCCTGTCGGGCCATTAGTAACCGCTTCTTGTTCTGCTGCTCGAGCAACATCAGCTGCATTTGGTAGTCCTGCAGCGCATGGTTTCCTTGAGGCGGCGCGGCGCCAGCAGGGATTCCTGCCGGTCGTGGTTGGTTGCCAACAAAGATCTCTCCTTCACCGGGTAGGCCGGACTGGTTCATCGGAGAGCCTTGTGCAACATTGTTCATCCCCTGATGGTTATTGAGTGCCGTTCTCTGTTGGTGGGCCAGGCTTTGGGCATATACCTCAATTTGTTTTTGTTGCGCATTCGGCCCCTGCTGGGCGAATTCACCAAACTGGTTCCCGGGCATGTTACCCGCATTCATTGCACCTGCAAAAGGCATATGGTTAGCCTGGGGACCAGAATAGTCCGGGGGCGCTCGTGGCAAGCTTTGGCGGTGCGCCAGCGCCATTCGAGGGCTAATGGAATGGATACCTTCAACACGTTGCCGCTTATTCGGAGATCCTCCGTTTTCGTTGGAACCGGGCGACTGAGGCCGTTGCCCGTTCATTTCCATCTGGGAGCCGTCTCTTTGCATTTGCGCAGACATCATGGCCTGATTCTTCATTTGGTTCATGTTTGCCATGGGGTTGCCGTTACTAGATAGCCCAGAATGTGAGTAAAGACCCGATCTTGCCCAAGTGGGGATGTACATACGGACGGTTGTTCATGGCTGCGGCGCGTTTGAGGTCATTTGTAGGAACGCCATTCGGCATTGCGCGTAGCATGTTTGTGTACTGGGCTCCATTCATGCCGCCCTGCATCAGCATACGCTGGTTCCTCTGCTCAGTTTGGGCTTGCATGACGTTCTGCGATTGTCAGTTCCAAAGAGACCTCACGAGAATGAGGCGCACTTACACGTGCATGCGCGATGTACTGGCTTCCCTTGTTCTGGCGACCGCGGGCAGCACTGAATATATCCCAGAACTGGACCCACCAGTCGAGCAGAAACGAGGTCTCAGTAGCCTGATTGCCGGGCATGTTTGGGAGGGGAAGATCTCCCGGATCGACTCCGTTCACATTCCTTCCGCTTGGACTTGGCTTGTTCTTCAAGTTCATGTTCAAGTCGGCATCGAGCATCGCCTTCGCTAGTTTGTGATTGTCGGTCCGCATGAAGTAGTCGTAGATGTAGGTGTTCAGCAGATCGCGTGGATCCATGCCATTCCCCGGCTGTCGCTGGCCATTGCCCATGATGGGTGTGCCGTCGAGGGGGCCTCCGCCCGCGTTCATGTTGGCCATCTGGGCGGCCATCTGAGGGTTCTGCATCGCGGAAGTGGTGAGCGGCGACTGCAGCAGGCGCCGGCGATGTGTATATGCCGATGAGATGCGCGCGATAGCGGTTGGGCTTGAAGTATGTCGCGGTTATCGCACTTCAGCGCTATAGCTGGACGTGAGTTACAGCTGCATGGGCCACAAGCCGTGGCGACCGGTGTTCGGGACGTGGGTGAAGCGCCGCCTTTACTGTCTCATGCGGCGCTGGCGGAGTGGCGCGGCACGATTGCGATGCGATTGCGCGAATGGGTTGGGGGTGGACGCGGCGGTGATATGGTATGGATGGGAGCGCAGCAGGGTCTAGCGATGGCGTGGTGAGCGAGAAGCCTTCTGCAGTAGGCAGGCAGGCAGGCAGGGCGCGGCACGGTATCCAAATCAGCCTTCGGGCGCTGCCGATGTGAGAAGGACGCGCAAACGCTGCTGTTAATTTCGCAGGCGTGCGGTGCAGTGTGCAGGCCGCCGAGATGGGGCGCGATGGGCGAGGGTAGGAAGTCAGCACAGCGAGAGAGTAGCGGGCAACTGCGACCTCCACGAGGGGGGCGGCCAAGGATGGGAAGAAGCGCCAAGGGAGCAACACGTGATCGAACCTATTCTTGGGTCCCAGCCTCTTCGTGCCTTGCCACGCGAGAGCACGTCAATGGCGAGGTGCAATTTGCGACTTTGCTGCCTGCGACTTCTTGCACGCCGGCTGCCCGCACATATCGCAGCGGGTTGAGATGAAGACGGTTTGCTTCGTTGTCATCTGACTGGGGCATGATGTGCGCGTGGAGAGCTGTAGCGCGCGGAGGCCCACAACGCCGACTGAACCCGCCCTACTTTTTTGCACAACGGACAGCACAGCGCATCGTCATTCCTGCGCATGTGCAGATTCACTTCAAAAAGCTCTATCTATATGTATGTGCATTGGTGTATAGTCGAACAGTGCCATGTCGTCCGCTTCGGGCCCCACAATGTGCACATCGCCCAAGTGCAATTACTGCGCGTTCTACAATTGCATGCATGATAAGACACAGCCAAGTGCAATTCTCTACCAAAGTACGCCAAATCCGTAAATGCATCTAACACAATGGGTATACGCCGCCTCTCGGCCGTCGCAAAATGGTACGTCCTCATTCGTCGTCTGGCGGCATCTCATCATCGATGTAGCGGATGAGCGATATCCGCATTTCGGTCGTGTCGTTGCCGCGTAGTACGTCGCTGGTGAAATGCGCTTCGACTTGCATGTGCACCTAAGCGCGGGTCAGTCTCCACGCTGCCTGCCTTGCTGGATGGACAAACGAACCATTTCCAGTGCGCCCCTGAGCACGCCTACAAGTATGTTCGAGAACCACAGCTCATCCTGTGCTCGGCCGTCGTCGGGTAGTTCTACGAAGTCTGCCAGCGGGTTCTCCTCGAAGATGAGTGAGAACTGCTTGTTATCGCTCGACCAGTTCGTGATCGTTGGTGTGATGTTGAGGAAGATCTTGAAGCCGACCTGGTCCGATTGATCAGCCTCGCTCAACCCACGCGGCAGTGCGGGGCTACCTTTGATATCATCTCGGCCACTTCGCGGAAGTTGGAACAGGCAGGTGCGCTCGACTTGGCGAGGAAATCCTCAATCAGGCGAAGCCCGATGTTGTAGCCCATGCGATCCAGCTGCTTGTTCACCTCGGGGTAGTTGAACTCGTAATCTTTGCATAGCTGAGCGACTATCGTGCCATAGGTAAGCGTGACGAGCTCGGCGCTGACCTTGTCGACTCGCGTCCTAGAAGGTCAGATTGTATCCTTCACGTAGAGGTCGAAACTTACTTCCAGACTCTGGTAACAATTAGCGCAAGCCATGGGTATACGCTGGGCAATCTGGAGCTCACTCCTCGCCCAAGCGGCCGGCTTTTGAAGAAGCCATCTTGCAGAACTCAGCTCCTCGGTATGACCTCCAGTCAACGGATCTGTGAATGTAGGGTTCCGAGTACGGACAGTGCGGGGTTGGTATGGAGTCGTCGATATAAGGTTAAGTTGGTTGAGCAGGCGCGCTGAAAGCACACATGTAGATCCCCTTACTAAGCAACAGCCTCGCGCTAGCACGCGGCGCCATGTCCAAAAGTTTACAACCCCAGCGACTGCCTGCGATATTGCGCCCGGAGATTTTCCCACACTCCACCGCACAACCGCATACCGACCACTTACCCACCGCATACCCACCGCATACCCCGGGTTCTACAATGTCGGCCGAAAAGCGCCCCGCCGCCGACTCCTTCGGTTCTACCCAGCTCGTCAAACGCGCAAAGTCGGATGCCAATATAAATGGAAGCTCTGCGGTGACCGTGGCCAATGGCCCGGCGCAGAATGGCGCGCTCATACAGGCGGTATGTTAGGTCTCGACGGCTCCAGAAAAGCATATTTGCTAAAGATGGCGCGACTGACAGGCATGATAGGTCCCACGAGGCGGCGTGCTGCAGTCGCCTGTTATGGAGTTGACTGGGCACAGCGGGGAGGTATTTGCAGCTCGATTCGATCCTACCGGCCAGATTATTGCTTCCGGATCCATGGACCGGTCAATATGTGAGTAGCCATGCCACAATGTAGCTATCTATACAACCTAACAGCACGCAGTACTCTGGCGCAGCTCCGGTGAATGTGAAAATTACGGTATCCTCACTGGCCACAAACAAGCAGTTCTGGATCTGCATTGGTCGCGCGATTCAAAAGTCCTCTTCTCTGCATCTGCAGATATGCACCTGGCGAGCTGGGACGTGGAAACTGGTGAGAGGATACGGAGACATCCAGGCCACGAAGAGGTTATCAATTGCATGGACGTGAGCAAACGCGGCGAGGAGATGCTCGTCAGCGGCTCTGATGACGGCTACATTGGTGTAAGTCGGCCTGCGCAGTGGTTTTGGTGTCGCTAATTGAGGTACAGCTCTGGGACTCAAGAACGAAGGACGCCGTCAGCTTCATACCAACCGAATTTCCAATCACAGCGATAGCTTTGTCCGAGGCTGGCAATGGATTATTTACTGGTGGCATCGACAACGACATCAAAGTCTGGGATCTCAGGAAGAAGGCAGTGACATATTCACTTCTAGGCCATACCGATACAGTCACATCGCTGCAGCTGTCGCCGGATAACACCCTTCTTCTCTCTAACGCGCACGACTCAACGGTACGCACATGGGATGTGCGACCATTTGCGCCAGCCGATCGAGGAGTGAAAACGTACGATGGAGCTCCTACAGGCCAAGAACGCAACCTGCTCAAGGCAAGCTGGGATGCAGATGGTAAGAGGATTGCAGCAGGCAGCGGAGACCAGAGCGTAGCAATATGGGACGCAGGGACCGGAAAACTTCTGCACAAACTGCCCGGCCACAAGGGTGCGGTGAACGATGTCCGTTTCCATCCGCAAGACGAACCTCTCTGTAAGTCAGCAATTTTTCTTGTTTTCTGTCGCGTGATCTTCCTTCAAGATTCCGCTCCGCATGCCGGAGCCTTTCAGTTTCAACGCTCGGAGAGGGATGGTTCGACGAGCGGTGAGCGCGATGACAAGCTTCCAAGCTCCCAAGTTGACATCGTGGCACGCATTTGAGGCGGCTTGAGCGTACAACGTGGGACCATCTTCCCTGCGCATCCGTTTCAATCGCACAGCAACCACAGACAAGTCGACCGAGGCTAACCTGACGATCTCCAGTGGTCTCCGCATCCTCAGACCGCACGCTCCTTGTGGGGGAGTTGGCGAAGTGAGAAGTTCACGGCAAAGTCTCTTGGCTGTGGCTCTCGCGACCTACCAAGATGACGCAAAGCGTGGCAAGAAACAAAAGGGCTTAAACGACCCTTCGTACGATGGCCGGGGCCCTGCCGTGTCACAGGGGCGCTGCTTACACACTGGATACGCCGGTGCGACATGCAGAGTTGGGGACCAGGGGCCCTGAGGGAGCGAAACGGTGGCGACGACGCGTACAGAACGCGCGCGTTTGTAAATTAGCTGCAGTGCAACGACACGCTCTTCGCGTTGTGGGAGGTTGTCAACAAAGAGATTTGATAAACACAGATTGGGCCTTCGTGCCCCTTTTGAAGAACGCATGCAACCGCATCGTTCGTGTGGTCTGTTAGGAAGAGCGCGCTTCGATGCAGGTTGATTGGTGTTGAGCGATCGCATTGTTTCGGAAATTTCGACGTCCGCCCAATGACGAGTCGCCCTCCAGCCGCATCTCCAACGCGCTGACAACGCAACCCTTTGCGTTCGAATTCACGACGAACCATGCTCGAAGCAGATGGCATTCGCCGCTCGAACTACCGCACGGCCCGTGTTCTCGCGGGCACTCGCAGCATCGTCGCGTTTCAGCATGGGCGAGGCCGCTGTTTGACACGCGAGCTGTTGCAGGCCGTGGCCCGCGCGTGCAATGCTTCAACCCCAGAGCTCACAATCACCAGCAGGCGTCCTTGCAGCAGGCCCTCGTGCGACTTGCGGCTGCGCTCCGTCCCCATGTTCCCTTCTCCCCCTCCTTAAGCCCTGTGTTTCCTTATCCTTTGGTTCCTGTGCGTGAGCTGTGCTGTTGACCACCAGTTTCGCGGCGAACCGTCTGTTGTGCTTTCGTTGGCTCAAGAGCAAGGCCCGAGTGCAGTAGGTTCGCTGTTGGCTGTTGGTTCTTCGACGTGTTTTTCTGTGATTGAGAATAGCTTGTGGGACTTCAGCCAACGGTTCACGCGGGAGATATGTATGCCGCTTTCTGACAGACGGACGGGCTCCAGTCATTCTTATCTTCTATTCGTCTTCCTTCCTTCGTACCGTTTACCCACTGCCGCAAGGTCGGTACTTCTATACATTCACTCGCCATCTCCCAGAGCAAGGAGCTGGATTCTTGGGTAGCGCTGTTGCACGCTGTATACAAAGGAAAAGTAAAGAGCTAGGACATCAAACGTCTGTATACTCAGACCTCGGACGGAACACCGGCGCCTCAACCTCAAAAGATAATTCGATTCGACACCCACCTACCGCCAAACATGCCTATGCCAACATTGTGGAAGTGGTCCCCCCGACCAGACCAAACACCAGATGGATCCCCAGCCTCGCAGAGCTCCTCCCGCTTCGGCGCCCTCCACACCAACGTGCGCTCCATGATCAACGGATCATCAATATACTCGCGCTCACCAAACCTCGGCGGAGATAGCAGTCCCAAAACACCGTTCCTGGGCTTCTTCCGCCGCGAGCACTCCCCGCCGCCACCCATCGATGTGCATGCTGCGAACGGCCCTCCCCGCGACTCAAGCGATTCACGCTCACCATTGCACCCGCAGCACACAGCGCGCTCCTACATGCGGTCCATCGCACCGTTCCAGCCTCCGCGAGAACCGGACGTCGTGTACAGAAGGGACTCCGACGTCCCAGATCGCCACCCCGCAGACGTACAGCTCGACTACACACGAAGCGTAGACCCCTCAACGGAGGTCCTCAGCGACGAAGTCCAGCAGCGTCGACGACGCCGCCACCGGCGAAGAAAGGCCCATCGTCCTCAACGCGCGTGGGTGCGACGCAGAAACGCACACTCACAGCGCGGATGCATGCCCTTTGTAAAAGGCTCGGCTGCACGAGGGAAGCTCATCTCAGCCATGATATCCGGGTTTTTTCTCGCGACCGTGCTGGCTGTTTGTACGTCTCCCCTTCCCTCTTCCCTCCCTCCTCCCCACTTTATCAAAGCATTCTTCTAACGTGTGTGCCACAGACCTCGCCCTCGCCCTCACCCGGCACTCCCTCGGCCAAGAAGTCCACGTCCTCTTCATAATGATCGTGCTCGGCACAACCATTTTCTTCTGCCACAGCCTCATCCGGCTATGCATGTTAATCTTGCATCCTCCTACTGACGACCCCGAGCGCCCGTCTGTGCCGAATATGACGGGGCCAGAGGGGTTTAATCCCGTGCGGCCGATACGCGTGCACCTTGCGCGCGACGAGGAGCTTGCAGATGCGTATTCGTCTGACGAGGAGGAGGAAGAAGGGGACGTAGGACGGGAGGGAAGGAGTAGGGGTGTAGGAGGAGGAGATGCCGAGAAAGACATCAAACTGCCCCCACCCCCACCCGCCTACGGTCTGTGGCGCTCCTCCGTGCGCGTGGATCCTAACCTTTTGCACTGGCAGCGCGTGGACGAGGCTGCTGCTCCACACCCTAGTTCGGGCCACACATCGCGGCAGTCGTCGCAGCCCGCGAGCCGAAACGGGAGTGTATCCGCCCCAGAGCCCTCAGCACCGCGCCCGCCATCCTACGTGAGTGACGACGGTGTGAGTTACGCGGTTGAGGCGGCGCCGAGGAGCGTCGCGCCTAGTCATACGGGGGTTAGTGATATTCATCCTGCGTGGAGGCCGGGGTATGCGGTTAGTGAGGTTGGGTCGGTGTGGCCTCGGTCGCAACATGTATGAGGTCTCGGTATGTGTCTAAAGACCTAGGCGAAGTAGAGCTGTGTTGTGTTGCGTTTGGTTGCATTGCGTGCCTTGGCATTTGGGTTTCTTGTAATAGTCATATTGTGTTTGGCATCGTTTCGTTTGGAAGGAGTTCACTGGTTGTGATAGCGTAGCATTGGCGTTTGATGTAGGATAGTTGGAGGTGTGGTCAGGTGTGGTGGGAAGAAGAGCGCAGTGAGTGTGTATGAGGCCTCAATTGCATTCCGCCCTATTCTTGTATATGATTGAGCCTGTGGTCGTGTTCTTGAAATCTACCATGAACGAGATTGCTAGATCTGAGAAAGTGTGGAAAGTGGGAGCGAGGTATGAGATCTGTCAGACTTGATGAGATCGTTGGCTCCGGTAGAGGCTCATTTGCTTTCACCTCTCGCCTACTTTCGCCGTTTGTACTGCTCTGATGTCTCGGTCTCGGGCTGTGTCTTTCCAGCCGCCGAGTACCTACTACATGAGGCTGAGGATTGACAGTATTTCGGAAGCTCCGTCTGTGCCAAGATGCGAACAGTACAAACAGGAAGCAGCGTTACTTCTGTTCGTCAAACTACAAAATTCCCCGAGATTGGACGGCGTGGCCGACATGTGCTCGATGCGCTTCGGGCTGCTGATTGGTTGCTCGGCAGATCATGATCGCCTGCCAAGAGGATACTGAACGCCCACTCCGTCTCCAAGCCTCGACCCTCCCAGTGCTTCATTCGACTACACATTCAGGCCCTCCCTCATCTCTAGCAACAAGTATATGCGCTACTAGAAAATCTCTGCTTCACTGCTCGACGGTCTTTCTGGGCAAGTCTTGACTCCTGCGCAATCGGGAACGATCCACCTTTGCCAAGCTGTCTACAACGGACGAAACGAATGAACTTTGGAACAACGTGGGGGATAATTCTTACGGACTACGGCGGCTCTTTTGCTCGCCTCAAGTCATCGTCCAGCTCGTTGCTTGTTATGGCAGTTCCTTATTAGCTTAGGCAGCCAATGATGGGGGCGAGCAACTTTGACCAAGAGATGTCCACCTGCCTGAATGCGTTATGAAACACGCGAACAGCCTCTTGAGCGATATAGCTGCCACAAACGACTTGACCTGTGGTCGGTAGTCTTGCGGCTAATGGGGACTCCACTACATGCGATACCAATCAGGTTTGCAGCTGATAATACATACCATCATGTACTATCAGCTGATACGGACTATCAACATCATGTCCAAGGCCAAGAACAATATGGTTCATAAATACTGACCTCTCGTCTCGCAGCATCTCTTCTTCTCGACATCATTCCAGCACTGTTTGATCTTTTGCGGGCAGTCCATTCATTCATTCACAATTGTCTCTCATTTGCTTACATTCACTTGTTACGGACACGCATACTACTCACAAAGATGCATTCATTCAAAACGGTTCTTGCTCTTGGAGCAGTGCTGCCCGCAGCACTTGCCCAGGTCAGCTCAAAGATCAACCGCATCCAGAGTGAGCACACCATCTCAGGCTCATGGATTGCCCGTGTCGAGGAGAACGAACTTCTCGACGCCGTTCTCTCTACTGTCCTAGAAGCCGCGGGCATTGAATCAAAGGCTACATACTCCGTCGGAGGCGTCAAAGGTTTCGCTTTCGACGGCGACGACGCCGTCCTGGATATCCTCGAGTCCCTCGGCGCTATCAAGTCCGTCGAGCCTGACACCAAGATGTGGGCTTCAGTCCCAGTCAGCTACTTGAACCGGGCTGCGGAAGTGGGCCCATTCGCAAACGGCTCTCTCGTCACGCAGAACGGATCCACCTGGGGCCTTGGTCGCATCTCCCACAAGGAATCTGGAATCGAAGACTACGTTTACGACAGCTCTGCTGGCGAAGACACCTACATCTATGTCATCGACACCGGAATCTACACCGAGCACTCCGAATTCGGCGGCCGTGCCACCCTCGGAAAGAGCTTCATCGCCGACTCCGACGGCGAAGACGACCAAGGCCACGGCACGCACTGCTCCGGTACAGCAGCCGGCGAAACCTACGGCGTCGCCAAGAAAGCCAACCTCGTCGCTGTCAAGGTCCTCGGCGCAGACGGCTCCGGCAGCAACTCGGGTGTCCTCCAAGGCATCGAATGGGCTGTCAACGACGCCACCGAAAAGGGGCACATCAACCGCACCGTCCTCTCCATGTCCCTAGGCGGCCCCTTCTCGCAGACCACAAACGACGCCATCACATCTGCCGTCGAAGCCGGCGCTTTCGTCGCCGTCGCAGCAGGCAATGAAGCGGAGGACGCATCCAACTCTTCCCCTGCCTCCGCCCCTCAAGCGTGCACCGTCGGCGCCGTCAACAAGTCCGATGCTAAATCAGACTTCTCCAACTTCGGAGAGGTGCTCGATGTGTTCGCCCCGGGAGAGGAGATCACCAGCAGCTGGATTGGCGGGTCTACCGCGACGAAGACTATTGATGGGACGTCCATGGCGTGCCCGCATATTGCTGGGCTTGCTGCTTATCTTATTGCGTTGGAGGGGCCAAGGTCGCCGACGGAGCTTTGCGAACGCATCCAGGAGCTTGCTACTAAGGATGCGATTGAGGATGCGGGCGAGGGGAGCCCGAACCTTATTGCTTACAATGGCAATGGTGCTTAGATTATGCAACAAGCATGATCTCGTATTGTGAGGTGGCTGCATGTTGTCAGTGGGGACGGAGAGGGAGATGTATACACGAAGGGCATGGGAATCTTGTATGATCAGCACTCCGTAGAGCACGGATGTGAATATGATGGCCATGTAGATACGGATATGGGAATGAATATGATGTTGAATCACTGCGACTTTTGTTCCCATCGATATCGTAGATGCTCCTGGCTTTAATCACGCTTCGTCTAATCAGACCCGCTCACCCCATGCGGAATCGGGAGAAATGTGCAGGTAATGGTACTGCTACCGTGACGTTTCATGATTCCGCAAGATCAGGATACATTTTGTTAGCTTACGAACAATCGGTATTGATAGATTTCTATTACTGTAATACCTCCTGTAATACCTCTACCAAAGCTAGTTAACAAACCATATATATACCAATTGTAAGGTTAGTAGTAGCCCTTAGCTTCGCGGAATATTTGTCATATGGCTGGCCCGATTTCTTCCAGAGGCGGTGGTCGCAAATATTCGAACAGGTCCGATATCTCGACATTGTTGGAGTTGAACTCTAGCTATGTCCCTGCGCCGCGCTTTCCTTGCTATTTCGCGCGATACCGAAATTTAATTGACGTGCCGATACCGTAGAAACTTGTTGGGGCGAAGATGTTCTCCGCTTCGATCGAAAGAATCTGGTCGTTTGCCGAGAGGACTTTCGGAGATCGCAAGAATCAACATGGCTAGGAATTTGCGACCGTGTCTCAATCGGCAATATTTGGCGAACTAGCGCTCTTCTTCTCACTAAAGTGCGTGTGAAGATCGTGGCGTTCCACACAGGCTCTCTTGGTTGTTACAGGTAGACCCACGAGAGGTCTTCTCTGATCGTTTCGAGGCTGTAGTTTTTATTGTGCGCCACCTTCTCCGCTGCCAGTACAAGTAATGCTGCCTCTTCAAGGACTATTGAAGGCATTCCGAGTTTCTCCGGCATAGTATGGACGTTCCGAGGTTGATGGATGTCGAGGCGAGATATAGTAGCGTGGAGGTGAAGGTAGGCTATCCCGCCGTACTCGGCTTTGCAGTAAACGTGAAGTGCGAGATACAAGGGTTGGCCTGCAAGTTTGGTCTAGCCACCTAATCTGACTGTACCATACCGCCATCGCGTGGCTGGCTTCCTCTTCATCTTTTCCAGGCCAACGGGAAGATGCAGTCAAGCAGATAGTTCCCCTGGGTCGGGCTTGGCATGGACCTCGACAGGCTTCGAAGTAGCCGGTAGCTCGGATGCCGGAACTCCTGTTGCATAGTAATACTTTGGTGGAGCATATTGTGCACTAGTTGCCTTCCTCCTCTTGAGCAGCAACCACATGCAGACAAGACCCAGTGCTAAAGCAGCAATGCCGCCGATGATTCCTCCTGCAATCGCACCTGTGCTGATTTCTGAAGGTGCTTGCGTAGAGCTTGAGGGCGAAGGAGAGGACGAAGCAGTTGCCGATGACGATACTGACGAGGACGAGTCCGTAGTGCTTGTAGCGGTAGTTGTCGACAACGCTGTGCTTGATCTTGAAGAACTAATGGAATTCGCTTTGAGGGCTTCGCCATCCTTCAAGATGTATCCGTCATGATTATTGCAGCACTGCCGTGCAACACTCGTGTCCCCACAGCAGTAGCTCCCGTCTTCGCAAACAGTGATGGGCACATCAGCAGCTCTCCCGTCGATATAATCCTCCGAAAATGTCACCCTGACTGTAGGCGATGTAAGTGATGTGATTACTTCCGTCTTTCGAAATAAGGTTTGCTCACTCTCAGGGTCAAGACACAGCTTCACACAAGCTGGGGATTTCCACGTCGGGTCGGTGCATGACTCTCGCCAGTAATTGCTGCTGGAGCGGCAGAGGCCATTTGCGCCGCATTCGTCCTGGTTTACGTGCTTTGCGTCATTGAGGCGGCAGCACATGCTTTGTTTACCGTCGTTTCCTGGACATTGCTTATATGCGCCCGAAAAGCCGTCGGTGCGATTGTTCGCATCATTACCACCACTAAAAAAGCAGCCAGGAACGCTAGAATCGGTGGTTGAAGTAGACATTTGCGATCAGAAAGAGTGAATAACCGAAGGAAACAAAGATTTTGTCGATACCTTTGAGACATTTATTAGAGTTGTGGTTACGTGAGACGCCAAGCAAGAGTGAGCCTGCAGGGCGGAGTTGAGGCTGAAGCCTGATCCTGCGCCTGACTTTGACCACCTGGGTAATCACGGACAATCTTGTCCGAAGTCGAGACTCATTGACATCTATCACTGGAGATTTGCGACGGCCCCATGAACAGCCCTCCACGCTTGCTACCTTTACAGACGGCGGGTCGGAAATGTTGTTATTGCTGTTTTTCCAAAATTTCCTGATATCGGGCTTTGCATGCATGCATCTTTACTTTCTCGAGAATTATTTCGATTCTGTGAGTTCGAGATGTGACGGGAAAGCTACCGACGCGCTCCCCATCCAGCCCTGTCTCTTCCATCTCGTACGGTAGATCGCGGCCAAGGCGTCTTAACGCCCCGTCTGACACCAATCACGAGTCGGAGCTGCACGGGGGCCGCGGCTTGATAAATTGGGGGCCACATACGCACCAATAGGATAGAAAGGAGTAAAATACGATGTTTTCGTCTATGGGGCTGCAGATAATTGTTGATGGTGGGATATGCTTACCGAGTCCGTCTACGGAAAATCATCTCAAGCCATGGTTCATGATACTGGTATCAATGACCATGCTCGTAGCTCAGAGGCCTGATTATACAAGTCAGTATAAGTCGTGAACAAGAATGTTGCCATGGTATCTTGTCATGATGGTTTGTTACGAGATTTTGCCACGTCTCAACTGCATCAGCCATCATTCCAATACAAGATTTTATAAGTAAAGGGCCGTCGTATTTCCTAGCCGGTCATAACACATTATTTTCCAGTTCCAACCCACTACTGGACGTAAGTGGTTTGATTTCCAATCAACAGCAAGTGTTATCGAAGTGTTTGTTTCTCTCGCGTATGTCAAACTTTGCGTGCAGCTGACCTCCACCCACAATACTATTTAAGACGATTCGTATGATATGTTACCCCAGGTCAATCCATACGGTAGACGATTGCGCTCGAACTCTTGTCCAGTATGGCGCTAACATGGTTCGATCTCCCGGGGGAGATTAGGAACTCGATTTACAAGCTTCTCTTTGAATACCCCGATCCAATTATCGTTGTTGCTACGATAACAAGTCCCGATACAGAACTAATCTACAAATATATTCCTGCGTCGACCATGCGTTCCATCTGGACCCAGCCAGAATACTTACGCCACTCTAATACTCATGATACCTTCTTGCTGAGCGCTTGTCGCTTTATTGGTGACCATAACACGAAGATGTCCCTAGCGCAGTCGCAGAACCCTTTCTGTAAGTGGCTTGAAAGTTTGTATAGATTTTCGCTGATTGATTGCTGTCGATGGCAATGGCCGTGATCAAGCCGAGGGCTGGCCCTTTGACTTCAAGGAGACTATCACGCTTGGAGCAGGCGACATTGTTCGGGTACACCTCGACGGCATTGGGCTTTTAAGGACGTCCAGACGGATCAACGCGGAAGCTGCATCAGCCCTCTATGGAAGGAACAAATTCATCGTCTCCCAAATCGCTAGAATTGACACTGAGGACATCCACTGTTCCACAAGGTACGAGTACCATGATCCCTTTGGTATGCGGATTATGTTGCATGCTGCCACATTTCTTGGAAAGATCGGTCCGTACACAAACTTCCTCAACAGCCTTGAAATCGATGTCGGAACTATATGCCCCGCAACTTGCGGGTTCCCTCAAAATATTGAAGTACAGCGCTTCGTGGACGTAACGCCACTCCTACTCCTGCTCTTAGGGCAGAAAACTCCAGTTAGAGTAACTTTCATAAACAAAAAAGGAAGCCAGATCAAGCCCAGAAATCTCCACGGCATCAATCATGGCCAGACGGACGACCCTAATTGGTGGTGCGACACCCAATACCTGAGCAATACCCTAGAGGAACTTGCGCGGGACGAGGACTTCGCCTTGGAAAAGACTGCCATTGGACAAGTCTTAATTCACAGATGGCAACAGTACGTTTGGGTCTTTTACAAGTCAACTGCTCACCACGAGAGTCCATATCCCCAGCAAAGCACCGTCGAGATACAAAGCTGTTTTATGCGTGGCGAGAACCAGCTACCCATGAGTTGCATATACTGGGGTAGAAGGTTCCTACCAAAACACAAGCACTTAGGTAAGTATCATGCTTGCAAGGACATTCTAAATGTGGGCTACCTGTGGACGGGCGAAAGTGGTGCGAAACGCCAAAAATGGTTCAGGTATACTCCAAACGGTGAAATGCCAAACCTCAGTACGCTTCCATGTCGTATCACCGAAAAGATCTTGCAAGCTATTTGCCCTGAAAACAAAATAACTGTCGAGGTAGACACCCAGAAGAGCAGCCTTGGTCCCGCTTCCGGCTTTCTATTTCTGACGTATAGCATGTTCGAAGCCCATTTCTCCCGGAGCCACGGGCACTTTATGGCTACTTTCCTCAATAATCATTCTTTCAAGCTTGTTTGCTCTTCCAATGAGTCTAGTACAACTTTTGATAGCTTTTCAGGACTTATCCGTTGGCTCGGCGCACCATCTCATACTTGGGGGAGAACATCATCGTACATGTCCCGTGGCGAAGCTATTCATCAGACACGGGGTGTAGAGATAAATCTTCGCGTCGAGCTGAAAGAAGGTGTTCCGCTAAAAGATGTCCGAATCGGACTCAGGTCCTTTATGCTTGCTACTATGGACCTAGACAACGCCGTCTTGGTGACTTTCGAAATCTCCTATACCGCCCATGGAGGGATTCAGATCATCGTACCAAAGTCTACCCTTGCACTCCGCGAAATACGCAGACGTATGCTGAACTTACTACATGCAACACCTGGTCTGAAGCATCATGAGACCTGCCCAGAGATTTGGTTTGATGCCTGCGGAAGAGGTGTCCGAATGGACGCACAGCCAGACAAAGACTACACGATGCCCGCGCCTCTTTGGAACGAATTCGGCGCAACAATCGGGCCGGCCGGCATCTGGGCATTAGATGAGCACTGTAAGCAACCAATCTCTGGCCTTGGATGTCTTACACTGACTTTGTACTTACGCCTTAGGTAATCGGCCTGAGCATGTGTGCGCTGTCTCCGGATACATTAGGGACTTCCTGGGATACCTGGAAGATACTGTCGACCCCGACTTGACTAATTGGCGCTGGGCAACTCTACCACCTAGTCAACTGGCGCAATTCTGTAAGCGTATAGGACGTCACCGAAAGGTTGGATAGGCTAACGCTATTTTAGATCTCATCAACAGTTATGCGACAATTCCGTAGAATGTGCATCTCCTACAAAGCAGTAACATAGCCATACAAATACAGTAGCAATGACCAGAAAGATTGTACTTGCGCTCAGTGCGAGTTGGCTACTTGCGTTTGGTACGTCAAGACTCAAAATAAGACTCCTTGTTGTGATAAGGACCAATTCAAGGTAAAAAGCAGGTCTACATCATCGTTGCTGTGCCAAGAACATTTATATGTTGGAATATGGTGGCACATCCAGCATTGTTGTATCCCTCAAACGTAATGCTCTAGATACGCAGTTCGGGTTTCATCAAATGTTTAGCCTGTTTATGGAAATCCTTGCGTGGTACCAACAAAAAGATAAAAGAACATTGATAACCCGAGAAATTTCGAACTTACAGGAACCAGTAAATCATTGGATTTAACGAGGTCTACCAGTACTGCTGCTTGTCCTACGGGTTGGTGACACGGGGATGTGAATCCACTATGAAATTGCTCCGACTTCTCCGTTCTATCCCCTACAAACTACTTCGTTACCTTTTCCATGGTCCCCTATATTCCAGCATCAATACCTGTGGTAACGTAGGCCAAGTCACATAGGCGTCATCGAACTCCATGACTATGCAGATATCAATGTCTTACCTACGTCAGGGTACGGTATGAGTATCATTCTGATGTTGAATGTTTCCGGTCAGTCACCTCAACATGAGATCGAAATTCATGCACGCGGGGTCTCATTCGCCTTTTCAATACATGAATTGAAATTGGAATGCATGCTGCGGACTACCGGTTGTAATTGAAATATATAGGAGATCCTAGAAGTTCATGTGGAATACTGTGCGGAAATAGAGGCTATGTAACGGCGCATTCTTGGGTAGACTCTTACGATGTCTGGTCGCATACATACTCATCGTCTGACCTTGTCAACTATGGCTTCTTGTCCGATTACAAGATTGACTGTCGAAAAGCAGCAGGAGGTATTTCAGACTTCACTAACCTGTTAAGATCATGGTCCTGCCGTGCTTTGATTGACGGTATCGCATACAAATTTAGAGGATGCACAATGAATCATGTCACTGAAAGATTAGCATGCACAGAAGGTTTGTGTGATAATCCAATCGTTGTAGTATTTGCAACTTATTGTGATCATACACACCCCTCCTCCCATTACTGGTGGTCTGATAAGCCACCAAACCGATCTGGACGCAAGACTTGAAGAACACGCATCACCCGAAAATACCCTCATTAGGCAGTTTCTCAGTGCTCTTTTTCAGGTACACCGCGTATTGCAGCATTTGAAGCACAGACATCAGCGCAGAGCAAACAATGCTATTCGCTGGTTAGCGAATGCTCTCAACGATACCATGCGTGCTCATACCTTGAGGCGCCGCGCTGCTCAGAAGGGACCCAAATGCTCGTCCTGACAGGCAGACTATGTGCGAGCACCAGGACCCCAGTCCATGGTCCTGCAAGCGTAACAGAGGCAACGACGAGGACCAAAATTTGCTGTACAGTGGTTAGGTAAGTAATCATAGTAATGGGGTGTGACAACATACCTGTATTAGCTGCAGTGCTGGCATCTCGCTCATGGCGGAGGATAAGCTCAAGGTAAAGCTTCATGCTCAAGAGTGTATGGCATAATTTAGGAGAGTGCGCATAAGGCTCCGGCACTAATGGTCCCAAGGAGGTCTCCGTCCACTCTGGAAACACTTCGCCCAAGCCATTCATCCACATGCTGGGGTAAGTCTTGAACCATGCGGTGTGTTCCATAAGCGGCATGATCTCCTTGAGAACGTGGAGAGCCTTGCGACGAATGTCTTGCAACGCGAAACGTTTCAGGACAACGGTATTGTACATACGCGCCTCGATGATGACCATCCTATGTTGGCCTTGATATTGGTTGTGAATGTGTGCGGTGGCGAAGATGAGATTGGCGATGTTGATACGCATCTCACCCAAAGATACTGGGCAGGTAAAGTGAGGTACCAGCTTGATATGCACATCAGTCTCGTTCAGTCGCTCCAACACCCGGGTTGGATGCTTGTGTATTATCAAAGCACCGGATACATAAACCCAATTGCGCAATGAGTCAAAGTCAGAGACAAATCTGTCATGATGCGTTGAGTTATGAACCAACTCCACCGTGTTGTCCTGCCAGACGATAGATTGGACGACGCGCTTGAGTGACGTTGATGTAAGCATCAAGTCAACGGCCGTACTGTTACTGTATTGCTCGCTGACATGGAACGCAACAACTCCATGAGGGCAGAAGAGCTCTCGGAAGATCCCCTTCTGGATGTGAGGTGGCAACTTGTGCAAATGTGGCTCGAAGCAACCGTCTTCCGAATCCCATTGCAAGACACCAGTGCGACCGCGATGGAACGCCCGATACGTGGCAGGGCATGAGTGATATCGAGCAGAACGATCATCCTCCGAATGGCAGAAAGGACAACCTAAGCAGTTGACCTCGGGTATAGCATTGAGCATTCGACGAGCACAAGGGCCGTGGTTATTCGTTGTCCTGTACAAGACAATACCATTGCGGCCTGACCTATCGATGCCAACCATACCAAGGAGCAGCTTGTAGTCCTTGATTTTGAGCTCGTTCGCCAAGATGCGCTGGATGGTGTCGTTCAACGTATCAATGACGATGCCGCTTGCCGTTCCTGGAGCCCCTGGAAGCACCCCATGATCGAGCTGAGTTTCTGAGGGCGGCAAATTGTGAAAACGAGAGACGTTGTATGGAACATCCGAGGCCCAGCAGGTAAGCAATAAAGGAGTGGCGTTCAGCATTTGAGCCGCATCCACGCCTGGAATCTCTTGAAAGGCAATTTCCAGATGTGATTCCACGTTACATGTCGGCGGGCAAATTGTATCAGTGTCAATGATTACTTTGTTGGGGTCAACGAGACCGATGTGTGAGCCCAAGCTCATTGTCCAGCTTGCCCAAGCCGCGAAGCATACACCCTCCTTATCATGGAATGGGCCTGTGACACTGAAGCTCTGCGGTTGCGTGGCGATCTCAAGGCGGTTGATGTGCGTCGCAATGAAGGTATTGTTGAAGTAGAACAACGGAGCAGCTTCGACATAGACCTGCCGACAGGTCCGCAACAGCGCCAAAGCCGGGATGTGGGCACGAACGAAATAGCCCTCTGTGTCGGCAAGAGTGTTTTTCTCTAGTTGTAAGTCTGAAAGATGCGTCAGCGTTGTACGTGACCAACTCGTGTATATGTGCTTACGAGGTAGGTTCGGCTCAGAAGTCCTGCGCAGAGCTCCGTTGCCTCCAAACAATGCATCATTCCCATCTCCCTTCTGGTGATACAAGTGTATATCCCGCTCGCCGTCGACCTGCGAGATGGAAACCTTGAGAGGGCCAGGGAATTCGAAGGCGAGTGCGTAGATCCGATTGCGCAGTTCGCCTGGTAAAGAGCAGAAGGACTTCTTGTTAGATTCGGTCGGCTTGGCCTTACCTTTCGTGATGTCCTTCTTCACATCATGCTCACGCTTAATGTACCAGTAGCCGGGAGCCATGCTGACAACAGGATTGCGCTCACAATCGCGGTTGGGTTGTGTGTGGCGGAAAAGGTCGAGGTCGTGGTTCGTCTTTAGAATTTTACACACACACCAAGTCCCGGGTCCCCCTCCGTCACCTAGAGCTCACCTCCGCTAGTGCTGGCCGGATGAGCAGGGGTACGCGTACGCCCCTCTCAAGTAGGTCTATTCCTAGGTCCGCCAGTCATATCCTGTAAAGCTATTCAATAGCGATGCCATTGCGGCATTGAGCTGACCGCACACAGTACCGCCTGAGGACTTGACCAGCAAGCGCGCTTGAAGACCATGCCACTAAAGACAGCATGAAGAAGCAGCACCATCTTCAATCGGCACAAGCACAGGGCTACCCCCGAGTATCAGTTCCCCACTGGACTCGAGAAGAAGCAAACCATATCTTACAACCAGCTCCAAGTCAGCGAATCAGGGTAGCATGCGCCTCATGGTAGCAAGCTAGCCCTTCCCATGCCGTCGTCGAACTAGCCAACTCGGAAAGCGGACCCTTCTGCGTCGCTGCTGCCCTCGACATGGCGTTTCTGGATGAGGACAGATACACCGGCATCCGAAGCAAATAAGGTACTCAAATCAACGCGATAGGGGGCAAAAGAATTGGCAAGCTGCGCTGACCAGAGCTCATTCCTAGGATAATTCAAAGCAAACTCCCTCGACATCATATCGCAACTCATTCCGAGACAACCGCGAAGACCTCATGAGTTGGACCTGCGAGGAGATGCGCCGGGTCTAAACGCGAACCGCCGACCATGCCTTACAAGAAGTCAAGAAGTCGCGCCGACAGAAATCTTGATTTGCGCATCAAGAAAATCCACACCTGAGCATCTAGCCTTCTTTTAAGCATTCTTGCTTGCCATCAACATGTTTGAGCATTGGAAGAACAAGCATGAGTGCGAGGTCGCCATGCGTGGAGAGAATCGGGAGGCGCATCAAATATCCCAGAAGAGGAGAGAACGCAGGATACTCGGGCGAGAGGTATGGAATATGGCAGAGAAGAGTCCAGACGAGCAGAGCAGCATTGCGCGCCGATACGCGTCGCTGCCGCACGCAATGAACCTGCAAGCAGGCGGCACTACCTCCCCGAACCACCGCGAATCGGCATATCCCTTTCCTCAATACTCGGCAGCGGACTCCTTACACTAGCTCTTCTCCTCTTCCTCTGATCTAGAGACCTCCTTTGCATACGCGTGGGCGAAGGAGCCGACTCTGATTGCGGAACCCCTTGACGCGGGTTATACCGAGGAGCAGCGATGTTGGACAGCACCTGGATAAGCGGCACATTATCGTTGGATTGGTCGCTCACCCAAGGTCTACCGTGGCCGATGTCCATCTCTTCCTCATCCGCGTAAGGGGCCCTCGTCGTGGAGCCGCGATCATGCTCGAAGGTCCGAGTGATGCGAATGGGATCAGCTTCGTTGAGGCTGCGGACGGTTCTCCTGTGGCGGCGAGCAGGGCGATGATCATCAGATGGCTCTGGAGACGCGTCCATGAGCGCTGGTCCATCGGGACTTCGCCTAGGTCTAGGGTTACTCAAGCTGGCTCCTACCCCAGAAGTGTACAGACTTCCGGCGCAGATCAGCTCGCCGTCATCGTAAGCCACAAGCTCATGACCGACGTGTTGCAAGATAGACTTCACTCCTTGCTCGGGCGCGGCTTCAGTGAGGATAGGGGCACCCAAAGCTTTACCAGTCTCGAGCGGTGACAACGTAACGTAACGACCGAGTTGCCACCATCTCCACGAGAGCGATAATGCTGCTATCATGCCCAAAACCATGAGGGCGATAGATGCGGCGAGCCACTTGAAGTTCGTAACGTACCGAAGCTCTTCGCCCGTATACACCGCCATGACGTCCTGCCTATCTTGTCTATCGCTGCGTTGTCCAGCAACTGCACGAGCAGCTCGGAACGTGTAGTCCAGGATCTTCCCCATTATATATTTTGTTGGAGATTTCCAAAGCAGCGGACAGTGCTTGACAACGTTCTCGGGATATTTTGACCCTGACACTACTCCGGTGGTGGCAAACATGTCGACCCAGAAACCGTTCAAATCTTGTCTGACTGAAGGCTTTCCCTCTTGAGGTAGGCTCAGAGCGCCTTTGGAAAGATAGACAGGACGAAGAGCATCTCGAATACCTCGTAACGCACTCGAAGATCCATTAACATTGGAATTGTTCGATATGATGATAGGATTTTCGAGAGCGCCCAAGATGTCAGGCATGATCCGGCTACCGTGTATGGTGATCGGATACTGCATGGTAGCTGGTATCATGCCATAAGTCTCGTGGGTTACCGTGGCGATGCAATCGTTGTCTACTGCGGATACAAAGGTCGTCTCAAGAAACAGAATTGGCACACCGAAGTCGCTGTTGATACTGAGATCGATACTGAAGATTGTCTCGTTCAAACTAGCTAGGTCGAGCAGGTTCAAGGTTTTGGAATCCGTAGTGTTCCAAAGGTTCATTCCCGCCGCTTTGACGCGGGCCCGGCAAGTCCCATTTCCAGGGCAAAGATGGTTCGTGCCAATCCTCGTGGCAATGTCGTCGCCAAAAAACGTGGCTTGGCTGGTAGAAATACTGTTGCTCCTGGATGTGAACCAGCCATCAGGGATCTCGGAAGCGATGTCGATGGTCATTTGAATATCTTTCGTAGCTTCATGAGATTTCGGCGATGTAGAGCGCTGCAGCATTGGGCCGACGGCAAGCTTCGTCGCAAGGATGAATAATGCCGCTACTGCAACCTTCCTCGCATGCCAGCCTGCCAGAAATGCGGGCACCAGATCCATCAGGCTAGACCCTGTATGGACGAGGTGGAGGCGCTCGAGTGTTGTGCCGTGCGCGATGCATCTCCACCATATGACCGCCACTCCAGTCGAGAAGAGCGCCCCGAGGACGACAACGTACACACCGGCGATCAAGGAGAGCCACACGGCCGGCGTGATACTCCAGGAATGGGCGAGTTCCTTCTGCGAGGCCAACAGTACAATAACCGCTCCTGCGATGCAAGTGGCCAGGATTGAGAGTTGCCAGAGGATCAGAAGAGGAAGCTTGTACGTTGTACTGATACCGTTGCTGGCGCCGTAGGGTTTGCCGAATGCCCTTGAAGGTGGAGTGAGCAGCGTCTGCGACGAGTAGTCTGTCATGTCCGTAGCGATCACCTTGTGAGAGACATACTCGGTGTTGAGATCATGAGAAGACGCGCCGCGACATATCTATTCTCCTCCCAAACTAGGGTGGCGGGCTCGATGCGGTAGGCAGCTGCCAGGCTGAGCAGCGCGTATATGCAGCCACAAAGAGGCTCATGGGCCGAATATAAGGCTTACACCATGGTTGAAGCCGTGAGGTGCGCGGATCTGTGAGTTAGATGCGCGTCTTTGAGTCTACGCTCAAGGTTCCGCATGCGCAGTGCATCTCGCTCGAGTGTCGACGCTGTCGTCTTTTCAGTGTGCTCTATGCTTCCATCAAAGGAGGTATGCATCGCTGTGACCGCGTTCGCAAGGCTGCGTTTAGGTTGATGGAGGGGCAGCCAACTAGGAAGGCAACGACTTCGATTGGACCCACGGCCGTTCTCCTGCACGAGCTCAGCCTCGAAGAGGGGCAAGCACCAGCAGCCTCGCAACAAGCATATAGTCGCGGTCATTACGAGAGACACCCAAGGGGCGATGCTAGCCCAACCCGTTATTCAGCTCCACTCATAGGCGCGGTACCTGCAATGGTATGCGCGTATCAATGACTTTCTCCCCTTAATACCTCCGGCGATGGTATCTGAGAACCATCAACAGCCTTCTCAAGCCTTCCATGCCCAAAATAGTTCGCCTGGGCGCATGCTACCCGATGTGAATAATGCTCTTCTAGAAGCCCGCTTTTCTCGTATCAGATCGCTCGTGTCCGCTAACGTGGCGTTCGCTGGGGCCAATCCAGGACGAAACGGGACCTCCCGCATCTCGATCACCCAGAAAACTCACCTATCATGAATGCGGGCAACAATGTGGCGTGCTGTCGCAATGGTAGAGAAAGGAAGAAGCCCGTTGCTGAGACCTTTCACAATGGGTGAGCGCCAAGCCACATCGGCGAACCATAGTTCAGCAAGGTAGAAAAAGGTCCATAGATTGATCTCCAGGTTCTTACTGTTACACCGGTACCCGCAATCCGTGGAACGCTAGTTAATCGGGCAGCAACAAACGTTCATGTTCTTCGTTAAAGTCCCAGCGCTCTGTCGTTCGCGCACCATCTTCTAGAGCTGCACAATGCTTGACATACCCATCATTATGTCGAACCTGCTCTTCCCTCTTAGCTGTCCTTGGGCGCCACAAGCTGCCCATGCCGCCGAGCGATGTTCCATTGTGCGTCTCGTTTCCGGATCTCAACCTTTTACTGTCGATGGGGTGCACTATGCCGCTCCTCCGACCACTCATGTAAGTTACATTGCTTAGTGCGAGATCAGAGTGAGTAATATCCGTTAAGATTTTAGCTGGGGATGCGAGCAATCAGACATCTTTCGCAACCATCCTCTCTGTAAGCCCTGGCGATGTCGTTAGTCTTGCATCGCTTCGACAGCAGATTGCGCATATGGCAGAACTCGATGACGTTTTCCATAAACGTTTTCTGGAAGGCATTATATTCCAAGGCGCGTCACAATCTGAGGTCACAGTCGAAGCGACACCGTCGGACGTCCTTCATGAATGGGGTGTGGGATGGACGCACTTTTGCTTTGCTCAGGACTCGCCAAAGTCATTGCCACTTGGGCCTTACGTGATCCATGATGGACGATTATCTCAAGTCTGGCGACTTTACACCGACGAAAATTTGGCCTTCATTCAATCTGTTTGGCCAGTTATCGGATCCTCAAATGAATACACGAATGTCCCTTTCAGTGGTAATGGACATCGTACGTTAGCAGTCGCCGTACCTTCGCGTTTGCAAGCATCATGGCCAAAGCCACGACCATTGGAAGGCCTCAGGATCGGAGTGAAAGACTTATATCACCTAAAAGGTGTCAAGACTTCCTTAAGCAATAGGGCTTTCAATGAGCTGTATCCCGAACAATCTGAAACAGCTTCCACAATATCTCATCTTGTCTCAAAGGGTGCCCACATCGTTGGTAAAAATCACCTGAGCTCGTTCGCCCTCATGGAGCATCCCACACAGAGTGTCGACTACGAAGCACCCTTCAATCCCCGAGCAGACGGATATCAGATTCCAGGAGGAAGTAGCAGTGGCAGCGCTTCTGCTATTGCATCATACGATTGGCTCGACTTTTCGATAGCTACAGACGGTACGTGTGATTCGAATATTGGACATTGAGCTTACTTGCGCAGCCACGGGTAGTGTGCGCATACCGGCACTTTGGAACGGATGCTTCGGTCTCCGACCATCAACAGGCGCCGTATCCACCGAAGGTGTGATATCAGTGTACCCAGGGTACGACACACCTGGAGTCTTTGGGCGCGACCTCGCTAAATTTGAGAATTTCATTTGGAATTGGTACGGAGAAGGGATCAAAAACAAATCAATAAAGTCACCGAGACTTTTTGTTCCCCCAGATTTCTTCACCGATATCACTGGGCATCAGCTCGAACTTGTTGAACACTTCATAGAAGATCTAGAAATTAGTCTTCAGACCAAAGTACACCGACAATCTATTGCGGAGACGTGGAAAAAATCAGCCCCCGTTGACGAGCGAGACATCAACGTCTATCTCGAAAATGTCTGTGCGGTCCCTCTTGGGAATCCACGTCTCTAACTTCAGATGTAGGCAACGCAGCACAGCTACTACCACGCTGCCTTCCATGCTTTCGATGGGTTCAGAAAAGCATACAAAGCCAAGTACAACCGCGCGCCGTTCATCACGGAATCGAATCGATGGTTATGGTGTGCTCACTTCCACTTCACGGCCGCATTTGTCACTGATAACACTCAGGCAGCTCGGCTCCGAAGTGTCCTCGAAGGAGCGCGACGATATGAACAACAGGATTCAGACCTTCCGAACCTGGTTCTTAAAACACTACATGAAGTCTGACGAGCAAGACACCATCATCATCCTTCCAATCTCACAGGTGAAGCCCAACTATCGAGACGCCTTTACCTCGCAGATAGGAAAAAAAGCAACAACTGGCCTGCGGACAACGTACCTCAGTCCCTATGTCGGAGCACCCGAACTCGCCGTGCCCAGTGAGTAGACCCCGAACTTGTATGCTCTAGTGCATTGATTGACGTTGCGCGACTAGTCGGGCATTTAAACTTCGAGTCGCGCATTTCCGGCAATACAGAGAGTCTTCCTGTTGCAGTAGCTGTCATGGGACCTCCTGGAAGCGACATGGCTCTGGTGAAGCTTGTGCTGGAGTCGTTGCGCGCCTCGAAGCGTCCAACAGCCGTCAGCACTGGCAAAGCACGAATGTGGTCACCTGAAGAAGAAAGCGGCTCCAGCTGAAGGATGTTCACAGTTCAGAAGATCTCTGCATCGAGCTCTCCAAACCTACCGTTGACTCGATCTCACGGCACATACCAGCCACAGCTTAGCTTTGACGTCGGCACGTGTATAAGTTGTTACGGTTAATTATGGTAGCTGTAACATTTGCAGTATTACCCGCAAAATTCTCGTCATTGATTGTGATTGCCTAGCCTCGTGGGTGACTGATATACACACATGCGCAATCAATGTCGTGGTAGAAGGCGAGCCTATCCAATGCGTGCATAGCGCGGGGTAACGCCAGGGGTGCTCTTGAGGCTCTGCTTCGGTTTTCGGTGTCAGACGCGGGCCCCGTGGTTGAAGGGGCCGACGAGGCAGACTCGCTCGACTTTCCAGCCTTGTCGGCGCATAACGTGCTGATTTCAACAAGATAACGAAGCTATTCACAAGGAAGTAGGCTGGGAGAACGATTGTCGCGAAGGATGCCCATAAACAGGCAAGATCGGTTGAAAACATGATGTTCTCCTGCCTCTGGTACCTCCCGGAGTCTACAGTACTGAGGTTCCACCACCCTCAGAGAAGAACGCATGCGCTTGAACTTGGTCGAAAGTGGCGCTCAGGCTCGTAAACTAAGAGCGACTTGATAGACTGGCACGTGACTAGCCACAGGAAAACGCGCTAGTCGGTATGCCCTAAATAGGTAACGCGGCCGACAACTGACGGATCGGGAAGAAGAAAGTTCACAACACGGAAGTATTGAGGAGCCGAATTCGATCCGCAATCTTTGCCAAGAACAAAGCCGACTGAAATGTTGTAATCTTATCTGAGTTCAAGGTATACAGCAATCCCTTCTGCTGGTGGGGCACACGTTTCGGAAGGTGCACGGTTTTAGGTAAGCGGAAGCTTGATCGAGTCTCCCGAAAATCCCTATCAACGTTCACGCTGTCGACCATGGATTGAATCAACGCAGGAGTTCAACTCAAGGCTTTCTGAGACATGCTTCTGACCGCTTAGAGATTTGATCATGGCTCGGAGTCAGATTGGCGATGAACTGCCTCCTCGCGCAAAAAGGAGGAGGATACACACCAAATCACGGACAGGGTGCACCACGTGCAAGCAGAGGCGTATCAAGGTATTCTTCTCGCATCAGAGTGGTGCTTAATATTAATGAGGAAACACAGTGTGACGAAACTCGACCTTCTTGCAAGAATTGCACCCAAAGAGCAGCTTCCTGTCACTATGCGCCTAGTACACCATGGAACTTACCCTTGCCGCCATCAACAACAATAGATGAACGACGCAATCCCAAAAAGAGGCCTGGCCGGCCCAGAAAGCTCGCTCGTTCACCTGAATTAACTGCGTCCAAGTCTAACATGGAAGACCTCGATAATACCGTAGGAACTGCATCTTGCGAGATAGCAGCCGCTTCAGAACAACACTTCACTCTGGATCTAGCCGACTTTGAACTTCTCCACCATTATTACACATCTACTTCGAGTACCTTCTCCACGGACACGCCCATCCAAGCAATGTTCCAAACGTCAATCCCGCGAATGGCACTGACACATCCTTTCGTGCTCCGCCTTCTCCTCGCTCTCGCCGGTCAACACATGCGCCATCTGCACTCAGGAATCGGACGTAATCGCGAAGCCGATCGTTATGGGACCCTAGCCGAAAAACACTTCTGTGCGGCTGTCCCGCAAGTGAAGCTTCTTTTCTCCGATTTCACCCGCGAGACTTGCCAGATAGCATATGTTTCGGCCATTCTGGTTTGCATGCACCTCCTTACGCGAGGTCCGATGCCAGGTGAATACTTGGTATTTAGTGAGCAGGGTCCACCTTTGTGGATAGGACTTCTCCAGGGTGTGAAGCGCATAAAATCAATATTTGGCGATCTTCCATTTGCATGGCCGGCCGACTCGGAGACGAATATAATTCAAACCACAAACATAGCAACAGTTGCTGAGTTCGACCTTCCAAAAGTACGGTGGAAAACTCCGCTACGGAACTTGAAGTCCTTCATCACATCGGACGTTGAATCGGACGACAGGAAGATCTATTCCACTGCTTTCGAATCTTTGACACAAATTTTCGAAGCAACCTATGGGCATGATGAGGACGGCTCGTACGAGGGTGATCCTTTGCAACAGATTGTCTTTCGATGGTTGTACATGTTGGACGACCCAATGGTTGAAAGATTGCAACAGAAGGATCCTCACGCTCTGATTATGATCGGGTATTATGCCGTTCTACTACGGGTACCAGAGCTAGTAGGTTGTTGGTTCGTGAAGGGTTGGTCCTATCATATACTAAAAGGAATCTATACGATCCTTGAAGAAAGATATCGCTGTTGGTTGGAGTGGCCGTTTACGACAATTGGAATGGATTGGGAAATGCCTTGATTGCAGTCATCGCAATCTAGCGTAGTTCACTAGGGAATGTGCGAGGAGGAAGATTTCTTCAGCGTGGCCTAGTCAACATGAAGTATCTAACTACGAGAAGATATAAGATTATGTACAAGGTTTATCTGGATCTTTATGCGATAATATCTGTGCCGTATGGATCGACGACGGATTATTTTCGAAGTCCCTTCATCCGCTCAGCCCGCCAAGAGGAATAAGGGGACGATCGTCCCGTAGCAGCTTGAACTCAGCCTTCCGAATTGATCTTAGTAGCATCCCCGGATGAACCATTGCCAAGCAGACAGCGGTCGCGAATAGAAGAGAGGCATCGAAAATGTATAGCAACGCCTCTTTCTTGTATATAGAGCCACTTGCGCCCTCCGCGAACTCGATAAACCTGAACAAGCTTCTGATGAGAACAAGCATACTCACCGCGTAGAGTATTTTCATGTGTTTCCGCCAGTACACGTGCGGTCTTCGGGAAGTTGTTGTCGGTCCGCGGTTTAGTCTTACGTGGAGTGTGACACTCATCGCGATGAATCCCACGAAAGCCACTAACTGAAAGCCAAGACCCCCCATAACAATGAGCATTCCCTTTTTTGCCCCTTCTGCTCCGCTCATTTGAGCGGCTGACCCCATGATTTGACATACGAAACTGGCAATGTCGATGAAGACGTACATGAAGGTGACCTTGCGGGGGCCCAGAATAGCATGTTCCTCGGCGTTCAATTCGCGAATGAAGCGGCCCAAAGTCATGTAGATCGACGCAGCAAGTAGAGGCGCTGAACCAAGGATGAGCATCATCTGTAAGAGATACGGCGTGCCGTTGCGAGGATCTCGATGTGACCATGCGCGTCCGTAGTATCCACTTGCTTCGCCTGGAGACAAGCAATATCAGCAGATGCACTTTTAGATCCTGAAAAGTATCGAAAACCTACCTATACAACCAAGTATAAACGGGATGAAATACCAAGTCCGCAGCGAAATGGCCCAAACCACATGTATAACTGCAGCGACTCCGAATAAAATGAGAAAGGTATATCCTGCTATAGCTGAAGGAGTGTAGGGGTAGAGATCGAAGGTCGCTTCGCCTCGAGGGGTGAAATAATGGGCGCTCATTGAGACTGGGTGGAAATAACGACGAAAGGACAATTCGTGCAATTGGAAATGGATGCAAAAGATGGCCTTGCGGAGAAGCACATAATAATATATGGTCTCTTAGCTCACGATTAAGAACATTGAAAAGACCTGGGAGATGCAAGGACGCTTACGGAATTGCAATACGCGTAAAACGCAGATCAATGGTGGCTTGTGTTTGAGGACGCAGAGGACTCAACAACTCACTAATGTGAGCGAAAACTATGCGATTGGTCAATCTACGTTTGAGGCTCAAGCCAGAACAGGACTTCCCAGTTTGGTCAAGCGTATGACGCGAGCGGGTCCGCTAGCCTAAACGTAAACTTTGCGATTGGATGATACTATGACTTTAGCTATTTCGCGACCATCCCAGGCTTGTGCATTGAAGACTTAGTATCTTGACAATTATTTGGCAACGTCAGACAGAATTTTTCATTGAACTCGCAGAAGCTAGACACCCATGTATGCCTGATCGATGACACAACGGCTGGACCCACACATAACGACATAAGTACCGCGGCAATGGACGTCAGATATATGCACCTTATCGACATCGCCTCCTTGTGTTCTCAAAACTCGTAACGCTCGCTTTTCAGGTAGCAATGGCTCGCCAAATGCAGTTCAATGTTGCTGTACTCTTCATTTTCTTCGTATCGGTGACTGCCGCACTCAATTCCAGTTGCAAATGCGTAGGTCTTAAGAGCTGGAACAAGACACGCTCTGCTGACCCTCACCAAAGGTACCTCCCGATCTTTGTTGGCCTACTCCCGCAGCGTTGATGTCCTTCAATAACACCTTGGAAGGTCGCGTCCATCCTATCGAGCTTCCGAAGTCTGTCTGTCCGCAAGGTGGAGCAGCGAGTAACACGTACATGGTGAGCGCTACGGATGCGAAGCACGTCCAAGCAGCGCTGCTTTTTGCTGGAGAACACAATCTCAAGGTCAACGTCAACAACACAGGACATGCTGGTGCTAACACCCAACGGTGAGAACGACCCTTTCGTGCAGTGCTATTAGACAGTCCTTGACGATCATTATACAGGAGCTCAACTTGTGGCGCGCTATAGTAAGTCCAACAGTTTGGTAATGCTTCGGATATATCACTTACCTCGATAGCATCCATACGCATTACATGAAGGGAATTGAGTTCCATGAATCCTATACGCCTCAATCTTGCTCCTCTAACGTTTCACACATGGCTGCAACTCTAGGTGCTGGTGAGCAGGACTATGACCTCTTCCAGGCTCTAGCAAGATATCACGCTGTGACCGTTGGAGGTACCTATGATGTAGGTTTCTAGGACTCAATCAGCTCCTTCTCCTTTAGCAGCAAGACTGACTCTGTTACAGACTGTAGGCATCGTAGGCTGGGCAACATCGGGCGGTCACGGTTGGCTGACAAGCTCGTACGGTCAAGGCGCTGACAACATATACGAAGTCGAACTCGTTACGCCTACCGGCCAAATTCTCATCGCAAACGAATGTCGAAACGCGGACATATTCTGGGCCATGCGTGGTGGCGGGGGAGGAACGTACGGGGTCATAACAAAGATCACTATGAAGGCATACCCGATGCCACAGACCACTCGGTGGGTTTGGGACATTGCTTCGCATAACGGTACATCTGCAAAAGAGTGGTGGAGGCTGGTTGCTGAGTTACACGCCATGATGATCGATCTTAACAATCAAGGGTTTCAAGGATACTACACGATTACTGGGTCAGCAGAAGGACCGTGGACATTCGGCGGGTACTTCCTCGCCTATGAAAGATCGAACGCGATGGTCCAGGGAATACTGGCTCCATTCTGGACGGCGCTGAATGCCTCGGCGAGTCTTGCATCTCTGTCAATCTGGAACGTGACGAGATACGACACATGGATAGAGGCTTTCAATGGCTTGCCGAAACAGGGCGCAGACAATAGCGACGGGCCTGGCGGTGTAATCTCCGTGTCGCGGCTTCTGACGAGGGAAGATCTAACAAGGGATGTTGAGGCTGTGGCTAGAATGTTCAAAAGCATCGCCCCGCACCCCGAAGAATCAGAGGTATGACTCTGGGCGATTCAATCTGCGAGGCAACAAAGCACAAAAATTAATTCAAATAGCTTGGTGTGTCAGGACATGTCATCGCTGGCAGCATGATCGGAAGCTCAAAGCCTGTGGACGCTGCTTTGAACCCCGCATGGCGTAATGCCGGCGTTCATCTGATTGTGAAAGCCAGCTGGTCCGAGAGTCTTCCAACTACAAAGATCCAGCAGATCCAAGACAGAATGACTCATCATGTCGGATATGCTATGCGGCGACTGAGCCCTGATTCTGGGTGCTACATTAATGAGGTGAGCTACGGTTTCTTGTACTTCCCATGGGTCAAGCTGACTTGGTGTAGTGTGATCAATACGAACCTAATTGGCAATGGGCCTTGTATGGGCCGAACTACTCTCGTCTTCGACTTATCAAGGCCAAGTATGATCCGGCTGAGATTCTTTGGTGCAGAAGATGTGTTGGGAGTGATGAGTGGCGATACGATGTAGAAGATGGAAGTCTTTGTCGTCAGAGCTTGACCGAGAGCTGGCAGACCTACGGTCTGTCTCAGTAATCATAGAGCCAACAGAACGCAAGTTTATGAATGGTCGAGTGGGAAAACGAAAGATTGCTTTCTTGACTCAATAGCTATAAAAAATTATCCTATCTGAAAACTAATCTATGTCCCCGAAGGTTGGTGTGATGCAAACAGTGTAATCAAAAATTCCGAAGTACCTTCTACGCTCTGCGGACGACAGATGTTCGTCACCTCTTTCATTGTCAGAGTCTTCATCGAGGACGACTGGATGCCGGTATATGTCGTCTTCGATCTCACCAGCACCGTCGACAAGCTTCGGATCGGGGACAAGCTTCGGATCGGGGACAAGCTTCGGATCGGGGAGTACGTCTGCTCCATCTACTGGCAATTCGGGTAACGAAAGCTCATCCCAGGATGGCGTTGTACCACCAGCCAGGAAGACCTGAATTTGTCGGTAGCTGGTAATGTCTCTTCATCTTCAGCTATGGGGATCTTCGCTAGCATGCGCAGGGGTCTAGGTGGCTCCGGCATATTACGCTCGATTTGGACCGAGCTCTGCCCTCCACGGGGATAAAGCCTCTCAACACCCCAGGAGGAGCTAAGGGAAAATATGGCGATATGCATCTTGGAAGCTGGCCCGTTGTAAGTGCATTGTAGGGAGAACTTTTGCCCATCGCGCAGAGCGTACACCATATTGGCGTTCGGCTCAATGTTGTTTGCTTGTGTCTGGAGCCTGAAGGATACATCCTTCTCAGGTATTCGGCGTCGCGGAACGACAGTGGATGTCATTTTTTCAACCGCCCGAAAACGGACTATGTGTTGAAGCACCATCCCGAGTTTTCTCCCTGCTTCTGAGTCACTCGTGTGGATTTTTTGGTATTCTCTCAAGCTTGTTCTCGCGTTCGAATATGTCGAAATGCCCTCTGCTGTTGGGTCTGATGATGAAATCATCCGCATTGTACTGAGCAGAAAGCGACATGCCGGGAGCACCGTCAAGCTTTGCCCTCAAAGAGGACTCCAGCTGCATATCCGTACCTTGGAGGTGAACGCATGCCGATGGGCTACAAGCCCATGTGTGGAGTGCAGCCCACAATGGCGCTGTCAGCCCTTCCTCATCGTCATCTATCTTGATGTACTCAGCCATAGACGAGAACTCATCAACATTCCTCACGATTGCATTGGCTATCTTGGCCATTCTCTTTCCTCGACTAGCCTCGCCTAGCCTCTTGATTCGATAGATGGTATACATGGAGCCGGTTGATACAGCATGCGCGCTACCAACAGCAAGCTCCACTTGATGATCGTGTTTTGCTGTTGCACGACAGAAGTATCTATTGGTGAAGATATCTTGACTGAAGAAGTGATATTTACTGCCACCATGTACAGTCGGGATTTGACCGTGAGGCTCGATGTGCTCCTTAACCAGATCGACAACCGCTCTGTGGGATAATGCACCTGGTTCGTGGCCGTACAGCGTGCGGAGCATCCAGTACGTGAACGCGCCATGGGTAGCGGGCCGAGCTAGAGCATCCGAAAAGTACATTTCGCGCGCGGTCTCCTGTATGCCACACGATGTCAACACGGCGCATCCAAGTGTGGCCTCGCAATTAGCAGTGGTCATCCAACATGGGCGCTCCAGTACCATTTGGCGTTTTCCAGAACCAAAGTAAGCTGAGTGGATGGCATCGACCGCTTGACGAGCTTCGTCGTCACTTTTCAGATGCTGGCATTGCAAACTGTCAAGTCTCTGCCTTTGCGATTCCGTTCCTCAGGTTATAAGAGGGTCCAGATTCGGTATAACCCTCGTCGTCCACTTCAACGTACTTTAAGGGTACATCGAGGATCAACCTCATCGTATCGTCAACAACAGTACCATATGGAAATACGTGTTTGTTGTAACGCAACATGAGCGAACTACCGCCAGAAACGACCAGAGAAACGAGTGAGGAGAGAGGGTTTCCGTCCGCCGCGGAAAACGAGTCGACAGCCAGAGGGCTTGCTGGTATTACTTCAGACCAGAGCTCACGCCCAGATCTGGATGAACAGCCGATAAAAGAGGATGATCTCAGTATAACAAGGCCGGAGTACTATATCAAGCTCGAGCCGCTACTTGATACGGACTTACAAGACGCAATACTGAGCTCTGAGGAAGAGGAACTACGAGAACTAGCACTAGCAATGAGTGAAGATGCCTCTGCCGGCTCCCAACAGGCTTGTTCCATGGCTTTTTTCGCTCTTTCGCAGAAAAACCACTCACTGGAAGATCTAGATCGAGCTATCTCAGCTGCAGAAAGATGTCTGTATGCGTACGGCCCCGAGGAGCCGAAGTTTCAACTCTTTCTGAAGAACATCGTAACTTTACTATGGATGAGGAGCACGATCACCAATAACTTGGACGATATCGAACAAACGATTGCCAGAGCCCAAGAAATGATTGGGATTACTCCTCCACTTCATTCGGATCGAACTCAACGCTGGACTGACTTCCTTCGCCTACTTGGCTTCGAGATGCGACATCCTTGTTCACAGAGCGGATATTCAAGAATATTAAAAGCTAATGAGGGCCTCACGTATGCTGACAACGAGATGATGGAAACGGCAGAAAATATCTGGAAGATGATCGTTCAAGCCGAAGCAGCGACTGGAATAGACGAAACAAATGCAACGTCCCCAGAAGACTTTAAGTCAAGGCCCCTAACAGCGGAACGCGTGTATTACGCCATAAGCTATTACTTACGTCACTACGATGAATCAGGCGATCGTGGGCGCCTTCACGTGGCAATCCTACTCGGTGAACAAGCTGTGTTGATGTTTCCGCAAAGCGAAGGATTGAAGTGGCTGTTATTCAATGCACTTCATACTCGGTACTCAGATACAAAGGATATATCAGACCTAGACAAGGCGATCCGAGGATCGAAAGAAGTTCTGGAAACCATGTCTCCAGATCATGGCCTGCGTTTAAGCTTTCATGTTCGCCTAGCCAAGTTTTACCACAAAAGGAATCTCAACCAGCAGGGCGACCGAGATTGTATGGCAATGGACTATAATCAAATCGAAAATTTCGATATTGCCGACCTCAACATGGCAATCTACCATGCGCGCGCTGCCATCGCGTTGCAAGCGATGCGGCAAGACTATGGAGAACCGGAACTGCTGTTCTACAACCTGGGTCTCTACCTGTTTGCGCGGTGCAAAGCCTTGGGACTATTCGCTCCAGGCCACAGCAATCTAGACCTCGGTGACTTGCTCGAATCTACGGCCGCCATGGAAGAGGCTATCAATCTCCTAGCTGCAGACGACGCCAAGGCAGCCGTATTCCTCGACAATGCTGCTGTGCTGCAACTCTAGAGGAAGTAGTGAGCCCTTGCGATGCTCTGCTGTTGCTGGAAGCTGGCCGAGGTGTCATTGACGGCATGAAGTACGAAACTCGGGTGGATTTGGGGAAGCTGGAGAGCACAAAACCTGAGCTCGCCTCTCAGTTCAAGGACATTGCAGATATGTTGGATTCGTCTGATAGGCAGACTATCGCACCCGACATTGCCATACAAGGCGTGCCTTCCGTGCCTAGTAACACCGTGCCCAATTTCACTTTGGATCGAAGACACGAGCTCCTTCAGAAGTTCGAAGAAACCACGAACCTGATCCGCAAGCTCCCAGGGTTCGAAGGCTTTTTGAAACCGCTTAGCCGGGATGACTTGAGCCTCGTGGCTCCTAAACATCCAGTAGTTGTGATCAACGTCGACTACCGCTGTGATGCACTGATATTGCTTCATGGAAAAGTTCACCATCTGCCGTTGCCTGATCTACGAAGGGTGAGTGTCGAGGCTGCGTTGGACATCGTCAGAGCCATTCGAGAGACACGACTGGATCCACGTATGCGCGTACTTTGGTACCACTTGCTGGGCTGGCTGTGGCGGACCACTGTGCGACCTGTGCTGCAATACCTCGGATTCACCACAAAACCGACAGAATCCAATTGGCCGCGTATTTGGTGGGTTCCGACTGGCGCGCTCAGCCAGCTACCGCTCCATGCTGCAGGGATACATCGCGAGACTTCTACGGAGTCAGCTTTGGACAGAGTGATATCGTCTTATAGCCCCTCCGTTAAGGCGATGGTCTTTTCCAGACAAAACAATGCAAGTCCGCTTTCACCTCAGACCGGACACACTGCATTGCTAACATCCATGGGAACCACGCCTGGGCAGAATGACCTTCCCTGTGCGGAGACGGAAGCCAAAGAACTGAACGACCTCCTCCAGGTGACTATGCATACGACACATCTTGAATACCCCTTCAAAGAAGACACCGTCAAGGAACTACCAGGGTCCGACATATTCCATTTTGCTGGTCATGGCAAGGCCGATCCGATCGATCCTTCTCAAAGCTGTTTGTTGTTGCAGGACTGGCACAACGATCCCCTCACCGTTGGGGATCTGATTGCCATGAAGTTGCACGAGACGCAGCCGTGGCTGGCATTCTTGTCTGCTTGCTCGACCAGTGAGAGTCAGGATAAGAAATTGCTCGATGAGTCAGTCCATATGGTGAGCGCCTTCCAACTTGCAGGCTTCCGCAACGTTCTCGGAACTCTTTGGGAGGTCTCAGATAGGCACTCACTTGACCTTGCGAAGGACGTTTACATCAGTTTGGAAGGCGTGATCGGAGAAGAAGAGGTCGTCGCTCATGCACTTCATCACGCGGTGCGTAAGTTGCGAGACGACTTGAATAACGCTGCGGGGAACCCTAGCGATGAACCTGCTTTGCCTTTAGCTCAGATTGGCCTAGTTGGCGGTTATAGTGAGGAAAAGATGACAAAGCTGAGGATGGCAGCCGAAAGTATGCGTCAGTTGATTGTTATTGAGGACGAAGAGGATGACGATGTAGATGACGAACGTTTGGGAGCTAAATCTATCCGGAGAGTACTCCCTAAAGGTGACCCGCTTATCTGGTCGGCCTATATTCATGTTGGCTTATAATAGCAGAGTATAGTATTTACAGTTCCATTTGTTAAATGACTTCAGCCGTCCAGACCAACAAACCTAATCTTCGACGCCATCGTTTAGATAGTAGCTTCTACCATAAGCGATAATATCTAATAGCTCTACACTAGAAGCATGCCAGAAACACTTTATTACGCGAGCGACGAAGATAATAGAAAGACGAGAGCTAAAAAGGCAGAAAAGGTGTATGTATGTCTTACTAAAGCCTACTATAGGTATATCTGTACAGAAAAGGTTATCAACGTGAAATATAAAACTTTAGTGGCAAAGACCATATAGTTAGCGCTGAAGAGTTCAAAACAGAATATGGAACTAGAGAGTGTTAGTATCGTGTATGGTGTCATACCAGCTGACTCATGTTTGCGGTGTCTAATCAGAGCGTATGATAACACAGAGGGCAGAATTAGTATAACAAGCTTTCCAAACTAATTTGCAAGAGAAGCCTTAGAAGATGCCGTAAACATCATAGCAAGAATAAGGACAGCGGCAAAAACAGGCCAGGTGAAAGGGGAGCAAATGTAGCTATATTTGGGGTTGTATCAACCGTTGGTGGTAGTTACCCTCAGGAACTTCGAAGGATTTTAGATCAAAAGGATGGGACGAGGAGCCCATATTCAGGGTACTAGTGCCTTCGATATTGCCGTTCCGAAGATACTGAAGGCACAGCAGTGAGCGAGTCCCAGTTACATACTCTCTACACCCACTAGGGAATTACATCATGAACAAGGCGGTTTGTCAATTAGTCTTACATGCATTATGTGGTATCTTTACTTGCATGCCACACATCCAAGCTTCGAAGCGAGGAGGCCGCTGCAGTGGCTTGTAGGGCTAACGTGTCACCTCTCAATCTCATATTCTAGCTAGTATCTAATGCCTTAAGAAGTTTATTCGACCAAATGCATAGAGGTCCACATACTGCTATTCGCCCAGGACATGAATCGAAAGGTTACTTGTGTGCTAAAACTACGACAAATAATTTATATCTTGCGCTGGATACAGTATTCCAGACAACAACACGAAGTGTATTTCAGCACCACTCAACTATCTGACCTTAAAACGAGAGGCAAGTGCCGAACTCGCTACCTTAATACCAAATGCGAAATCTTGTCTCAGGTGACTTTGATGTAACGAGCCCCATTATATTAAACTTGTAACCCAGGTTGGGCAAACGGTTACCGAATTCACGCTGCGGTCTCTGTAAACGGTCGGATGTCTGTCTTAACTGCATTACTTCACATAAGCAGGCCCTGCCCGTGAGGAATGTTTCTTGACTAAGTACCTTAATCGTAGTCATCGACGCCTCGGCGGTGAAGCCAGGGCATTACCACCATACCACGAGTAAAAGCCAAGAGGTTACAGCAGTGGTCGTACGTTCCTATAGCGCTGACCCGCGTTGATTGAGTGCGTGACCCAACCAATCTCCAGAACCAGAAATGTTCAGAAAGGAAAGGAGCTCACATACCTTCTTTTGTCTACAGGGTCACGCACTCATCCATCTCCGTTACCATCCATCCATTTCACTCATCTCATTCCCTCCCACACAGCACAGCACAGCACGTACTCGCCTTCCGTCCACTTCACACATACACACCACAACGCAACTTGTCAAGATCCAATCCAGATCCAGATCCAAATCGTCGTCAATAAATTAACTCAGTGTCTCTCCCCTACCCCTATTCCCCTCTCCCTCCACCCACACCACTACAACACAACACTATAATAAAGCCCATACTAAAGTCCATACCCCTCAACCACCTTACCTCCCTAGCCTGCATCTCCAACGCCTCCCTCATGCGTCCAACATACTCCCTCTCGCGTCCCCTCTCCTCCGCAACCTTCTCCCCTCAGCCCACTCCTCAACAGCATCTTCCCACCGGCTAGGCTGCCCAAAGCCGAGCAAGCCCAGCTTCCCATCGCCCGTCCAGAGGGCGAGATTATCCTGTCCGAGCGGCGCAGGAAGGGCTGAAGAAGGAGTAGTATGGAGGTGAAGGGAGGGAGAGGGATCAACCGTAGGAAGTATCTTCTTCACGATATCCCCTTGCCCAGCACCTCCTTGTCCCATTCCAGCTCCAAGCGTCGCCCCACCGCCCCGCCCCCACTCTCCACGTCGCGGGAATTAATATTCAGCGCGCGCACAGCCGCACACCCGTCTCTCTCCACCCACTTCAGGCCGCCGTCCCCATCGCTGAAAACAAGCCGCGTGCCGTGCGCTGCGACAGAGAGTAACTTCGACGCGGAGGCAGTCTGCCGATTCTGATACACCGCTTGCGCATTCCGCGTCGTGCGGGCGTCGGACGAATTAATAGAGCGCAAGGGGTCAGGACTTAAACCGTAAAGCTCGAGACTGCCTTTCCCTTTGTACTCGCCTGCCGCTATGAGGGTATGTCCCTGCGCGGTCTTCGCAGCGTGCACGGCGGCGGGGTGCGTAGAGCGCGAGACGAACGGGTAGGGCAAGGCAGCGAGACAGCTTATGCGCGCGCCGGAGTGGACTGTGCCGCGGAGGCGGGGGAAGAAGCGGCGGTCGAAGTTGAGGAGGGAGGTGAAGCGGCCGGCGAGCCAGATGTCGCCGTTAGCGTCCCACTCGCGGGAGGTGGGGAGGTGCAGGATGGAGAGGGCGCCGGGCTGCGCGAGGGAGACGTGGTCGCCGAAGTCGCCTGTTTGGAGGCGCGGGGAGAACGACGGCGAGGCGGAGGCGCCGCCTATGAGTTCGCAGCGGGAGGAGGCGGGGAGGGACGGGGGTTTTCGAGTGTCGTGCAGGTGGACGGTCCAGTTTGTGCCGACCGTCAGCGGCGTAGGGTGTCTTGCTTCTGAGAGAGCGGTGATGGGAAACGGATAGGGCGTCCGGCTCACGACCTGCAGGGTCCGAAGATCCACCTCGTTGAGCGTGTTCTGCACGGCGAAGAACCCCTTTTTCGCACGGCTGTCCACGCTCACGCACTCGACTGCCCCCGTCTCCGTCATGACGGCCCTACTCTGGCTGAGCCTCGTATCCATGTCCAGATCACTCCCCTTGTCCGGCAGCAAGCCCACCGCCGTCCTCGCAACGATGCGTCCCTGGCGTCCCTCCCGCGCAGACGCGTTCCAGATGCTGATACTCCCGTCTTCCAGCGGAGCAACCAGCTTCTCCGCCAGCCCATCATCGCCATACAATATCGCCGCGCCAGTCGCCTCATGGTGCAGATTATCGTCGCGATGCCCATGTTTGGCATCCTGAAACCAGCTCAGATTATGCGGCGCATGCCTCTGTATAAACTCGCTGTAGAAATCCACCTTCTCCCCCGGATAGCTCGGATCCCAATTCGTCAACAGCGCCGCTTTCCTCCTGCCCACATTCCTCTGCACTTGTACGTCTGCGCTCGGCGCCGTAGGATCGTGCACGCTGGTGGGAAACGCGTTTGCGACTTCGTTGGCAGCTCTGATAAGCTCCGCATAGCGTGATTCGACTTCATCCGAGGTAGGTCGCAGATCGCGGCGTCTGCGCTCGGCAGCCGAGTGTTCGAAGCAGAGCGTGCGCCATAGGTTGTTGTCGCGGGAGAGATTGAGGAATTGACGGGAGACGTATTGGAGGTTCACGAGCTGTTCGGGCTCGAGGTCTGGTGGGGCGCGTCAGTTCCGGCGAGCTGGGAGCGTTCCGAGAGAGGCTTACATTCTAGTAGGAGAAGAATTAGCTCGTCTGGAAGATGGCGCATGGTCTTAGAGATGTTCGAAGTGAACTGGAGAAGATTGCAGAGTAAGAAGAGCTTCGGACTAAGTATGGAGACAATTGCTGTGTTATCTTGAGTATCAAGGGCACCACTGCCTCGGGATTGAGGGCTAAAGGGCTGACGACATCGGAGAGGAACAACGCCCTAACCGTTATTGGTAGGCATGTTAAAGCGACCAGCGCCCTCTTTCACTCTCAAGAACACGCACTTTTCGAAAGCAACCACACAAGTCGATACTTGGAACCATGCTATGTTTCGTTCTGCGCTAATCCCGTGCTAACTATTTGTGCAGCCGCTCACACTGCCAAAACATGCCTTAACCACCCTTATACCCAGCTCACCTCCCTATGTACCGGCCCGAAGCTCCATAACACATGCGCTCCCGTCCATAAAAGAAAGGGGTATCATAACTGTGAAAGAGATGCGCCGTAGTTAAGTCCATGTAAAATGCTGCGTGAAGTCTCGTCACTCATTACAACCAAGTAGGGTGGAAATCAGGATGCATCAAAACATCCATCAACGACGTCAACATAGCGACGTAGGTGCGAAGGAAGGAGTGCAAGTGCTCACATGCCGAACAGATTGCGAAGCTCGTTGATCGACAACCTAGTAAGGCTCTTGCCGGCACGCTCATCAAGCGCCGCGCTGATGAGCTCTCGCTTGCTGTCTTGCAACTTGCAAATGCGGTCCTCAACCGTCTCGGGAACTAGCACCCTATGGACGTGAACCTCGCGCTGCTGGGGCATGCGGTGGGCGCGGTCGACGGCCTGGTCCTCGACGAACGGGTTCTACGATGTGTTAGCTTGTAAGCAATAGTAGCGCACTACAGATATCTACATACCCAGAAAGGATCAAGAATGATGACCTGAGAAGCCTTGTTCAAGTTCAAGCCCGCATTCCCAGCCTTGATGGAAACAAGCATGATATTCTCCGTCGTCTTGTCCATGAATTCGTTGACGGCTTCGATGCGATCATCGAATTTCATGCTCCCATCGTAGCGCTGGTAGTGGTACTTCTTCTTCCGAAGAGGAATCTCGATGAGGTCAAGCAACGTTGTGAAGGATGAGAAGATGAGTGTCTTCTCGGTCGGATCGTTCTCTTGGATATCGGTCAGCAGCCTCATCGTCTCATCAATCTTGGCAGAACTCTTGAACGATTTCCGGAGAAGCTTCAGATACCTCTTCTTAGCATCATGATTTCGCAGCGACAACTTCTTCAGTTGCGCAAGCGAGAGATGCTCTTTGACCTTCGCCTTGCGCTTGCCCTTTCCCTTCTTCTTGCTACGGCGAGGACCAGTGGCAGTAGAACCCTCCGCGTCGTTTTCCATCTTCACATCTTCGTCTACATCATCATCATCATCGTCGACGATGAACCCGCCGAGGGTCGGATCATTGACGTCTTCGTCATCCTCGTCCTCGCTGCTATCGCTCGCGTCGCTGTCATCGCTCACTTCACTCACTTCGCCCACTTCATCATCTCCATTGGTGCCAGTAAGCGCGCGACGAAGCTCCTCGTACTTTTCCGGGCAGAAAACTTTGCAGAAATGCCGGTAATCGGTGATTCTCTCGGAGCTCAGGCTACCGCGGCATTCGGGGCACTTCGTAGCGCCATTCTCGTTGCCGTCCTGGATGGCTCGGGTGGGATCGATTAGCTTCTGGAAACACTCGCCACAAGTATGGTGTCCGCATGGGACGATAATGGTTGGGTTGATGTCGGCCTGCACCGTTTGTTAGTCGGCTTGCTCCAAATTCGGCTTTCTTGGTGGAGGGAATACGAAAAGCTCAGGCGGTACGTACCTCGTAGCAGATGGGGCATTCGAAGCCTTCGTCGTGCTCTTTCAGGCGGTGAACTACATCCTCGCCAAGCGATCTATTGCATGTCAGCGCAGTTATTCGTCTCGAAAGTTGACTTACGCCGCGCGGCTCTTCAAGTCATCCTCGGAAATCCCTTCAGTCGACACTTGCACGCCCAGATCGTTTGCCAGGTGAGGATGGCAGCAAATTTGGCGCAAGCGTAATAACATCACCAAGATATTGGCGTAGTTGTTGCTCACCGTTCCCTTTGCGAGGTAACGATTGAGCTTAATTTGCGACCTCGTCTCGACAGCCTTGTACAGCTCGTGCTCCGCATCAGAAAACTCGACTGGTCGTACGTTGACGTGCTTCGGAGGCAAGTTGACAATAGGATGTCCGTCAACGATAGTCGTCTTCGAGCGACGTAGGGTAAAGGATTTGATCAGTGCTTGCAGGCGCAACATACCCCGCTCGTTCATATAGTCCTTGTTTGACTTCATAGGCTTGACGAAGTGGTCGTTGAAGTTAGCCCATTGTTGATACGCAGAGATGCGCAGGAATCGGAGCTGGGGGTAGAGTTCCTCGACAGAATTTTGCATAGGTGTGCCCGTCATGCACAGCCGGAACTGAGCCTGGAGAGCTGCCGCAGCCCTTGAAGTAAGGGTCGTTCGATTTTTGATATACTGAGCCTCGTCTAGGACAACACGATACCAGTAACACTCCGCCCCAAGAAGACCAAGCCTATCCTTGGCTTTGCGTGTGAATTCCGGCTCCCGGCGCTCGCGGTCATTCGCCTCCGACTCTTTTCGGGTGTCGATTTTCTTCTGTTCATGTGCCAGCGTGTTGAACGTAGTCAGCACGATGTCGTACTCGCGAAGCACGCTGAAGTCCGCCTTTCTGCCATTTCGGTGGTAAGTGTAGACGCGGAGTTGATGAGCCGGCTTCATGTGCCGTTCGATTTCCTTCTCCCACTGTCGCATTAGGGCGACAGGAGCAACGATCAAAGTGGTTTTTCTAGCTGGGTTCTCGGAGGGATTAGCTACAATCAACGAGAGACCTTCAATCGTCTTGCCAAGTCCCATCTCGTCGGCCAAGAGACTGCCTTTGCTTTGACCCTTCTCCATGTTGAGGAGCCAGGCGAGCGCTTGCTCTTGATGCGGCATCAGGGTACAGCTCATCTTCTTCGGAGTCGGCTTGCGAGGAGAGTCGTCGTGATCCTGGCTCTTGATGCCCTCGATGAGCGAGTTCACGACATCGTGGTCCGCACCTGGTGAGGGGGAAAGGGAGAGTGTCGGCCAGTTGCGGTAGACCTCGTTGTTGGGTGTGGCACCGGGGATTCCGAGATTCAGCTGTGGGGGAAGCAGAGCGTTGCGTTGTGGCAGCACAGACTGGTTGTATGCGTAACCACCGCCGGCCGGCGTTGGCGTCAGCATGAATTCGGCAAGCTCATCTCTGCCCATAACCTCTTGGACGAAGGCATCTGCTGGCTGGCTCTGAGCCTGTACCGGCTGGTACACGTGAAGCAGCTCTGGGAACGGGTCACTGAAGCCCAGGTGGTGCGGCCGCATGGGTAGCTGGTGAATGAACGGCCGATCATCTGTGAGATCGACAATATCGCCGCGGCGCTGGGGGACGCTCAGATGCGGACGCTTCGATCCTGGCCACGCGCCCGGCATGGTATCGAGGGACATTGGAGTGGCTGGACTGTTGGGGTAACTGTTACGCATGTGCTCGCTGTCGGAGAGAGAAAGCTCTCGGGGGCGCTTGCGAGACATGTCGCCCCAGTTGGTAACAGAACCAGGCGTCACAGCAGACGACTCGGCAGGCGACTGATCTGAAGCCGGAGGTGACGGGTCGGCCAGCTGGTCGGTCAGTCTATTGATGTGCTGCTCATAGTGAGCGCGGGTCTCGGGGTAGTCCGGATCGGTGTCTTCCAGCGAGTCCATGAGAGAGAAGCAAAACTCCAGCTCGCTCTCGATATTGACGGCTTCGGTCAGGTCGTAAGGAGGTGTGTAGAGGTAAGACGGCATGGCGGCCATGTTCGGTGCCTAACAGTTGCGGGGCGCCCCGCAAACAGAAGGCGCGTTCGTAGGTGAAGGTGAAGGGGAAGGCGGGATCTCGCTGGGCGGAGCTCCGCTACGCCTCACGTAGCAAGTCCAATCTTTCAGCTCTGCTAAGAGGCTGCAAGGCCAACGAAGCAATTTTAGGTAAATGGACCACGGAAACACGGGCAGCGAAGGGAAGTCTGGACGCAAAAAAAGACGGCAACCGCCTGGGTGCGCTTTTCGCCCCGAAAAGCGCAGTGACCCGAATTGGGCAGCCTCAATAAGGCGAATGTTGCAGCAATAGATGGTGCAACTGGAACCTTGGGCGCATACGAGCTTGCAGCCTCGCGGGGGTCGAGCGGCGAAGTCACGGCGGCGCGGCGGCGCGAGATTTATATAGAACGGGAGCGCGGGACTTTAGACGTCATGACCATTGGGATGGAAGGTTGAATCCGAAAGAGGCGACAGCTCGTGGTGAAAGGCGAAAGGGAACATTCACCCATGGTTTATCGATAACCTGAGGTCCGCTCAGCGCTGAGCCTTTCCGGTGAGTAGCCCCCGTGTCCCTTACTGAGTGCGTCCGCCCCGGAAAATATGGCCAACGAACGTAATTAGCAGCGCCGGGCGGCTGGAGCACAGGGTGTGTTGTCTACAAGGCTGAAGACCTGTTGCAGGACGTTGCGGCGACGTGCAGCGATGCAGCAAACAAATGGCACTTGGTGGTGCAGCGCGGTTCTCAGCGCGCGCCGTTCCCCTCATGCTTCGGAGCGCTCTCCGCCCGGATGCACGGAGACGAAAGCGCCAAAGTGCGACGCGAGATGGACGCGGGGGAGTGTGACTTGTCACAGCACGATTGATCAGTCGATAAATTATCCTCGAGTCCATAATAATAGGCTACAATGCTGAAGACTATTGTTGGAAGGCCTCAGGCTTGGGGGCGTAGGTAGCCAATGGGCGTAGTTGGCTTTTCTATCCATAGGCAAGCCAAAGGTGCTCCGCCTTCACCTGCACCTCTATCCCGACAAACATGGTCATTAGTAAAGGACGCGTGAACACTGCGTATCCGACTGGGACGCGAGATGAAAGTCCACGGTACTGGAACGCGCCGTTGCCTCGGCAGCGTAATGAACGGGCATCATCTATCTCATATGCATGTCGCCATGTCTCAAGTGTACAGCATGCAACAACCATCTATTCGAAGCAGAGAGCACTTCCTGTAATGGACCCACCAGCTTTTGAAACTTATGTCACGTAAAAGATTTATTGTCCCCCTCACTAAAGCACAACATCGTTGAGGTCGGCCTGCGTTTCTCTTTTACATGGGAAACAACACTTTTCTCAGCCTACACCGTTCTCACTGCGTTGTTGCTGTATCAACGCGTTTGGATGGTATCCAAGCATGAAATCGAGACAACACCGAATCACTTGTCCAAGACAGTAGCATAGGTCATAAGCCCTCAAAAATTCTCCCCATCCTATCCTACCCTATCCATCCTACCCTATCCATCCTACCCCATCCCCCCTAAAAACGACCGAAAGAAACCCAGCGCCAAAAATGCATACATATCCCACCCTTCTCCACGCGTGTATTTCCTCTAACAAAATAAAAAACAGGTAGAAATACGTGGTAAGAAAGTAACGAGCGCGCAACAAGGAAATGATGAAAAAAAAACTTCCCAAAGAAAACAACGCGACGCCATAAAATGATCTCTCGCGTACCGTACGGATACAACACTCGTCTCGTCTCGCACCACTCCCTCTTCAGGTCGTCTCCACACACACACAGAGCACTGGGGTATCCGCTAAAGCACACAGCACAACGCTTGCTTCGCTTCTTCACCTTCTTCACCACCTCTCCCTCCCTCCCTTCTCCCACCCAACTTTCTTTCTTTCAAACAATGCACAACACCAGCACACTACAACCCTACCCACGCAGCTGCTAACTGCTATGACTCCGTAGCAAAAGCTGCTAGCCACGAATCAGCAAATCTCTTCTAAATACACTCCCACCCCCTTTTCAGTCTTTTACTTACTCTATCTACAGGATCCGACTGATCCGCCGCCAGCAGTGACGGGCTCCCCTGCGCGGCGCCCCCGCGCTCCGTGTACCCCCTAGCCTCTATATGCGGCCTGCCGCGCACGCCCTTGGACGGCGTCCCGCCGGGACTGTGGCTGTCTTGCGGGAGCGACAGGTCGGGCGCCGTCATGTGCTCCATCGAGTGGCGCTGCTCGTGGTCGTAGAGGGTGCCCGCCATGGTGGCGCAGCGGAGGATCGTCTGGATGAGCTGGTTCTGACGGAGCGGTTTGCTGAGGTAGTCGTCCATTTGGGCGGCGAGGCACTTCTCGCGGTCGCCGACCATGGCGTGGGCGGTGAGCGCGATGACGGGCGTCGACGGGATGGCGTTTTCGCGTTCCCATTCGCGGATTTTGGCTGTCGCTTCGAAGCCACCCTAAGTCACGTTAGTCACAGAGTAGGCAGTCTAAGAGCGGCGCGCTTACCATCACAGGCATCTGCACATCCATAAGAACGCAATCGTATCGCTTTTTCTGAATGTGCTCAAACGCTTCCAGGCCATTGTTGGCCACGGTGACGCGGTGGTGGTACTTCTCCAAGATCCGGACAGCGAGCTTCTGATTGACAGCGTTATCCTCTGCTAGGAGAATGCTGAACGATTTCGAGTGGTCCGACACCAATGGGGCGGCGCGCCCATCGAGCGCAGGAATGAGGGCGTTGCCGAGATCGATTGGCAAGCAAGGTGTAGTCATGTAGCTCGAGATGCCGTTTTCAAGGGCTGAGCGAAGGCTTATTGACACGCGCGGTGTAAGCATTACCAGTGGGATATACTTAAAGCGCTCGGCAGTCCGCAGCTCCCTTGCCGTCTGTTCATTGTCGACAATAACGCAATCGAAGCCCATGTCCGCAGTAGGCTTGGCTGGAGCCGGTACTTCATCGATCGAGTTAATCACGATCGGCACGAGGTCGAGCATCTTCAGATGTTCTTCGATCTGATCGGAGAAGCGGGTATGGCCCTGGTCTACGAACAGCACAGTGTGCTTGCTGTAGGGCGCAATCTGTTGTTGGAGGGCACTCAGGTCTGGATTTCCGGCACGGACTTTACAGGTGAAGTAGAACACACTGCCCTTTCCGTAATCTGAAGTGACCCACATCCTGCCGCCCATGAGCGTGACGAGTCGTTTCGAAATGGACAAGCCCAAGCCGGTACCACCGAATTTACGTGTTGTTGATCCATCCGCCTGCTGGAAGGTATCGAAGATGAGGTTGAGTTTATCGCCATGGATTCCTATGCCAGTATCCGATACTGCGAACTGGAAGACGTATTGGCGCGCATCCTGCTCATCTTCAGCCATGGAAATGGTAACCTTGACTTCTCCGTGCTCAGTAAACTTGATAGCGTTGCCCACTAGGTTCAGGATAATCTGTCTCAACCTGAAGGAGTCACCAACAACGTAGTCAGGGACGTCGTACGAAACGTCGTAAGCGAGGTTCAATTTTCGCTCGTTTGCCCTTGTTGACAAAGACTTGAGAGCGTTGAATATGGTGCCTCGTAACGAGAACGGAATCTCTTCCATGACCATCCGATTCGCTTCGATCTTGCTGATATCCAGGATGTCATCGATGATAGTTAAGAGCTGACCGGCCAAGTTGTGGACGATAGTAAGCATCTCGCGCTGCGAATGGGTGAGGTCGGTGTCGAGAGTGAGTTGAGTCATGCCGATGATGCCGTTCATGGGCGTGCGGATCTCGTGCGACATGTTCGCCAGGAACTCAGACTTGGTCTTGTTCGCCAGCTCGGCTGCTTCCCTTGCAGCAGTATTCCTCTGGATACTCTCGCGAAGACTGGCCACCATCTGATTGATCTTCCTCTTCAGTTCGTCCATCTCACCAGATGCCTCCACGGTGATTTGCGTGAACTTGCCCTCCATGGCTGCATTAGTGATGTCGCCGAAAGCACGCACCTGCGATGTCAAGTTTTGGGCCATGGTGTTGACATCGGTCGTGATCTCTTTCCATCTTCCATCAATATCTTGAACATCGGCTTGACCACCCATCTTTCCGTCAACACCGACATCGCGAGCAACGCGTTTTACGGCTAGCGACCAGTCGTCCAAGCGGGTGACCATGTCGTTGACAGTGTCCTTTAGAAGTCGAATTTCACCCTCTGCGTCTACATGTACTCTCCTGCTCATGTCACCCTTGGCGATGGCCTGAGTGACCTCGGAGATACTTCGCACTTGCAAAGTAAGGTTCTGAGCCATGGTGTTGACGTTGTTGGTCAAATCTTTCCATTTGCCCTCCACATTATCGACTTGCGCTTGGCCGCCCAAGATACCGTCTGTGCCCACTTCGCGAGCCACCTTGCTCACTTCCTGGGCAAATGTGTTCAGACGGTCAACCATCGTGTTGATGGTGATCTTCAGAGACAGAATCTCGCCCTGGACTTCGGCCTTGACTTTCCTGCTCAAATCTCCACGCGCGACAGCAGTTGTGACTTCGGCAATTTCTCGCACTTGTGTTGTAAGGTTCATGGCCATACCGTTCACGTTCTCTGTGAGATCTTTCCAAGTTCCCTCGACACCGTGAACGGTAGCTTGGCCACCAAGTCGACCTTCCGAACCGACCTCTCGGGCAATCTTTGTGACTTCGTGTGCAAACTGCTGTAGCTGGTCCACCATCAGATTGATAGTATTCTTCAATTCCAAGATTTCACCTTTGCACTCGGCTTCGACTTTCCGTGTAAGGTTTCCTTGAGCGACGGCAGTTGTGACCTGGGCGATATCTCTGACCTGTGTTGTGAGATTCTGAGCCATAGCATTAACATTGACTGTGAGCTCGTTCCACATGCCCTGAACTCCGGCGATCTCGGCCTGGCCACCCAGTTTGCCCTCGGTGCCGACATCTCTGGCGACTTTGGTGACTTGGGTTGCAAAGGATTGCAGCTGGTCCACCATGGTATTTATCGTCTGCTGTAGCTGCAAAATTTCTCCTCTAGCGGGTCGTTCAATCTTCTTGCTCAGGTCGCCGTGCGCTACGGCAGTGGTTACTATCGCGATCTCACGGACTTGTTCGGTGAGATTCTTGGCCATCACGTTGACTGGTTTCGCGCGTCAGCCATGTTCAAAAAGCAAAACCCAACAAAGACATACCACTATCAGTAAGCTCGGCCCAAATACCGTCGACGCCAGGTAGATCTGCCTGGCCACCGAGCCTGCCCTCGGTTCCGACTTCCTTGGCCAGGAAAGTGACCTGGCTAGCAAAATCCTGCAACTGGTCCACCATGCGGTTAATAGTGCGCTTGAAAAGTGTGATCTCGGGGTCCATCTCTTTCGCGTGGATCAGAACCTTCTTGCTCAGATCGCCCATAGCGACAGCTGTAACAATGCTCCCGATTTCCCGTAGCGCCTTCTGAAAAGCCAGGTTGGCCTGCTGGTGCTTTCCAAGCTCTCGCTTGAGAGCGCCAATATCCTCGATGCCATGTGCGAATGCGGTGTTCTGGTTGTTTAATTGCTTGTTGACCTCGGCGCTCAGGTTGTCGATGTGCTCGCGCTGGTTCTTTATTTGGTCGGCCTGCTTGTTCAGGTGATCCCGCAGGTAGTTGAGCTGCTCCTCGGTGAGCGCGGCGGCAGGCTCAGCAGAGTCGGCACCGGACTCCTTCGCGGCCAGCCAGTTGCTGACCCAGGTGGCTCGCTTTTCTGATCCGCGGCGGTCTGGTGGGCCGCCGTTGCGGGCGGCGGGAGCGGAGGAAGGAGTGTACAGAAAAGGTCCGTTGGCGGGCTCCCCAGGCGTCATGGGGAATGTGTGGTTGTCTACGACATTGGCCTTGGCCTCGAGGTACTGCACGCGGGCAGCGAGGGCAGCGAGCTCTCCCTCGAGGGCAGCCTTCTCTGAGGAATCAGGGCCCGGAAGGACGACGGGACTCTGCTTTGCGCCATTTGCGGCGATCTGGGCGCGGAAGGAGGCATCGAGCCCCGGGTCGTGCGATCGTGCGAGGTTTTTGACAAAGGCTGACAGCCCTGTATAGGTTTGGGTAGCCATCGCTGATGCGAGTGAAGAATGAACGGCTAGTTGCAGCGCATGGGGAACAGAAGTAGGACGCTCAGTCTCTCGCGAACGACTGCGTCGACAGTGTGAGAACAATGAGGCTAGAGTCGCCCAACGAGAAGACGGTTATTGTGGTAGCGGACGATCGCCAGAGAGGGCTGTCGTGGTGGTTTCTGGCCAGGAGGCCCCCGCGCGTATGAAAGCAAGGTTGGCGTAGGTGCTAGGGGTAGGGGTCAGAGCAGCGAATGGCGGCGACGGAGGGAAGCGATCAATCCAGAACCATGCAGCCTGCTTCACAGAATCACGAACAGGGCTCGCGGCAGAAGGGAGAGAGAACAGAAGGCGAGCGTTAGTGAGATGCGGAGCAGCGTTGCCAGATCGGCCGATAATCTTTGTACTGTGCAGTGGTCCTAGCGAGCGCTTTCCTCTCCATCTAACGCTGCCGCTTAGCCTGCCTGCCAGCGTCGCGTTCCGCTCAGGTGGCGCAGGACGACGGGGGCTACTGGACTGGCTGCTTTGTGAGCCCAAAGGAGCTGCCGCTAGACAATGGTCAAATCTCGCATCCCACAATCCATGGCGCTGCACCTGGCATGGCTGCTCGCACGCGACGGGCGTCTCCAGCAGCGCCCGGTGATGTAATGGGCGCTGAGGCCATCCGGTCGCTCAGGACGGGACATTTGACATGGACTTTCACAGGCATGCACAGGCAAGCCGATCGCAGACCCATCGGACTCTCTGCACAGATGTACGCATGCCCTCGGATCACATGGCGGTCTGCGTGGCACGCTCGCAGCGTACGATTCAATCGAGGGCTCCCCAGCGCCTCGGCAAGAGCTGCACGTCTGCCCGCTGTTGCAAGAATAGGAGGGGGCAAATAACGGCCGGCGAGCCGTCCACACTTTGCACCCTTCGCAGCAGAAGCGCGGCGCCGTCGTGACGCTATCCAGACCCTGAGTTCCTGAGAGATTGCAGCGGGTTCCGCTCCTCTCCTCTCCGTCCGACGTCGTGGAGGCGATCCCTCCTCGACTCGGGCAGATGTGCAGCCAGTCGGCCCCCTTTGGGAGCTCGTCGAATTCCGCTGTCCCAGCTCCGCGACGCCCTCTACGCACACATCTCATCCTCTTCACCGGCGGCGTGACGCGCCCCTGTTTGATCGACACTCACGGCCTACACACCACATCGTGGAGATTGAGACTTCCCGATCAGCATGCAGTTCTGTTTCAACTCTACTCCGTTTCTTGAGCGCCTGAGCCTGCTGCCGTGCCCTCGTATCTACAGGGCCACGAGGGGCTTGCAATCGAACCGAGCACGCCGTGCTGCCTGCCCCACCACACCACTTCGCACCATGTCCAAGCCGCTACGGCATCGCGATTCCTAGCCGACTCCACCTAATAGACAGACGAAGCCGTTATGCCCGGCGTCGCGCCGTATGCCGCCCGTGAATCCCCCGTCACGTGTACCTCGCCGACACGTGGCTTTGCACCTTAGCCCCGTTCATTGCCTGGGTCTATGCCTGCTCCGTCCTTGTCACGAGCGGTGTGGGTTGGCATGTGGGTTGGCAGCACCCACTTGGGCCTGAACAGCTGTTTCGGCAACTTCGTGCCACAAGGAGAAAGTTCGGCGACGACTCTTCACCTCAGCTTCTTGGCGTGGGCGACCAAGCTCTCGATAACCTGCTCGAACTAGGGTTGACAAGGTTGTTAGTGTACACTCTGATAGCGCGGGAACCCTATGCATGCTTACAGCGTCCTTGTCACCCAATGCACTCTCCATACGCTTCTGCCAGTACTCAAACACCTCGTTGGCACGCTCTTTGAGTTCTTCCAAATGTTTCACGTGCGCCTGCAATTCTTCGTCGGTGAAGTTCCCAAGCGCAGCATCCGTCGTGGAGCAGAGCATGGTCGTCGAGCTGATGTCTAACTGGGGCGGCGGAGGTGGTCCTTTGCGTTTCCCAGATTTTGATGCTGACGAATCTACCGACGTTGAGGAGGCATTCTCCTTCTTCACCCTTCCCAGAGCCCCGTTCCGACTGTCTGCTGAAGGTCTCGGCGACTTCTCGCCAGGGATGTGTATGGATGGTAGCACTAATTTCTTCTGTTTGGATGCTGGTAAAATCTCGTCGAGGTCGACAGGTACCCCTAGCGACACCAGGAACAGTCGCCGAATCCGCGAACGGACCCAGTCTGGAGGTTGTAGTGGCGGTGGTGCAACGAGCTGCGACCATAATGATTCGCTTCGCTCCGACAGAAATATCGATCGGAGTGCGGCTTGGTTCGTAGCAATGCTGGGTATCTCTTTCAGAGACGGGTATATATCATCAATGTAAGGTTGTGTGGCAATGGCAATATCTTCAAGGGTGGTGAGGTCTTCGAACTCAAGGACAGGCTACGCATACTCCCCGTCAGCCAATGCATCACCGTGGAACAGGAACTTCAGGAGGCTGTAGACCCAGGATTGAATATTTCTCACTTACAGGGCCCAGAGAAGGGGCGGGTATAGAAGGCTGTTCTGGGGGTTTGTCAAATGTAGTCTCGGTGTCTTCCTCGCCTTGCTGAAACCCATCATCGAAATCCCCAAAATCGTCCCCTTCCCCGCCCTCCTCAAAGTCGTCGAAATCGTCGCCAAACCCGTCGTCATCCTCCGCAGCACCATCGCCTTCCGTAACATCGTGCTCAACCGCAGAGGCATCTTGGTCGTCGGGGTCGTCGTCTTCGTTGTCGGAGCTCATGGGAGATCTGCTTATGGAGGCGGTTGGCGTCCCTTCTTCCGTCAATCGTACGTAGGGAGAAAGAAAACTCGCCTTACGTACCCTCGGGTTTCTGATCTGGAGGCTGCGGCGCTTTCAGCACAATGTCAGGGACAGCGTCTGCAGCACGGAGATCATGGGCCAAAGTGCCGGGAACATCACCGTGGCTAGGTGCGTCTGGGTCGATTTTCTCCACCACGGTCTTGGGAATCTGGGTGCCTCCTGGGGTATACGGACGGTCACTTATGCTGACCCTAGAAGCACTGCGGCTGCGCTGCCCTTCCGGAACAATCTCTACCTCATCTGGCACTGCATCCTGGGTGCGTTTCTCGTAGGCGTCGGTGCCTGGAACCTCACCGTAGCTGGGCTCATCATCGACACGTTCCACACGGGTCACAGGGATGGGTGAGGTGGCATTAGATCGGTCGGGCTGTCCAGGGCGCCCTTCAGAAGCGTCGGAGAAGTGTTCGTCACCAGACGACTCTGCGGCTGTGGATTGGTTAGGTACGTATGGTTGTGACGGAAGCGCAATACTTGCCCAAGTCCTTCGTGCCAGAGTCCTCCAGCTCGATGCTCTTGCGCGGAGGAGCCAGTTCGTCGGCCATATCGACTGATTGGGGAATGTACTTAGACAATAGCTAGAATAGAGGGTGCTCGTCACTAGAGTTGCTGTAGGGAAGAGGGTGGAGAGGAGGACAGCGCTCAGGGAAGTGTTGAGCAGTACGTGTGACTATCAAGCCGTAATCTAGAAGTGACGCCGCCCAGTCGCAAGCATTATGTTTGGCAGTTGGCAGCGGGGGCGTTCTAGAGCTCCAGGCAGGCGCGCGGCGGAACAATTCACCGAGCCTGGTTCGTGCTTTCCGCGTGGAGATCCAAACTTTGGAGCTGCAGCGCGACAGTGACGCTGCAGGCAAGCGGTTGGTCGCATCAGCCATAATTTCACATTCCGTGCGCGATCTTGATTGATACCAATCAATCGGACCCAATCAACTTGATTCTACAATCGCTCCTTTCTTCGACTTTAGCTACCTCTACAGAGCGCTTCGTAGTGCAACGGCAGGTAAACAGCTCCGCGACAGCTCAACCTTGACACATAACTCACAAAGCAACAGAAGCTGTGACCCACGCACCATGGCGTTCAACTTTGGAACCAACAACAGCAGCACGCCGAATAAGCCTCTGTTTGGCGGCGGTGCAGCGACTCCCGGGACATCAAGTCTGTTCGGCGGCGCGAATAACAACCCAGGCTCCAGCACACCAGGTGCAACTCCGACCCTCTTCGGCAACGGCGCTGCGAGCTCAGGATCCACATTGTTCGGAGGCGGGTCAAGCACGCCCGCTGCAAGCAAGCCTAGCCTCTTCGGAAACACGCAGGCCACGTCCGGCGCATCGCAGCCAGCTTCAGGTGGCTTCTCATTTGGCAATGCTGGCGGTAATGCCGGAGGAGGCGCGAAGCCCTCGCCATTTGGTGGAGCAGCCGCCGGTGGAAATTCTGGCTCGTTGACGGGAGGGACCACGGCGACGACTGCACCCTCATTCGGCTTCATGAAACCCGCAGGTACGTGGAGATTGACAGACATGATAGGTTTGACATCATGAATAATGCCATGGGTCGCATCAAAATAGTGCGCGAATGCTAACAACACTACAGAATCGTCTACGCCAGCTGCAACACCCGCTCCCAACAAGACCTTCGCTCTCCCCTCCACAACACCCGCAGGACCACCACCAGGCAGGAGCTTATTCGGCCAGGCTGATGCAGGCGCAAGCACTGCCTCGTCTATGTTTAGTGGTGGAGCTACGAAACCCGCATCCACATCCTCCACACCAGGCATCTTTGGCAGCGCGGCCCCCAGTTCGACTCCCGCGCAACCGGCGAGCAACGCGAACCCTTTTGGTGGCTTTGGTAATAAGAATGCGCCCAATGATGCGAACAAGAGTACGCCTGCGCAGCCAAGCGCTCCGGCCGGTGGTGCAGGTCCGCAAGCGACAGCTCAGAGTTCTTTGTTCAGTCTTGGTAGCACAACGCCTGCAGCTACCCCGGCAAACAAACCAACCTTCGGTTTTGGACAACCTGCTTCATCTCAACCTACCTCGAATGCTACGCCCGCACTTAGCTTAGGAGGAAACAAGACACCATCATTGAGCCTTGGTGGGGATCAATCAGCGCCAGCGTCTACGGGTAGCACACCTGCCAACATGTCGAATTTGTTTGGAGGTGGAGGTGCAGCTAGTGGTGCCACTCCAGCGACAACTCAGAGCTCAGGCAATTCCTTGTTCAGTCGTATGACGCCTGCCGCAACCTCAGCAGGCGGGTCAACTCCAGCGCCAGCATCGACAGGCGGGCAATCATTGTTCGGCGGACTAGGCGGCCAAAAGCCGGCATCTTCTGGAGGAGCAACAGCTGGAACTCCAACGTCTACATCCGGACCCTCTATGTTTTCGAATGCTGCATCTTCGTCTGGAGCTGCACCAAGCGGCACCGCCACCTCTGGCTTCTCTTTATTCAACAAGGGAACCAGCGCAACGCCCGCTGCATCGACTGGAGCACCGAGCGGAACGACAACTAGCACAGCAGCATCTTCGCTCTTTGATAAGCCGGGGGCTTCTAACGCAGCTTCTTCTGCACCAGGTGCGACGTCAACTGCTGCCCCAACCTCTACCGCCGCTACTGGTGCTGCATCTGGACCGTCTGGAGACGCAGCCAAGAGCGGCTTCGCGACTTCCACTGCTGGTCCGGCACCCTCTGCACAATCGCGCCTCAAGAACAAGTCAATGGACGAAATCATTACCCGTTGGGCTTCCGATCTGTCCAAATACCAGAAAGAGTTCCAAGCCCAAGCCAATACAGTCGCTAAATGGGACCGCGCACTGGTGGAGAACTCGGATAAGGTCAAGCAATTATACTCGAAAACCTTCCAGGCCGAACGTGACGCACAGGAGGTGGAAAAGCACTTGACGCACATCGAGGACAACCAGGCCGAGCTGGACCACTTCTTGGATAAGTACGAGAAGGAGATCGACCAGATGATGCAGATCCACGGTGTCGGCGGCAGAGCAGACAGCCTGCGCGGCCCCGACCAAGAGCGCGAGCGAACGTAAGTTGCCCTTCCTCCCCTTCACCTCAGATTAAAATTCAACTCACAAATTTACAGTTACAAACTCGCCGAGAAGCTTCAAGACCGCCTCAACGAGCTCAACAAGGACCTCACCGAGATGATCGAGGAGATCAACACCACATCTCAGACGCTCAGCAAGTCTGGCAAGCCTGACGATCCGCTTACTAAGGTCGTCCGCGTGCTCAACAGCCAGCTCGCGCAGCTGCAGCTCATCGACTCGGGGGCCGTGCAGCTGCAGCAGAAGATTGACCAAGCGCAGAAGGCGGGCCAGCGCGTGGGTGCGAATGGGTGGAGTGGGTTGGGGAGTGATCCAGCGGAGGACTTTTATCGGAGCTTTAGGGGCGGGCGGACGGAGAGGTTTGGGGGTGTCGTAGGTCAGTTACAACGTGTAAGGGTGGGTAGGGGTAGCTGGTGTGTCTGTCAAGAAGGGAAGGGTATTGGTTTAATGATATGATTGGATTGCATTGGATTGGATTGGACACGCTGGGTGAAGTTTTGCAAGGGATTCTACGAAGGCGCGCGTGGAGATGTACAACAAATGCTGCGTGTTTGAGTGTGCGTGTTGCATGTGCTAGGCACGGCGTTCATAGTGAGTTACGTGCAAGTTAGTCCTTCACGTTAGTCCTTCAAATCCTTTGCGGTGGTGCGTGAAAACTCTTTGTAAATACATTACGGTCATGAGGTTTGCCTCACAGATCGCAGCCCCTCCTGTACAGTTCTTTTCTCGAGCGAGTAAGCATGCATGTCATTGGTCATGGTACGGGTGCTTCAGCTACCGGCATCACATCCATATCTGGATCTGCTATGGGTGTGTTGATGCACTTGCTCAGTATCCCTGTCCGACTCCTCTACTCCGTGGGATGATTATACAATTGAAGCATTCCCAGGAGAACGAATCGCAGAATGTAATCTAGGAAGAGGTTCCGCTTTACTTTGCTCATGAAGTTGCAGGTTTATTGGACGTTGCATACGATTTACGAAGAGGCGATGTGCTCACGTAAGGAGGGCTCAGTCGTCATCATGGAGATAAGGCCGTCTACTGAAGCGGGTTATGTGTTGCATGTGGATTGCTCGGACGCTGGCGTAGGGGAAAAAGGCCGAGGGGAAAGGAAAACAATGCCGAGAAGGATGGCCCGGCATTTGTTAGCCGTGCATTCGTTGATCTGACGTGAAGGCCACAGTCCTTGAAGCCGGTTGTAGACCGCCATATGTGAGTCAAAGCATGGACCATGGGCGCAGAAAGCGGTGTATAGCTGAGGTATACGTCTTTGTTGATGAGGTCAGTAGTATGTCTTGGGTGACGACCTTCGTAATGCAAACGCCTGAGGCATTGAAACGTCTGCAAGCCGGTTTGTAGATCAAGTATACATTGTTTGACTACTTCGCAATTGAGAGAAGACCAACATGCTTAGTTTTACAAGAGCCACCATGCAGAATCTGACAATCAGTTGCAATCTGCCCTGTTCTTCTTCCTCAGTCCTGGTATGCTTTATCGGCGTTCGTTGGAGTATATACGTCTACTGCTTGCCTCCCTGTCCGGGCTGCTCGCCCTGGCCGCCCTCCTGCGAGGTGACCTCGTCGCTGCGTTACGTCAGTATGCTACGGTGCGATCGGGAGACGGGTGAACGAACATGTGCTTGGTGAGCTCCTCGATGTGCTTCTGCTGCTGCTGGAGCTTTTGGCGGATCGCAAGGAGTCTGACGAAAGGTTAGTGGATCGACTGATAGTGTGTAGAGCTATGGCAAAGCTCGGGATGGACGGACCTGGCCTTCTCCTCCTGCCTGATGTACATCTCCTCGGCTGCGGTCTCGCGCTTGGTGAAAGCGTCACTGCAACGATCTTGTCAGCATATCCATTCGCAAATGAGTATGTGAGGGAGAAGTCCTACCCGCTGCGAACACCGCCCGCGCGCGAAGATCCAGAGCCAGCGTCGCCGGCAGACATGGCGCGCATGGAGGTAGACAAGCAGCGCTTGGTGGCGGGAAGGCGAGCTGCCTTGATGACGGAAGTGCGGAACATTGTGTTTGTGTTGATGGGAGAGCAATTGGACGAGATGCGGGTATATTTGGGAGGGGAAGAGGTGGTTCGATGAGCTTGAGAGCCATTGGCGCGAGTTGGAGCTTTGGGCACGGGCCTGCGTCATGTCATGTGACATTTGGGTGACAGGCGGAAACAACCGTGGGTGATGTGTCTGCATTTGGAGGCCATGGTCCCTGGATGCTTGTGGAGATCATGCATCGAAGCGACGAGACATGTAGAAGAAGTTTTCGTGTTCGCCATTCTGATGGTAGCAGGTGTTAGCGTCCACACCTGGCAGCGCTACAGAGCTGGAGGGCTGAAGGTGAAACCCCGCATAGACAAGTCAATATATTCGTATGGGAGCCTCTGTTTCAGACGACAGCGCATGGCAGGTCTCGGAATGCTTAGTGAGGCTTCGCTTCAGCTACAGCGCCGTGCGACCGCGCAAGTGAATGCAGCGCAGGACTCATTGGGAGGCAGCCTCGTGAGCGGGGCAGCCGACGCAAGGCGATAACCGGAGCACGACGTGATGGTATCGCGTAGTATTGTTGGCGCTGGCCAGTAGAGCCGGCACGCAGTAGTCTACCAGTCTCTGCGCAGGCAGTGCGATCGCCGCAGTGTGAGAAGGCGCGCCCCTTCTGCATCTGGGCTGTGAGTAGGCACGGCCGTGTCTTGGCAAGAGCACATTGACCTCCTCAACTTCACCTCTCCCCACTCCATATCAACACCGCCCACCATCCACAGGAGACCTATACCCGTCCCGCCCTTCCAAGCACCACCGATCGCCAATTTTCTGCAGATACCTGGCTCTTGTCGCTCGACTCCCTTTCGTAAGTACCTACCCACGCGTTGGCTTTCGTCATCCCCCCCTCCTCTAAAGCCGCGGATCGGGCTGCAATTTGCTCCCACGCCGCCTTGCCGCACGCCAGCCAGTGCCATCAAGTCGCCGCCTCCGCCGTTTCCGCCAGCCTCGAAGAGCCTCGCTGTGGCATATCAAGGCAGAGAGGGCCTTTTACGCACCCACGCTGGTGTAAACTCTGCGCGACCCCTCCACAACACTGCTCGCTGCAGTAGCGTGCGGCTGCTCGCGCACACAAACGGTGAACAGCCACCCGCCGCACGTCCCAATTGGCGCGCCTTTCAATAGAGAGCAGCGATCGCCTGTTTAATCGGCATTCTCTGCGACAGACTCAACACAACACTGGCATCTGGCACACTGGCTGGCGTGACGTCGTCATAGACTGCGCCTCACTTCTACAGCTGCCATCTGCTAACCTTGTCTCTCATCAGATCTTCCTACAACAACACAATGGGTTACGAAGACTCAGTCTACCTGGCCAAGCTGGCCGAGCAGGCCGAGCGCTATGAGGGTAAGCATCCCAGAAACAACATAGAAATTCACACCCTGACCGCCTTGCAGAGATGGTCGAGAACATGAAGGCTGTCGCCGGCGCAGATCAGGAGCTCTCCGTTGAGGAGCGAAACCTCCTTTCCGTCGCTTACAAGAACGTTATCGGTGCCCGCCGCGCCTCGTGGAGAATCGTCACATCCATCGAGCAGAAGGAGGAGTCCAAGGGCAACGAGACCCAGGTTGGCCTCATCAAGGAGTACCGCCAGAAGATCGAGGCCGAGCTTGCCCAGATCTGCGAGGACATCCTGGCGTGCTTGGACGAACACTTGATCCCCTCTGCCGAGAGCGGTGAGTCCAAAGTGTTCTACCATAAGATGTAAGTCTCGGGAACACCACTAGGTGCACTGTGAGCACCCAGTCTGACCTCCACTACAGGAAGGGTGACTACCACCGCTACCTCGCCGAGTTCGCTGTCGGCGACAAGCGCAAGACTTCCGCCGACAAGTCGCTCGAGGCCTACAAGGCTGCCACTGAGGTCGCTGCTAGCAGCTTGGCCCCCACCCACCCCATCCGCCTTGGTCTTGCGTTGAACTTCTCCGTGTTCTACTACGAGATCCTAAACTCCCCGGATCAGGCTTGCCAGCTGGCCAAGCAGGCTTTCGATGACGCTATTGCCGGTACGTACCAAGTCAGGAATAAAGCTTGGCATGGCTAACTTCGTTGCAGAGCTCGACACCCTCTCTGAGGAGAGCTACAAGGACTCCACTCTCATCATGCAGCTTCTCCGTGACAACTTGGTAAGCGCCCATGACCAACCTACAAACTTTATGGAGACTAACGTAACTCACAGACTCTCTGGACCTCTTCCGAAGCCGAGGCTCCCGCAGAGTCCACTCCCGCAGATGCGCCCTCCGCCACCGCCGAGGCGACGAAGGAGGAGCCCGCTGCGCCCGCTGCCGCCGCGGAGGAGCCCAAGGCCTAAATGTCTACAACGCTCGGTTCGGAGAGGCAAAAGTGAGGGTTCTCGGTTTGGTGCATCGGAATGGGTAACAAACGCCTGGTCATTGGTCCCGTGGCATGGAAGGTTCTTTAGGGTGCTAAGGGCTGCGCTTCATTAGACTCCGAAATCATCCTGTCAACATCATATCCCGCCTTCTATCCCGGTCCTTCCTCGCCACTAATGCGCTCCCTTACCCACGAACGGTCTTGTATGCTCTCTCGGATTCGCTGGATGGGGGATGGGTCTGGGCCTTCGTTGGACATATCTTACCCTGCGAAGCACTGAGAGGTTCACGAGTCTACGATTCAAAGACGAACTACCATATATTTCCTTCCCAATCTTTCCTTTTTGTGTTGTCCGCTGTCTCTTTTCGCGCGTGTGCCTGAGTAGTGCATGCGATTAGATGTGTTTGCGCAGTCTTCACAACCCAAAAATGAAATAAGATGATATAGGCTCGCGAGAGCTGGTTATAGCTGGTCTTGTTTATCGTATTTGAAGATTCTGTGAAGTTGAGGGATTTGATGCTACTAGTGGTAGGGAAGTGATGTCATCCTAAGAAGGGGAGAGTGAAGGGAAGAGTGAAAATTGTAGGTTTGTGGTTCAGGTGCAGTGTCCTCGGTTGCTACTAATTCTAGGTTGTTTCTAGGAACTGGTGAGGCTTCTGATATCTACGGTCGTACGCTGACATTGTTTTCTACTTATCCCACGAGAAGGCTCGAGGAAGTAACTGCCACTTTATCTTGATTAGGATAGCTTCTTCCGGCACCACTCGACATGGACCTGACCACCACCCTGATCTCCATCGCTGTCTTCGTCCACCACGCAAGCAACTACTGTCTATGAATACATGGTTACCGGCGTCGGGACTGGCGGACTCGTGCTAGCGGACTCGTGCTAGCGAATAGACGATCTGGAGATGCATCTGTATCCGTGACAGTTGTGTAATCGAGCCGGGCACTGCTCAAATTTCGAACCCGCCCGTCTGAAACGCTACAGATTCTGAGAGTATCTCCGGATAGCATTGCGAGACTACTCTGTATCAATTGCCGTGTGCACTGTTGCTGTCGATGAGGAGTAACAGTTGACATTGGCAGGTAAGTAGCGAGCCGGATGGTTATTTTTAAAGTCGAGACTTAAGGAGGTAAGACGTTGAAGACACATGCATGGCATTCGAAAATTCTCGATGGTTATGTTTTGCTTTGGCGGATACGGACGGAGATGGAGACTTCATCTGCGAACTCACTCTCGCTGTTGTATCCATGTCGTTCTGACACGACGACCGATCGATCACGCGCCACAAACACCTCTTGCCGATATTCGATTCGTTACTGGATAAGCGAGACGAGAAGTCGCTAAGACGTACTGTCATGTCGGACGTGCCGAAAAAGATTTCTAGAACTGGCGAGTTTTGGCCGACTAAAAATAGCTGGGGAATGAGGAACCGGATGCGAGAATGTACGGTTCGCGCAAGAAACACCAGGCGAAGTGTGCGATCCCGCTTTTAGACTCGACGCGAGCATGTGCCATCCACAAAGTGTCCTTGCACCGAGGATATTTATGGCACTGCTACGTAGGGCTATGTATCTGCCGTTCGGCGACAGGGCAAAGTGCTCCACAGTCCAGGTACAGCTGACCAGCCAAACGCTGATTAGATCCAGTGAAGTTCCACTTTGGGTATTGCTCCTGCGTTCACGGATGTACTGCCATATACCGGCTTACCGGCTTGAGCAAAGACAAGAGATAGTTTGACCTACGTAAAACTGCTCTAATCTTCTTATAGACCAAACCAGGCCTCGGAAGCATCCAGGTGCGACGGCACCGAGTGGCCAACACCCACAGCCCAGATACCCTCAACATTCGGACCGAAGTCATCCATCCTGTAGTTCTTATCCGGCGTGTCCGGCTTCGACGACGTCGGCGTGATGCTAACGTTGAACACATTTGTCCACTGGTCGATTGTCTCCTGATAATTGTTGGGTGATAGAGTGCCATCAACCGACCCATGCCAGATTTGCATACGAGGACGTGTGCCGGTGTAGCTAGGATACATGGCTCGAGCTACGTTGCCCCATTGTTCCGGACTTGCCTTGCTGTTGCCACCGCTGCAGGTGTTGTTCCAGGCAGCAGCAGCCCCTGATGAAGAGACAAAACAGCCAGCAGGTACGCCGGAGTAGAGCGATACGGCAGTGATGAGGTCGGGATAGGTCGCAGCCATGACATTGGACATCATCGCTGATTGGGGTTAGCCAATGATCAGCGGTCAAAACACGTAGACTTACCTCCGGATGAGCCACCCGTTACGAAAACCTTCTTCGGGTCGATCTTGTATTCGGTGATCGCATATTTGATCTAGAGAATGTAAGCCAGCTGACGTGCAAAAACCAAGGGGATCACCCACCATATTCGCGATCGCATTCGAGTCACCTCCGCCATTGTGTGTAAGTGAAGCTTTGCTCGAAACATCCCAGCATTCAGTTGTTGAACTTGGCCAAACCGTCACATAGCCTTTCTTGTCAGAGCCTTGATGCCATGGAATCTTGCTGTTCTGGAAGTATTTCTGTGCGGAGGACTGGCAAGAGTGGATGGCAACCACAAGCGCATCGCTCTTTACTGTGTCTGGAACGTACACCCACCTGGGGGTAGGTCGTCAGCATGTTCCGTTAAGTGTTTCGACGACACTCACATTCCAGGCTTTGCTTTGGCGTCATTGTTATAGTTCGTCACCTGCTTCAGTGATGCCCCGAATGCGCATGCTCCGAAGGACAAGATTGTGGCAACGATTCGGAAATTCATGGCGGCAAATCTGGAGATTTCCTGATGATCTAGTGACTTCGAAGACAGCAGCTGGATATGTATCGCGCCTCACTGTCCGCCACAGGCGGGGCTCTCTTCACCCATTCGTGGAAATACGAAAATGGAACTGACCCACAAAGCTTCGCAGATGATCGCACATTGTAAGAAGCTCATCTACAGTAGCTATCATCCCAAAGCTGCGACGTCTGTAGGCTAAAATGCAGGGATCAGCAATCAAGCTTTCAGCTAAGCCTTCCGCAATATCAACCGGCTGTGAACGCGCACCCCTGCTTGCCACTTTTGGCGATCTTCGCAGTGTAAAATCCGTTGAAGCGATTGACCATGACCATGTCAATTCGCGTGCATATTGCTACACTGCTTGACGGACCCCATCAGAGGACACTCGCATACCAGCGCAAGAAGTCAGGTGCTGTTCTTGTTGATTAAGTGGAACAAACACCGGGATGGTAGCCGATTTACCCACAGCGAGACTGCCGGCAATCTATTGCTGGATGGGTCGTACCAAAGGTGGGACTCATATACTGCTGATAACCCTGGGGATGTGGGGAAATACTGCAGTGCTGCTACCACATTTGAAGCAATTCAAGAGGTACGTCACCATAAACACAATCCGATCTTTCGCCGAATTACACCACATCACGTTGCCATCTGAAGTTTCGTGCGCACCAGACTATTCACGCGTGCGCCTGTGGCTTAATCGTGGTGAAGGTGATCTGACACCAATGTCTCCTAGACAGCCTTTGATAGCAGCAACGATGTGGCGCACTGTCGTACTCGCAGCAGGCTTGCTAGTCTCACGCGCCTCAGCACACGGAGGATGCTTGAACTACACGGTCGGCGACACCTGGTATCCGGGGTATCGACTCCCTCTCATTGCATACACCCTTCATCGCTAACGCAACTCACAGATACTCCCCTTTCGACGATCAAGCTTTCCAAGACGCCGCCCCATGGATGGTCCAAAGAAAATGGATAACCAACGACCCCATCTTCGAGCCCACCAACATCTTACTCTCCTGCAACACACCAGGCACTCCCGCACGCGCTTACATCCCCATTCTCCCCGGTCAAAACATCACCGCTGTCTACATGTACTGGGTGCACACCGTCGGCCCAATGATCGCCTGGATGGCGCGCTGCCCCAACGACGACTGCCACACCTTCGATTCCTCGACAGCCTCCTGGTTCAAGATCGGCGAGCGCGGGCTCCAAGACGGGACTATCGAGCTAGGCAACTGGTTCCAGAAGACATTCTCAAACTGGGACGGCACCCCTAGTTTGTGGAGCGAGACCATACCGAAGGGTTTGAAGAAGGGAAAGTATCTTGTCAGACATGAGATTATTGCCTTGCATAGTGCGCATAAGCCTCAGTTTTATCCCGAGTGTGCGCATTTGGATGTTGGGGGGGAGGGAGCAGAGGAGCCTGGGGAGGAGTTTTATGCGAGCATTCCGGGGGTGTGGAGTATGGATCGTAGGTGTTGCTATTCAGGACGGGGGCAAGGCTAACGGATGCAGAGCCTGAGATTAATATCGATATTTATGCGCCGGGTGTTTCGAATAGGACGGTAAGTAAGCATTCGCTTCGTTGTAGTTCGGTGGCTGACATACTGTAGACGTACAAGATACCGGGACCACCGGTGTGGAATGGAGTGTAAGAGACGACACATTGTAGATGATGATTGTGTCCCTTGACACAGTAACGTCTAAATCTCGTTGCATTTGTCGTTATACGATCAAAGTTTAGACATCGCTATTTTGTATGCAATGGTCACAGTTCAAATCAAGATCTTTGGCCTTCTATGTCTTATGTTGCGGAACTGACCCCAATGCGTTTGAGCGCTTAATGTCTTATTCGAATTTCAGACGCGACCACACGACTCTTAATCAGCCGAGAGGGAGGTATGTCGTATAGATACCCATCTCGCCTGAAAGAAAGACAGACTTTCCACATTGTGATTTCGCTATTGGCGCACTGGAAGTTCAACTGCACGAACGATACGTTCTGGTCGTCTGAAAAAAGGCTGACTTGGCCCTCGTGGAGCACTTCCGACATCACACTCAGTATATCTACACGGCGTTCCGTGTAGAAGTATCATGAACAGCGCTTTCTGGGAACATATTCTGTTCGGCAATCCACATGAGCTCTTGGATGTTGCCTCAAACTTTCACATGGACCGCATCATGGGAATATTCCTCGTCTAAGCGCCAGAGAAATATGCGCCTTGTATCTTTCCAAAAGCATCAGTAAATATCAAGTGATGCGTCGCAAAACCCTTAGCTACACGATCTCATGTATTTTCAACCTTCCAAAATGTCGAACGTACGACCCCATGGAATCTAAAGGCTCAACTGCTGATGATGAAGATGGGAACCATCAAGGTAAGCTCGAGGTATAAAAGCCCTTGCTTTTCTTCCTCTGTCCTTCACACTATGGCTCTACCTGGGGGTAGACTAAAAGTAGAGGCCGAAGAGACACATGGGGAGGAAGAGTGCGAGAATCCCATGCAGATCGACTGGATGGGATCGTCTACAAGAAATTCGAATGCGATCTAAGATGTTTGCGGCCGGCCAGATGTCTTGGCGGCTGCCTGCGTGGGCGCTTTTGAAAAGGACGAGATAGACGATTTGATGGCCCTGCGGTAATAAAAACTTCTATATGCCTCGATGTGAGCCCTCCTAACTTTATGAGCAAAGAGTGATACACATGCGTCTCCTTTCCTCAAATGCTCTTCGTGGACGTTTATGTAAATTATCAAACGCTCTGGATTTTGGGTCATGTTGCGTGAAGTTGTTCTCCATAAAAGCTGTCACCAGATCGTGCCCAGCATCTGCACAGCTTGATGATGCCCACCATCGTCTTCCGCGTAACCCACTTGCAGATCCGCCATACGCCATTGTCGCATAGAAGACCAGACGGCCTTGGCCTATATAAGCCCCTGCCGCTCCTTAGCTTGTTCCTTAAACCACAACTCCGCATCAGAGCGGGCTAAAAGAAGAAAACCAGATGGTCCATGGGTGGTACAGCTTCAAAAGCTCACAATCCATGATCATGACTTCGTGGTGTGCTAGGACTAAAAAAGACATGGCAAAGAAGTTGATGAGCTCGCGGCGTCGTGGAGTGCTTAACCAAAAGCCATCGAGATTGGATGTCATGCGTTCCAGTGCAGACTCACCAACTGCGTTGCGTGTGACGCACAAGCTAAAGTGAGGCCGGACGTTCTTGACGTATAAAGACCATGCTTCTTCCTCGCTTCGGCCTCTGCACAATACCTCTACCATCTCCAGGCTTCAAACAACACCAAGTTTGTCTCATGGGTTGATGGAAGTCCAAAAACCACAAGATGCTCCTCGCATGAGATTTTCTCGTGAAGGATCCCTTAAAAGCAAAACGTTACAGCACGAGCTCATGAGCGCGTGTCTCTGTGAAAGCATTGCATCAATATCGCATGAAGCAGATCAGAATGCGGCGTTGCAGCCAACTATGTCGCAGGGTGATGAGAGCGGCGGTGCCGAGCATACGACCGGACGACACTACGACATAAAAAGCTGCTCTGGCTCTCTGGCTTGATCTGCTACAGTTCCCCGTCGGGCAGACTAAAAAGCGCTTGAATCAAGATGCATGGGCTCGTCGAGCTCTGCAAAAGTATAATTGACGTATGTATGAGCTTATGGTCTGTTGCTGCTTCAAAATCCACGTACAGCAATTTTATGAGCTCGTCATGCGGGGCTTCGTTGAATTATTGCATCACAATCTGGAGACTTCAGCGACATGTTTTGTTGCAGCCAACTATGTCGCAGGGCGATGATAAACATAGCGTAGAGGACCGGACCGGACGACTCAACGACATAAAAACCCCCTCGGTTTCTCAAGCTTGATCTTCACTACAGTTCTCCGCCGAGCGGATCAAAAAGCGCTCGAATCAAGATGCATGGGTTGTTGGAGCCCACCATCGAGGTGATCATGTGCCGGTGGCTTGTTGGAGCTCAAAACGATCTGCAAAAACGTCCATGAGTTTGGCCTGTCGGAGTTCAAAAGCACACACACACAGCGGGTTCATGACTTCTTCGTGCGGTCCTTCGCATAAAAAGCAGATGAAGAACAACATGCGCTCATCGTGGTGAACGTGAACTTGACTGCACAGTGATGACGGGCGTAGGACCGGACGACTCAACGACATAAAAAGCCCCTCGCTTTCTCATACTTGATCTTCACTACACTTCTCCGTCGAGCGGACTAAAAAGCGCTCGAATCAAGATGCATGTGCTCGAAACGATCTGCAACAGACTCTATGAGGTCGTCGTGTAGTGCTTAGTTAAAAATCAGATGAATAACAGCATGAGTTCATTGTGGTGAATGTCAACTTGGCTGCATGGTTATGACGGACGTAGGATCGGACGACTCGACGGCATAAAAGCAGCTCCGGCTCTCCAGCTTGATCTTCACTACAATCCTCCGTGATAGGGACTAAAAAAGAACGAAATCCAGATTCATGGGCTGTTGGAGCTCCAAAAGGTCCACAGAGGTAATCATGTGTCGTTGGCCTGTTGTCGCTCCAAAACCCATGTACAGCGATTTCAAGAGTTCGTGGTGCGGTGTTTCCCCAAAAGCAGATGAAGAACAACATGGGTCCCTCTTCGTGGAGCACTGAATAAGCCAACGCTCGTGCTGATGGGATTGTGGCGTGGCAGGCGTCTAGAAGGACAAGGCGGAGCGAATGATGGATCGGTGGTGTGGTGGATCTCTAGGACCAACTCCCTAAAAGTTCATGAGCTTCTGGCTATGTGAGACCCTCAAAAGAAGTTCACATAGATATGTTCGGAAGATGGTTTTAGTCTTCCTTCGAGCTCGTCACCAACGTCACATATCCTACTCAGTGCGCAAACATATCAGTGGCCCAAAGATTGCAGTGTATCCACGCATGTAATCCTAAGACACAGCCTACCACAACATTATGTAGCTCACGGTCATCAAAGTCATTATCAATTTCAGCCAATGAAACCCATCACCGTCTCTCCACCTCACTCATCACTCACCCCCTCGCCGCCCTCCTATTCATCAAAACCCGATACCTCGCCGCATAGTCCTCACTCGCACTCATCTCCTTCTTCCCGCTCTTCCACTTCTCAGGCTCCGTGTTGTCCATCTCTGCGACAAGCGTCCGGATCTGGTGCCGCACCACTTTGAGCAGTAGATTGTCTGACAGATGCGCTGGTATGTCGACGGCAGGGACGACGTGCTTCTTGTTCTTCTCCGCGTCTTTCTTGTCGGATTTGGTCTTGGTGGCAGAGGCAGCAACAGGCTTACCGCATTTATCGCACTTGTTCGCGCAAGTGCAAGTGTCTTCTTTCTTTTCCTCGGCCACCACGGCGCCAGTGCCGTCAGCAGCAGCAGCAGGAGTCTCATCTTCCGGCGCAGAGTCCGCCTCCGCCGCATCCACGATCTCAAAGTCATCGCCTCGGAAGCCACGTACGAGACTTAGCAGCGCCATAACGAAGAGCTCCTTCAGATACGCGAAGCTGAAGCCTTCCGTCAGCGCGGCGATAACACTGCACAGCTCCTCGGGGAACTCTAGTCCCTCGTTGCGCTTTAGTAGCTTCTGCCGCCAGTACTCTGCGTACAGTGTGCGCTCTTTCTCGCCCGGGAGCTTGAAGTGGTACTTGCGGTCGAAGCGGGAGGGACGCTTCGCGATGGCGGGGTCGAGCTTGTCGAGGTGGTTCGTAGACCCGATCATCAAAATCCCATCGTTTGACTCCAGCCCGTCAACCTCATTGAGGAAGTACGAGCGAATGTTGTCATCAACAAGAGAGTCAAGATCCTCGAAGATAAGCAGGCAGGGCGCGCAGCGACGTGCTTGTTGGAAGATCTGCCGGATGGAGTACTGTTCCGTATTGCACTTTGTTTCGAAGCTCTTGACGTACAAGCTTGAGACCTGGTCGGGGCGCGCATAGAGGCTGTTGATAAGTGCCTTGATGGAAACTGTTTTTCCGTTGCCTGGCACGCCGTGGAGGATGATGCCGCGCTTCCAGGGGACGGCGTACTGTGCGTAGAGCTCCTGGTTGTCGAAGAAACCTTGCACGTCTTGGATGAGGCCTGTTTTCATGTCCGGGTCGAGTATCACATCTTCCCAGGAGGATCCCTCGACGGCTTTCCAGAGCTCCTTTGATTTCTCCCAGTAGCCGTTGTCGAAGACCCAGATCTCTTCGTGGAGGAGTGACGTCCATTTGCCGGCTGCGAGGGCGAGGGCATCGGTCTCGGCGCAGTGGCCTTCTTGAACGTTGGCATCGCCGTCGGTGGTGCGCGCGTGCAGGATGTAGAAGCAGCGAGTTTGTGGTTGGAAGGGGTCTTGGTAGATGAGTTGGAAAAGGAGAAACTTCTTGTCTTCCCATTCGTAGGAGAACCTAGTCTGCCATTAGTCCCCGTAATCCGTTGACGCGATGCCTTCATTCGAGTGACATACCTCGCAAAGTGGAACTCATCTTGCAGCCGGCCTGGGTGCGTTTTCTTCTCGATTCCAGTTCCCACTGGATGCCACTGCCTCGTAGCATTGAACGTCTCGTCATCGGCCTCGTGCGAAGATTTGGCCTTCCCCGCAGCCGCAAACTCTAAGAGCGAGCAGCTTCCTTGATCTACAACAGTGACGTGGTACTGAGGGTACTGCTTTCGAATGCTATTGAGGACGCGTTGCTTGGTCTCAATGCGCTTCTGACTGGCATGCTCATTGAAGGCATCGAAGACACGCTGTTCATCCGTGTCGTTGGTGAAAGAGACCTTGAAGCTAGACATAGTGAATTAAAAGGTTGGGGAATTTTCTTCGAGCAGTGTCGGTACAAACAAAGAACCCGATGTCGTGCCTCATCTAGGTGAGGATTTATAGCTTTATATAGCCTCGAGCGGCCGCCCTTCCCTTGACACGTACGCAAGCAAAGTCGTGAAGACTAGCTGCCGAGACGGCAAACGGTGAGCCCTAAGCGAGCACATCCTCGTGTACGGGCGCGAACTGGCCTGCACGAGTGTGCGTACGGTTAGGCAGCATCACTCTAGGCAGCCACCCTACGATCGCTCCATTCATAACCTACTCGAGGGTTCAAGGGAACAAAGTGGGTGTGTGGGAATGTGAGTGGCGTAACGGCGCCTGTAACCTCCGTGGAGGGCACTTCGATCGTTCATAGGTTGAGTTAAACACCTAGTGCATGTACGCGGTTCTTGCCAAAGAGTCATTGCCCTGGGACGCTACTGCACCCTTGATCTCACTGCAGATCGGAAACAACATGCGGCCTCCTATGATTATCGAGGCTAGGATGCGATTTCTTTTCTTCTTGACCGAGATTCCCAATTTGCATACGTACATGTGGAGATTCCTGATTCCCATGCGTATATGTTGAAAGCCGAATCTGGACATTCATAGTGCATGCCTATCTGGACATTACTAGCCTTCGAACGTCACTTGGCAACCCCATTTGACGGGAGAAAAATCTAACACGTCCTGGTAAAACCTACCCGAACATGTTGTGCTGCGCCGCACCAAAGCTAGAGGACGAACATTCACCCCGCGTCTCCCCAGACACTAGACAAGCAGACCCCGACCCCTGCGCACACTGGTGCAGACGAGACTGACTAACCCGCATCCGGCCCACCACAGAAGTACCTCACCAGGCTGAGGCACTCACGTGGCACTTTAGATACAACTACCTGCCCAAAATAAAACACGAACTGGTATCTGCTGCACAACGTGCATATGTTAACGCTCGTCTACGATAGCAATCGCACTTGTACTAGGCGAAGACAACATTTACCCAGATGCGGCAGCCATATTGCTTATGAACCCGCAAGGCTGAGGCTCAACTTCGTATCGACGAGAGCACGGCTTCCTGAACAGGTATTTTCGAGCAAAGGAGCCGCCCGACAATGGAGACACGAAGGTTTCCGCACATGTACGTACCGCAAACGGCCTCATCGCATGTCGCCGACTTATGTCAAACACAGAAGAAGGTCTGGGTATGCACGCCCAGGTCGACCCTCCACCCCTCATCTAGTCACTTCACATTGTCCAATCGAAGCACTTGGTTGATCCATGCAAATGATTATTCATTGGTATCTGATCAATTCCCTAATCCCTCGCATTCCAGCAGAGGTCTTTCTTTCATGTCATGCACGCCCACTCGTATCACCTCGCGGCCGTGAGTCCAAATACTCCCAATATCCCATGCACATGCAATCGAATCGAATCGTTACTTCGTCGAAGACCAGCCATCATGCTCTAGTGAGCAACGGCGGGGCCCTTGGTGATGTTTGTGTCGCCCTGGCGTTCCTTGGCCTAGTACCCCATGTTAGCACTTGTCTGGACACCGACCATGACATGTCATAGTGAGAGTTGCGGGATGGGCAAGATAGATACGTACGTCGGTCTCCTGCAGGTCGCCCTTCTCGATGATCTGCTTTACGACGTCCTCCTCCTTGTGCGTGCCAAACTCGTTCTCGAGCTGGAGGTTGGATGCCGAGTCGAGGATGCCCTGGTTGCCATGCCTGTTACCCCCGCATTAGCATTGAATTGTCCATACCCTCTACCTCCCGCCCACCACAAGGCTGAGAAAGAGGAGGGGTAAAGGCGGGGGTTAATACGTACTTGTGTGTGATGAATACCTTCCACCCGCTGACAACCTGAGCCAGCGGTACCGACTTGTCCTCCTTCCACTCCTTGACCGCGTTCGCGCTGTCCACGAAGATGATGAAGTCGTCCTCCTGGCCCTTGTAGTGCACCTTGGTCTGCTGGTCGTTTCCGCGAGGCATGATTGCTAGTCTTTCTTCTTTGGTCGAAAAGGTAGTAGTGCGTTTAGATTGAGGATCGAGCACTTGGATTGAGTTCGTAACTCGTAAAGGTACTATGATTGACCGCTTATGAGGGGCAGACGTGTGCTTTTGTAGCTCGTGTGAGCTCCAGCGGGGCATGCAACGATCGTACGTCATCGCCAAGCCGCACCCTTCTCTCATCTTCCAAGCCCGCATCGCAACCCCCGGCCCCGGTGAAACACGTAACAAATTACCAAGTTTCGCCGTGTACCAGATTGCGGATGACGCTATTCACATGTTTGATTGCTACTTATCCAATATAGGAGCTACGCGCGCGCAGGCATCGCGTGCCCAATGTCTAATGTGACGTCATTGACCTTCGGACAACCGTAAACAACTCAACCCTCACCAACTGCAACATGCGGGTGTGCCTTGCAGCAGAGCCCTATGATCTGCATGTACTTTTTTGATTACCGCCATCCCTCCTTGTCGTCATGCAATGATGGCATGTTTTGTAGAATGCCCTCGATCCGAGCAAAAATAGGCAGGCCGTTGCATCGTAACAATCCTCCATGCTTCTCACCTCTCATGTTCAAAAGGCCAACAGCCAAAGATAAAACAATCCAATCGTCCCAACAAACACTGCAATCCAACTCAACGATCGCTTTCGTGGGGTATCATGCCCAGAATTTGAAGATCCTGCTTCTGTTCTTCGACGACTTCTTAGCTTGAGGCGATCCAGATGACTTGTCCTCTCGCGTCTTGTGTTCACGTGTCTCCTTCTTCTTGCTCTTCTCATTTTCCTGGTCCTTGGCTGGCTCAGGGATGCTTTCGGTCGGGTGCAGTACCGTACTGCGGGACGCCATTGAGGTGCTCCTGCTTTCGACACGGTTGTCCATACGAGTGCTGCTATCTGTTCGAGGCAGACTTAGAATATGCGAAGAGAGACGCCGGGTCCGTTGCGGTCTCCCAGGTATGCTCTTCTCGCTCCAGCGTTCCGTTCCTGCGGCTCGGTTTGCCAGGCGTCGCCGGCGGCTTGAAGGCCTTGGATCTGGAAGCTCAAAATCGTTAGGCAAGAACGCAGCTGGCGCATTGTGGAAATCGACAACTGCTGGAGCGGGTCGACGGTCAGCGAGAGCCTGCGCACGGAGATTTCCGTGCGACATCTTGTGGATTTTACTGCTATTAGAATCATCCGAGCGCGTGTTGCTCACGCTGGAGAAGCTAGGTGAGCGGCGGGAGAAATTGCTGGTAATGCTGGCCATGCTGAGCTTCCTCATGACGGAATTGGCAGATGCGCGAAACTGATTTTCCACCCTTCCATTTGCCATCCCAGGAAACGGTAATATATCTTTAGTCCAGACGTCTTCCAATGCAGTCTCCAAACGAATTCTCTCAGCCCTTCTCGGAGCCAAGGTAGGTATGTGGGTTGCAGACAAGTGCGATTGCGACCGTGTAACCGAGTTTGGCGCGAAAGGGGGTGGTGGCTCTGGGGACCTCTGCGCCTGAGTGTTCTTGATGATGACTTGTGTCAAATGTGTCTTCGAGCCGAGGGTTGCCGCGCGGTGGACCGACATGCGTCGCACCAGGCTGTCTGCATGTCCAAATACAGGCCCGATCGATTTGATGTCCAGGGATAAAGATGAAAACATATCTTGCATAGTCGACTGTCCTTCGACAAAGTCATGTGTCTCACATACAATACGTTGGCGGAGCTGTTTCTTCCAGACTTCTTCTTCTTGGGAAGAGCAAGCGCTGAGGATAATCTCATGTAAGCGATGTCCGTGTTCGAACACAAGCTTCCATGAATTCGGAACGGTGTGACATTGCAAACCTTGCCCATTGTAAGCAGAAATCTCAAGAGCTCTCAAGATCTCACCTCTTCCATTGTCTGTCTCCTCGATGCTTCCGTTAGCGAGCGCAATTGATGCCACGACGCTGTACGGCGTGAAGAAGCGGCCTGCATTGGCAAGAACAAGACATGATTTATACAAGACACATGCCATGTACTGGCCTTTGACACGATCGGGCGTCTGGTAAGCCACATGAAGAACGCCACAAACGAGGACATGGCCAAGTAGTCGGAAGACGAGCGCCTTGGAGATAGTCTACACTGTTCAGTACATGCTCCAGACTGGGTGCAGCCGACCTACCTGCTCTTGAAACATCAAACGATCTTGCAATTGCCAGGTGATCTCTATCAGGCGACGTGTCTTGGGATCGTCTTTGGCTTTGTTAACCTCGCGTATCGTCTCCTGCAATCGGAAAAGTGCTTTCTCGACCTCGGCATGTGCTTCTGGGTCATCGTAGACAGGTGTATGCCGACATAGATCGGCAAACAAGAGTGGATACTTGCATACTCTCTGTATTGGCTTGCGACACCGTCAGTCAGAAACAGTAGGGCTCTATTTGTGCGTTCACACCTTGATAAGTAAGTCTGGAAAGCTCAAAGCCTTGCGAGTGCTTGTCGAGCGGTTGTTCTCCGATGCGATGACCTTGGACAGAGCTTCCACTCCACGTTCATATTGCTGCCAGCCATGAAGGCCCTTACATGTCGAAGTAAGATCTTGGGACATGGTGGTCCATTGCGCACCATATTCTTCGTATGCGAAGAAACGTTTCATCTGCGAAAAGTTCAATGCGGTTGATAAATGTGATGGGAAAGGTACACACGTGTTTATTGAAGATCTTTGCAATGTCTCCAATGGTTCTAGTATCTGTGACAAGACCTTGCGGCCGACGATCAGGCGAACGTCCGATATCCAAGGAGTGGCGAAGCTTTCGAGTGATTTTGTGCTCAACAAAACGTCCAGGCATCAGGTCTGCGCTATGGAAGCGAATATGTTTTGCCCTTGTCACAGGGTACGCCTCTTGATGCGCGCTTTGAGTATAATCTGCTTGAGGAACTACTTGATGAAGCTCAGCAAGCAAGTCTTCATGTAGCTGCAAGATCTGAGAGATGTTCTGTTGGATGGATGCTTGCGTGTGCGCTGGTAAGGCGGGAACGCCGCTCAGGACCACAAAATAATCCTGGGCAGACGTTAGCTTCTAGTCGCTCCGCAAGGGTTAGAAACGAGGACTTACATTAACCAAAACCTTGAGATCGGCAATATAGCTCTCTTCTGTGGAAATGAGTTCTTCGACGACCTTGCGTCGCTGAGCAGACCGTAGCCAGGCTCCTTCGTCGATGATAGTGCTCAAAGCTCCACCATGGCTCTCTGTAGACTTCCGCGCTTCTGAGTAATGACTACTTCTCTTTGCTAGCCGAGCTTTGTCTGCAAAACCGGGCGTGTCGGATTGAGGAGCGATGCTGGCACTTGCCACGGTCACCGACGCGGACCTCATTGCAATTACGCCTCCCAAGGACGATGACATAGAGTCGGATAACCGCCGCGCTGTTCCTGTGACGGGAATTATGGGCGGACACAGTAAAGCATCGACTTCAGTCATCTGGATAGCCGCAGAAGGTACTTGGGCCACTTGACCTTTTCGTCTGTAGATATGGCGGCGCCGTAGAGTGCTCATCCACCGACGAAATGGCTGCGGACTGACAATATCATCATCGGGAACTTCCGGTTCCGCGTGAGCTTCGCTTGCTGTATTTTCCGACCAGCGTCCTTCTGGAAGCGGTATATGGATCGCTTCATAGAGGTCGAAGAACTCAGTGTCATCGTCGGAATTGTTCTCGGCCACCATAGGCTCCGGTGAGCTAGGGTCACTTGACAGGCGTTCTGATTCATGAGTGGCCATTTTCCCTCTTCTCGAATAGAGATTGCTAGGAGTGGCGATTTTGGAAAATGTTGGAGCCGGCCGATTGAGTCCACAGCTTCGCTTTCGGGGTCCAAGTTCGTTCAGTCCAGTCTGAGTTTCTTGTCCATCTGTTTCTGGGACAAGATCCAACAGGGAGCAAGAGGCGAGCGGTGGTGTGTTCTCCGTAGTTCGCAGCCAGTCGCCGGCTCTGTTGGAGCGCAAGGAGTAGAGTGAACACACGGAAGCATTTCGAGGCGTGCTCTCGCGGAGAGCGCTGGAGGTAACACCTTTGAGTGGTGAGCTTGAAGCTAGGTAGGGATTGTCACTGAAGGAGCGCTTCAGAGGGCTATGTGGCCGGAGGGACAGCACGTAGGCCATTTCGAAGTCGATGGCAGTTCAGGCACTACTGCATTGATGAGGCAGGGGGGTCTGTTGCGGCATGGGAGATAAATATTGTTCGAACGCCAAAGTCGATAGCAAAAGGAACGACGGGTGCTTGAAGGAGCATCAAGAGGGCTCGAAGGGACAGAACGGCCACACTTGGACAGAAGCCGACTTGCAGGCCAAGGAAAGGGCGCAGTGACGGTTCATCACATGGTCGAGAATGAGGAGCGGCAGGTAAGGGCTGTCGCGTGGGCGTCTCCAGGCCAGGTGCGAGGCGCGAGGAAAGATAAGGAGAGGACATATGAGGTCATATGATCTTACTCGTCGAACAGTGACGATATTGTTCTTGGGAAGGAGCCACCCGTGAGGCAGTCGCTAACCAGTTCTTGCCCAGGCATCGTCTGCTCATGGCCATCTGCGAGGGAGACTGTCTCGCGTCTCCATCAATTTACAATCATGACGACAGGCACGGGCTTGCGATAGGTCCTTACGCAGAATGGTCACCATGCCCTGGACCACAGTGCGAGGACGTGTTTTGGATTGTACTACGTCGCGTAGGGTCGACGCGAGTTGAAGAGGCCAGGATGGGCAGCCGCTAGCCTTGAAATGTTTCTAAGCTTCCCCTCCAACCCCGCAAGCTCACGGTGCCTGCACCGGGCCTGGACTTACTTGCCACAAGAATCAACCCCAACATATCTTCTTCATGGGACTACATATGGACGACCTTCACGCGCCGACCGTGGCCTCGGGCCCTACGACCGGAGGATTCACAAATGGCGTGTCTAAGGACCGACTATCGCTGCAGGAGCTCATCGCGGAAAAGGACCGTGTCGAGGCAGAGCTCAAAGCCCTAGGTCAAGTGCTGGATTCAGTATGTATTTCAACTTCGTGCATCTGTCAGAGCCTTTGCTGATTGCTTCTGCTAGCACGGCGTCCACATGAACACGACCCTCACAACGTTCGACGGTTTCCCGCGCGCAGACGTCGATGTCGCTCAGAGTACGATCGCTACCGATTAGGGAGAAAGTGTGCTGATGGGTTGAGCAGTCCGAACGACGCGCGCACGCATTATCCGTCTGAAGAACGACTACAAGGTGCTCATGGTTCGCATCGAGAAGGGCCTGCACGAGCACCACGCACGTCTACAAGAGCAAGCCCAGAACAACACCGCCACCTCCAACGCCTTGCTCAGCGCAGGTAGTGCTGCCCCAGCGGCCCTAGAAGCGCCGTTTGCAAAGGTCAACAGCGTCGTAGCAGGCAGTCCGGCAGAGACAGCGGGCTTGCAGGTGGGCGACAGCATAACCAAGTTTGGATGGGTGGATTGGACAAACCACGATAAGCTGGCGCGCCTCCCGCAGGTGGTATCGCAGAATGAAGGGGTGAGTACTGCTCAAATATATCAATGCGCCTACCTTAGCTTCGCGCAGCTTCGGGCTGCGATTCATGCGTGTACAATGCTAATGGGCTACAGCTTCCCATCATCATCAAGGCGATGCGGCCCAGCGCTGCAGGCCCATCAGAGTCGATCGAGATGCAGCTTACGCCGCGGCGCAATTGGGGTGGCAGAGGCATGCTGGGTTGCAACCTACTGCCACTGTAGTACGACCTGGGCATGTTTGCAGGTTTGCGGGCTGTATAGAACTGCATAGCATGCATGGAGTTCAGGGTGATGGGCATGATATCCCGGCGTTTACTCCTCTTTCCGTAGTCATATATATCTTGAGCTTTCACCTTTGCTGTGCATTTATGCGAAGGTGAATACACAGGCTGCGCTTTCGCACTGTCGCCTGCCTGCCTCGCGGTTGCCTGTGGAGCAGTCTTTGTGCTGACTAACCAGCCTCACCGCCCGGGCCGCTTCGCCAACTCACCTAGCCATAAAAACATGGCCCTCTGCTTGCCCCACGACACTGCAATCCTCCTGCCCCTCGCTCCCCACCTCACCCATAAAAGGTACGCTCGCGCAGCCCACGAGACCACGCCGCTCGATTTCGATCTCGCCCGACAGCTGGAATCTAACTTTTTCGCAGTTTCTGCGCTATCACAACAGCACTTGTAACCCCGCCACAACAAACCACACACCATGGCCGAAGCCGCAGGACAGAACGTCCCCACCTTCAAGCTTGTGCTTGTCGGTGACGGTGGTACTGGAAAGGTGAGAACTCCTAATTTTGGTCGCATTTCTGCGCGCCCAGTCTGCGACGGCCGCGACTAGCAGGGCGATTCGCAAACGTCAAAACATGCGGCTGACGATCGATTGCAGACCACCTTCGTCAAGCGCCACTTGACTGGAGAGTTTGAGAAGAAGTACATTGCGACCCTCGGTGTCGAAGTCCACCCTCTCGGCTTCACCACGGTACGTTCCGCACATGTCTACACGCTAAAGCCGGCATACTGATAGAAGGCAGAACCTCGGACAGATTCAGTTCGACGTCTGGGACACCGCCGGTCAGGAGAAGTTCGGTGGTCTCCGTGATGGATACTACATCAACGGACAGTGCGGTATCATCATGTTCGACGTCACCTCCCGTATCACCTACAAGAACGTTCCCAACTGGCACCGTACGTCTCAATCCCTCAAAGCGCAAATTTACCGCTAACAAACCTCAGGTGATCTCGTCCGTGTCTGCGAGAACATCCCGATCGTCCTCACCGGTAACAAGGTCGACGTGAAGGAGCGCAAGGTCAAGGCCAAGGCCATCACCTTCCACCGAAAGAAGAACCTCCAGTACTACGACATCTCGGCCAAGTCGAACTACAACTTCGAGAAGCCCTTCCTCTGGCTCGCCCGGAAACTCGTCGGCAACCAGACCCTCGAGTTCGTCGCCGCCCCCGCCCTGGCTCCCCCGGAGGTCCAGGTCGACCAGGCCGTGCTCGAGCAGTACCAGAAGGAGATGGCGGACGCTGCGCAGATGCCGCTGCCCGACGAGGAGGACGCCGACTTGTAGATACGGTCTTCTAAAGACATGCCTCTGCAACATTCAAGGGTTGCACGAGCGCTGCGACGGATTACGAGCATGATTACGGAACATGTAGCGATTGGAATGGTTTGGGGGAAGCATGCGTTCGAACATTACTAGCGAAAATGGATAGATGAGGGAATTGGTAGGGTGGGTGGAGCTTTTCGGAGAGCTTTCCTTCCATTATGAGAGAGACGCTGGACTAGCTGGCGTTTCCGATGAATAATTGAGGCTCGAGAGCGTTCTTGAGGCATACCCTGAGCAATCACAATGGCTGGCTGTGATCTTGTAGTGACCCGGTGAATAAATCTTCTCCAGGGCTGAATGTGTCGTGCGTGTGCTCTGCGAAAAGTTTTCCGGCTCGTCCGCTGCATGGGCGGTTGACGTCATTGTTTGAGCAGTGAACAGCAATTGTGTCAGTCAGGTTTGGCAATCGTATGAACTTCATCTTCGTCATCTAGTCTACTTGGGATGGGAGATAATCCCATGCCCACCTGCGAAACTACGTTACAGCCCAGATCATCCCCACATGAAGAAATTCGTCGCCCGTGATATCTAACACCGAAGGAGATAGGGAATGCGCGCTACTGGTCGGCAACGACCGTCGTGAAAAGGAAAGAAATGAAAAGAAATGAGAAGGGGGAAGAGAAGTGGTATAATGGGTACTTTTGGGTAGGTATGTGGTGGTGAGTAGATTACAAGGGGTGCGCAAACGTCGTATGAAGTTCTTTTTTATATTCCAGCGCGTCGTCTACGACTTCAGCATACTACTCGTCGTTAGCACCTCTTCAAAGTTTGATTCGTGAGTGGGGAAATAGGCATAGGCATAGACTTACGGCGCAATAAGCTGGTTATACTGCTGCACGGGGACGCTCGCGCCCTCCTCGATAACCGTCCGTATGACCTCGTCGTTCGCAATGTTATTCCACAAATGTATACTCATTGCCTTCTTGCTATTCCACAGCGTGTGCGCTACGCCGCGCACCTGGCCTAGCACCACGTGCGCGATGTCCCACGTGTGGCTGTACTGCTGTAGTGTGCCGACGTCCAGTCTGATGCTCTGCTTGATGATGTCGTCTTGGCCGTCTGGGACCAGGAAAGACCAGTAGGATAGGTGCACGACGGACGCCATTACGACGACGCACGTGAAGAAGGGCGTGTGGTAGATGAGTTGGCCGGGGAGCTTTATCAGGGAGGAAATATTTTCGGCGGAGGTGAGGCATTTCGCTGTGTGTATCTCGCGGGTCTGCGTGGGGAGGAGGACTTGTCCTGGCTGCACACATATGTTTACGTTTTCGACGCGGCCGAAGCCGAGGTTGGAGCGCGGGCGGTGCAGCATTATGGTGCTGCCTGCGTTGACCATGTGCGCTTGGAAGAGCACCTCGTCTATTGCGCCGTCGTTGTTTACGATCTCGAGTTTGTTGGCGGGGAGGTGCAAGCGCCAGTTTACGAGGTAGGAGTCTACGACGTCGACGGCGTGGTATTCGAATTGGGAGTCTAGGCGGGCGACTTCGAAGACTTTGCCTAGGATGCGAATTGCGTCGATGAGGTAGGTGAAGGAGGAGAAGATGATTTCTTCGGGGGCGAAGGCGGAGTCGTCGTATTCCTGGAGGGTGTGCGGGTAGGGTATTGCGCCGGAGAAGTACTGGTGGTCTTCGCAGGGGAAGGGGACGTCGGTGGCGATGTCTTTGAGGCGGAACTGGACGCCTGGGTTGACGGCTGTTAGCATGCCGTTGACGGTGTAGGAAGACCACCAAGTTCGGCGCCAGCTTTCTTCGAGGATGCGGTCGTTGTTGCCGTGGATGAGGGCGTAGTCCATGCGGTGCATGCCGAGCTCTAGGACGAGGTTTTGCACGAGGCCGAAGATCTGGGCAGACCGGGGTACTTCGTTGTTGGCGTGGAGACCTACAGCGTAGAGGATGAGGGCTTGTACTGAGAAACCATCCCTTGGAAATTGGCCGCTGTCGATGGCCCGATTTAGCGCCTCCTTGTACATGTCCGTGGGAATCTCGGCGAGGTAGCAGGATCCAAGATATTGAACGGCATACTCCAGGAGTGGCGCTCTCCTATCTTTGAAGAGCTGCATCAATTGGAGCTGAGGCAGAAGGAATGGGTGGGAATTGTAGAAGTAGTGATAGAATGCTTGGACAGGCGTAGGCGGGCCCAGATGGCCAAACTTGTTTAGTCTTTGGGATCCATTGAGGTTGAGCTGGGAGGTGGCACTTGGGGGTGTGATAAGACCGATGCTCTGAGTATGAGTCGTGCTCAGCTGGTTGGCTAGGGCTAACTCGTTGGCGAAAGCAAATTCGGGTGATAATGACTGATGGCTGGTGGGAGTAAGATTGGTGTTGAGTATGGGCCCTGATGGCAGGGCATTCTGTTCCTGGACTATTTCACATGAGCGGAGATCAACTGGTAGGGGACCAAAGACAGACCAGGTGCGGCAGGGGCGGCGTTCTCTCCATGCTTCTTCCTCTTGCCCTTCCAGCCACGGCGTGACTTGATGTAGGTACAGTCTACACCGTCAGCCCTGCACCGCGAGCATCTTACGCCGCCATCGCACTTGAGATGGCGGCTGCGGCACGGGACGCACGCGACGGCTACTGACGTGCGCGCCTGGTTCCCCCCCTGTTGCTCGTTTTGCTGGTCACTCTGCTGGCCGGTCTGGCTGTTCTTCCGCTCCTCGTCAGACTTTGGAGTCAGGACGGGCGGAGTGTTGCTCTGCTGGCTCTCGTGAGCGGTAGAACTTCCCGGGGGCGATAGGTGTAGCGCCAGAGGCGACGAGTCGGCGGAATCCTGGGCTTGGGCCCAAAAGGCGGGATCCACCGCAGCCGAGACTGGCATATTGGCCAGCGGGTAGGGCTGCGAGGACATGCTGGGGGGAGATGTCCAGATACAAGCAGCGCACTCAATCGCAAGAGTCGTCCGGCGTGCCTTGGGTCGCGATCACGGTGAGAGGTGAATGTCGCGCTGCGGCTCGCATTCAGAGGAAGGTGCGGGCCTGTCACGTGCAGCTTAAGCGCAGTGGAACTGCACCAAGCACCGGTGCGCGCCCATCCCGCCTTGTGCCGTATCGAGCGTTGATCGCGTAGCCGACGCGATGGCCGCAAACGACACTCCTTGCCTTTAGCGCTGCTCAACGCCTTTGTTCCACGCCGTGCGACGCGATCGCGCGTTGTTGCGCCCCGTCGCCCGCTGACAGTCTGCGCCGAGCATGTTCGACCGTTGCACCACGTCGAGCGGGCGGGGCCTCGGCGGCTATCAGACGCCACGGTGAGGTCCAGTGAGCTGAAAATCCCCCGCGGAATCTCTGGACAGTGCGCTGAGTTTCCCAGGGCCCGCCTCTCTGTCTGGAAAGTCCAAGCGAAATCAGTCCACGGACGCCACTCGAGATGAGTCTGGATAGCTCAGCCCAGTCACACCAACTTTCGCGACATCGATTTCGCGACATCGATATCGCGACAATCAGATCTACTCAAGTGCCGGCATTGCTAGGCCGCACGTTCTCCCTACTAACCATTCGGGCCGACACGACTAGGACCACACGCGGCCAAACGTCACGTCAAACCGCACTACCTCTTCACCTGAATCGCACCGCGTCGTTGCCAGCAGAGTCATGGTCATAATAAGATGTATCTTTTGATTATGCTGGACCGTCAGGGGTCTTTTGGAAGGAGGAACATCTATGACGCTACAATGCAAGTGCAGATATCGGACGCCCAAACGCCCTGCTAAGCCCCCAGAACCACTGCCATCAGGCAGTGGTCCCGAAGAATGTGTATCATGAAAAGGTTTACCGGGACTGCCTCACCGTGCTATCTCCGATGTTAGTATTCCATCTCGTCAGTCACTGGACACCGCCCTTTGGTAAAGTTCCACACGTCAACCGAACAGTCCTTCAACGTCTTCTGTGCCTTCCATGCAAGTTCGCTCTCGGCTCTTCCGACTTCCGCTACGCAGAAGCCAACGTCACCCGCCCTCCGGCCCACCTCACGCACTGGAATTGTTCTTCCTGAGGTACTTTGAAGACTCTCGTGTACTTCACGTACTGTATGACCTCGACCGGTTCCTGAAAATTGTTAGCATCGCCTTCTTAGAGAGCGCTGGATCGCACTTACCAAGGTTGTACGTCCGGAAAGGTGCTTTGACACGACCAGCCGCCGACGCCGCCAAAGCAGCAATATGGCCCTGCGCCAGATCGACAACATGGATAAAATCTCGAACAGCTGTCCCGTCTGGGGTATTCCAGTCGGTGCCAAAGATGTCCAAGACCGGCTTAGTGCCTGTAAGGACGGTGGCAATGACGGGGATGAGGTTGCTTGGTTTTTGGCGAGGATCTTCACCCAGCAGTCCAGATTCGTGGCATCCAACCTGATCAACAGATGTCAGCATTCATTTGTTCCGAGTACCTGGATGACTTACGGGGTTGAAGTATCGCAAGGCTGTGATCGACCACGATGCATCTGACCGCGCAATGTCCGCCAAGATCGATTCGCACATGAACTTGGACCGGCCATACGGCGAGGTGAGACCCATCACTCCAGGAATCGCCTGTAGCTGAACTCCATCGCTGTCGCAGAATGTTTCCGGGTGGTGCACGCAGAGTTCTTCGCGTAGAGGGGCACCGCAGTTGGCGCCTTCACCGTACACCGTTGCCGAGGATGAGAAGACAAAGTTCTTGATACCAAACTCCTCAAGCAGACCAAGGAATTCCACCATCCCACAAACGTTGTTCATGTAGTACTTGAGGGGCATACGGATGCTCTCTTCGACGGACTTGTAAGCGGCAAAGTGGATTACACCAGTAATCCTGGACTGTCGCTGAAGCATAGGCTCTGGCGTGTCTTCTGGTTCCATGTCGATACCGGAATCCGTGCGTTGCAGAGTCGAATAAGGGAAGCGCGCAGATGAGGTGGCTGCTGGCTTGTTGCATACACGGTATGACGAGTAATTTGCAAGGATCGACCTCATCAGGGGACTCCGATAGTCCAGCTGCTGAAAGTGTAACGCTGGTACTGGCTTATTGTGAATTGCGCAATATTCGGTGGCCAACATCTTGATGCGATCCAAGACACTTTCGTACGAGTTGCTCAGGTCGTCGATGACCAGGACGTTGTAGTCCGCCTTCATCAGCTCGAGGACAGTGTGGGACCCGATGTAACCAAGGCCTCCCACCACCATGATGAATGAAGGCGAAGCATTTTCGCCAATGTCCAAGGGATCCGCCGCGATGTCCTCATCGAACAGAACTGACTTTTGGGTGTCCGGGGTGTTGATGGCTTCAGGCGACTGAGTGACCGACAAAGAGAAGCTGGAAGGAGACGACGCTCCTGTACTCGTGTTTGAGCAACACTCCATGGCGGAATCAAGAAAGTTAAAAGTGTTCAAAGAGTGACTGCGATTCTCGACGTTACCCGGAACCGGTACGTGCAATCGCCTTATATATGTCTAAGCTTCTAAAAGGTTCACGAAACACAGCCCGATTCGGTAGAGTATATTCGATGCAAGTTTTTTCCAGTCCCGCCCAATATCGTTTATGCTGGGCCGCCCTTGGCATGTTCCGGCCGCTTCATCCCGAATTATTCTTGTCAGAAGCTGGCTCTTCGGTCTAGCACTCTCGAATATAGTCTTCCCTCGGTTACATCCCTGTACAATTTGTACGGCATCACATTGGACTACGTACTTCCAGAAAGTGCGCAAGCTTGCAGTCTCCGGATGCTTCTCTGGGTTTTCGTGGAACATGCAAGTTGAATCTGGCCTGCGACGGAGACGCACACCTTGCCGCTCGGATCTGACACACGGCACACCACGTCTACAACCGCTCGTTTTACTCCATTTGGCTCCGCACATCCAGACAGCACTTCGCAGCCTGCGTTGACAGACGCTGCATGCTTTCCGGTGACTCCCTGGCTAGCCGTTCTCAATCCTCACAACAGGCAGGTAGGTACACGTGCGCGATTAGCCACGGCCTCCTCCGTTATTCTACCGCTACGTTCTCCCCTCGACCGGAGCTTGGAATCCCTTCTTTGAGCTGCGCGGATTCGTCTTCGAGCATCTCCGCTGCTTTGGTTCGAGAGGCATATTTCTGACCAACGAAGGGCTTCACTGCATCCACGAGTAAAGTCCACGGCAGTCGACACCCCGAACAATGGCACCGGGGGTGCCATTGCCGCCGCAGGAGGACTACTTGCATGGCTCTCACAAATTGAACGCATTCGACTGCGTCTGCACGGTCGGTTACGTGTCTACCACGTGGGTGCTGAAAACCTCTACTCTCGGCCATCCAGGAGTTGCAGTCTCTTCGGGAAGGCGTGTGCACGATGCCTTGTTAGCTTTGTATGATCCATTGTGGGCTAGAATACCCTCGCATTAGCATCTAGAACTTTTCCCACATCTACAGACCGGTCTCAACAGCTGTCTGAGAAGTCACGGGTCAAGGGAGGGCCATGTTTGTGCGAACCTCCCTTTCATTTCGGCATTGGGCGAAGGCAACACTTGTACTCCCGCTCGACGTCGGTATAGGTGGCGTAGGGCTTTGCGCTCCTATCGACATCGTTCACCCCAGAATGACCAGGTTTCGCTATTGCGGACCTGGCAATCGGATCATTCAAGGTTTCGGCAGTTGCAGAGTTTGCCATCAAAGGTACATTGCAGTGATTCATCCAGGCGCACAAAGCGCCATACTTCATCAATCGCATCATCGTTAGTAAGATTTTACCATCCATTCACGAAGTTTCTGTGGAATACATGCCTTGGGCAGGCACTCTTGCTTAGGCAACTCAATCTTGCGGAACCGCAATCGGAAGTTGGACTTAGTTTACAGCTGCGTCAGATCCAAGTGGCAGTCCGACAGAGATTATTCTCTCTCATCTCGTGCCAGTTTTCTGACGTACCACAACCGACCACTGACACCATTATCAACATACGATACTGCGCTATAATCTTTTCGGCACGTTTCTCGTCTACGCATCGAGGCACTCCCCAAATTTTGCACAGTTGCCCGTGCAGCATCGGGTTCGACAACAGAATGCTCAAAATCGCTCAGACATACTGACATCTTCTGCTACTCGGGATCCGGGCTCCAACATCCACCGAGCATCAGTGCCTCAGTCCATGTCTGCATTTCCAATACATGCATGCAGTCGCACGTCATGTTCCTGATCATCTTCGTCGGGGCGTCCCTCACAGATAGTTCGTATGTGCTGGGTGCGTTGATCACCCTCGACCAGCTTTCATCTCTTGGCCACTCCAGCGGTGTGGTAAGATGGTGAGATGATGGCTGGATGGTGCGAAGTGAGGTGACTGGCCAGTGATTCTGCGTCGATGCCTGCCCGGACCGTGAGCCCGCCGGCAGAATTTGCAGTCTCTGAGGACACAACAACAGGAACAGGAATGGTCGGATCACGAATGGGTGTGCGATTGCGGAATCAGCAGCGATCTCTACACCCTCCCCTTTCCCCGCGAAACTTGAAGGCCTCCACAACCAGGCGGCAGCGGGGCCTTTCGCCGCTTTTACACCTGTGGCCCTAGTCGCAGATCCCTGACCCATCCTAGCACTAGCGCCTTCGCACTTTAAATCAACCCTACCTTTGCATCTTCCCTGCATCAAATGGAGCGGCGAGCCCCTCCACCGGCGTCGGCTGGCCTCCGAGTTGTATATTCGTCGCGCCGTCCTATACAGCCTCAATTCGTTCCCCACAAATGAACCAGAGCCCGTTGTTGCGGCTTCGGTGTTGACGTGGCGTTCATTACCGAGCGCGTGCGGCTCCATGAACCGAGAAGTGGTAGGTCTTTACTCGTTACTGACGGTGGTAACGCCTGTCGAGTCGGAACTTCCTGGCCCACTCGATTGGCGACGCGGCTCTTCGAACTCGTTCGAAGCTTCCGCCGCTCTCGAACCGGGGTAAGACGCGTGTCAGCACCACCATCTGATTAGGAAATGCACCGGCGCCTCCATCAACATGATCGCCATCCGCCACCACATCGTATGATCTGCATGACCCTGTCATACAGTGTTGACACGCATAAGCTGTAGTTGCACCGCTTTCAAGTCTACGTCCTTTTCAGCACGGAGCGATCAGGAGCGCTCAAAAGTCGAAGCGACGAAAATGCAGTTGCTATTCAAGGACACGGCTTCCCGTATTTGCGCACATCCAACAGCTTAGCTGTTCCAATCGAGACATCATCAGCCTATTGCAATGCTGTGCTGGCTGCAGATTCAGCCCCAAGCGCTTCCATGCCGCGGACTAATGCGAGCAGGGCCTCTATTCAGGCCTCTGACTCTTGATGTGGTGTCGAACGCCTTCCCGACCTATGCGCGATCTATCGTTTCATGCTCCGTCAACACCCCATGAGATGTACTGACGGGTTGACCTTTGGGATCTTACAGATGGTATGCACAGCCGTGCAACAACTATCGATTCTGCAATTGCCACCAACAACACCTTCGTTCTCGGTGAATTCCACGTATGCCATCCAAACTTCGGCGCTTCCTAACCCGAATCTTTGACCCTTCGTGTTGTTGATGCAACTGCAAGGTGCAGAGCGCAATCGATAGACAAGACATGCAGAGCGTTCCACGGGGACAATACCAAGAGGTCAAGACATGCCGGTGGCATTGCCGACCCAAGATCCCGCGAATTTCCTGCAGAAACCTTTCAAACACCCAAAGAGAGGGTAGCATCCGAGCACACTCTCGGCTTTCCTCAGCCGTGCCGCGAAGAGTTGATTTTCTCACACTAATGAGACTATGCGATGTCAGATCAATCGCCAAATTGATTTGCTTCAACTTCAGAGATGTTCGATGTCCAGCCGCGTAGTGCATACAAAGCTCTCCACCAAGTGGGCCGCTACCTTGTGGACTACCCTCGTATCCGCCAACAACATTAAACAAGTGTACAAGTACCTCGGAATGCCTGGGCCCGGTGCGAGAAGGTCGGGTCCGGAAACCCTGCAGACACAGGTTTCGCCCAGGGCTTGTCTGTACTCGCCGAGCTCGAGCTGCATATTGACCGTATTGTTTACGGACGGACGTCGGCCGTGGTTCGGTATGCTCGTACATTAAGCGAGCGTCTCTGCTGCAGCGAACGGGATGCATCGAAGCATGCACGAGCAAAGCTGAAAGGCGCCAACAATTTCTCACATGGCAACAATACTAGGTGCTCCTACCTCTACGTGGTTTCCATCCACTCTCAACAATAAATTTGAAATAAGGACGCGTAGTCCCTGCTCTACGAGGCTGTCCGGGAGTAACAAGGATCTGCTCTCCCCTGTAAGCGCCCTGTGCCGATCTCCATACCCGACGATCTGGTACAATTTTTCCGTATTTCAACCGTTAGCTGGACCCCGGCGCTCCCTGACCAGCATGGGATTCACCTCCTCGATCCGGTGAATTAACCGTGAAAGAACCCTCGCATTCTTGATTCCAGCAACAGAAAGATGCGTTTCGTCTACGTTAGCGACGTTCAAGCTCTTGCTACAATATCGCGTTGCAGCACGGCTCGGCAAACAATTCGCATAGTCTCTTCACGGACTGCGCTTGGGTGTCGGGCTATTAAAGATCGCAATTAAGAGGAAGGGTATGATGATCCACCACAAGCTTGTTTCCACGGTTCTTCGAAAGTTGGGCGCCTGCAAGCCGTACGCTTCGCAACGCCACCTTCGTCAATAAGCACGCAAAATGACGTTTTCCGATGCGGCTCAAGTCAAATGACAAGCAATATAAATTGGATATACGAGCTGGGTTCATTGCAGTCGAATGTAGCGACTATGGTGATCCCCTCTGTTTTCCAGCAAAATCCAATGTTTCACAAGCTTTCACCCGCAATTGCCGCCGCAAAGTCTTTTACCGCAACAGCATTTGGCTTTCGAAATTCCTGTCTCAGAACTTGATTGCGCTGACGAGGCTTACTCTAGCATGCCTGGGTTTGCCTCCTGCACCCCGCAGTTTCCAGACTCTTCGGCAGAACTGCGTGACAAGGTACCTCTACCAGGTACCTCCCAGCCGCATCGGAGCTTACGGACTTGTGTAGGAAGGAGAGTACCGACACTCGGTTCGTGCCGAAAAATTGCGTTCCACATGCACCTGACTTTGCGTGCTGGACGCGATAATTCGCTCGCCCTTGTCAAACCTTGCGCGACACGGGGCGCTGCACAGCAAGTTTAGATCCGCGCAAGTTCCCCGTTCCGTTAGTTCGCCGGTTGCGAATTCTTTACACTGCAAGATACCGGTGATGTTGACGTTATTGGTAGGTTGTCGGAAACTTTCCAACTGCTTCACCTTCCCGAATTTGTCTGGTTTACTGTCGTGATCTTTACAGCCTCATCGCAATACTCGACCCAGCCATCCAGGTCCATCTTCTTCAGTACGGTGCTGAACCTGTCGGAACCTGCCGCCGCACCCTGGTCTCCGCAGTACTTCTGCACGACGCCCTTCTTCAGTCCGCTCTGGTCGCCTGCCCCATCGGGGTATTCGATGTGGAACACGGGCTTATCTGCGTCGATGAAGGCGTGGAAGGTGTCGCACTCGCTCTCCTCAACGCATTGCTCGTTGACGGAGAAGTGTACGATAGGCAGGACTTCGGCGATAATATCACCTGCGTTTTTGAGGCCAAGGGCGAGCTTGAGCGGCACAGTCAGGTTGGAGAGATAGCCCATGAACGAGATGCTGTCGTCGGCGGTAAGGCCCAGACCGTTGTCGTTTTGCTGACTGCGTCAGTCACTTTCCCAACACAACTTGCCTTCAGCTCTCTATCACATGTATCGGAGAAAACCCAGAGGAAAGTCAAGTCAACACTCACAAAGCCATCAACGTTGTCCGGATCCACACCATCGCACCCCTTCCTCCCCGCCAACTCCACCCTCGCCTTCATAATCTTACGCACGTTCTCATTCCCCAGCCTCAACCACTTCTCCCCCGGCCACCCATCCAGCTCCTTCCCCATATCCTCCTCCTGGAAATCTCCACTATCCGGCCGCCCAGGTTCATAGCTCCCCCCGCTGAAATAACATATCACTTTCTTCCCTAAACGGTGAAGCGTAGAAATCGTCTCGTCGTCCGTGTCAAACAAATCGATGTCGTAGACTGCGACATCGGGCGTCACGCTGCTGGCGTCCTTATCCAGTATCATGTTCGACTGCAGGATGATCTGCCATGTGTCGTTCACACGGGGTGTCCAAGTCAGATTCCCGGTCGGTGTGGGGAGAGGTGAGGAGGTTGCCGTAGGCGTAGGAGAGTTATTATTATCGTTTCCGTCATCGTCGTCGCGTCCGAGTGTTAGTCCTAGACCGAGACCTAGCGCGAGGCCGAGGACGACGATGGCGAGGGCGCTGCCTAGCAGGACTTTTCGGCGGAGCGACCATGGGCGGGAGGGCGCTTTCTTGGATGGTACGCTTGGATCGTTCATTTTCATTTTGTGGAGCGGGTGAATCACGGTATACTGGTAGGCTGGGCATGATGGCTTTTTGAAAGCTTCAATTCAATGAGGGAACGCGTAGAGTGCGAATTATTGAGCGGATGGATCTCCCCTTCCGGTAGCCAAGCGCCCTTTTGCGACTTGCTATACGCAGTGCCCTATTATTGCAGCTGAGTTCGAGGCGCAGACAGAGCCACGAGTGAGGAGAGGCCCGAGAGGCGGTGCTGCGGACCCTCCTCGGCGCTACCCCAATATGCCTGAACGGAAAACACTAGCTCTACGCACGGTAAGCTTTTATGTGTAACGTAGCGACCAACGTCAATTGGGTAGTTACTAGCAGGTACTATGGGTATTTACGCACAGCGCTCAACCTGGTTAGCCTAAGCACTCCCCCCAAATTGCATCGTGGCGCGACGCTTCGCACTTTCATAAACAAAGGGCGCAGGCGAGTAAAGTCTCTTCCGCTGAACTTCTTTCAGCTGAAGGTGCTAGATGCGCATTTTGCGCATGTGTCGTTGGAATTAAGTCAGAGGTAGTGTAGGATCGGACTAGGCTAGTGGGACAGAGCGAAGGGTGGCTAGCCAAAGAGCGGAAGAGGAGGCTACGCTATGAATGTATTAATAGCAGGGTTCGTATAGTAGGGGGATAGATTGGTCGAGTTCGGGCCGCTAGTAGGTTGATTGGAAGGGTGGGTGTGGCTGTGCTGTGTTGGTGGCAGTGGACGCAGGATTCGTGGCGCGGATGGGTAGGAGGTCCGCTAGTGTTGCTGAGGATCTGAGAGAACGAATAGCTGAGGTAGGGGACGTGGGCTACTCGTAGACGATGGAGTAGCAACACGGAAGAGGAGGGAAACGTTCCGAGACACAGTTCCGCCCGACAATGCGTGGTTGGAGTGAGTAAGTTCTGATTGGTTGGGATGGTGCGGGACTAGCCGCTTTGAGAAACAGCGAAAGAGTACTCATGCAATGAGTGCATACATTCTGCACGCGTGCAGATTTCGCGAACAGAAGAAGAAATCAGTACTTCCAAGGCAACATCAGATTCGTAAGATGGCACCACTCAGGTGGCTTCTCGCAAATGGCAGATCGCAAAGGAAACAATATCTTATTTTTTGGGTATAGCAGTGATAGCACTACATCTAGCGAATGCACCTCACCCGTCTCCACCCCCGTGTATGCATACCATCCTATACACCCCGCCCCACCCCCTCCCTCTCGTTCTCTCTCTACAAATGCAACGCCTTACTAAAAGTATACGTCCTACTCGCCCCACTCATCGTAACCCACAACGTCAACGGATCCGTCCCCACCTGCTCCTTCGTCGCGCCCGTCGTCTGCGCCGGCGTCGTCGGAAACGTAATCGGGATCGTCGTCTCGCACGCGTTCCCGCCCGCCGTGTACACCGTCACGCTCTCGATGCCCTTGCCGTCGGCGGACGTCTGCCAGGTTAGGCTGGGGCGGCAGAGGTCGCGCGTTTGGCGGGCGAGGAAGGCGGCTGCGAGGTCGTCGTGTTTGAGGGTTTTGAAGGGCCAGGTTGTTCTAGGGGAGGGGTTAGTTAGTGAAGAGGGGCCAGGCGGATGGGGGACGGCTTACAGGCGCATGATTTCTGCGGTGGTGGTTTCGACCCAGGTCATGAGGAGGGAGAATTGGCCTTTTACGCCGTTGACGGTGGTTTGGGGAACGTCGTTTACGCGGAGGTTGGCTTGGTGGAACATGTAGCTGTGGCTTGTGTTAGTAAGGGCGGTTGGTGGAGAGAGATGTCACTTACGCGTCCCAGTGGAGGCCGAAGAGGTTGCGCACAGCGGTGTCGCGTGCGTTGTCGAGCAGGTCAGTGAAGGTACCCTTTCCACCCGATGTGTTGATCCATTCCTGCAGGGTGCAGGCTGGGAGATCGCAGTTGTAGTAGATGACCGTAGCCCATCGCGGCATGACGTTTATGCCGGCGTAACCGTTGGCAGCCACTGTGGTGTTGAGCGGCCAGAAGCGGTTCACGGTGTTCAAGAGAAGGGGCCTCGTGTTGTCACCCACGACATTAACGATTCCGTTATCCTTCCATGCATGGAGAGCGTCGGCGTTGTGCAACCCCGTGATGGCGGGAGGAATGATACCCTTGGGACTGAAGCGTGCAGCAGCATCCAAGCCAACCTGCTTCAGCCAAGCCTGGTTCCAGGAAATTTCTTTGGAAGTGTCCGAGTATGTTGCGTTGGTAAGATCTTCATGAGTACTGATGGAAACGATGAGCTAACATTGATCAATCAAGATGGTGAACTTACAAAGTGTGTGAGATATGCGCGAAAGCGTCGCGGTTTGTCTCATCCGCAAACCAATTCTCCAGCTCATCAATCTCGTTGCACTCCAGAGACCACGCATACTTGGTAGGAGTTGTCGGCCATATGTCCTTGCCCGTACCTGGTGGTTTCGTGTAGTCGGGAGGTCCATCAATCTGATCGGGATACTCAATGCCGTTAGTTGGACTGCAAGTGCGCTCGCCCTCGGTAGTGTCTGTTGCAGCCTCAATGGCACCGTTTCCGTTGTGTCCAATTTCGACGAAGTACTCGGAGCCCTTCGGCATCTTCGCATTAAGTGTAGCCTGCCAATCAACGTGTACAGTAAGATCGTCGGGCTTGCAGCGATATGTTTGGCCGGATGGTGTGTAAAGAGGGGTCTCGAGAAACATGTCATCCACCTGAGTGTTGAGGTATAGCCTGCGGAAGCCGACGTAAAGGCCTCTTGTGACCCAGTTGATCCACGCATGTTGCAGATAGTTCGAAGACGGAGCCCAGTCGAGTGCAAATGGTATGAACCATGCCATCTGCTGGCGGGTGCCAATCTGGTTGATGACACCAGCAGTGCCGGAGTTGCTGAACTTCGCAAATTCCCATGCAATCGAAGTATTGGTGATCTGCGCCGGGTTGTGGAAGATGTTCGCAATGCTCACATTCGCGTTCCTGTCGAATCCGTTAGTCACCATGCAGCTCCGGATATTAAGAGCATTGGCCTTGGCCAGGTGTTGCAGAAGATCTCCAAATTTACCCGAAGTAAGAATATGGGGTAACTCACGATTTCAAGCCTGCAGTAGAAAAGCCAGTGACGTTGGTAAAGACGACCGGCTCATCTTTGACATTACCACCAAGACTGACTACGCCGAAGTCGCTCGTAGGGAACACGTCCAGTCGCACCATGCGCACGCCGAAGTTGGTCTGATAGTTATACAGTTGGTTGAATTGCGCCCTGGTGAGAGCGCTGTAGTATTGGTCGCCGTAGTTGTAACCAACCTCGCTGACTAGAACAATACCGCCGTAGTTTCCGTGGGTAGCGGATGCATTGAGGTTTGGAAGACTACTGATTCCAGCCTGAGGGACAGTGACTACTTCGAAAGGAATGCCATAGCCTTGTAGACCAGACGTGGCGCCATTCTGTGCGGAAGTGTCGTCTCGTGCGAGGACAAGGATGGTGCTGGAGACTGTCGCAGCTGAAATGGCTGCTGGTGATCCATCGTCCGGGTTGGTGTCATTCTGCGCCAACGTTCTCTCGGCGAAGAGAGCAAACGCAAAGAGAATCAACGACGCGAAGAAAGACGGCGCCATTGTGTAGACAGTGTCGAAGAGCAACAGTGTGATGATACAAAATTTGGGGATCTTGATCCCGTATTAATATTTCTTGGCTCGGCAAAAGTACCACGGTATCTATTGGGCAATGGCTGGACCTGTGTCCCAAATGGAGCATATAGAAGCATATACGCACAAGCCAAACTATCGATTCGCAATGCTCACTTTGGTGCCGTTTTCCGTTGTAGGATCGGCCTAGATCTATGACGCGGCATGGTGAGCTCTTGATACGCGTCTGGAGGTGTGCACTGCAACCCCAAAGCTACACTGGTTCCGGTCGATAGCGTGAGCAACAAAAGTGGGTGGCGCTGAGCAAGTATAGTTGAACAGGGTTCTTGGCAGAAGGCCATCTCAGGCAAAGGGCAGAATCTGCGCCACGTGCGGAGGCGCTCTTTAGTTGATATCACCGTATAAGAAACGTGACAGCAAGGCATTGCATTGAGCATGCATGTCTGCAGAACGTGCAGGAGTACGACCGGGTACGTACCATCTCATCTGAGGAAGGCTGCTGATGAGTATGGCGGAGAGTGCCGACACTTCCAAGGCAGCCAGCACTGGTGACATTTCGGCTGCAGAGTTCCGCAGGACTTCAATGCCGTCGGCTTCTAGTCGCGGTGAATGAGTATAGGAGGCGACGCGTCTCCTACCGAAGCAGTCTTCTGGCCGGCCGCCACGCAAGCTCATCATCTGGCAATGCGGCAGGTCGTATACGTCCCTGTCGTTCATGTCGAGCTGAGGCGTTGTGCAACATCGAAGATTGAGTTGATATTAAGTGCATATGGGGAAGGTGGTCAGGCTAAAGGTAGGGTGCCGATGTCCGCGCTAGTTAAAACAGCACTGTGCACGGGCCGGGCGCTAGCGGATCGCCCCTTGTCCTTGTTCAGCCTCCCAGAACAGGGCCTCTCGTCTCTTCGCGTCACGCTTCTGCGAGACTTGACTGCAAGTCTTCACCGTCCTCCTTATACTACCGCCCTGCCCCGCACACAAAGCCGGCGTCGACGATAGATTGCGCTTGGCCACGCACGCGGCTTGGCTGCCGAAGGTATCCATCTCCGTGTGTTTAGTGCCCGGTCCAAAGGCGTCGGCTGCTGCAAGAATCACTCTAATGTCCGTCTTTCACTGCCCGTTATGGCTGCCAAGCTCGGTTTCACGAGCTTCTCGAAGGATGGCAATGCTTCTTCGCTACAGACCCTGTCTGGCGCAAGACATACGCCGGCACGCGGAGGTGCGATTAGCTGAAGTTGCTGCTGGACGAAAACCAGACACATGACTGCTAGTACGCAGCCTGTCTATGTGCATCAGCCCGGCTCATAGACGATTACCATAGTACCGGCATTTATATGCCACCGAGCTATGGCGACCTGATTATGGTAGCGAATTTCTTTCCGACAGTCATCGTTCAATCGTCCGCAAGGACATCAGTATCGTTTAGCATGAGACACTGTTACACTCTCTAATCGACATGCTTTTGCTTGTCCCTAGTCAATGAGCCTGAGTTCTGATCTGTGTTTCCCACGTTTCGGCACCAAACCTTTGGGTTGACTTCGCCCTGGCGTGGCAACCGCCAGAACTCGCGTCCCGCCAGCGTTTGCATGATACGAGACCATGCCAAACATACTCGGAATCACTGCTTTCAAAAATGGTGTAGAGGTACACGAGTGGTGGGAGTGGACCCTGGTAGCAATTCTTGCTGCGAGCGGACTATTTGGAATCGTTGCACTTGTCTGGACCTCTTTGGGTAGCCTTCGAAAACTCCTCCAGGTAGGTCAAATCTTCTACAAAGAGCTGCAAAGCTGACAAAGCTTGACATAGCATGATTCCGACGAAGATCTCCTGCCGTACTCGGTCCAGGAACGGTTACTGGTTCTGTCTCACACAGCGCATGGCGTTCGGCCTGAGCAACCTCTTCCCGCCAAACCATCGTCGTTCGGTGTATATCTCGGCTGTCTCAATTCACCCGTTACACAGGCAGAGAGACAGATATTGGAGTCATGGGATATGATAGTGCTCGATGCGGGTGAGCCAGGCGTACTGGAGGCTGTCAACGATGAGAGCATTGCTCTGGGTCCACACATCATCGCGCGGCTGGACCTGTTCAAGGTTCTTCCATTCGTCGCGAAGGACAATGAAATAGACATGCTGAAGGCGATTCATCTTGTTTCGTTATTCCTTAATGATGCTATACGGCGACCCGACCAACGGAGATACTGCAACGGCGTGCTTGTTGCCGGCTGGAGGGAGCGAACTTGCATCCGCATGCTGAATGCTCTCGCCAAACTTTTCCGCGCCTACGGTCTGGACGTGTACCTCGAAGTCGCTGCGCCGGAGTTTCTCCACGATGTCGGGAAGCTCAACTTAAAGCTTTTCGCCGGCATGGTGGTCAGGAATGGCACCATCATGGAGAACGGAGAAAGAAGAGACTATTTTGCAATGGACAAGATGAAGACAACAACCAAGGCGTTCGTGTCGCAGGCATGTCTACGACCATTCTTAACGATGATGTGGGACACCATTGAAGACGAGGCGGATTTGTCACACGCAGTCACAAGGCGAGCACATATGTGGTGTAGCTATCACGGTGCGCTACCATATTTTGCGCGACGTTGCGCCCTCACAGACATCACCGATGTCCGCTCTTGTGAGGAACCGCTGGCTGCTTTCCAGTGGCTTAAAGACCGGAGAGTCATGAACGTGCATGAAAAGTTCCGCACGACCCGCGTTGTGAGTCGCATAGGAATTAAGCATACAGAATCTCACGTACTAACGGTCACAGCTATCGTCCGAATTCTCAAGTATTGTTGACGACTACCTTCCTCTACAGCCAATCTTTCCACTTCTGGGAAACACAATATCTGGTCTTGATATCTCCGAGGAATCAGATGGGGAAGACAACTCAAGCTCTTCAACGTTGACCGTCCAGTTTCCGGAGATCGATGAAAATGGAGCTCTGTTACCATTGGAGCCCACATCCCCCGTGTCAGCTGCGTCAAATTGGAGTACATCTGTAGAGAAGCGCATCGCGAACCCGTTATCATGCTCTTTTGCCGGTTCTCTTTATGGATCGCTTGGGTGCTTCCCGATCGGTTTCGATGCCACCCAGACCGACTTCCATCATGTTCTTCGGTCACAACAGCGTCTACGGAAGCTCAATCTGTTGAGTAAGCTACCCGCGAATAAGCTGCACGAAGTTGCACAGCAAATTCTCAGCTACAGTACCTCAGCGAGTCGTTATATCAACCTTGTCCCCACCGCGCGGGATAATCTCTCTACCTTCGCGAATGCACTCTTGCAAGCAACCGATGAAGCGGACGACTACCACCAAATAAGGGTGTTTACTGGGCTTGACTCTGGGTTTCACACCCCAACAGGTAGTCAATTTTGGGCGGTCTGGGAAGCCGAGCAACGAACCTTAACTCAGGTCATATACATATCAAAATCGATCCAGGACATCGCAGGCGCATTGCTACACACGTACTTGAGCAAGTCGAGCTTCACAAGATACCAATGCTTCCTCTTGGAGTACGGGCTAAGCGAGCACGAGAGTGAGTCTGGACAACTCACGAAGCTTCCGCAGCGGATAGAGCAGGATCTGTCCCTTTTGTCGTCTTCAGACATTCTTCTCTTTGTACAGCACATGCAGCATACAGATTGGGACGAGTCATGTCCGTTACTTTCGTCAATACGCAACCACTGCCAGGAATTGCTCGTCGATGTTCCTACGTACCGCCAACTCAAGAAGCTCAGCAACATGGAGTATATCAGTAATACGATAACAGACGAGCAACTTGTCCATGCCCGAATCAAGTGGTACCGCCTCTGTCGCCTACCTTGCCTCGATCGTCAAGACGCATTGGCTCTGTTCCGACACATCGACCTAAACCTTCGCAACGCACTCTGGTGGCGGGATCACAAAGGTCTCGATACAATCACGTCCTCCATCGAGAAGCTCACCGCTCGGGAAGGTGTAGACTCAGTGACGGACTTCGTCTTGTTCTGCATCTTTTGCGCTGCTAGAAAAGCAGCGTTTGAAGAGGTCTACATCGAGGTTTCAGATCGGAACCCATTGTTCAATCAGTATACCGACCAGAGTGCTGCTTTCGCAGAACTCTTCGCTTTGGGATCTCGCTGCGAAGCTTACTTCGACATCATGCCTAGCGATATCGGTATATTGCTGTCGAAGAAGCACCGGGACTACTACAACGAGCCCGGCCATCAACCTCCGATGTGGATCTTTAACGCACCATCTTTTGCATCCGCTTATGCTGCGGCTCAGACAGACATTGATCCGGATCAGAAAGCTTCGGTGATGCCAGGGTACCGCCGCTTCACATTCCTCAGTGTGTTCGCTATCCCGGCGCTTGTTGGTAAGTTTAACAATGACCCCATTCTTTAATTACACTAACTAGTTTAGATATTCTACTCTTGTCTACCACGGGACATGGACTTTACCTCAGCGCCAAGATGCTTCCAGAGGAATCAAAGTACGCTACGCTGGCTTTGATGACCTCGCTCTTACTGTCCGGAGCAATCGGCACTTGGATTTCGATTGGCGGTACCTACTACCTCATCTCTATGGCCTTTTCAGCTGCAAACATGTTCGTCTTGACCCGCTTGATCGGTGGCCTAGCTTTCACCCTCGCCGCTAGCCTTGTCGGGTTTATCGTTATATCCGCTGTAGAAGGGCCCAGGCTAGGGGCCATTTACTTCTTCTATCTGGTTGGTCTGACATCGTATCTTTCCGTTTTGGCGGTGCTTTCCACGTACCAGATACCTGGATCTTCGTTTCTCAACGGCCGACGAGTCATCATCGCTGTGGTGCCTACACTCATCATATCGCCAATCATCACCATCTGGATTGATGGGTACGACATCATCATCTATCCATGCATCTTGTTTGTTTTCGTGTCATTGCTCTTGTTGGGTACACGGCACGTTGCAACCCAATGGGTAACATGGTATCACAACATCAAAACCCTCAACGACAGCGATGTGAAGGATTGGTATGTGCAGACAAGCGCCAAAAGGCAGCTACCAGCAGGTGGTGCTCGTTCACGTAAGTTTCTTTTGTAGTCTTCTAACATGGGGGTTTACTAATACTAAATCAGCAAACCGCCTAAGCAAGGGTCCTCGAACTTCGACGGCTCTATCGTCGTCTCTCGCACCATCGTCCGAAGGCACGATCGACGCAGCGGATCTATTTTATGGCCTTAGCGAGCCAGCCATCCTTGCGTTGTGTCGTACAGAGCTCTATAATGCCGTTATGAAAGAAAGAAATCGCCATTTCTGGACGAAGCCTACCAACGACGCGTTCGTCAGGCAGCTTGGAGAATGTTGGGAATCCACGCTCTTCCTGCTGGACTGGTACTGTCGACTTACTGACACGAAACGGCCCATACCGTACAGCTCCACTTGGAATCTTGAGACACAGGTCGCTCTGGAGAGCATGCAACAGTCACAGAAAGGAATACGCCTACACAACTCTTTCATACACTGGCGCAACGCTAGTGACGAAGTAGGCTGTGGCATCCTCTACTTCCTTACGGCCCTCATGGATCGCTGGCTGGATTTGCTCAACGGAGTCAAGCTAATAGGCCTATCCCAGCAAACGAACGATACACTTCGCCTATCCATAGGCTTCGGATTAGCATATTACTTGATCGGTGCTGTACTTCTGGATTACAAAGCTCAGCATCTACATCAGCTCTCGGAGCAGATGGCACCTGTATCGATCGAAAACATACCTCACATACGTAAGGCGAAGTCCAATGATATGAAGTTCCGTCGGCACCTGTACTGGAACACGCTCTGTCACTTCATCGGAGTACATGTCTGGGCTTTGGCAGTGAGCGTCGCACTTGTCTGGATCTTCGACAGCTCTCCCTTGGGTGCGATCATGTTCCTAGCCTATGTGGGAGCATACAGCGGACTCTTGCTATACCAGTACAACAAGATATTCTCAGGGCCCCATGCCCTGATGCCTCTCCTGTGTGCTGTTGTTCTTGGATTTTGCGTCGGGGGTATACTCAAGGCAATGCATCCGCAATTCCAATACAACAATGTCATTGCGCTAGCCGCATCGACTTGGACCGCAGCTCTGCTCTCGTTCCACACAGCCAAACTTGGCCTTCCAGAGGCTTTCCATATTAGGATGTGGATAGCCGAGAAGTTGCAGATTTTCCAGCGCCGACCAAAACTTCCGAATGATTCGTCAGATTCTGTTCACATTCGGGGACTCCCATCTCGATACCGTATCCATTGGTCAAGCGCAGAGAAATTTCATGCCTATAATGGAACTGGCGTGGATGCTGAGTGGAGTCAAAGCGAGCTTCAAGCATTCGCCGACAAATTGCGTGCTGCACCGAAAGAGGATCGATTTAGGGTGCTGCCGTATGGCCATCCTGGCGATCAGGTCACTTCCATTCTGCTTTCGTGCACTCACGAATCCGTTTCGCGACTGGCACTGCAGGCATATCCTACGATGCCTTTCCTGGTTCAGAGGATAGTCTTGGCGTGGCAAAATGGACTGATCAAAGTCTTCATTGTCCCCATGCAATCGGTAACCGACGAAAAGACTGATCTTCGTGCCATCTCCCAGTATTCCGACGGGCGTCTGGCCTTGTTTGTAGCTTCCGATACCAAAGGAAGTACATCCGGACAGCTGAACATTAGCAGTAGTTCACGTGTGATCGCTGAGACATTGCTACATGCTTGCGCCGAGACCATGTTCGGTATGCCGCATCATCAGGCTGAAATTACCGAATCCATGCTGGTGTGTCGGCCGACGAGCGATGAGCCCTATGTCGTCTCTGAGTGCAACAAGCGCTCAATGCCTTCTAGAACGACCGGTCCCGAAGCGATCGCTTTTGAATCTCTCTGTCGCAAAGAGCTACTGCGCAACCTTTGTCTGGGATATGACCCTGACACGCAGTGGGATGTTTTGCCACTTGACATAAGGAGGATGTTTCTGCGCCGATGTCTCGGAGCTCGCGGACCGTACACCAACACTGAGATGTCGTGGATTCTATCTAATGTCGCATCGGAGGAAGCATGCACGATTCTCTCTCGCCTGGCGAGGTACGATCTTGCCGCATTCTTGTCAGTACACAAGTACAATTACTTCAGAAACCGTGGCGACCAAGCGCTCAGCGAGAAAGAGTATCGGCAGATCACCGCTGATATCCAGGAGGCCCACCACCCTATACTTAACAGGTCCACAACTATGATTTTTAGCGATTATACCAAGCGGCTCAAGGCACCCATCGCCTATGTTTACCACGTGGTCGGCACATGGATCAAATTCTTCGTTCTCGCAACTATGGCGGACCCTGAGTACCAACGTGAGCTGAACTGCGCATTAGGCAGGACACCACGCTTCTTTGCCAAGCCAGCGACCTTTTTCTTGACAGGGCTATGGATTTACAGCCGAGCTGCTATGTCGAAGGCACTGCCATTCTTTCTCTACAACAACCGCAAAGACATTTCCGCCCTTGCGAGCACAGTCAAAGGAAGCTTAATCTCTCAAAAGAAGGATCGTCTTGTCATTCGTAGCTACGGCGAGACTGAAACGGCGTTCGTTCATCCTCTGGAAGACCATCGCTTCAAGCTCGTCTTCTATCAGGGCGTGCTGAAAGAGGAGCCAACCTGGGGCCACACCCGAGTCTCAGAGTATGGCAGAGATATGCGCATCAACAATCGCAAGGAGTACAAAAACGGAAATGTCTTCAACGAGTTTACGTACGACTACCCAACGTCGCCAATTTCTCGATTCGGAAGGATAACGAAGCTCCATACCACCAGGCTACCGTATGGCCGAAATTGCCTTCAGGGGAGCGATGAAGGTGCCAAAGTGCAGTACAATACGAAAGGTCACATCGAATCCGGCAGCTACATGCAGCATGGTAACTTAGTCCGCTTCAAGTACCACTACCGCAAAAACGCAAAGTACGATGACGAGTTGCTTAGAGCTGAGTTCGTACTTCCCCACATGTCCGTCAATGTTAGCTGGTGTGCACCTCCGGTGCGCCATGCCGAAAAGATGGAGCGGTGGATTCCGACCCCACGTGTCCATGAAGCAACGTTTGTGCAGGGTGCCGACGTTTACGAATGCTCTTGGTTGTACGACCACAAGTTTCACCCAGTTATCTCGACAAAGCTCAACGGTGAAACGGTAGATACGCCTGACATGATCCGCCACGACTGGCTGGGCGTGCTGAAAAAGCCTTCACGATGCAATTTCATGGATGAGAACCCTCTCTTGGACTTTAAAGCGCCGACATCAAGCTTCATGAGCCGCTTCTTCCGTACCAACATCAAGCGACAAGAGATTTCTACCTCTCGAGCTCGTTCCCAACTCTGGAAGGCTTGGAAGAAGCGACTCGATCTCGATGGCGTGGTTGTTCGCTTTGTGGACGAGGAGCTCATTCGCAAGGAAGCGCTTTTACGACCTTACTGGCGCCGCCGTGATCGTGGAAGCCTCCTGAGGGCCGAGGACTATCTAGCACTACACGCCGATGCGATAATGGCAAGCGCGGATCTCACCAGCGACATCAGTGCATGGACGCCGCTCGCTATTCGCATGAGTGACCTCTTCAGCTTTGGACAGGGAGGCGATGCTGTTATCTTCACGCGAACAAAAACGCTTCAGCGAGACACTGAGAACAACCTCCACGTTATCGCCGTTGACACGGGCACATGGCCGAACGAGGGCGGCGGCGTATCTGCATGTCGCCGCGACTTGATCAATAATCTCCGAACTATCAAGTGGCATATGGTCGTTGAGTCCGCCAACGATTTCGGTCTCCCGAAGCATCAGACTGAAGAGAATGTCGAATCACTGAAGATCATCCCTCTTTGGGGACTGGACTTTCTTCACCCTTCACACGGCATGTTCACGAACAAATTGGACAGTGAAGTCGATAATCTGGTCCAAGACGCGACGATCAATGACATCAAAGTCAACTTCATCCCGACGCTGACTGCACTTGTACGAGGCGCCCGATCAGTCAACATGACTGCAGCGGACGTCAAGCAGGCCACACGAGCGCTGGTCAACCTCAACACTTACTTCGAAGATTCTCGGCACTGGAAGGAGGTGTGGACGAGCGAGATCGTCAAGGATACTTGGAGAAAGCTGTGGCTGACAGAGGACATGCCAAATGCGCAGCCACCGTCGGAGTGGTTTCGCACCGAGTTACCTACACTTGGACATCTCGACACTGCTCTGGAGCTGTGGTTCAGATGTGAGTGCCTTTCCATTATCACTTAGACACTTTTGCTGACCATTTTAGATCTCTTCATCTTTTCCATCCCTATTCCCGAGAAGATTCCGAGTGTCTTCCAGGCTTCCCATCACAGCGTCTCAGCTTCGTACGGCATTGTCTGCAAGCTGAAGCGAAATTGCACCCTCCAGATCTGGGATCATGCCATATCTTGGCGTGAGACGAATCTCTACCTCTCATCTGCTATGTGCACCCTGCCGCCTTTCATTCGGAACTCCCTTCTTGGCTTGATGAAGTTGACGTCGTGTCTCATTCTGCATCACGCTGATCAGATTCTCCCGTGTGCAGGTAAGTTGCATCCTGCTTGCGCTGAAAGGCTGTACTAACTTGTCTAGACTTCTTCAACCCGGGGTGGGAAGTTGAGATCGGCTCTTCAAAAGGCCAACTTACTCACCGAAACGTCTTCCGACGCAAGGTCGATCCCATCGTGAACGGTATACCCGACATGACTAAGTTCGCTCCCGTGACCGAGATCAAGACGAAGTCACCCACTGTCACGATGCTTTCTCACGTCTGGTTTGCGAAGGACATCAAAAACGCTTTACTTGCGGCCGACATCATCTCTAACGAGTGGGGTTTCAAGGACTATAAGCTCGACATCTATGGTGCGCTCAACAAGTCTCCAGTCTACTCATCAGAGTGTCAAGAGATCCTCGCTTGCAAGGGCCTCGGGGAGAGTGTTGCTCTCAAAGGGACTGCGGACCCAGCTATGGTCCTCGCCAATACCTGGCTCTTCCTCAACTCGTCCGTTTCTGAAGGTCTACCCCTCGCGCTCGGTGAAGCTGCGCTCACAGGCGCACCCGTTGTCTGCACAGACGTCGGTGCTTCCCTACGTGTGCTCACTGATCCCGATGACGGAAAGCGCTACAGCGAAGTCGTCGCCCCAAACGACGCCTACGGACTCGCACGCGCACAGATCAATCTCCTCGCCATGTTGGACGAATGGGCGCAGTACGCAGAGGACGCCCCAGACCAACCACCACCGATCCTCCCACACAAACCTACCCCCCAAGACGTAGAAATCATCACCCGCCGCATGTACGACAAAACCTTGCAGCGCCGCAAGCTCGGCATGATGGCCCGCACCATCGTGCAGAAGTCTTTCGGCGGCGAACGCTACCTCCGCGAACACGAGCAAATGCTCTGGGTCGGAAAAGCCTGCTACGAAATGCTCGGTCTCGAGCGCCCTCGCGTCCCGCCACCAAAGCACCCAGGCCGGATGCTCTCCCTCAAACGGCGGTCCAGCCAGAGACAATCACACAGACACAAATACACAGACACCGCCTCCAGCAACGTCATCGACCCGCAGCTCGAAAAAATGCAGCACCCCCGTCCCCCGCTCGCACGCCAGTTCTCGGCCGCTACGTCGTTTTCCTCGATATACGTCGATGAGCCTGCTAGTCCTGATGGAGCTATCTACCGCGGAGACGAGCGCTGGAGCCCGGGCACTACAGAGGAAGATTTATATAATAGGTCTGATGTCTCGACTAAAGATTCTACTTCTAACGTTCTCTCCGTCCCGCGGCCACCGCACGCTTACCGGACACACGCCTCAACCTCGCACTCTTCCCCGGCGAGTTCAGCCATCGCACTCGGGAAACGGCCTGTGCAGTATGGCTACGGGTATGGGCATGCGGGCGGGTTTAAACACGTGCCTGCGGTGCCTAGAACGGATGCGAGGCGAAGCGCGCTGATGAGGCAGAGTATGGTGGGGGGGAGTGCAAGGAGCAGTGTGAGGACGAGGAGCCATTTGAATGAGGTGGAGATGGCGGAGTATCCGCGGGTGCAGGAGGGGTATGGGAATGTGGTGGAGGTTAATGGGGGTGGGGGCGGGGTGGTGGGAGGATGTGACTTGGAGGAGGCATTCGGGTGGCGTTTTGGGGGAATGAAAAGTTGAATGACTTTGGCGTTTGAGATGGAACTTTGGCATTGTGCGCATACGCTCATTAGATATATGTGGTGCTTGTTGCTTTTTACATATGTTCTTACGTTGTAGTAATCCGTACTTATATTGCGTCGCAGTTCTTTCGCCTACTGAATCATTGTGAAATAGATACTGAGGTTGCAGGGCTCATTGGATCGTGAATCACTAATGCACACGTCTCGCCGATATCCCCCAAGACCTCGGGAAGCTTATCACCGCGTGACATGTAAACTTGAGGGGAATCATCGTGTGTATATATCGATATCTTGACGCCCAGTGTCAGATTTGGTTGCTTGCAAGACGTACTGTTCAGGTAGATTGATAATAAGTTATATACCCATGAAGTCGTATAATATACATGCATTCTGGTTCATACACTCATCCATGCATTCTCGTTATTGCGTCCCCAAACGCCACCAACGCCTCCCCACCTCACGCCTAGCCCAGATACAATTTTCAACAGCGCTCTAGAATCTCTTCAGCTCAGGGCTGCCCTCGCATGCGGGGAAGCTGAACTTCGTCTCCACAAACACCTTCTGCATGCCGTCCGCCTTGTCCTCGAACTTGTAGTACACCTTGTCGAGGTCCTCAAGCCTGACGCGGTGCGACACCATCTTGAGCGGGTCGATCTGCTTATCCTGGATCATCTTCAGGAGGGACTCCCAGTAGAGGTGGACGGGTGCCTGGCCGTTGCCGATGAGGCGGATGCCGCGCTCCATCAGGGACCCGATGTTGAAGTGGTTGGTAAAGCCAACGTATACACCGGTAATACCGCAGCGGCCGAAGTTGCGAGTGGAGGTGATCATCTCATTGATGAGCTCGGAAGTGTCCGTCTCCAGACCGAGCATCATCTCGAAGTAATGCGCCCAGCCCTTTGCGTACTCGCCGGCTGCGCATTCGATGCTGACGTCTGGACCGCGGTTGTTGCACATCTCCTTGAGCTTGCTAGTGACGCTCTCGCCTTTGCTGAGGGCGGAGAAGTCCAGCGTGTCGATGTTGGGGTAGCGCTCCTTGACGTACTCCAGTCGCCAGTTCTGGTCGATCATGATGACGCGTGAGGCTCCGTTGATGAGCGAGAAATCTGCTGCCATTTGTCCGATGGGTCCGGCGCCCCAGATGGCGACCACGTCGCCCTTCTTCACACCTGTATCAACGACCGCGTGCCAGCTCGTGCAGAGGACGTCGGAGAGATATAAGCCGGCCTCGTCGGGGACGTTGTCGGGGAGAGGAAGGAGGTTGACATCGCCGTATGGCACACGCGTGTACTCTGACTGGCCGCCGGCGAAGCCACCGGTGAAATGGGAGTATCCGAACATGCCAGCTGTACGACCACCATACATGGCGTTTTCGATGGTATTCGAGTTCGTCTTTTCGCATTGCGAGGAGAGCTTCTGCTTGCAGTAGTAACAGTCGCCGCAGGCGATCTGGAAGGAGGCTACCACGCGTTGCCTATCATCTCGTTAGATGTTGTATTTGCGCATGCAATTAAAGCGAACATACCCCTTCTTGAACTTGGTAACTTCACTACCAACCTCATCCACAACACCACAGAATTCGTGGCCCAGGATATCGCCCTTCTGCAATTCCACGACAGTTCCATGCAGCAGATGAAGATCCGATCCGCACACGGTCGAGCCCGTAATCTTCAAGATAACATCTCTTGGCTCCATAATCTTCGGTTTTGACACCTCGACCATCTCGACCTTGTTCTTGCCCATCCACGCAAGCGCCTTCATCTTGCCTTCGCCAGCGGCACCCGGCGCGATATCAGGGTTGGTAACATTCTGCGCGGTGGTGGCATTGTCGCCGTGGCCGATAGCCTGCTCAGCCTTGAGAGCTGCTTGGGACATAGCCATCTTGAGTTCTTATATATGAAAGATTTTACAAAGTAGATAGGAGGGGTATCACAATCGAATAATGCGTACAGAGAAGAGGGGTGTGGATGAGAAATGCACCGTCAAGCGGGGTACTTTAACTATGATAAACAAAGGCAATACATACCTATGACATAGCTACCATCTGCCTTAAACTACAAATGCTTTCCTAAGCTCCAGCGCCCATCTACCGTCCACGGCATATCACTCGTCCCTGCTATACACGCTCGAAGTAGCGAACCGACACGTCATGACTCTGTAAGAGCCGTCGGGTGAGGGCTACCGCCGGCGGAGGACACAGGAACGGCAGCGCGTTGCCTCGTGGGTGACAGGGGCCGTTAGATCGCATGGTTGGCGCATCGAGATGGCATTTTTGAAATGTCATGTTGACGCAATGGCGAAAGAGGGGCTTGGCGCGCGCTTGGTCAGCAGGGACGGCACGTGATGCTGCTTTTCTCCGTGCGTTACTCGGGTCCCGAAAACTCTTCGCTGAACATCGAGAACGCGGGAAATATGATGCCTGCTCTTGTGGAATACCGGGGTCGAGCTGTAAAGAGATTTTTTCTCGATGAATAGTGTTGACCATGAGTGTCGTCTGGTGCATGGAAATCTCACTTGGCGAGCGGGGATTCATGGGCTTTATACATTCGCGGTGCAGAGTACCTTGCTGGATTTTTGTAACGTCTATCTACTCCATTCGAGAGTTTAAGCCCAATCGTATGATGCAATGCTCGTGAAATGTATTTTAAGGGTTTAGGTATGTACCACAGTACCGTATAGTTTTGCAGATAGCAATTTATTTAGCCATGAGCGATCCAACCAGACAGTCCATCGGAGCGTAGAAGCGGGTCTGAAACACGATCTACGTTTGGTGATTGGTGTCAAAGTAAATCGCTATCTGCAAAACTCTACGGTAGTTACAGTCTATTAAATAGATCCATTGCAATGTCGTTGGTATATCAAGAGAAGATGACAAAATTTACTAGAAGAACGCTTGTTTACTCCGTTCGAGATTTGGGATCAAAGCATATGATGCAATACGCTTCAAATATGTATTAAGGGCTTAGGTATGCAATTACAGTCTATCAAACAGATCCGCTCCAACGCCGTTGAACCACCAAGAGAAAATAATGCAGTCTTACCAGAAGACCTCCAAACTTACTATGTATGCCTGAACAAGGCCTTGAACTCCTCTTTCAGCATAGCCTCAGCCGCGGGCCACCCCTCCTCACTACCAAGACGCTCCCTAAAGTCCTTGATAAAAAGGCCCTTCAGGACCGGGATCTCCTTCAAAAGCCGGTGAATGTTCGCATCGCGTAGTACCCACCGATCCAGCGCCTCCAATGCGGCGCAGGTCGCACCCGACTTGAGTGTGTACTTGCCGTCGTTGTAGCTCCCCGTGCCCTCCGGATCCAGCGTCTCTTGAAGGTAGCCATGGTACGCCTTACGGTAGAAGTCGAGCTTCCAGGGTGCATGTGGGTATTCAAAGCTTGTCTGTAGGACGGTGTACTCGTGGTCGAAATCCTTGCGCAGGAAAAGAGGGAAGCTGGCCCAGCCGGCCCAGCGTGGTACAGTGCGGAGCCCGGCCCAGTCGATGATGCCGGTGATTTCGCCGTCTTCGTCGACGAAGATGTTCTGCAGGTCGAGATCGGGATGGGCGAGCACGAAAGTCTCTGGAGTGGTCTCGTAGTCTGCGTCGGTGACGTACTTGTCTACTGAACGGGGCAGGGCATCGTACATGATGGGAGCGATCCGGGAGAATGCCCGCGCATCGGTAAGCTCAGACGGATTGTTGCTGTCATATTCAGGTAAGGCCTCCGCAGCGATCTCGTCCTTCTTCAACTGGAGGTATTCAGCTGTAGAAGAGAATGGGCCACGCTTGACCCAGCTCTCATGGCTGTGTTCAAAGTAATGGCCCACGGTAGGAGGTGGTGGGTCCCAATGGTCCGCGCACTGGGGGGCTCCCATCTTGTCGAATACATGGTTCTGAAGATCCGCCATGATCTTTGCAAGATCCTGAAGGAATCGAAGGCGTTTGCGCTCCAATTCCGGAGAGGGACTGTCAGCGCCAGGAAGAATTGACGTACCATCAGCTGTCTTGGCCCACATCTCCTCGTCGTACCATAGGTTTTCATGAGCTGATACGCCGTAAATCCGGTCCATGATGATATAGGGCGCTCCAAGGATGTTGTCAAATCCGTCATCCCATTGATGGATGAACGGCAGTGGGATCTTGGTCTTCTTATAAAGGTATTTCATGTTCAAGATTTCGGTGCGTAGCTCGAACGCGTGGTCTTCAGTCCAGGTCTCGCGCGTACCCCGAAAAGGGACCCGCACAACAAACTCCTCTTCCTCGTTCAAGTCTAGCGTCACACAGTAGTTGTAGCTCCCTGCGTTGCGGTCGATGACTTTGCAGGTTCGGGAACGACTCTTGTCCCAGGTGCTACGAACCAGCTCAATAAAAAGGCTGTCGTCGATCGAGCGGATATGCTGCTCATGTTCTGGGAATGGCGAGCGAGTAGTAGCCTTAGTCGAGGGCGCGCCTTCTGGTACTTGCTCCGCTGAAGATGGTTCTTGTTGTGCTGGAGATGATTCCTGTTGCGCCGGAGACGATGATTGGGAGACTGGACCAGGACGTTGGTGAGACTTCATAAACAAGTCTAGAAAATGCTCCATTGACGGCAACTTGGGCATGTTGCAGAGAATGGACATGTTCGAAGATAGACCGGAGTTGGTCCGGATGTTGCAGGGGTAAGAACGCTGGATCACCCCGTAATGAATTGATAATCAGTTATTACGATTTGGGGTTGAACACTCTAGCAATAAGCCTGTATTACTGTGCTCGCGAGTATCAGTATGTTTAGTTGGTGGGTTGAGAGGAATATTGTTATCAATGGGGAACTCGCAAGTTTATGTACCGCTCACTTTGACTGATCAACAATGTTGAAAGAAGATGACCGCCACTATTTTCTAGTATAGTAAATGATGTTCGTCGGCAAACGTGAAAGAAAGGGTCGGAGTCAAGCGATTCATTCTTTGTCTAAAAAAGAACAGGCCTTGCCAATGGGAAACGCACAATGTGCGGAACAAGGCAGATTTAGGTTCTCCTTAAACTCACAATGCAAAGCTCGATTGAACCACTTCTCGGGTTTTGACCTGTTGTGCGCGCACTATGTTGCATGAAACCCTCACTATGATCACTTGGAAGGTACACTTATATACCACACCAGCTGTCACCCATATGAATTTTAAACAACCACAACCACACTCTCCGAGCGCTAGTTACCCCAAACACTTGCTATCAAACATCTCAAGCTCTTCGGCCTCAAATCCACACTCAATCCTTTAAAACATGGGTAGACAAGAGCATCGCGACATGGAATCGCTGTACCCAGGACACTGGGACTCCAAGCTTGATCCCGACATCCATAACATCCGAACAAAAGCTGTAGGTCCACCCCACCACTGCCGGATCTGCCATGCCACAGCCAAGCCTATCTGCTATCTGAAATTGCACTTCGCATTCTGCGTCGCTCCCATAGAGGTTAAAGGTAAGCCAGACATCTGCGGCGAACGTTTCTGCCCGAAGAGTCAGGACGGTTGCGCTACGCACCCATATAACCACGGCTTCAACACAATGGTCAAGGAAGCTTTCAAGGGCGTCAAGTCAATCTCAGAAGCAATGGAGGAGCTAAACGCGCAGAAGCTCCAGGCACTCTCATTAGAGCCGGAGGAGCCCGAAGACGCACCGATCCTTACCTACGAGGAATACAATGAACTGGCCAAGCAGAAGGCCCTGGAGGAGAAGCGCTTTAGGCATACAGCCATGACCGCGGCTAGAACTGTCCTAAAGACTAAGGGCAATACCAAGGTGTCAAAATTGACGGCGGCGATGATGAAGTCGTCACTGAAAGGTAATGAGTAGTGGTGTTTCACATCCATTGCCCCCATCAGAAATGATCTATAGGTCTCTGCATACTCTACTGGTGGAGTGTAATTAGGGTAATCATGCCGGTCATGTACCTTTAATCCACACCTGAATGTTGCTCTAGGTAAGTACAGATGTTCACAATCCGTTAGAGCAATAGTTCTCAGGGTAGCTGTTTACTCGAAATGAGTTGCTGTCAAGGTAACTTCATACAGAGTAACTAATTGTTTTCTTAGTTTCGTACTGTTTCCGCATATACCGCTGTAGCCTTCGCATTAATATCACATGTTTCTATGAACATAACCTCAATTTCGTGAGTTCTTACTCCCATGTGAACCTTGCTTTGTGTGAGTTCAAATCAAAGACTGTCTTCCTGAATTGAGAAGCGAACGCAAAAAAGACACTAATAGATCCTCTTGAGACGTAAGTTTAACAGAACTTCCGTCTGAGTACGTACGTGAAGTAGCTGCGCTTTTACGCTTCGGCGCTTCCCGTAGTTGAAAGATAATAGTGTAACATACACTCATTCGTGGCGGAACAATCATCGTACCAAGAACATATTATCGGTGCTTAGACTTTCAAACCGAATAACCTTGTTAGCTTTTGTGACATTTCGAGCCAATCTGTTAGGTTATGTACTTTGACATCTTGCCATTTAAAAAAGACTTATTGATTAATATATAACAGTCGCTTGGATGTCTCCCGTATTTTGTAGCTATATTAACCGCTGCTGTCTACTGGCGCACTGACAGGTCTGTGAGATTATTGAGGTCTAAGTCTTTGCTCTGGTGGTCTTAGAACCTGAATCCAGTCGTAAAAGGCTGATCCTGGCGGCAAGGGCTGTAATTGACGTGCAGACTATGCATATCGTCACCCGTTGTCAGTACCTCGGATCCAAAGTAGCTACTTGGGCGTGTTATATATCACGATGTGCATGGACCTGCTGCGCAGATACATCAGTCTAGAACGGTTAGCCTGTTCTGCCCAGCGAGCGATATTTGAACCTCAAGCTGCCAGCCCTGCGTGCCGGAACACAGACCACGTGGACGGGCCAGATCTCTTCATAACTGATGCTCGGCGCCACCGACCAAGCCTGTAGACGGCCTCCGTGCGCCAGACAGACTCCAAACCAGATCTTGTTATCACGGCCAAATGGTACAATGGTCGACAAAGCTCTTAGTTACATGATGTACAGCTATAGGTGCTTACAAGCGCATATCCTTGACCTTGTCCCATAACTCAACGTCTGCTTGTTCTTTTTCCCATTGCTTCAAGGCTGACAGGGAAGATATGGAGTCAGGATGACTAACTCTGAGCACTTTTTCACGCCGCTCTACACACTGCTGCATCAAATTCACAGCTTCTACACTTCGGCCGAGTGATTTCCACGTAAAAGCTAGGTTATTCATGCTGAGTAGCGTGCGTAGATGGTCTGCTCCGAGCTTCGTCTTACGAGTCTCCATCACCTACACCTCTAGCTTCTCTGCCTCCTTCCATCGGCCTTGACTCCAAAATGTTAACGCTAGACTACTCATGCTGTTTAGCGTGGCTAGATAGTCTACTCTAAGCTTCTTCTTCTAAGTCTCTATTACCTACACCTCTAGCTTCTCTGCCTCCTCCTAATAGCCTTAGTCCTAAAATGTTAACGCTAGACTACTTATACTATTTATGGTAGAAGAATAGTCTACTCTAAGCTTCGTCTTATAAGTCTCTATTACCTATACCTCTAGCTTCTTAGCCTCCTCCTAATAGTCTTAGTTCTAAAATATTAATACTAGGTTATTTATACTAGTTAGTATAGCTAAATAGTTTACTCTAAGCTTTATCTTTAAAGTCTCTATTATCTAGACCTTAATATTATAAGGGGTTTCTACGTACCTAACCTAGGCCGACCTTATAGGTATTTAGTAGATAAGGGCAAATATATAATAAAAGGGGGGTAAGAGAATATTCTAACCTTACTATAGAAGGTAAGGTAATAATTAAATAAGAAGACTAATAGATCTTAGTATAGAAGATATACTTTAATTTTAATTATAGAATTTAACTATAAAGAATAGGAAAGATACTAAAGTTCCTTTAGACTATATACTATTTTTTATTATCTAGAAGATTCTACCTAAACTTTATAGTTCTAAGACCTTCTAAGTGTTAGGATCTAGACCTAAGTGAGGGTTAGGACCTTATTTTATATTATAATAATACTTACTATTAGTTTACCTAGGTAGAGTATATATTTCAACTATACTACTAGGCGCTAAAGGATATTACGTAACTAATAGTTAATAAGTAATAGTTAACTATTAGATACGTAACTAATAGTTAATAAGTAATAGTTAACTATTAGATACGTGACTAATAGTTAATAAGTAATAGTTAATAAGTAATAGTTAACTATCGCCTAAGCTAAGTATATAGGAGCGTAATATTATAAACTAGATAATAGTGGGGAAGTTTAGGCGCTTATAAAGGTAGAAGATATAATAACTAGGGTTATAATAAGATAAAGATATGCTAAGTTACTTAGATAGTAGTTATATAACTTACTTAGCTACTTAGGGTTCCTAAATAACTAAGTAGCTAAGAGCTATTATATAACCTACTTAGCTATTTAGGGCTCCTAAGTAACTAAGTAAGATCCCTATATAGAAATATAAGGATGAGCCTTTATACTTATATTTAACCTAAGTTTTAATCTATTATTTAGATTTACTTAGGCCTCCTTATTAACTTATTACACTTTATAAGATACTTCTATATTAATAAGAACCCCTTTCTTCCTACCCTTAGTAAGTCTTACCTAAGAACTAACCTTAACCTATTTAGGACTAGCTACCCTCTCTAGACTTAACACGTAAGTATAAGGACCTTATACTTATATTAAACCTAAGTTTTAATCTATTATTTAGATTTACTTAGGCCTCCTTATTAATTTATTATACTTTATAAAATATTTTTATATTAATAAGAACCCCTTCTCTCCTTCCCTTAGTAAGTCTTACCTAAAAACTAACCTTAATCTATTTAGGACTAGCTACCCTTTCTAGATTTAATATCTTAAATATCCTTAATATAACTATAAGGACTCCTACTTCTTCTATAGCTTTAGATAATATTACTATTACTCTAATAGGTAACTCTAAGAGTAAAATATATAAACCTAATTTATATTATAGTAATAAAAAGTATACTAATATCTAGCTTCTTTAGTTAGACCTATATTTCTTTAAACTTAATAAATAACCTAAAGATAAATAAAAGGTTATCTTTATAACTACTTATATATAAGGTAATACTAGAGAATAGATTTAACCCTATATAATAAAGTATCTAGAGATAGACTATAATAATAAAAATAAGAAATATATAGATAACTATATAGATATAGTTAATATTATTAAAGATTATACTAACTTTAAGAAATACCTTAAATAGATATTTAGAATTACTAATAAGGTACCTATTATAGCACGAAATATCTAAACTATTCTATAATAATAATTAGTAGCTAAGTATATAGTAGAGTTCTATAAGAACGCTATATAACTTAACTAGGATAATAAGTTACTAATAATAATATATAAATAAGGTCTTAAGAAACCTCTATAAGAAGAACTTCTATATAGTAGAGGAATTATTAGAACCCTTAATAAGTTATATAATAAATTAATTAGGATTAATAGAGAATAGTATATACTATAATAAGAGTTTTAACGTAACCTAAGAAATATTAGTTTTAGATAACTAGTATCTATAGTCTATAGGGTACTACTAAAAGGACCTTAATACTAATTATAAGACTTCTATAGATACTAGCTAATAGAAGATATCTAGTTTAACTACTTAGGTAAAGAAAAAGGAAAAGGACTAGACTTTTATAAGCCTAATATACGTATCTTAGATAGAACCTAATAATAAGAAACTAAGACTTATATATACTTTATATATAGTAAACTAGGCTATATTACTAGAAACTATAGATCTAAAAATAAGGTTATTAAATAGATAAACGTACTTACTACTCTAATAAAAGAGGTTAAGGATAAAGAATAGACTATTATAGACACTATTAATAACCTTATAGTTAATAATAAATTAGGATTAGAGTTATTAGTTAACTTATAACTTTATAAGGATGTAGAGGAAGAATAATCTAAGGGAAATAAAGGGGTTATTAAATAAACACTAATACCTTACCTATAGTTTAAAGGTTAAGAAGTAATCTTTACTAATAGAATAAATATATAGGAATACTTAGATAAACTACTAATCTAACTATAAAATAGAGATATATTACTATTACCTATAATAATCTTACTATTATTCTCTATACTACTAGAATCTTATAATAGACGCTAACTAGAAATTATTATAAAAGAAGATAGATAATAGGTAGATTATAGATATATATAATAAAACCCTAACTAAGTGTAACGGGGCCTCTAGGACTCTATTACTAGCCGTGGCCCTATTAGGGTTCTAGTAAGAGATAAGTAGCGTATAGGGTAGTATAGATTATGTATACTATAAATATTAATTAATTACTACTATAAGAAAATATTACTAAAGACTTAATAGTAATCTTCTATAAGGAAACTAGATATAGAGAACTATATTATAGATTAATAATAAAGGCTTACCCTATAGTAATCCATTATCTCTATATACTACTATCTAATAATGGCTCTATAGGCTCTACCTATAGATCCTATAGATCTAGGCTCTATGGCTCTATCCTATAGATCTATAGATCTAATTACGTAACTTTCTTACGTACTTATATTATACTTAGCATCTAACCTATAATTATATTCTTCCCCTATATAATCCGATTGGTTACTACTATTATTAATGTAATTCCTATAATTCTATTACGGCGTAATAGCCGTAACACTAAGATTTCTATAATAAGGACCTAGATTATTTATAGAAGTACTACCTAGACCACTAAAACCAATAGTACTTAAATATCTAATAGACTATATATAAATATAACT